AGAATATATTGAGGTTGGACCACCCATCATCCTCCGAGTCGAACTAGAAGCGACAAAATACCCAAGATAACCTGGAACGAATTTTTGAACAGACCACTAAAGACTCGTGGCTAAATAAATACCACCACTAAAAAGAAAAACTGAGAATCCATCTAACTTCGGCCGCGTGTTCACCAGAAGTAGCCGATGGGCAGACGCACTTTTGGAAATTGGAGAGGATGACTCTTTCGCTTCAGCAACTACGTGACGAGTCAGATACAATGCATTTATGGAAGTACAAGAACAATGTTGAGGCTACTTCTAGCTGAGTACAAAGAGAAGTTCATCTAGTAACTTTTGCTTTTGTTCCTTTTCCTAAGATAATGCAGATTGGTACACTAAGAAGTGCGTAGCAGTGCGTTTATGGAAAATTTGACGTGCGAAGTGAGGTGTATGGGAGATGCATCGGCAACCCCCTCTCGGCGCTCACACGCCAACACCCCACCGTGGCGCGGTCATCATCCAGTCCCGTCACTATCTAGTCAAATTTTCCAAATTCCCACCCACCACGTCTCATTCTCCTCCCTTGTCGGTCCGAGGCTCGGAATCTCTGTCCCGCCCTCCTTTGACCCATTCCTCGGCCCTGAGCGAACAAACCTCACCACGACACCTCCACGTTGTGAGTGGTGGCAAAGACACAACAACCGGAACCACTAGCATCAGCATCACAGAACCTGGTCTGGCGCACGACACCCCCACGTGCGCCAGATGAGGTTCTGTGATGCTGATGCTAGTGGTTCCGGTTGTTGTGTCTTTGCCACCACTTGCTATGAGATTAGACTTGTGAATGACTACTCAGGAGAAGTACTCCTCATTCCAGATTCCTAGGTCCTTTTGTCGTAGTTCTTGATTCATTTAGTTCTTGATTGAGATTGATTAGGTTCAGAGGAGAGTCAGGACTTCATTGGCCGACAAATGCGGCGTCGCTTACCTGCGATGCTCACGCAAAAAGGACCTTTTCTGTCGCCTCCATGAAGACGGACATCATGACCGGATCATGGAGATCGACCAGGCGCAAGTGTTAGCCCCCTTTCCGGAAGCTGTGGCGAGAATGTGGTCTGAAGAAAGCACATCGATCATGGAGAAAACTCTAGCGGGTCACTTTCTCTTAAGTTCTCCGAAAGGCAACTCTATCTTTACCGAACAATTTCTCGATATGTAAGTAGAATATATAACGAGTCCGAAAGGCTCTACTATGTAAGTTGTACCCACGGTGAGAAGTGGGTCAAATAATATCTATGGGCCAGCACCAATTGGAGACTTCTAGCACTTCTGTGACGCCCTCTTCTAAAGAGATTAGAAGAGAAGAATCGATGTCAAAAGCCCGGGTATGAGGTGTTTTCCTATGATTTGGTTCCAGATGGAAATATGAAGCTGCATTTATGCCTCCTCAACTAATTGAGAACATGGTGAAAGGGAACGCGGGAGGGCCGACCACGTGCTTCTTGAAGAAGCACGTCCTCCTCTGTATCAACAACGGCGTTCCCTTGATCCCGACTCTCGCAATTAGCGGAGGCGTTTAATGCGCGCACTGCTCGACGTTTCACCCGGACCCATTATTAGCCAGAGGCACGAGCTTTGGGAGTTTGCGCTACCCACATTTTTAGACTTTTTCGGCCTGAATGGTCACGACGGCGCACAGGAATGCAGCTCCGTAATGACGCCGCTGAAATTAAGAATCTCAATGTGCTCCGATATCTTCCTAACAAGAATCCTAGGTCCAGCACCTTTTTTCATTTAAGCAGACCCATGCTCATCTACCCATTAAATAGCTATAAGGAGCATCTAAACGTAAACTCCAGTCGGAGCAATCTATTTCAGTAAACAAGTCAAAGGCTTTCGCTCCTCCATGGCCAGCTCTCAGTCTTCTTCAGACTAGATGGTAGTTGTGCTAGAAGATGTTGCTCTAAAGAGTTTTTCCGTACCGTCAAAGGACGCAGTCGCCAAAGCTTTCAAGGACTTTCCTGCTGCGCAAGAGGTGCTGAACTTAAGGTTTACCCTGAGTAATCCATAACAGGATTACTGATGTCTAGGTTGCGTGAGATCGTGTTGAGTGGGGCCCTAGGATGCTTCTCAAGGTGGATCGTGGTTATCTCTACTAATCAGCAACCTGACGCCGAAAACTCCACAGGAGTTCACACCAGAGGCGCGGTGGAACGGCGTCCTCAATAAAGGGAAGCAGCCGAATCAGACCACTAGCACTACATCTACAACTACCACTACTGCGAGGACTACAGGGAATGTGGGCCATGCTGCAGTGGATGGAGGTGGCGTCACGATCGAGCAGCTCAACAACCAGGTAAACCAGATAGGCCACAACCTAACTTATGGGTGTATGGAATTCATCTCCCAAGTCATCTGGAAGAAGAGAACGAGAAGAGAATAAAGAACCAGACGACTCCTGATATAGATTCCCTTTGTATACCTCTAACTAACCTAGTTTGCCGCTCCAACAGCAGCAAACTGCGAGCCGCAAGGGAACGCTATCCAGCAACAACAGAAGCAGATCAGCATGATGCTGGAGCAGATGAAGAGGATGCTCACCATGCTGGGGCGAATGATGACAGGCGGCGTCGCTGCAGCTGCTGCTGTTGGTGGAAGTGCGGTAGTAGGAAATGCGCCTGGAGCTGGAGCACCAGAGGCAGTTCTCCCTGGGCCTAAAGGAGCAACTAGGAATGAAGATCCTTTTTGTAGGTCGCAATGGCTGTGTTAGGGTCGGTTCGTAGTTGAGGCAGAGTTACAAGTAGCTGTATTCCTTCGCATTTTTTGAAACTCCCGCTTTTACGCGTCCACTACCATGATCAGAATATGTGTCTCTTGTTTGTCGCACTGCACTATCATCACAGAACTTTGGCTCCATGCATCACTCACTCTAGTGAGTTGTCCGCTGAGTGCTGTTCTTTTGCTTTTTCAAGTGGTTAGCCTCGAGCTGCACCTCCACCGATTATGAGCCCATTGGCCCTGTAGAAGGTCTTTATCCGCATATATTTTCCAGAGGTGGAGCCTCCCCGTAAGGTGGACCGCACGCCGTAGAGCTGTCCAAATTAGTCCCCCCGCGTGGCCTTGCTTCCTATTATAAAGGTGACCCTCTTGCTGCTCTTCTTATCTTTGATGTGTCACGTGTCACGCGCGGCCCGCGGATCCGTTAGTGGTCCGCGGATCGATCAGGGGCGGGCCCGCGGATCAATCAACGTCCGGGGGTCGGTCAGTGATCCGTGGATCGATCAGAAGTGATCCGGTCAGGGACCCACGGATCGATCAGGGTTCCCCGGATCGTTCAGGGATCCACGAACCGACCAGGGACCCACGGGTCAGCCTGTGGCCCGTGGATCGATCAAGGAAGGGATCCACGGCGCGGCCAGTGATCCACGGACCGACCAGTGATCCGCGGATCGATCAAGGACCCGCGGATCGATCAAGGAGACGCGCGCTGTTTCGTGCTGCGTTACGCTTAACATCATGCGCAGGGATCTCGCCTACCCCCGAACCTGTCGGCGCCACGCGGTGGGTGGGCGTTGCGCGTCCTCTCAGACAGCTCTCCGTCGTTCCGTAAGTCCCACGGGGGCTCCCCTCCTGCGGCTGGGGCGGTGGTGGCGCCCGCGCGCCCATTTTTACGCGGTGGTTATATGTAAGGACCTCCGGGGGCGAAGGTCTCAAAAGGCGGAGCTGAAGGCGCCTGGCGGCTCTCCGCGTCTGCCTCACGGTCGTCCTGATCCTTGGACCCTATGAGGGGGACGGCCTCCGGGGGAATGAAGAAGGCGGCCACGGTCGCGAGACCTGGCCCCATCTTTGGCCTTTTTCCCCCCAGCCTGTGGCAGCGTCCGCCACCACGAAACGCCTGGAGGGTTGAGGACCAAAGGCGAGGAGGAGTGGGGGCAAGGCGTGCCCGCCTGGGTTCTGTCGGATACATGCAGCACGGCGAAAGCGGTCAAGCCTTGCCACCTGCTGCCTGTGCCTTCTTTCGGAGGCCTTCCGCTTGCCTCCTAAGAAGCTCTTCCCGTGTGTGAGGGACCCGCACCCTGGAGGCTTGTAGGGTACACGCAACAAGCCGCAACAAGCCAAAGGGGGCCCAGCCTTGCCACCTTTGCCACCTTCGGAAGCCTTGCGCCCCCGGCTTTCGGTGCTTCGACCGCCTCAGGGATGGGGGCTCTGTAGGGTCCAGGTAGGAAGCGGGAAGGGGTCGGAGGTGGGCGCTTGGAGGTTTTCCCGCCGGGCAGTCCCTCGGCAAAAAGGCTCCGGGCGGGAGCTCCCAAAAAAATTCAGATCGGGGGGGCCTTGGCCCCTGGCGCTTGGGAAATTTATTGACTGTGAGACTTTATTTTACCGGTTATAAATATCTGGCGTCTTCTCTTCTGAGGGTGCAGCACATCGCATAGCCTAGGAGCTGGCATGCTAACCAGTGTTAGACTTCGTGGAATGGAATGGTTAGGCTTCGCGGCGAGCTCTTCTTTCAGAGCAGAAAATATCGCAAATCCAGTAGTTCGAGCGTACACACGACCCGCCCTTTGTGACTGCAGAGAAAGAGAGACGAGCGTTGTATTAGTAATCCGATTCGTCTTCAGAATCTGTAGTGCGTGGGAGATGATATCAGAATGAAGCGCGTCTCTGAGTGTGATTCAAGGAGGAAAAAGAAAAGCGATATACGAACTTTCTACAGTACGGCGTTGAGTCATGCAGAAGAGATTCAAGGTGATAAGAAACTCAAGCCCTTTCGAATAGGTTTCTCTTGCCCGAGACCCACATATTACGATAGACATAGGTATACTCCTAGAGTCTTCGAATTTCCACGCAATTGAGGACCTGTTTGTTGATATCATCGTTGTGTATTCATACAGGGAGAACGGCGCAGAGTGAACGCCGGTTCTTGGGGTCTGCTTTGTCTTCAGTCCGATCACGAGAAAAGAGTGACTGAGTTCTACCGTGGCCATTTCGTCGCAAGAGCGTCTTGTTTCGCAATGAAGATGCTGGTGCTCCTAAAGGGCCTCCTGATAGGGTATTTCGAATTCGCTGATGTAGTTTCGAAGCTAGTTTTGGCTGCAGAAGCCCATACGAGAGACGTGGCAGTGGGAGCTCAAGCCGAGAACAAAAACCACCTCGCAGCAAGAGGAGCTCAAGAAGGAGGCCCATTACGAGGGACCGAAGATCACCACAAGCAGGTCCAGAAACGAGACGACGCAGTAGTCACTTACCAAAACGGAGGTCACCAAGCAGTCGACGCTCCGCAACAAGATTACCGAGGAGAGCGAGAAGCTGAAAAAGGAGGTCACCATCGGGGGGACAAAATTCCTGCTGAGCGACGCCAACAGGGAATTATATGTGGTGTTCCAAGCGGCGGAGCCGAGAATATGGAGCATTACATCCCTGATCAAGTCGGCTTTGCACGCACCGCGCTGGCGAGGAACCTTGCTACAAATGTAACCGTTACAGCTCTATCGGGAGAAAATTTAACAACGGAAGACCACGACAGCTTGCATGACGAAATTTCCACGCAGGGTGCTGGATGCCAGTTTTTTGCTTCACAAGTGGACGCTTATGTAACGTGGGTCCAAGGACGTCTAGTTTTGCAACACGATCCAAGGAACAAGAACTACAATTCGGATGCTTCTAATATGAGTTCTATCACCAAAAAACCACAGAAAAATGAAACACCAACTACATCATGGAAGGGTCTTGCTATTCCTCTCGACGCCGGGGTCGATGTAGCAAATGTCACAGTCAACCAACCAATTAATCAGTCAGTGAATCAATCGAGCACACTTCCACTAGCGCCAGGAATATTGATAAGCACGACAGGAAGAACAGTGGCCCCGAAATGGGAGGAACTTTCTGCGGCAGATCGGCACCGCTTTGGGAACGCGCTACGTTTTATTTCGCAGTCTGCGCCCTCGTACGGCCTACAACCCCGTCCTTACGTGGCTCACAAGGAAAAGTTTGTGGAGAGCCTCTGGGTGCATTGGCTGCTCAGCCAACACAGCACTTGCAATGCGACTTTTTCTGGACGATCATCAGACGTCTTTATAAAGAAGGAACAGCAACAAGACGACTGCCAAAATAGCACCCTGCTTAATTCATGGTCATCCTTTGCGAAGGATTACCTTCCAACGATCGGCGTTCCAGAGACCTACAGCACAGGTAACGCCTCCCAGCGTAATTACATTTTTGGCAGTGCCGCAACGAATCACTCGATGATAAAGTGCGACAGAGAGAATAAGACCGAAAACACCGAGTGGGTCATAAAAAAGCGTGGGCAATGGAATGCAGGGATTATGGTGCCCGCTACGCATTTCGAGTTACGCTCTTCACTGCTCGTAAGATGGGAAAACAGCTTTTGCAACCGGAGTGTAAGGATTTTACACCGTAAAGTGTGGAGCGAAGAGGCAGAAGTATGGGAGAATCGACGAGCCTCTATCATGCAGAGATTTGTGTCGCCGGTATTAGTTTGGCGGGATCGACACTGGAGTGGGAGTCCAGCAAGCCGATACTGGACCGATAGGTGGCGCGTTTTTCAGGTTCGCTATCTTCTCCTTGCAGCCTGTTCACCCGATATAGCAGGTGGTAAATTGCACTTCTGGAAAATGGAAACCACGCCTCATCTATCCTTGATGCAACATCGACCCTCCGACGGTTTACATGGCAAATGCAGCGTTGCCTACAACCGATGTTCATTCGACGTTTTCTACACGCGCGATGAGCTTATTTGCCGTGTCTCCCCTGAAGACGGTGACGGAGAATCCTCACACCTCATGGAGGTCGACCATCTGCTTAAGCTAGCACCGTTTCCCGACGCGATCAAGAGAATGTGGGCTGAAGAAAGCACGTCGATCATCGAGAAAACTCTAGTAGCCCAGTACATTGCGATGGCGCACAACGTCGACTTAAATCGATGCCAAAAGAGCAGCTATGAAGTTTTCGCCTATGATTTCGTTCCTGATGCAGACATGCGCCTTCACTCCTTGCTCGATTTTACACCCGGTCCTGTCGTGCATAAGAAATATGAGCTCTGGAAACATGCACTACCCACGTTATTGGACTTCTTTGGAATATCCGAGAAGGTGGAAGGCCTTGGTCACAGCAGTGCACATGAATGCAGCGCCTCAGTGATACCGCTAAAATTAAGGATCTCGTCAATGTTTTCTTGTTTAGGCCACAGGAGGAGCGCATGGTTATGGTAGTTCTCTTCATCGTTGGACCAGACGCGGATGTTGCTGCTCTAAACAGTTTTCCGTCCCGTCAAAGGACGCAGTCGCCAAAGCTCTCAATGACTTTCCTGCTGCACAAAAGGTGCTTGACTTAAGGTTTAGACGATGAGTAATCCACCTTCTGAAGCATCCTGCAAACGCAAAGCTGGTGTCGGCGTTGCGTGAGATCATGTTGAGTGGGGCCCTAGGAGGCTTCTCAAGGTGGATCGTGGTTAGCTCTAACTAGTGACCTGACGCCGAAAACTCCACAGGAGTTTACACCAGAGGCGCTATGGAACGGCATCCTAGTTGATCGCCTAAAAAGGAAGGAGCCGAACCAGACTAGTACTAGAACTACATCTACAACTACGACTTTGACTACAGGGAGTGTGAGCCACGCTGCAGTGGATGGAGGTGGCGTCACGATCGAGCAGCTCAACACCCTGACCAACCAGGTAAACCAGATAGGCCACAACTTAACCCAGTTCGCCGCCCAAACAGCAGCAAACTTCCAGCAGCAAGGGAACGCTATCCAGCAGCAACAGAAGCAGATCAGCATGATGCTGGAGCAGATGAACAAGATGCTCACCATGTTGGGGCGAATGATGACAGAAGGCGTCGCTGCAGCTGCTGCTGTTGGTGGAAGTGGGGTAATAGGAAGTGCACCTGGACCGGGGAACGGTCCAGGTGCACTTCCTACTACCGGAACGGTAGCTGGAGCACCAGAGGCAGTTCTTCCTGGGCAGGTAGTCGATAAAGCTGCTGCTGCTGCGGGAGGAGAAGGAGCTGCGGCACCAGGACAAGCACGAGGTGGCGCTGTAGCTCAAGGTGGACATGTGGACGATGCAAATTACAAGTAGGAACGAAGCTGCACGCCTTTGCAATTTTTTACGCGTCCGCTTGAACTGACCATATCTCTGTAGTATGTGGCAATTTACCTGCTCCGTGTCCGACAATATTGACGAAATGCACAATCATCACAGCTCCGCGACTCACTCTAGTGAGTTGTCCTTGTAGTGCTGTAGTCTTTCTTTTGCAAGTGGTTAGTCTTTGCGAGTCCTTTTTTCAGAGGAGAAGTTGCCGCAAGTTGCACAAGCGTACACACCATCTCTATGTCACAAAACTTCGGAGAGCAGAGCGAGAGAGATGAACATGAACGTAATTATGGTAATACGATTCTTCAAAATCTGGTACCCGTGGGAGATATTTTTTATCGGAATGAGACGCTTGGAGAGGGATTCAAGAAGGACGAAGATACTCGCCAAGAGAGACCCCATACAAGAAGTAACCTGGAAATTTGAATCGAATATCGCTCGCGCTGGCCAACGGATCGTTGCTCTCCACCTTTTACCAGCTGACCCCCACTTTCCAAAGCTTTCCCTCCCAGCTCGTCCTGTATATCCAGATAGAAAATTTTCAGTACTTCTAGTGAAGCGGAATCGAGTTACATGTAGTGACCATCGATTTTCAAAGAAGTGGTTGCCTTCTAGTTAATATGTATAATAGCATGTCCATGGAAGCTGCGATCATCAAAATCAAAACGAATCATGGTAATCCTATGCGTACTATGCTCGCTCTTCGACAAAATCAAGGTGGCGAGTCGTGCTAGTGGCACCAGAATAAATAGAAGATTCTGATTCTGAATAGACGTACTACAAGATGCAGCAAAATAATTCCATGGCCTTCGCGAAGCAGGTGGAAATGCCACCTGATTTTCCTGAGGTTCTGAAGGAGTTCACCAGAGAAATCCTCCGACACCAACCAGAAAGCATATTTGACTTTGGGGTCAAATACTTTGTTATGGTCTTTGGGGAATCAAAAATCCCTAGCCCTACTAGGTATACTATAATATAATCTCTCGAATTTGAAGATGTGACAGTGGGGGATAGAAGATGATATAATTGCTCATGATCGGATCCGGAATCGCTAACGCTAAATGTAAGGGGTCTACTGTGACCTGATATTGTCCACCTGGTACAATAATATGGTGTCTATCATATGATGATGCTGAGTTTTCTTCTAACGCAAAACAAAAAGTGAATCACATGGACGCGGCAGCTGGCGGCTCAGCATCTGAAGACGAGTTATCACTAGAGCAGATGGAAGAAACAATACAATGTACTACTTGATGAAGATCTAGAATTGTCACGACTAGAGCAGATGGAAGAAGCAATACAATGTACTATTTGAATGATGAAGATCTAGAATTGTCACGACTAGAGCAGATGGAAGTAGAAACATCAATAGTACAATGAACTACTACTTGCTCTACAACATGGTTGTCGTATCACACCAGCTTTGTCCTAGGAGGAGGTTTGTTCTTGCTCCACCTATTCAACATTCATTTTGCTAGGACTAGAAGGCCCGTTGCTATGTATGGTATCTATTCATTCCTCTAGCTCTAGGACTACGTCCCCCTTAGTTAGTAATAAATAGACCTTCAGTTATTTTCAGACCACTTGAATAGAATTAGGACTTTTCTCCACCAACCTGAAATGAGCAGTTGTAACAACTACTCTCTCTCATGAATGATATGAGAAGTAGAAACACATCTCACTTCATCACTCATAAACAGCGTTGTTCCATCACTACGATGACGATAACAGCGGATACCTCGATAGTTAAGGCGAGACACAACTTAAACTCATCCGATCATGAATGCACATCATTTTTAATCGTCATGATTTGTCATGACTCCATCATGCTTATCGATGACAGCTAGTACTCATCAACATCATGCTTATCGATGACAGCTACGACGCCCGGCAGGCAGTCTGCACTGAGCTACCTGTTGCGAGATTTTTTATATCATATATTGCATTGTTGTAATTGTATTGATTAAGATTAACATGATGCATGACTACAGCTACACTCTTATCGACACCGTTCGTTACTTCTATCTTGTCTTGCTGGCAGTGGAGTAGTACTGTCTAAGACACAAGTGAGTGAATAATTAACATACATACATCGTGACTGCACTGGCTACTTCTCCTCTTCCTCTAATACCCAAGAGAATTCCGAAATTTGCTGGAGGACTTACGACAGAGGATGCCGTTCATCGATGAGGATGACCTCTTCTACTTCATGTCCGAAGCTGACGGCGATGAAAATAATTAAGGCCGGTTCACGTTCAATGGCATCGTAGCCGTCGCACCTAGCGTCCAGGCTGATGCGAAACCCCCTTGAAACTTGAAACCCTCTCTCATAGGTGAGTCAACTTCTATCCTATCCTATTTTTAGACTTAGAAGACATACTAGAGGACATGGACAAAGTATACCAGGTAACAATCGCATTTACATATTCATCAGTGCAACAGAAGCTATGTACGATGCCACTCATTGAGAGCGAAGATATGGGAGGAAGGTCGTTCCACCTAGGTGGGAAGGCAAAGAGGGAGCGACATCCTCCTATCGACGTTCTCAAGAATGAGTGGAAGCATTCACAGGCATAGGCAACGTTGACATTCATTACTGCAACAACAGCTCATATTTTTATACCATATTCGTACACCAACTAAGATTCACAAATCGGTAAGTACACGCATACACTAATTAGAATACCGATACGTAGACAAGGCAACAACAGGTACTATACTAGATTCTCGCATGGTTCTGATGCTGTAACACTCTGTGGACGCGGCTCAGAAGCCGAAACCTACTAGATACCTAAGCTACAACTAAACAGATGAATATTAATATACCATGCCCAGCTCTAAAGAAACCAGATCGAATATCAGGAATTCATCCCGGTGGCACTGCAGATAATGCAGACAATGTATTGAGTTTTGCTTTCCAGTCTCAACACGACAATAACCGACGTTTATTCGTGTATGTAGTCTACACGACAATAAAGTAGCGCTCCTAACATTGAGCTAAGTAGTCTGAGTTTTCTTTGCATCCGTACAACCTCCTTCACGCAACATCATTTTTCACTTCACTCCTCCGCACAAACATATCAGGTACTCGAGGAAAAAACTTGAGAAGACGAAAGATCAAGTGAGAGCGCAGGCACAGAATATACTAGTACACGGCATGACACGAGAGGAGTTAGAAAGCGTCCTTTCACGGCTATTCTCGAGCTTCGACTCAGACAAGTATTAAAGAATCAATTTTACATCTTCCATCTTGTTCTTGATCCCTTTCAAGAGGAGAGTTTGCATATTATCGCTTATCACCATTGATTTTTTAATGATCAAATATGGAATTTGAGCTTGCTTAAATTTCTGTTTATGTTGTCGTCTTGAGGTGTAATCAATGTTGTCGGTGAGATCTTGGTACATTTATCTCACACTTCAGTTCCGGCACCCTTTCAAGAGGAGAGTTTGAAAAAGCGTTGTCATCAATGGATTTAGGCCTTACACGGAAGGAGATAAATAGCATCCTGTTCCAGTATGACGGGAACGATGACGGCGCAATATCATATCAAGAATTCATGCCCTTTGCGTTTGGTATCGACTCATTTTACTGAAATTTTACTGAAAGTTGTTATTGTTATACTACCTAGTATTAAGAAAAAGAAGTAAAACTATACTGTAAAAACTACTTGCAATAGGTGCTGGAATACGAGGATCATTTGTCGGCTGCAGAAGCAGTACATCAGGCACAGCCAACTGCGCAGTTGGCTTAGTGGTTTAGGCGTTGGCCCGTTCACTTGTCAGGCACTACTGAATTTATAGGTGAAGGTAGCGCGTCACTTTCTACTTAATTTTCTGTCTCTCTGGTACAGATACAAACATGCACAACGAAGGATGATAAGTAACTTTTTTGCTTATTTTTCAAAAAATGACATACTACTCAGATCTCCTCGCAAAATTGACCGAGATGCATATATTTGAGACACAGCTGGAAAATGACGAGCTAGGTCAATTTCTCGTAGATCTCTTCAAAGCAAAGGAGGTTGAGATGCAGGGACTGTGTCCGCCAGGTATTGTTTTTTAGTCTTTGAACTTACTAGAAGTATAGTCCTCCAGCTCGCTCCTAGAAGTAGTTGCAGTAGATGTAAAATGAGAGATTCTGAAAAATAAGTAGAGTAAAAGAGTGTGAGTGCTGAGAACAATAAGAGATTTAGATTTTTGCTTTTCTTTAATTCTCAGGACCACTATCATAGTAGTCTTCGTGTTCGTCCACGTCCTCATGACGCGGGATGCGAACAGGTATGCTGCCAATAGAGGAGGTCAAGGATTTGTTACATCAGGCGTCGTTAGGTCTGACCCGATTGCAGGTCATCGCCGTCGTGTCAGCTGCGGAAGTTAGTGATGACGGTACCTTCTACTTCACCATAGATAGTCAGGGATTCAATGATGGGCACCATAGATAGCAAGTGATGATTGTACAACAGCGCCCATTGATCATTGATCTCAATCTCTTTTTTCAACCTCATCTTCATCAGGTTTCATCAACTTGTTCATACCCCTATTCATTCTCTAAAACGACCCTATTCATTCTCTAAAACGACCCTCTTCATTCTCATCAGGCTTAGTGAACTACATGCAGTTTATACCACAAGCAGTCGAGGTAGCAAAAGGGCTTATCAAATTCGAGGAAAACCTCAATACCGCAGTGGAAGCGAGGGACACAGTCATGGTCGTGCAGGATACGCTTGCAGCGATGCCGTGTCCAAGTACTTTTTAGCGACAGATGAAACTCCTGAAATACAGACTATTTGTTTAGCTCCTGCTCTATATGAGGACCAGTGTAAGTATATTAGCATTAGAGGAGTGACCATCTGAGTTGTCGAGATTTTGAAGACTGACTCTAAATCCAATTCTACTAAGAACAGTAGTACTATGTATACTTTCTGAAACTGAAAGTGGTTGTACCATACAGCTGACCTTTTCAATTCAGAAGTTGTACAAACTGCTTACTTTCATCTACAAGCACAACTACCATCTGATTATACTGAAAGTGGTTGCTCCATACACCAGATTACTTCATCAAACTACAACAAGACTCCCTTTCCTCCACCAGGTCGCTTCGTACCAGAGGGGTTCAAACAAGTACAGGCTCCCTTTCCTCCACCAGGTCCCTTCGTACAAGGGGGGTTCAAACTAGAATAAACTCCCTTTCCTCCACCAGGTCCCTTCGCTGATGTAGAGGCTGCTATCAATTCATTAGGACTTGAGCCCGCACAGGCCAAGGCGTTGCTGCTGGCAGCTAAGTTTAAGGCTTAATACAGTAATTCATCTTCGAAAGAAGAAGCATCTTACTTCTTGTTTGGCCTGTGTTTGTTTAAGGGAAGGAAAACACGCCAAATTAAGACGCATTTCATCAAGATGAATATCATAAGTAAAAAGGTCTAATAAGATTGCGAAACTAGGAGACGGTATCGACACTGCGCAGGTGGCGCAAGATGTTCCTAATATCTTCAAGAATGTCACCAAAAAGAAATGAGTAGAACTGGGTATCTGTGAATTATCGAACTACTGACGCCAGAACCTCCGACTAGAGACTAGAAGACTGCTACTTGTAAGAAGTGGGGAGACAGCAGGGAGCATAGACTACAGCTAGTTGTACTTAGTTGTCGCCGTACTGGTGCTCGTTGTGTACTGAGTTTTAGATGATTTAGATTGAACTCTTGAAATACAATTTACAACACCTTGTTCTCTGAGTTCTAAATCCAAATTGAGAGAAACAACTTAATTTCACTACGTCCAAACGCAACAATTTGACTACGTCCAAACGCAAAGCCAAAGATTATCATGACTTATACATAGAAGAAGAAGGTTGCGGCCTGAGAAAATGAACACTTGCTTCTGAAAGAGACCTAACCTAACCTAACGAATAAGATAGAAAGAAGAGCAAGTAACAGTATGATCATGATAAGCGACTTTTTCGTTAGTACAACTTGTAACCAACTAATGAATACACCTGGCCAGTGTTACGCGAGCAAGGTGGTATTGAGAGCCAGATCGTAGGATAAATTCGCCTTATTTATTGCCAAGGTTGGTTGTATCTAAGAATAAAGACAAAGATTAAGACTTCTGCGTCTCCAACAACAACAACAACACAACACAAGGTGGCTTTGGCTATCCTGATGCAACAGGTCAAAGCCTCATCGGGTGATGTTTTTGAAGCCTAGGTCAGTGGGCGAGCTTTGTGATCGATGAGTTGCAGCGCGAGTTGTCGTGGGAGAGAGGGAGAGAGAGAGGGAAAGACAAAGAGAGACCACAAGACAACGTGCATGAGCTTATTTTAGATTTTTCCTTCATTTTGTGTTGCTTAAGTGATGCTAGTTCCTTTTCCTGTTGTACGACCAATACGGCGCTATGTGTATCTTATTCTTATTGTGATTAAAAGTAGAAGGAAATAAATTGAATCTCACGAGGATCACCAATTTGTTTCATGATCTTATTCTTATTGCTAGAAAAGATGAGAAAACATGGACCCTTTTTTCCGCTTGAGTTTGGCTCCGAAGGTAGTCGGAAGACGTCAGGCTGGCGAAAAAGACTATGGCGCAGCACTCTCCTTTAGGTGTTGTCCTTGAACCGAGTACTGTATTATTTTGAAGGCGAAATAATTCTAGGACTACTATTTGTTGAGTGTGGAGGAGGCGCGATGGGGTAGGAGGACTGTGAAGAGGATTTGGTCGCTCGTGGTCATGATGGGAGCAAAGTCGGAAGGCGCTACAACTAAACGAACAACATCATGGGAGGGGAAGGGAAATGTCCTAGAGTGTGGTTAGGGGGTGTCGATCCAACGGTGCTTCTAGGGACAACAAGCCTCCAAGTAAAAGACATGCCTCTTCGTGTGAGTAAGAAAGGGACAGGCAGCAGCAGCAGCAGCAGCACCGCTTGTAGCTCGTCGTCCTTAGTTGTACTGTGCTTGAGGTGGAACGACTGAGGAAATAAAAAGTAGAACAACTACAACACTTACCCCGCGCCAATTGGTATTCAGCTCGGTTTTTGGCTGGAGCGACTTGATGGCACTTGGAGGGAGGACGCTTCGAACTATGGCGATAAGATACGCAGGCGCTACGAAGTCGCTGAGGGAAGTGCAAGAGGTGTCTGCTGTGCCGTTGTCGGAGCTGGAACAGCAACTGATGGAAGAAGAAAGTGCGACGCTGCACGAGAGTAGGGCTGCGGCGCTGCTGCGACATGATGCGAGAACGGAGCTGACAGATAACAGTTTGCCTGGTAGATTTGCTGCTCCTTGTGCCGCAATCGAGCAGCTTAATTCCAAACAGGGGATGCTACAGTCGACGATCATGGTGCCTGGCGCGTGATGGGATGCACGAAGTTAAGGGCGTCTGGCTCTAATACTGCGGTGTGCAAAGTCTGGGCGAGCAGGGTTCAAGCGCAAGCAATGCTGCGGAAGTCGACGGCTATGCTCGTTGACAGTTTTCCTGATGGTGTTCCTGGTGAGAATGGGCCTCCAGTGTAATTGCGCAAATTGCTAGAGCAAGTACGTGCGACACGTAAATTTGTGGATTTTCAAGACGACGCTTGGCTGTGGGACAGGGCAGCGAAGTTGCGAGTTCGGAAGTTGGCGCATCCTGTCGCGCTCAAGCTGCGGGACTATATTTCAATGAATGCACTGTAAAGAAGATAACAAGATCGAACTTTAGAAATGAAGTAAAAAACATTTTGGAGCATCTGGAGCCAGCGCTTTGAGTAAGAAGCTGAACAGTTCAACCGATTGAAAAACGAAGGAACAAGATTAGCGATGTGATTGATCCACGAAGATGATGGCAGCGCTAAAAAACAAAAACACGACGGTGAAAGCCACAAAGGCTCTGCCGTATCGTTATCGTTGGTTGATCTTCCTCCCTCTTAGGGTTGAGGCAGCTATGGTGATTTCGTGGCCTGCTCTATTAGTTGACCATTTAAAGGTATTCCTCGCTGATCTTCCTTCCTCTTAGGATTGAGGCAGTGTAGTGTCGCCCGAAATCTGCTTTCGTGTGAGGCTTCTGCATTTCGTTATGCCGTCCCAGAGGGCGATGGTAGGCTAGTGTGGTAATTCAAGGCCTCCTTGTATTCCTTCGGTTCCTCGCACAAAGGAGGGGAGCCACCAATTTGAGGGAGTTCTCTCCTTCAGGGTTCTTTACCTCATATTGTTTTATCCTTCTCCGCCCTCGTTGGTTTACAGGTTCTACTTACTCTTTTGTAGAGCGTGTCACATCGATTCATCCTGCCGGTAGGTGCTCTATGCCTATTTGGGATGCACAGAATAGAGTAGGTTCTTCCTCTGCTGAACGCAAAAATAACTACACGCTTGGCAAGAACATCTTTGTTGAACAGACTTCGGTAATGTAGTGCTCGTCTCTTCGTCTCGCTGTCGCTGCAGCCGCACAAGAAGATATTACTAGAAGCTCTCGAGGACTTCTGAACGCATCAGTCTCAGTCTCAAGTGCTGCCGAGTCAGCATGTCGAGATCACTTACAGGATGCATCTGCTTGGCTGCTCTAGGACTTGCGGTGTTGTACCTCAATTTGCGACATGGTTTGGAGCTCAATGGCGACCGCGTCAGGAAGAAATGGCTCAACTATCAACACGACCTGTCACCCGACAGAAAACTGAAGTTAAGGCTAAATACATTAAGACCTGTCTCCAGACAGAAAACTTAAAATCCTGAAGGTAAGACTACAATCATTAAAATTGAGTATTCTGAATTTTTTTGATCAGTGGTCGTACTCGTAGATAGAATTTCGTTGCACTATGAAAAGAAGTATTTGCAACAGCACTAGAAAGAAGTTAGTACTTCGACGATGATAACCTCCTATAATTTAATACATCAGTAGGAATTCTTAAATTACTTTTTAGGTTGTCAAAAAATTACTACTGGTCTACTCCTTAAGTCTAGAATCTAGTACTTACTTGCGCTTCTTCCAATAATCATGAAGCATCAACGTTTTTCGGTCACCGTGATGCCTGTCGTGGATGCGAATTTTGCAGGCGGAAATTTTGTCCAACTCTATTCCATTCAATGTATGGACGATGTTTTTTCTCCCTCCACTTAAATATACATGTGAACAATGGTTGTGGAATTTGGTAACCTGATTTGGATCACAAGAAAGTGCTGTGTACTGACATTCTAGAGGGGAGCAAAGAAAAACTTTCATAGAATGTTATGCGCGGAAGCATGGCTATCGCTTCGAAGTGTTGAATACGAATGCGCCAGAGCATAAAGCTTGCAATAGTAGATATTAGGGCTACAAAACTCGCTCAAGCATCTTCCCTCTACATCGATCATGATCCTACCATTTGGATGCTGCTTCTTTTTCGAGAAGTCCCACCATTCTGATGCTGCTTCTTTTTCAAGAAGTAGTAGCAAAAATCTAGAGAAGTTTCATCGACAGTCTAATACTTCTTGAAAAAGAAGCAGCACCCAAATGGTATTGATCCATCCTTGGCCTAAAGAGGAAGATGCGAAGAACGCGGTCTATCATCTTTAAGTATATGGAGACTTCTTCTTCCGGAAACATTGTGCCGTAGCCGACGTGCTAAAAAGGAGATTATGAACTACGCTGTTTTCATTAGATTTCTCTACATCAAGAAACCGGACAAGAATCTAGACAATGAGCAGAAGTCCATGCACTTTTTCTAGTCACTCAATCTACTCCATCTATCTATGTAGTCAGCAACTAGGTGGACATGTTATATTTATAAATATGCTTGATGGCTCCGTCTGATCAGGAGGTATCTTACTAATCATGTATGAGTAGGTGCACTAGAGTAGATTGCATGAGTTTTTGCGCTGTTCTCTCTGCTTCAAAGCTAATTTCTTCTTCCTTAACGAATATGTAGATCAGGGACATCGACGGACAACTAATACTATTTCATCTTCCTTAAGAACATCTCTACCTCACAATCAAGCACGCCGCTCTCGCCTCTAGTCTTTCTGGCACTTTTCTCACGCTACGTAGCAGTTGGCGCGTTACCTGATCTTCATTTATTTTCATTCTTTCAATCTTTCCTATCCTGGAATAGAAGAGAACGGCAAATACTAACGGCTGTTCCAAGATGAGGGGGTCGTCGAGAGGAGCGAATAGAACCCAAGTCCTACTTTCCAACCAACGATCACTAACTACTTGCCAACCTAATCCTACTTATCAACTCCTATCCTATCGTATCCTACTTATCAGCTCCTATCCTATCCTATCCTATCCTTCTATCCTTCTATCCTATCCAAACCAACCAACCCAAAGGCACTCTCTAAAGAGAAGGGAGAAAGAAGCGGGAGCTGGGGACGAGGCCGATCTTATGAGTCTGAACCAATCTCAATCTAGAAGAAAATAGAAACAACTATTTATTATTTTGAACAAGAAATACTACTAAATATCGAAGAGAACTACTAAATACTGAAGATGATGAAACGGTAATAAACTAGCTGGAGAGCAGATGGAGAAGAAGCAGATGATGCACCACGTTTAGCTTCACCAGAAAGGAGAACAAGATCAAGTTTTGATGAATATTTATTAATTAGTTCTCTTTCTTCTCTAAGTTCCATTTTTACTTTGTGATAGATTCCGATATGGTTGTCGCTGGAATGAGTCTGCCACTCACCTACTGTTAAGGCTAGTTTATTTTCACTATCTATCCCATGTGAGAGAACTATGTTAGTTTGTTCCTGCTGAAGATTGGAGCCTCCTCCTTTGATTTCTAAACTAAGGGGGATAGAAGGAAGCTAAGGCGGGGAACATTCATCTTAGAGGGTGCGAAAGAAACTCAAACTGAGGGGGACACTCACATCACTCACAGGATATCTAGCTAAGAATAAGAAAAAGGCATATTTTTAGGGAATAAATGCATTGAAATTACAGCGCTAATGTTGGCTCCAGGATAATCCTGCGGATCTCACATTCTACGAGCGATCCTGGAATTTTGAAGTTATGGCTGGAAACTACATCGTCCGGAACACCCCTTTCGCCACGGAATTTCTCGATCGATGGGCGAAGTATTATTACCGATTGCCTTTATGATGGAAGATTCGGTAGTGGCTAGTACTAGTACTTCTTATTATAGAACAATATATATTAATCTCGTCTCTGATAGATGTTACTCTTTTGAAAAAGACAATCTGGCCTTTGGTCTTCCACGGTCCATCTTATTATAGAACAATATTAATCTCGCCGTCGCACGTCATCCAGTTACAGACAGTACTTCTTTGAGATGAGTTTTTATGTGGAATTATTTTTTTCTCTTTCATCATCATCAGGCTACCTGTAGTTTTTATATATTTCATTATTCTCGTCAGTTCGTAGGAGTTGGCGTAGATCATATGGAATGTTCTAACATCATGGAAGCCTGGACTTTCTCGGCTCTCTTCTCACTTTTACCACCAACTTTTATCGAACACTATTTTCGATTTCGTTTTTTCCAAATCCAATCTACTTAGAAGTGTAACAGAAACAGTATCAAATTGTCATTAAATTGTCATTATCTAATATGAACCGGATTTTCCTCCTCCGACCAAGGTGCTATCCATTACGGCTACCGCAGAAGCATATCCTTGACACCGGGAAGTAGTAGTACAACACCTCTAGAATAGGCACAATCATCATCATCATCATCATCATCATCATCATCGTCATCGTCATCATTTAGCAGTGAGTTACTAATCCTTGATCAGTCTGGTCATCAATCAGATCACATGATCAGATCACATGATCGATCCTTGGAGGTTGCTCTTTTTCAAGGGGAAAAAGGGCTGCTCAGTGTGCTTGTACCTCCACCAGGAAGCGTCCTGGTAGCTCTAACTTCACCAACTGATGCTAGAGACCTTACATCTGCGTGGCCATCAGGAGTGCCGCAAAGAGTGGAAAAACCTGACTGCACCTGTCCAGAACCTGAAGCCCTACTTTTAAGGCTTTGAGAATCCTCCCTTCGTTCCTTCCTTCCAAATTTCCTTATCTAGTTAGGTGCAGCTCCGCCACAATTTATTAAGAGGCGCTCCACCCCTAAAAGTATTCTTATTTTGATAGGTGCTTCACTGCTCTTAATACTGAGACGGGAAATATGAAATAATTAAAGGAACCATCCACGACTTCCAGAATCGAAAAAAAAGTCAACGTCTTGTTCATTGGTGGCCTGTTCACTTGTCGAACTCTAATAGTCCCACTTTGTTTCCTGCACAAAACGCCTTCTAGGACCACCACGAGATTGGAAAACAAGAATAAATGTCACTAGGAAAAGAAAAATCAAGAAGCCAGCACCAGTGTCGAAGACTCCCACAGCTACAAAGTTAAGCTTAGGGAGGGCTGAGTATTAAAGTTGATCTCCACGACGTCCTATCTAGGAGCATTGATTATATCTAGCATTGCATCTAGTGTATGCCTCTTTCTTCTTCAAGTTGTTTAGGAAAGCAGAAAGTCTGTCGTACCATTTGATTCTTCTTGTCATTGTTATCTATAGCAGGATCTCTGGTGCGGGTGGTCCTCTTCTTCTATGTGTGAGAGTCGCTAGATCGCTCAACTTGCAGCCCAACTTCTACGCTAAAAAAAGGAGTAGTAGTTTCCTCCCCCTCCTCTCTGTCTTCACAGAATGGAGCAGCAGGGGTGGAAGCAGCGCGAGGCCTTTCGTCTTCTTCGTTTAAGGGTCGTACGCCGTAAAGGTGTTCCTGTTGCCGTTTCTTTTCTTGCCTCTCAAACGCATATACAAGAAAAGCATAAAAAGAACAAACGGGAAACAGACATGAATACCACTGCTAAAGATTCGTCTTCAAGAAGTGTTGCAACAACCTCCGCTCCGTTGACGAGTACAACCTCAAAGCCGCAAAACCAAACGACAGCGGCACCTCCACCGACTACAGTTAAGGCTGATGTAGCTAGTTCATCCTTACCAGCATCCTCGAAACGTTAGGGTTAACCGCATACTCCTCAGGAGAAGCAACTGCGGAGGACTCTAATGCAATTGCGCCTCCGAAAGAGATAGAGGTGACAGAGATTTCTCACACCCTCATGGATGGACGGATACGCATTTAAGGCCTGCATATCTCCCAAGTCACAACATTCTCTTCCTCTAGGTAGACTTAGACGGACCTCTAGTACTGTAAGTCATCTTATCATCGTCTACACGAGCATTTACATGATCTGTTTCTTCTCTACTAAGTTTTCTCCTTACATACTCAACACCTCATCTTTATTACATGATCTGTTTCTTCTCTACTAAGTTTTCTCCTTACATACTCAACACCTCATCTTTATTACATGATCTGTTTCTGCTCTACTAAGTTTCCTCCTTACATACTCAACACCTCAACTTTATTACATGATCTGTTTCTGCTCTACTAAGTTTCCCACCTCAACTGCCACCTCTTCTAAATTCCCTTACCTCGCTGGCATGGCTTTGCTGCAGATCATGGGGTTTTGCCTACGAGGTGTTCCGCCTTCCACGTGTTTCATCACGGTGTAAAAGGTTCGCAAGAATTAAGGCTCCTTGATGACGCTCACTATCTGGTGTCGTGTTAGGATAATCCTGAATGCTGGAAGATTGCACTAAGCGCTTTAGTGCCAAGGATAGAGGCACTAATTCGCCTGAAAAAGAGACTGTGGGGATCATCGTCTTGGTGCCCTTGTGTGAGGATAATCCTGAATGGCAGATCAGTATCTGGCGTCGTTTTAGATTGCTCTTTAATACAACTTTTTACTTCATAGAAATACTGACCTTGAAGAGTCTTCCTCGGTATGCTTTAAATATTGCTTATAAGGGGAAAGCGAAACAAAGCAACTCCTCACTAGGGACTTACCATAGTTCCTGAATCATTCAGAAGACACTGGACTGCCACAGATAGTGAGTGTCTAGCGTCAAAAGAAGCTGCGAATCTGTACAACCACGTAACGTTCAGAATATCCTCTACCGATTTGCTGAAGCTACTAAACCCTAAGGATTTCGGTGGGACGAGTAATTAAGGCTCCACCTCGTGTGATTATCAACATTTTTGTTTTTCAATTTTATGTCCCTTCTAGCTAAGTAAGGATTTTGGCGGACCGAATATATGAGGCTTCACCATAAAGAGGATTTTGATTCTATGATAACCTAGAATTTAGGTTGTGATTAATGTAAGGATAATTTTTATTCTTAGGTTACGTTTGTGCTCAAGTACCTGAAAATCAGGGACATCGACGGACAACTCGCTGACTTACATTCTTAGGAATTTTTAGGTAAGTAGTTTACTCGGTCTAGTGTTATAATACTGTTGCCTCGTCAAGTCGAGCATGCTATATTGAGTATGGCCTGAGGAGCAGGAGGACATCTTCTAGTAGCTCTAGTTCTTGTTCTTCTTGTATCTATGGTATGTGTTTTGGTAACCTGATTTCGATCAGAAGGGGAACTAAGAAGAGGGGCACGTGCAGATTTGATTATATACAACTGAGGTCATTGACAACGTAAGTAGGAAGTTGCTTCGTGCGTCCGTTACAACACTACTGTACTAGTACGTACAACTGTGTCAAGTTTAATGGCTACAACAGGGTATAATTTTTAGTAGTTTCGTCACGTGCTGTGACGTGTTCACGGACATGATATGCTCAGCCTCATTACTCATTTTATCAACTTTAAAAACTTATGATATCGTTCACTAATATCACTTATGATTTTAAGTGGTAGAATTAATTTTTTTTCTGAAAAGGATGGCTCAACCACTATTATATGATAAACATGTCGACCACGAGCTTGCGTAAGTTCTCAGGTTTTTATCATCTTCTTTCCTCTTCCTCGGAGCTCTTCTGCTAATATGAAGAACCAGTAAAGGCGTATGACTTCCTGACCCAGAACGAGCACGCGACTGAGCAGAAGGACGCTGACAAAAAGATGGAGGATTTAGTTTCCGAGAAAGTAACACTGAAAAAAAAAGAGGAGCAACATTTACTTCGCTTGTCGAAGAAAAACGATTTCTCTTCTTCAACGCAGTCCTCTATCTTGGCTGGTTAAGGCTCAAAATGCTCCATCTTCAAGCGTCAACATTCTTCTTACTTTCTTTCCTCCTTAAGTGCATACTGAGGTGGGACGAGCTAAAAAAAGGATTTATGGGTATGGCTATGGGAGCAGCTTTCTTATATATAAGTGAATTTGTCCAGAGCTGCCAGTGTCACAGAAACACTGTCAGACCACGTCTCTACGGTCACTATGAAAGGTGATAGCAGGGACATTAGCATGCAACGCCTAAACCATTAAGCCAACTCTGCTGACTATCCACTAACGAGCTTCCCTTTCCAGTTCTCCAACGAGCGCGCCGAATCCCCTTGCGTGCTTCGAGGACAAGAGAAAGTTACGAGGAAATCCTGCTTATGTTTATTATTATTATGTAGTATTTTGATGATGACAAGCTAGCTACAATAAGATTCTGCAGCAATTTTGACGCTACAAGTTTGACGCTACAAGATCACAACGAAGGCTAGTCGTATTACTTTTTTCTTCTTCTAGACTGCGGAAGTTGCTTCTTCGCACATGTAGACCAAGCACCTAGATCTTCTTCGTCTTCTTCCCTACTTTTCCCCAGTCTCTACAGTTCCTATTACTCCCCAGAGTTCCCAGACAACGCAGTCTCCAGACTTCCCAGACAACGCAGTCCGCAGTTTACCAAGTCCCCAGACTACCCAGACTACGCAGTCCCCAAACTTCCCCATTTTTCCCCAAACTATCTTCTAAGCCTCTGCCCGAATAAGATAGGAGAAAGTCGGCTTAGCCTCTCAAAATCGATTCTGGAGGGTGAGAATGGCATTTACGCCGGTCTCACTACCACTAGCGACTTCGATAAAGTCTATCGATTTACGGCGACAAAAAGGTCAATTAATTTCTATTTTTACGCTATACATATGTTCGGTTTTCGGCAAACCATATTATAAAGTTCATTTTGCTTTTGGGCCACGACCTTACTCCTTTTGCTTGTTGCGGAACTCTCCTTGGAATGCACGAAGACCTCCTAAAAGATTTACTATGTATACAAAACTAGTAAGAAACTAACATATAATAAACACACCATCCAACATGATTAGGGTGGTAGTAGAAGAACTTCTATGCAATGAGGCTCCTCAGGTGATCGAGTAAGGATCGCAACATGAAGCATACACATGACATAAGTATATGATGAACGCGGCCAACCCACCAGTAGTTTCTTCATCTTAAGGCTGTACCTAATACATCTTTGGACGCATCCTCGAAACGTATGGAGGAGTATCCACCTGAGGGAAAAGGGCTCCCCCATACTTTTCAAGGATGCACTTGAAAGATGAACTCCGGACAGCTCTAACCACCATATTGCTCTTAACGAGAGGAGTACTAAAGCCACCAGTTTCTTCATCGTAATTTGGATGATTTTATATAGGTTAACTAATTGATTGAAAGGGCGGTAGCATATAGTCCTAACGCAAAAAAAAAAACGTCTTGTTCTAAAGAGAGGAGTATTAAAGAGTGTCTCTTGAACTTCCGCTGCCGGCCTCTAGGCCCAGACTCGAGTGTGATGGAAAAGCCCTTTTGCGGTGCGGGACGTGAGCCCGACTATGATGGTGTTGGCAAAAAACCTCAACAAGACCTTCCAGGGGAAGTGGACGAAATGGTGTAAGCGAAAAGCCTCAACAACATTAAGGCGGCTCAAGATATTTCATTAGGACACCTCATTTTTCTCCTCTGTTTTATTCTTTTTGACAAGATTGGGGCTGAAACTGGTAGGCAAGCTTTATGCGTGGTGCTTTCAGCTCTAACAACAAGGCCGACAAGAGGAGGGGGCGAAGTGGAGATCGACTTCGTGGATAGGGGAAGGGATTCAAATCATGGTATAGTTACATCTTACAAGGAATAGGGAATAGAGATGTAGTTCCTTGTTGTTCCCAGTAATATTAGCTCTCCTTGGTTGATGCAGTGCTGGACGGCCCGTGACCAGGTAGAAGTGGACGCCGTAGAGAACAAGGGATCATGATTACTTACAGTTACACGGAATCATGATAATTATATTTGCTCCAATTATATAGTATAGGTGTGCTGGCAGTAGATTCATCGGCTCCTCGGAGGCGTTGGCGTGCTTCGTTTTATTATAGTCCTTGCGTCCGCAGCTACTTGTTTATCATCGTGATGGATATTGTCACTGTCCCACTGATCTATCGTGATGAATATTGTCTCTTGTTTGTCGTGTCTAGTATGGGCCTCGCCCTTCTATCGAACCAAAATTAATATACCTTACTCAACATTGTACTCAGAAAATTTAAAAATTGACAGCGATATTCATATTTATTGTTCAACACCTTGGGAAAATTTGAAATTATGAGTTGATAACGATATTCATATTGTTCGACACTCTCTCTCTCAGAAAATTATTCAATCAAAAGTTGAAAATAACGATACTCCGTATGACTTGGTTTACTCTCTCTGTTGACTTGGTTTACATTCACTTCGAGCGGGACCACGCTCAGGAGGTGGTAGAGGGTGTTGTTTGTTGAGCATTAAGATGCTCGTCCATCCTCAGAGGTAAGTACTTACCAAGTAAGCATCAAAAACATGCGAAAATGCGGCAGAAGGAACACCTACATTTACCAACGAGTAATGAAAATTCTTTGTTGTTGTATGCGGAAAAATAGAAACTACAGAAGCAGATACTACAGAAGCGTTCTCTGGGGTCGAGCTATGCCCGTGGCTTGGTAGATCACACATTAGACACATGACATGACACTCATACTACCCTACTGCGTTTACAGAAGCAGAAGATATTACTACCTTGATGATTACAATATTGAAATACTGCTATATTGACGACCGCCGTGGTCTTATTGAAGACCGTGTTCCTCTTGAGAATATTGAAGACAAAAAGATGCTTCCGATACTCTCCAGATCGTCACCGTCCAGCAGTAGTCGGGCGTTGCGAACGTACCTCGTCCCACACCGATGGCACGCATCAGCGGCGGCAGCAAAGCTGCAAGCAATTAAGGCCACCGCTGAAGTTGTATATCCTTAACCCTGAGTGCTTGGTTATCATCCTTGGTGCTTCTTTGAAAAAACAAAAGAAGCACCAAACAAAGGATGTCATCACTGTACTCGAGGAAGGAGATGCGAACGCGGTAGCTCCAAAGCAAAGAATACTGACGGGTTTCGCCCGTTAGTCGCATGTGAAATCGAGCTTACACGTGGAGGCAACAAACCGGGAGCCCTTGGCGGCATACTGGCTGCGTTTGAAAAGCACAAGGTATCTATGTATGATATTTAATATGTTGTTCGTCGAGTAGGTGCCGGGGGTGCTCCACCATGTGCAGGACCCACAACCTAGCCTAACCCTTGTGCCTGTGTTTCCTTCTCAATCAAAAACGGGTTTAGATCTCGACTCTTTTATCGAGAGAAAAATGGCACGCAGTAGCGGCTGCGTCTGCGGCGTTTCAACTAATATTTAATATGTCGCTGATGTGTTAGTCTGATCATGTTGCTCACTTTAGAAATAGCCCAGTCCTATCCCGCTGGATCATGATGTAATTATATTAAGGTTGACTTAACGCATGTCGAGAGTAAGTTGCACTCCTTCGCTCATGATGGGTTGGTTTTCTTAGCGGACTTCAAAGGCCGCGTCAGCGATCCACACGTCGAGGCTGCTCTCAACGAAGTTAGCAAAGTTAGCGCGCGAGTCTTAAGGCAGTCTGGTCTTTAACATTGATTCACTGCGTAACTACTACTTGTAGTTCTTGTTGTTCATAAAAACAGGTTATACCTTGCTCTAGGCACCTTGTTCTTGCTGCACCTTGCTCTAGTGGTCAAGTTTATGAGACACGTCCTCCCTGAGATGTCAAGTTGTGGGGTCACCAACAGATTGTAGATGAGATGGCGCGCTACGATCCACACAGAATGTACACGAGTGACGAATGCAAGAATTTCTGCAACAATTTCAATTCGAAATACGGTTCCCTGCACTCGTGAACTGCGAAGAAAGACTCGTTCTCTGTTTGGAATTCCTCGTCTTTCTTGTTTGACTGTGATAGAGGAGTAGATTGTAGGTGCTGTTAGATCACTCCGTCGTAGCTCTTCGTCTTTTCACCGTTAGAGATGGTTGTTGCCCGCCCTTCCGACGGTGCAACCACGTAGATTGTGTTGGATTGTATCATCACAAAGGCAGTAAGTGCGTTCGCCTCTTCCGTTTGGATTCTCATGCTTTCTTCCCATCCAACACACAGGAGCTAAATACTTTCGCACGGTTGCTGTCTAGCCCGCGCTACCTCTTGAGACATTTTTTTATTGATAGATATATATCGTTCCACATATTTGATATCCATACTGGCTTCACATATTGTCAACTACATAACTTGCAGTTACTGAGTTACTCCGTTTACCTAGTTTTCAGATCGTTTGTTGTTCTTCCTTATTGATTCGATCTAGGCACGGTGTCGCGCATAGAGTTCATAGAGACGCGACCTCTGCGCGCCTCTTGAGACGTAGATATACTCACCAGCTGTGAGTATATTCTTTTAGGTGTCCTCTCGAGACCACGTTCCTTTCGGTACCGTCAACAGTTAGTCGCATATTCGCTACCACTCATATCACGACATAGACTTTGCACACACAACCGAGCCCTAGAGACGATTAGATAGAGCGTTTAGGTTGACCTCCGCAACCTTGGTGTTTTTGGATTGCCAAGTGACACGACCGCTTTCGACATCTTCAAACGATCGTGTATCTCGAGATTCCATGACTAGGGAGTTAGGTCGACCTCTGCGGCCGTATTTTGGGTAGTATTTTTCCAGACGCAACTCTCTCTCGAAACGTTGCTATTCTCTCATTTTCTTGATGCCTCTTGTTCGCCTGTGGTCCAACTGTCGATCAGAGTCCTGTCTTGTGCTGAGAGATTGAGGTTCGGGTATACTCTTGGTTTTCTGTCTAGGTGATCCCACGTTCTTTTCAGACCCTTGGAGGGCGAGTTACTTTCACTTCCCCAAGTGGTGGAGAATAGGGCACAAGACAGTAGAATAGCTAAGGTAAGACTAAATGTTGTATTTATCACGAGATGCCTCGTCGGGCGTTTGATCCAAGGAGACACCGGTATAGACTTGTATCAGTTAAGATCAAGGTTACTCATTTAGTTGCTTATCTTGGAGTTGCGTCTGATCATTCGTGGGATATTCTTGACCCACTACCGGGCCGAATTACCCATCGATTGTTCATTGACGGACAACGTTATTATTATAGACACATCCCTGGTCATTACAGACACGTTAGTTTTCAACCGCGGAGTGAAGGTATCGAAGTCCTCACATATTTACTTCTTATAAAAGGACTTTCTCACGTTAGAGCTACGGTTGAACGAGTTTCCACTGGACACCGATATCGACACGTTTGCCTGACTAATGAGTGTATTCTTAGAGCTAATTAGGTGAGGGGTTACGTAGACAATATGACGCATCAAATTATCAAAGTAGAGACCACGTGTGAAGAAGCCATAGGGTTTGTCCAGTTTACGGCTGCCCGCCCCGTGGAGTATTCCGAAGAAGTTCGACGACGAGTAGGTAGATTGCTTAAGTACAAAGCTCGACGTGTTGACGCCTCGGCGTGGGACCCAACCCCAGACACTCGTTCTCCTTGGGTCAGTGTTGTCGAATTGACCCGTTATTTGAACAACCGCAATCGCGCAGGACGCCACTTTACCGTTGAAACTGTATTATCGTGTTTACTAGAAGAACTTCGTACCAAATACCTCTGCACATACTGGACTAGATATTGGCGTGGGGACGTTTGGGTACAGGAACTCAGTCACATTGCTGTTTCTACTGGACACCACAACCGACGACGTACGAACTCGAACTAAGAGCTGGAGTGATGTTTTTTAAAGAACTAAAAAAGGACTTGTTTGTAGTGACTGGGCTCCACGTGCTCTCGGAGCACTATCATAGTTTCATTGAGAGTTCTAGTAGTGTTTCGGTCGACGTGTTAGATGGGTTTAGTCATACTGGCTACGTCCGAAACAACAAATATTATTTAGTTTCATATTCTTCGGATGTTACCGATTGGAGAAATTATGAATGGCACCATGAGCCCCAAGCTATCGTTCACGTAGAAGATATGCTGATGTTGCTGGTTGAATATTTAGGACAAGAATTCCAGGTAGAAGAATTTACGGTAGATATTGTCGTTTGGGGATCGTCTATCTCGTACGATGAGGTTGTTATTACAAAGGAAGAACTCGAACAAGCTGTGGTTTTAAAAGTACACAACCAGTGTTAGTAGTTTCTCGTTGGGAGGTTTAGAATAAGTCGTTTAGTTGAAGTAGTTGGTAACAAAGCATAAAGAGAAGAGCCAGTAAATACAACCGGGTAGCCGATTTGGAAGAAGACGGAGTAAAGAAAGAAGTAACAAGAGTTACATAGTACTAAGAGTATCAAGAAGTAGTTTAACAAAAGCGGTTGATAATTGTATCTAAGAGTTTCATGTCCTTGCGCAAACCGAGCGCTAGAGAGTGAGCTCGCATGCTCCCCGGACCGCATTTCCCGACTGTTTGTTCCCCGAAACTTGGTCCGACCGCTTCGATTGGATTGGGCGGGACTGCAGTCGCTGGATTTGGTTCTCAAGTAGTTACCGAGAGTGTCCGGCTTTTGAACACGGACTCTCGACGTCGGGTTCTGAACCTTGAGCCGGTTATTGTTCCTCAGACGGAGTTTTCTCTCCGTAACCGGATTTTGACGGCGGAAATCAGTAGTACGCACAACATCTTCCCGATCCACTACGTTCTTGGTGGAGTACTTCGGACCCAAACACCTGTTCGAATCGACCACGGTTCCGAGGAGACAACTGCGGCGGGAGCGCCTGGCACTAACGTTTTTGCAGGTGACGTTACCCTTTTTGAGACGTGGACCGGTGTTGGCACGTTAGACGGCGTGGTCGACTTTGAGCATTACGTTCTTGATATTGACGATTGGTGTTACACACCCCGGCCCTTGAAGATTTCACTTTGGAGAATTTTTGTCAGAGATTTTCTCCGGGAATTACCTTTATTCCGGGTGGGCGGCATCTTCGAGGACATACGCGGACCCTCTGATAGCGCTCTCTCGAAAGATGAGTGCTGATGAGGAAGACCCTCCTGGGCCTCCCGGAGACGTTATTTCTCCGTGGACACCGGGCACCGTCTGGAAGCTCAGGAACCGACCGGTGTTCTTACAGAAAGCGGTTTACAGAGGGAAGTGCAACGTTTTCTTTGTCAGCTTGAACGACGGCGTTGCGGAACCCACAACCAAATACGTTGGGTTTTCCCGTGCACAGATCCGAGATTGGAGCGAATTTCTCGATGAAAGTTCCGCGGACGAATATCGGCATGTGATTGGACGTGAGGTGCAAGACTACGACCTTCTCCGGATCGGTGCTCCGAGTGGTTTCACCACTGCAGATACGCCTGCGGGGAAAGACCTGCTCGCCAAGGGCAACCCTACCGGACGAACGATCCTCCCGAGCGGGGACGTGCTGCTGACGTCGTTTCTGTACCCTACATCAGAGGTCTTGGGAGACTCTCCTCAACCTGAGAGCGGGGTGCCTGACCACGATACTGATCTCGATGAAGATGTCCTGTTGGGCGACCCGATGGGTAGCGACGTTACGGCTCCTTCCCATAGTTGTTCGATGGTGGGACCGGGAAACGGAAACCTTCTTCCTCATGCTGCGAGTACCTCCCCTGGTCGCGATGTGTTGAATCCGCCGTCCTCGGCACCTTCGTCTGCAGGCCTTAGCAGTTCGTGGAACCCTATTGTCGATCCCCCGTCTGGAGATCTTTTTGGATCCGGTGGGTCCGGTGGTTCTATTGCTTCTAGTTCGTCAACAGGTCCACTTGCCGCTCATGCGTTGCACCCACCCATTGGACACGAAAGTCGCGGGTTCTTTTCGCCTTCTTTCGAACCGGGAACGACAGCCAGCTCTAGTTCTAACGCAGCTGGCGGACCTCCGTCCATTTTCGTTGGAACTGCCACTTTGGGTTCGTCGACCGGAAATGTTCCCCGAGGGGTACCTCCAGTGGCCTTTGATGGTGGCCCTTTCCCTCCTGGTTTCGGCATCGTGCCGTTGCCTCCGATTAGCGTGGTTGGTCCCTGTGGCGTTGACAACCCCGATGTTGACATGAGTGGTGGTGGTTCCCAGTCTGGCGAAAATCTTGCTCTTGCGTCACCGGCTGTTTGCCTGAACCCGCCCTTGGTGACCCCGACTTCCCGATTGCGGAGCATCAGTGCTTGCAGTGCTGCATACCGACCTCCAGCCCGTGATAGAAGTCCCTACGGGAAAAGTGCGATTGTTCGATCAACGTCGGTGACTGGTCCTCCAAAATTTTCCTCGTCGTCTTCTCCTCCCACGTGGGACCGGGTCCGTTACTTGGAGGAGCAACTCCGAGTCGCAGAACATCAGCTGACGGACGTTCATGCTCGCCTCTCCGAGTGCGTTGCGGCAAAGACCCGTGAAGAGACTACGGCTCTCCAGTTGAAGGAGGAACTGCGCGAGGCGGTTGGACGTCGAGACACCTTGATAACGGAACGTGACTTGCTACGTTCACAGTGTGAGGCCGCGACGCAACTGTCGAGAGAATGGGAGAGCACGAAACGGAGGCTGAACCAGATGAACTTGGACCTCAGCCAACAGGTTGGAACGTTGCGGAAAGAGGAGCGCATCCTTTCCGACACGGTTGCGTGCGGTACCCACCGGATCAAGGTTTTGGAGGTAGAGCTTGCACGTGCGAACGAGGAGATCGCGCGGGTCAGTGGGTTGATTCCAACAGCTGAGGCGGAACGGGCACGGGCCCTAAAAGAGACCGACCTCCACGCAAAAGTCCAGGTAGCGGAAAGCGCTCGGTTGAAAATTCAAGTTGAATTGACGGAGACGAAACGCGACCTCTTGCTTGAGAGTGAGAAGAGCGCGGCCGCGCAGCAAGAGATTGAAAACCTTCGCAGCGAACTCTTGCGACTTGCTCCACGCGGTTCTTCAACCCCGGAAGCGGAGTATGAAGAAATCGCTCGAGGCTTGAAAGAGCAAATCCAGGCGGAAGAGACCCGTGGTCTCCAACAACGGGACCGTTTCAAAGAAGAACGTTTGAGCTGGGAAAGGTGCATTGCCCAGAAAGACGCGTCTTTCGCTGCTCTCAAAGACGACCTTGCCGCTCGGTATAAGGAGGCTTCACAGCGCTCTCGCGAGGCGTACGAGACCTCGTTGAAAGAGCGAGACCAACAGGTGAACCGACTTTCGAGCACGGACAGCGCCACTTCGGGCTCGCGTCGGCTGTTGGAACAACAACGCGAACGAATTTCGTCATTGGAAGCTCGAGCTAAAGAGGCTGATGACTTGTGCGACGCGCTCAAGGTGAAACTGTCCACGCAACGCAATGAGTACGAGGCCGAGGTCGGTCGGCTCAAGATAGCGGTCGCAAAACTTGAAGCGAAGACTCTTTCGAGCGCTGGTGGCCTCCATGGACCTCCTGGATCTACCTCTCCTGGCGGTGAGGTTCCGGAGAAACCCGAGCTGCAGGCTGAACTTGAGAAAATGCAACTGTTGTTGACGTCGTTAAAAGTAGAGAAAGACACCCTTTTGTCCTCGAAGGATGGCAACGAGAAGCGGTTGCAAGATCTTGCGAACAGTTTGTCGGAAGAAATCAAAGGGTTGAAAGAAACTCACGAAACGCAGCTAACTGCTGCAACGGCCAACTCCGATACGCAACATCAATTGATTGAGACCCTCGAAGACCAAATCCAGCATGCCAACCGCAAGTGGACTGAGACGGTCGCGGCGTTAGGAAAAATGAAAGAGAAATGTTCTGCAGAGTCGCATGAGGAGATTCTCTCGGTTTCTTCACCGGTCGTTGCGACGGAGGAGGTTGACCTTTTGAAACAACAGGTTGAGACGGTGCGGGATGAGCGTGACCAACTCCGCGCCCAAGTTTCTGCTCTCGAGCGGACGGTCTCTTCGGTTACTTCTCCTCCCCTCCCTGCTGGAGGTTCGGCTGTAGACCGAGAATCGGAAGTTTTACGATTGAAGACCGACCTGTTGGAGAGCGCCAAGAGAGAAGGACGGCTAAAGATCCAACTTAAGGAGCAAGAAGCTGATCATCGCCGTAGTCTTTCGAAAACGCGAGCGTCTCTTCTGAGTTGCCCTCGGGAGCCTCCAGGACTCGAGAACGAACCTTGCACGACAGAGGCCTCGCCTCCGACGCCTTCACCGAAGAAAGACGACGGTTTAGAGACACAGTCACTTGTTGGTTCAGCTCCAGGAGGACCGCCGCATTTTCCGGATGCCGTCGCATCTTGGGACCGTGCCTCGAAGTCGCGAATTGCCTCTTCCGGTGCGGCGCCGGATCGGCTCCTCTCCTCTGCTGGCTCCGGGTGGGCGCTGAGTGGTGCTGAAGAGCATCCTGACAATCGAGATGGAGATGGTCCTTGGACGACCGTCGGCCCTCGGCGAGGACTTGCTCCTGCGCCTCCGGCAGCTCGCAAACTCTCTTCCGTGATGACGGGAACGGGACAGAACCGGTGGTCGGTTGGACCTGTCTTTCCACAAGGAAGCACTCCCTCGGTTCTCCGAACCTCGGCTGCGCCGGGTGGATCTGGACACCCGACTTCGTCGACCCTTGCATCGCCATCGACTGGTCAGCAACATCTGGTTCCGACACCTCCTGTTCCGGGTGCTTCGGTTGGATGCGACCCCGCCGGAAGTTTTCCGGGGGCTGATGAGCGTCACGGGGTTTTGCTAAAGGGAGTTGGTGATGAGTTCCGACGTGCAGCTAAAGAGGCTGCCGCAGCTTCGGCGAAAGAGGCTGTTGAGGCCTTGCTTCCTGCGGTCCAAATGTTGAACAAGAGGATCGACTCGATAACTGACAGCACCTCTGTTGAAACGGGGACCGGGGCTTCCAAGAAAGAAGACCGACGTGTGGTGCCGGCACTTAGCCCCGTTCGTGAGACCGACGGGTCGTCTGCGAGTGATTCTTCGACCGATAGTTCTGATGAGGACCAACACCGGAGGACAAAGAAGAAGAAGAAACGCAAAAATTACTCTAACCGATTCGGTTGCAAGATTCCGACAGGACATAAACCTCTTCCACCACCTCCAGACGGCTGCTCTGATTTTCCGACAGCCCATTTGCCCCATTTTGGGACAAAAGATGAGAACAACCTGTCTCGCAGAGAGAAGCGAGAAGAACGCGCTGTTCTTCTGGATCGCACCCGTGTTGGTGGTACAGGGGGAGATGCGGCCGATGGCAGCCACTCGTTGCCGGTGCCGGCTGCTGGATCTTACTGTTCGGATGAAACGGAACTCAGCCCTTTGAAACCTTACGTTGACCCGTTCCGTGGGTTCGAAGCCCGTCTCTGGACCCGATTGCAGTCTGCCTCACGGCACGGGCGCAGCAACACAGGAGAGCAGGCCTCTCAGTACGACCGAGCTCGCAACGAGATTCGCTATCTTGCTAAGATTCGGGACCGCCCCAATTTGTCCGACCCGCAGAAATTCTGTGGAGGAGTTGACTCTCCGCACCTGGAGACCCTTACTTGTGGTCGTGCTATCCCGGTTAAGGAGGACACCGGCAGTGGGTCTGCCCCCAATAGCACTTCAGATATGAATCTCCTTTCATCGCCCGCTTACTGCGTCGTCCGACCTGAGTCTTCCGCTGAGTGGGATCGTCGGCGAGTAGCGTGCGTCGAGTCTGACTTGCCTCGCCGGTGGCCTCGGGGATATTGCTTGGCCTCGTTGCTCGGTGAAGCTTACACAGCCAGCTTCGAGGAGAACTTTTTGCGGATGACGAGCGGTGCTGCAGCTACGGCACCTCCGCCGTTTGAGCAAATTCATGTCGCTGCTACGTCTGATAGCTGGGGAAAACATCAATTGTACCTCGACCAGCTCCTCGAGAGGATCCGATTTTATAGGTCGCACAATTTCCGACTTGGGCTGATCTCACATTTGAAATGCGACTCTCAAGAAGCCAAGTTTGCGTATACTGAAGCCATCCGGGTGATTCCCTTTAATGACACGACCCTCGAGCAGTATCTCGTCTTCGAGACGGTGCTGGCGACTCGGTCCTTCATCCAATACGACGTTCTCTTGCAAGAAATCCAGCAGGAGTTCTATTTCGAGCTGGACACGCAAAAGATGATGGCCCGTACTGCAATGGGCGAGTGGGCTGATCATTACACACAGACTGAGAAGAAACTTCGCAATGTTGGCTACTTTTCGCGCGATTACCGGTATGGTAGCAACATTTTCGAAGCTCGTACCGCCGTTTTCCAACCGGGGTTCATCGTCAATCTGGTTTCGCGCACTGTCCAGGCTTCCACGGATGGTTGTTTGAAAACGGAGGGATCCTTTCCGTCTGGCGGATTCGTCGCGCCGGATTTACGCGAGGAAGTCCATAGCCTTTCAATGAGCCGGGTTGTTCAGTGGTGCGTTAATAACGCTGCTGTCACTCGCACAATGGGACTGGCTACGCATTACCTGCCGCCTAAAGGGCGAAAAGATCGGTTGTTCCGGGGTGTCGAAACTGGCGATCCAGATGGTGTCTTCGATGAGCCTATCTGCCCGTACAATCGCATCAACCCTCATGTTCACGGTTGGAAAGGGACGTCCCTCGACCTGCTCTGTACCGAAGTGTCTGCTAAGGAGGCGGACCTTTCGTTTCAGCTGCGTTTTGGTACTGATTACGCTGCTGCTAAGATAGCCGGTGCGTCTGACGTCGATATCCATGCGATGACGCTGGCGTCGGTAGACTCGGAAACGGATTACCTTTTCATACAACGCATTGTGGAAACCCACCGTAGTGAGCTTGCTGCGAAAGGCAACGCGAAAGGGGTTCCGAAAGGAAAAGGGAAAAGCAAAGGTGCAAAAGGCGGCAAGCGTGGTCTGCCGCGGGAGTCTCCTAACGGGGTCGCAAAGGGCAGTGCAGAAAACCGCAATCGTGCTTCTGCCCGACCGAGGCCGCCGGTTTCCCGTTGTGGTTCCACGTTGCACTCGTCGGCCGATCACGACACTTCAGACGCCCTTTCTGGATTTGGTCGAGCAGCGGGGACGGCTACGCTGTATCAGGACCGCCAATGCCCAGATTGTAAAATCTCGCATTCATATTGGGTCCTCTCGTTTTCGGGTAGTGGTGGCGTCCAGTCCCTTTGTCCTACCGCGATTCAGCTGTTGCGTGCACGGCACAACTCAAAACATAACGGGAGCAACCTTTCGTGTGCGCGCATTGCGGGTACCAGTTGCCCTGGGGATGGTCTTGTTGTGCGTGCTGCGACTGTCGCGGCGGCTGGCGGAGCGAAAGCTTGGTTAGACGAAAGGCGCAACGAAACAGTAAAACAAATCCTTCAAGAAATCCAGCTTTACAGCATAGCTCTCGAGCTTGCAATGAAGGCCGCGTCTTCGCCGAACGTCGAAGGGTTGAAAGAACTTTGTGGGCCCGAAGACGGCGCTTCCGGGTTCGAGTGGTTGTTGTTCTATGTCATTGACTCCTACGGTGGATGGGACGACCCAACGGTGTCTGCGGCTCCTGCTAACCTCGCGGCAGCAGCCGCTCTTTACTACGGCTACTCTCCTCTGCAGTATTTTCCGCAAGCAACAGATTCTGGACCTGCGTTCTCGTATTCTGCGCCCGCAGGAATGGAAGGTCCGGTAGGGTCTGTGCCCACAGAGACGTCCTGGTACCCAGGTGAGTCTGCCTGTCAGCCGTACTCGTTGTCTTGTTCGGCCGACCAATTTCAGGCAGAAGAACCGACGGGAACTGGACCTGCTTTCCAACTTGGAGCCGGTTCTTGCTACTCTTCGGTTTCTGGAGCTCCGCATTTTGGCGTCCATGTCCCTGCCCCGATCGCAACGTCCGAAATCCCAAGTGCTCCCCTAAGCGGACTTGCCCCCAGCGAAGAACCGGTAGGAGATGCAATTGCTCGCTACCTCGGAACCGGTTACCTTTCGTACCGGGGTGGATGTCCGACCCTCGATCCTGCGCATATTACTCCACTTGATCCGGCGAGTCCGCCGGTAGTACTTGCAGCCCATTTGGGCCTTGTGAGTCCACCGTCCCAGGTCCAGGAACTCGAAGAAAGACAACCTCCGATACCTCCCTTGCATAATACCCGGTTGGGCGACGTTGTTCAGGTCGATGGGATTGGTACTTTCGCGGTGCCTCCTGGCGGACCAAACGAATACATGAACGGCCTTAGCCTCTCTGAAGACAATCCCGTTATCGCGACTGTGCAAGCCGGTTCGGTGCTGTTATACCGCCCTTTCCTTTCGGAGGAGTTTCTTGCCGAAACGGTTGGTCCGGAAATTGGGAATGAGCAACTTGGTGAGGACACCCCGTTCCCTGAGTTACCTCCGTTTCCATCAGCAAGCGACCGGGTCGAAGACAACTTATTCGACCTTCCACTTCGCGACCATTCTGGTGCTGAATCGGACACCGACGCGGTTGAAACACATCTTGTGTCTAGATTCCTTGCTGTTCGAGCCGTCGCGGCGCGAAGAGTTCGCCGGGCTCGCGACAATCTCCGTGTGTCGCTTGCAGCGACAGAAACAGCAGATGAGCTGGCACAACGACAGGTTGCCCCACAGGACGTCGCGTACTGTATTTCGCTCCTTGGCTCTGTCTTGCCGGCGGTCACCGATGAGGATGGTTTCCGAGGATTTGTGGTAGAAACATGCGAGATCTTTGCTGACCTTCTCGATTTTCGCCGATGGCGAACCTATCGAGGGAGCGATGGTGTTTTGTTGCAGCGGTTGCGGACGCGCTACATCCACGCAAAAGTTGGCTGGCGGGTCCGTCTGCCTGAGTTGTTGCAGACGACACTCTGCTGTAACGAAGTCTTTGGGTACCTCTTTTGGTCCCGGCAGTTCTTGTTCACACAGTCATTCGAGACGCGTAGGAGACAGGCGTGCTGGTTGCCGGTTTCACAGCACCTCTTCTCGGTAGGTGTGTTACCAGTCGCTCTTGCACACGCGAGAGACGCCCCGTACATTTCTGGGTTGGATTTGCCTGCGAGAACTTGGGATTACGTCGTGCCGCGATACACGCCGTTTTTCCAAGAAACGGTTTCTGGCCCGGTCCCTTCTCCGACCCAATATAACCCAGTTCTTCGACTTCAAGCCCATCAGCCGTTGCACTTGATAACAAATTGCTCCAAGGTGAGGAAGGGAGCTGAACACGTTTGCGTGCATCAGTTGTTGCCTATTCGCACCATAGAAGGACCGCTCGCCGAAGAGTCTTCCGCTTCGCGGTTGCAGATCGACCCCTCCATTTGTCCTCCGACCGCTACGCCTCTGGTCGTGTGGCGCCTTGATAATCGGACTTCTGAAAGTAAGCGTTTGGCGTCGATAATAGCAACGAATGGCTCGCATCGGATCGTTGTTTTTACGACAAACACGACCCGCGGGCCGGTTACTGAAGTAGAGGAATCTCTTGCTCACTCGTCGAGACCCGGAGCTGGGTTTGTTTTGGTTCGTGTAACCGAACACGAATATCGGAATGCAACACTTCTCTGGAAGGCTCTCCTCACCCGCGTGTTCCCTCGGTTCGCACAAGAAACGGTTTTCAAACTCGGGCTTGACCCAAAACTCCGCGACGACCCCGTCCCGGCGCAGCGGGTGGTCACCGTGCCGACCATCTGTTCCGAGCCTAGCGCTCGAATCCTCCGACGTGGGGTGCGATACCATTTGATCACGAACGACGGTCGGTTTGCCACAGATGGCGTTCTCCTCAAATTTCGACAACACGGTTATTGTATCAACGGGGTTACGGAAATTGCCCGAGAACAAGGGGGCTATCCGTTGGAAACGGTTCGCTTCGGTTCTTCGTGGCCGTTGGTGCTGTGGAATGAAACGCAGGACCGACATCCAGAGCACTTTATTGCCGCTGCGTCGAAAACGCATTTGCGCCATGTACATGATTTGGTCGTTATTTGCTCTGAAGGATTCATCCGACGGACCCCCGCTTGGTGGGCAAAGGCACAGACAATTCGACTGCTGCCCCTTACCTCCCATAATCGGGCTTCAGTGTCCGGAGTCAGATTTGGAGACTCAGCCATGGTTCTAACAGAAACCCTTTTGACCAGTCCGTCTTTCCCGATAACGGCTTGCATTGCGACCTTCGTTGGGCCACCCGTTGAGGATGAAACTCGAATCCTACCCGTTAACGAAGCAGAGCCGTTTCTGCCGATCCACGCGCGACGTGTCCTTCCTCTCACCGCCGCTGCTGTTCGCTGTTTGCCACCGCCTCCAACAAGTCCAGTCGATAGATATTTACTCGACCCTTCGTCGCCAAAACTCGAACCGACACTCGTCCAACCTCCGTTATCACCCGGCACTGCAGCTGTTTCAGTCAGTGATGCACCTTCCGGCTGGTCACAAGTTTCTCCATATTATAATACTGAGGCGGATAGCAGTCCTGGCTCCCGATTCTCGTGGACTCGTCGCATTCCTCGACGAGGCGAACCTGAAGGGCCTCCGCCTTCAGATCCAAGTTCTGGTGCGCCGAACGAGTCCGCAGATGAACTTGTTGCTGCACTGCAAGGGACGGACCAGGTTGCTGAGAAAGGAGGTAACGACAACCCTGACGTTAATGTTGCTCATCCTTCTGCCCCGGCGTACCCGGCTACATTCACGACACAAGACATTCCTCAAAATGATGGTGCCGAGGACGGAGACAAGGATGTGTTCTTCGACGCTAATAACTCGGCAGGAGGCCTTGATAGAGCGCAATTGCATTCTTTAATTGACGATGCTTTCGCTAGTTTCACTACAACAACCGATGCCCGAGGACCGGGGTTGCAATTGCAACTTACCTCCGATGCGAAAGAAGATGTCTTTCATGATACCGAGAGAGACGATAGTCCTTCACACGAGACCTCTGCTCCTGTACACAGCTCCGTGCCCCAAGGGACTGGAGCAAAAAGAAATAGCAGCACCTTGCGCGAGGCCTCCGCAACCGCAGAACGCTTGCTGCTTTCGGAAACTGAAGATGACTGTCCAACGCCATCACAAACGAGTTTCGACTCTGCCACTAGTGTGCCCCGACCGGATAAACGCGGCGTCTCGCTTTCTCGTTCGAGATCGTATGTTGTTGTTACAAACAGCCTCTCCGCGGCGCGGCAGGTCGACACTCTTGCCAAAGAAGGGATCGTTGTCGATGACGTTTTCCGACAACACACCGACATGTACGATTTGAATAAAGTCCGACGACTTTTCGGAGAAGAAAGCAATTGCAAGCAACCTTCGCGCGAACGTCGGTACCTTGTTCTTTGGGTTTTTGGGGACGCGGATACGAAGGATTTCCCTTTAAAAGCCGCAGAAGCGCTCCGAGAATTTGACCACGACCTTTTCATTGTGGCAAAGGGTGCTCAACCGACGCTCGACAGGTGGTTCGAAACAACCGATCGTGTTTTGCCTGTCACCGTGATCCCTACGCCTGAAGATACCCGCAGCGACTTAAAGGGGCGTCGAATTTGGGCTACTGCCCTTGCGTCCTCCGGACCTACGGAGCTCTATTGGACAGAAGCAACAGGAATCCGTCTTCCGATATCGGCTCTTGCCACCGTGCAACGGAACGCCCTTGCGGTCGGGATACCAAAGAACGGCGTCACCGTCCTAGGGGGAACTCTTAATCGACCGTATGGCACTTCCGATTATTCGGTGAGAGTTTTGCCGCAAGAAGGGATTTTGATCCTTAAAGTCGAAGGAGGCATTTCGGAAACCGACCTACGCTTCGCGTTCCCTGGCCTTGACCCTTCGGTTTGGACTTGCATCACGGCGGCGCCGCACTATAGCACAGCCCCTCCTCATGAAGATTCGCGTGCTGCATATCGGGAACACCTCCTCCGGTGTATGCACTACGAGTCGTCGTCCATTCAAAACGAAATCAGACAATTGCACCGACGAGTTCGCGAAAAGGAACGGGTTGCCGTGTCAGATGCGAACTGCAGTCTGTATGCCTTTTGGACGTTCCTCTGCCTGCTCTGGCACCTTGGAGGCGGTCTTTTGTTTGCAGCTGCCCGTTGCGATTACTTAGAAATGCTCTCCTCTGTCATTTCGTTTTGCGCTGCAACAACCGTCGTTGCTAAAGACTTGCACCGGAAAACCCGGTTACGTCAGTTGCAGGAGTGCCTCCACGCTTCCGTGTACCGCGTTGGAGGCGTTCCTCATGAGTTGCGCACAAAGATCGGACTGCATAAGCAAACCCAGCTCGCGCAAAATCCATTTGGGAAAACGGCGGACTTCGCGACGGATCCACTTTGCAACCGAGTGTGGCTCAGTGTACCTTGCGGCCCGAAGAAAGACCAAGTAGTCGTGACGTTGGCTTTACTTGACAGTGGGTGCTTCGTGTCACTCTACTTGCTTGGACACTGTCTGGCATCGGCATATTTCCTCGCGGCCTACGGGGTGCCGTTTGTCACAATTGCGGGTATTCACGAGCTCGCGAATTTGGGAGCACCAGACAGGCCCCTCCGAGAGATCCTCCGTTACGTTTACACTGATGTACATTTTGGCGGATGGACGATTGCGCAGAAGGGTTATACGTGGTGGAAACTCGGGGGTGGCAGTCCGCGAGTCAGTGTGGCGCAGGGTGCAGCTCCGGGAGCTGGGCGGACCCTCAAATCTGGATGGGATTTCGCGCAAATGAACAAGGATGGCCTTCCAATTTGCCACCCTGCGAAGGCTCCAGAGATGCAGGCGCGGGGGTTTGGGGCCATGGTTGTTAGTTGGCTCTACCCTACTGATTCATACATCATCGGCCACCAAACCATGGCCCGAGTTGGATACAGTCTCCCACCGTCTGGACCTGGAGAAACCCTTGGTGCGTACCTTTTTACCCGCATGTACCACGAAGCCACTGGACAAATTGCTCCATTGCTGGTCCCGCGGGCCCCAACAACGTCCCGCAATATCAATTACTACGAGATGTTCTGCCGACAAAAGGGCGTTGACGCGAAAGATCGTAAAGCAGCAAGAGGAAAAATCGAAGAAATGACAAAAGTCATCTCGCCGCCACAAACAGTCCAGAACTTCCATCGACTTGTTGCCGACGTTGAAGTTGCTGCACAACTCTCGACGTCACCTCTGACTGACGGTGCTGCAGTTCCGGCGACAAAGGAGCCAGCTGAAGCGAGCTCTCACACTCGTGCAAACGGCCCCGCAGAAGAGAAACTTCCATGTCCTGTTTCAGTTTTCGGGCAATATGTTGCTACCGACTTGCCGGAAGTCGATGTCGCTAACCTTTGCAGAGCGACGTCCCTCCCTTCTCCACATCTCGAAGTAGGAGCACATTCTGCGTACGCAGCATCTGTCGCCGAGTATGCATCTGCCGTTACCCGTGATTTCGACGACGAGGAAGAAACGCCCTTCTTTTCTGATGACGATTTTTCGGACGATAGCGATGAGGATGTGGAGACGCAAGCTTACCGTGCCGCGCTTGACACAAGTTCGCAACCGGGCATAGACGATCCATTACGGCGACTTATGTCGGACCAACAAATCAAATCTTGTAATGAGTGGGTGCGCGACGCCGAACACACCCGCCGACTCCGTGCCACCTGGAAACCTCGTCTGCTTGCCGGCAGTGGATGGACGATGGTCGTCCTGATTTTTTTGTTGATTTTTTCGATGGCCGTCGGGTTGGTCGAATCACTAAGGCGCCCTCCGTCCTTCGTTTCGAACGCGGACCGACGAAATAAACCAACGAAAACCAACCCTGAGCCGAAGGACCTCGGGTTGTGGGAAAACGACGTTCGTACCTCTGCACAAATCGCTTCGTCGGTGCTGCGGTCCGACCGCACTGAAGGAGCCGCGCAGCAGGATGCCGCAAAGGGCTACTTTCAATGGCTCCTGTCGAGCCGCCTTCAGAGGTTTATGCCTTGGGTTTTTAATGTAACCCTTGCACGCCCGTTGCGAATGTTCTTGGGATGGATGCCCTCTCCGCAAATTTTCTGTGCAGGTACCCAGACATTCTTCGGTCGCCTCCAAGATCCCGGGTTGACAACCGACGAGATCTGCGATATCTTTGGGCAGGTCGACCCTTCGCTCGCGGACGATCCTGCCGTCCTCGCGCGGTTGTCAGACCTGGTTTCGGCTCACGCCCGCGGTGAAAACAGTACCCCGTTGTCGGTGCTGCATGACGGTGAAAGTTCGTTCCTCACGGACAGTGACCCGGATTTCGTTGTCCGCCAATATCGTCGAGCAGGACACCCGGACCTCGCACCCGTTTTACCGCCCGCTGGTGATGTTCCTGACTTGCAGCCCGGCCTCTCTGATTCCGAGGACGAAAATATTTCTGGTAGCGTTCGGGTCGATGGACACATCCCGGTTACCCCGTTATTGGAAATCAGCCCGTCGGGGGATCCTAGTTCTGACTTCTCACCCACCGACGCCGGTTCGGAAACGACGGAAAGGGAACAAAGTTCAAGCTCGGCCCCGTGTGCCTCGCAGAACCGAGCGGTACATCACACCCAAAGTGCCAGGGCATCCCAACGTGAGGCAGCCGAGAAAAGGGTCAAGTTCCTCAACATGAACATACGCGGGGAGCAATTCTTGATACCGTACGTCGACGATTTGAACTTCGTGTTCGTTTCCGCGTTGCAGTTGCTTTTCCGGCTCATCCTTACCCTGGTGCGCAGTCTCCAAACCGGATGTACGTTCAGCCTTAAAAAATTGGTGATAGCGCAAGTGGTGGACATGCTAGGGTGGAGGATCGACGTGCCACGGCGTTGCAGGGTAGTCGACCCGGACAAGGCTGCCGCGATTCGCGCTTTCAAATGGGATGCTGTGTGTGCTAGCACAAAGAGTTTAACACAATTTTTGGCTATCTCATCGTATTTGCGCGATGCGTTTTACGACCTTGATACCGATTACCTGGCGTCCTTCCAAGACCCCAAGAAACATAAAGGCATGAAGGGTGACGCCAAGGCAGCGGCTGCTTTCGAAAAGTTGAAAAAGGAGCTTCCATCGTCCGTCGAGCTTTCCGAAATTGATGTTCCTGCTGCTCGGAACTGGTACCGCGCAGCACCTGGCGAATGTGGAATTCTCCGGATCTCTGTTGACGCTTCGTTGACGCGCGTCGCGTGTTTCGTTGTGCAAAAACAAAAGATTCGCGACCGATATGTCAACCGCCTGGTCCTAGCCATGTCCCGCAAGTTCTCCAAGGAGGCCAAGAAGCGCGTTGGCAGCCACTCCCTCCACGTGGAGATTAAGGCCCTCGTCTTCTTTGTGCGCGCAGTCCGGGCGAAATTGCCAAAGGCCGCATATGTGTTGCATTTTGACAACTCGGTCTTGTCTCTCAGTCAGCTTTGGTCGGTCTGTGCAAACGGGACGATTATGCGTTCACTTTTATCGTCCGTTACCGAAGTCCTTACGGCGCTGTCGCAGGACGAATCATATTTGGTTAATGTCGGGAGAGACGGCAACATCGCCGACACAGGGACGCACCAAAAACCGCTCCCTGAGGACGTGAAGCGGGAACGTTTCGAAGATTTAGTGGACCTCATCAAACAACTCTACGGGAAAGACAAACTCGCCATCCCGAAAGTCGAGGCCCCAGCAAATGATGATGCCCCTCGTCCTCTACTTGCTAAGCGATACGCTTGCCTTTGCAGCGCTTCTGTTGCCTACCACGACCAGTCTTGCGGCGCCCTCCTGTCGAATGGGCTCTCTGCTTTCCGATACGGCGCCCAGTTGTGCGCAACACACGCAATTCGCAAGTCGTACCTCCAGGCTAACGTTCCGACCAGGCACCTTTTCCGCTTGAGAGAGCCAGGTCAACTCGACGCACTTTCAAGGTACAGTGTCCAAATCACTTTCCCGTCTACAGCAGCAGATGTCGTCTGTGCCCCTCCGCTGTTGGTTTGTTCGGTAGAAGAACTCGAACAAGGCTTCGAATTGGTAGTAACGGCTGTTGGTTCCAAAAGCGTGTCCGTTACCCCTAAGGTCGTGGTGACATGTGTTACTTCCGGTGTCCGGGTCACACCCCGGTTTCTCGTCGTGGTCCAGATTGAGAACTTCGAGCACGCCGACGCCAGTCCGGAGCACTCGCTGTTAGAGCCGGAGTTGCGCCTGAACTTGCTCGAATACCGAACCAAGCTCACTCAGGGCGCGTCGGATGAGGAAGTCGAGCGGAAAATTGAAGAGCGCCTCCAGAAAGCTCGCAATCGCAGCCGCCTCTCCTATGAGGATTGGCACGCCTCCACAGCATCACTGTTGATGGAGCGTTTCGACAAGACATTGCCTTTACTTGTAAAGTGTATCGTTGTCAAGTCTTGTCTGGTTTTGGGTGAGGCTTTGTGGACGGAAGGAGTAGAGTTCCCAACAATCGAAATCGCTCGCGCGTACCATCCAATCAAGCCCAACTACACAAATTGGGGACGTTTTCGGAAAATCCAGCTGGAAGGAATCCTCGCCAAGATTTTGGACTTCCACAGGCAGGAGATGGTTCTGGAAGGCCTGCTTGCTGATTATCTCCCTTTCGTGCATGGCGTTCCCGCCCACGTCAGCAGTATGTTTTTGGCTGTCCGGTTACGAGACATACTTGCGCGACTCATATGCGAGGCGGTAGAACTAAACAAGGGCTTTATGTCGGCCGTAATGCCGCTCTTCGCCTGTGCTGACGTGTGGAAACAAGTCTTGCTGGCGCTGCAGAAGACCTCCGCTTCTGAGTACTTGTCGTTGCGTTCTTCGCCGAGTAGCTCGTCTTCATTGGGCGCGAAACGAGGAGTTGTCGTCGACAAGCCTACTGTCCCCCTTGAGTTGCCTTTAAAACGACCAGTCTCACTGTACGTTTTTCGGGTCAAATCCGACGCGCAAGATTCGATTGCGTTGACCCTTGCGCCGAAACGGTCTTTCCCGCCGGAAGGACGACGTGACTTGCGTTTCCGAGGAGTGTCTGAGCAGGACGCGCCTTACTTCAGATTCCAGCGTATACTCCGTACCCTTTTCGCGCCTGCTGTCCACCCTCCCCGGCCTTGCAACTTCGTGGTTTACGACCTTGTAGCTGGAGCTGACAACCGAGAAGAATGGGAGTCACTGGCTAGTCGACGAGGTGGTTATCGTGTCGACATGATCCCTGCGGGACGCGTTTGTTTTCCAGGGTTCCCAGTAGCCGGGTTTGAGTGTAAGAATTGCGTCCTTACTCACATCGATGGATGCGCGAATTTTTACACGTGTGGGCGAACGGGCGTTTCAGCCGACGATGTTAAACGACAAGCTGCTGGTCCTTCGGCACCTGAGCATCCGCCTCTAGATCCAGACGATGCCCTTCCGCCTAGCCTACCGATACCTGACGAAATTGCGGTCCAAGACCAAGAAGAAACAGCTCCGGAAGCGACCCGTGAGGAGTATGACCGCAATACACGCCAAAAGCAAATGAATGACTTATGTGCGTCTATTTGTGACGGACTGCCTCCAGACTGCACCGGCCGATACTCTGCACCTTCTCCCGAGTACGCTGTATGGATGTCGTTGTATAAACTTGCATTCCCCGAAAGTAGGCTCCAATCAATCGAACAAATCCTTGTCACAGACGGACGAAACGAAGTAGCGAATTTCCACGTGGAGATACAGGAGACCGTCCTTCGTATTGCCATGATCCGAAACGATACCATCAGGTATTTCGGATGCGTCCTTCCAGGACTCGTTGCGCTCCGTGGTTCTGGTGTCGACTGTGCGGCGCACACGCTGTTGATCAGTTTTAAGCACCAGCCAACCTTGTACGCAAACCTCCCGCCAACGGTCTGCCACTCACTTCACGCCGGATCTCGGCTTGAGCTCCCTCACATTTACGAGCTCGAAGACGCCCGAGCACGGGGAGTGCCTGAGACTGGGTTTGCAGGAGTGCTCCGCGCAAACCGTACGAAACGCGGGCAGCGTACGACAGAAAGAATTCTTCGTCAACTTATAGCGGATGCAAAACGGTTCGCATTCCAAGGCGGCCTCCTGTTAGTCCATCGGGCGCATAAAGGATGGCTCTTATGGGTGCCTAACGCTGTTGTCGAGGAATGCCTGGGTCTTGAAAAAGTCTGTGTCTTACGGCGGATACTGGACTACTTTCACACACAGAAAGACCATTGCGGTCCGCTTGCCGTCTGCCGGTGGATGGAATCCAGGCGACTACACCACGACGATATTTTGCGGCATGCCCGGGATTTAGTGGCTTTCTGTTTCGAGTGTCTCATGACCCGTTCAGCAGTCCCCAGCCTAGGTTTGCCTAGGGGAGACAAAGCAACGACGCTGTGGCCGGGACGGACCTTGTTTATCGATTACATGACGCACTTGCCGAGGTCGTCAATGGGCAATACGTCAATTTTCACAGCTGTCGACGCAGGCGGACCCGTTCTTTGGGCCACGGCTTTGCCAGCAGCCACTGCTAAGGCAGCGGCTAGGGAAGTCACAAATATCAACAAATATGCGGAGTGGGGCGGCTATGAACTTATAAGGTGCGATAACGGAACGCACTTCCTAGAGGAGTTCAAAGATGAGCTTCAGTTTTTACATACAGAAGAACTTTCAAAGAACGCGCCGGAGACCCGACATGGCGGCTGTTGGCAGCCGACTGCCCAAGCTGTTGTTGAGACCCCCCATGCCGAGATCAATCACGGATTCCGAACGGCATTGTTCACCGCAGACTGCTTCGTGCGCTCAGCAGAAGGCATGCTCGAATTTCAAGAAGACCTTGCTGTCACAGATTTGCAGAATGATTCTTCCTGGGATACGCGGTTGCAGGGCATCGTCCGCCGCCTCTGCGATAGGCCCCGCTTGTCGGACGGCGCTAGTAACCTCGTAGCGTACCGCGGCCGAGGTCTTCGCGTACAGGCCGCAGAGCCGCATCTGTTGTGCGTCCCGGTCACCGACCCTGCGCCCGCCGAGATTGGATCTTCGTTGGCAACAGCTCTTTGTCGCACAGTTGCGGAGCGCAGAGCCCAGATGGATGCAGCTAACGTTGTAAAGCGTAAGCAGAGAATGGGCGATGTGAGAAACGACCTTTCGCTCTGGTTGCGCAAGGGCCAATTCGTTGCACGATTGAGGCCTTCTCCCAAGAAGTGGGAGCCAAAATTTATTCGCCAATTTTTTGTAATTGCGAAGGCAGCGACAAATTCGGCATACATCGAACGGCTCGACGGTCGGACATACACGGGCTTTAATCCGATATCGGTCAGCCAGATTGTGCCGATCTCAATGGCTCTTTCCGCTACGCGTGCATATCTGGTAGGCAACGGATTAAGTAACGAAGAGGTCAACAAACAGCTTCGCCACCTCTTGGCACTTGGCGTTGTATACATTCCTGAAAATGCTGCGATCTCCGAGCTCAGAGATGCAGACACAGCGGCAGGAGACATGTTCAAAACGTTCACAAACGAAGCGGGTACGATTGTTGGCGTCTGGAACGTGGATGGCCTCAACCGGACGCTCGAGAATTTCAGCCGATGGCGACGCCTTCAGCTTCTCTTGCGAACGACGCACATCCTTTTTTTGCTTGAAACTAAAATTTCGAAACGAGAAGAACATCGTTGGACAGTTGCACTGTTGGAACTCGCTAACAAAACGTGTCACCACGATTGGAGTGTTCATTTCGCAAGTTCGGTAATGCGCCCCGGTAACTTCGGCGTCGCAGTCCTTGCTCGTCGAGCTACACAGGCGTCACTCGAAACCGGAGTCTTGCGTAGTACGGCAGTTACCGACGATTATGACGCTGCAATCGAAGGACGAGTCGTCACGGCGTCGACTCCGAGCCACACATTTGTAGGCGTTTACTCGGTGAACTCACGGGCTGGACTCCGACGGATAAATACGCGCGAAATGTTCGACAACCGCTTGTCAGAGTATCTGTGTGGTTTACGGGATGATGTCGGACGGGACCGCCCGATTGTTGTTCTCGGAGATTTCAATGCATTGTTTGACCTCAGTGCAGCGGGCATTTCGCCGAAGGCACCAAGAACGGATGAAAACGCAGAAACAATTCCAAGCTTGACGGAGCAAGAACATCATTTATTTCACTCAGTCCTCGCATTAACGCATTTTCGGCGAGTTTCTGCAACACAGGTTGACAGAAAGGACGGCTGCACATACACGCTCACCCCACCTCGCTGCGATCCATCGATCGGCTTTTCATTGGACCACTTGCTTATCCATGGTGCCGTGCGTCGGGGACCGTCACTACAGTCCCGCTTTAGATTTCTTCGACCCACGACTTGGGAAACGCAAACTCCAGAACAAGAACCGCTAGAACTAGCAGTCTTGCAACCGGTGTATAGCGATCACGGGTCACTCATCACATCTGTGGGACACTAACATCTCAGGGATGCCGAAGAGGCGTTGGTCAAGTTTATGAGACACGTCCTCCCTGAGATGTCAAGTTGTGGGGTCACCAACAGATTGTAGATGAGATGGCGCGCTACGATCCACACAGAATGTACACGAGTGACGAATGCAAGAATTTCTGCAACAATTTCAATTCGAAATACGGTTCCCTGCACTCGTGAACTGCGAAGAAAGACTCGTTCTCTGTTTGGAATTCCTCGTCTTTCTTGTTTGACTGTGATAGAGGAGTAGATTGTAGGTGCTGTTAGATCACTCCATCGTAGCTCTTCGTCTTTTCACCGTTAGAGATGGTTGTTGCCCGCCCTTCCGACGGTGCAACCACGTAGATTGTGTTGGATTGTATCATCACAAAGGCAGTAAGTGCGTTCGCCTCTTCCGTTTGGATTCTCATGCTTTCTTCCCATCCAACACACAGGAGCTAAATACTTTCGCACGGTTGCTGTCTAGCCCGCGCTACCTCTTGAGACATTTTTTTATTGATAGATATATATCGTTCCACATATTTGATATCCATACTGGCTTCACATATTGTCAACTACATAACTTGCAGTTACTCCGTTTACCTAGTTTTCAGATCGTTTGTTGTTCTTCCTTATTGATTCGATCTAGGCACGGTGTCGCGCATAGAGTTCATAGAGACGCGACCTCTGCGCGCCTCTTGAGACGTAGATATACTCACCAGCTGTGAGTATATTCTTTTAGGTGTCCTCTCGAGACCACGTTCCTTTCGGTACCGTCAACAGTTAGTCGCATATTCGCTACCACTCATATCACGACATAGACTTTGCACACACAACCGAGCCCTAGAGACGATTAGATAGAGCGTTTAGGTTGACCTCCGCAACCTTGGTGTTTTTGGATTGCCAAGTGACACGACCGCTTTCGACATCTTCAAACGATCGTGTATCTCGAGATTCCATGACTAGGGAGTTAGGTCGACCTCTGCGGCCGTATTTTGGGTAGTATTTTTCCAGACGCAACTCTCTCTCGAAACGTTGCTATTCTCTCATTTTCTTGATGCCTCTTGTTCGCCTGTGGTCCAACTGTCGATCAGAGTCCTGTCTTGTGCTGAGAGATTGAGGTTCGGGTATACTCTTGGTTTTCTGTCTAGGTGATCCCACGTTCTTTTCAGACCCTTGGAGGGCGAGTTACTTTCACTTCCCCACTAGGCACCTTCATTCACTCATTTGCGCACTCATTTATTCATTCGTTTACTCACTCATTCTGTCACTCACTCTGTCGCTTACTCACTCACTCACTGACTCATCCATCCACTCACTCACTCACGCACGCACGCACGCACGCACTCTAATCTCAGAAGTTATAGGACCCAAATACGTTCCGTGGTTTCCAGGGAACATGAGAGAGTTGGACCAATGCGTCGTTGACACTATCGGAGGAGGTGAAGGCCTCATCGCCGCAGACCATCCAGGATTTAAAGATGAAGTCTATAAGAATTAAGAATGGATTTTTCAAAGATCTTGCTAGTGCGAGTGCATTAGAATTGATTCTAAGAATGGGACATTAAGAGATCCAGTTTGGGGATGCAAGTCAATCAATCAAAAACTAGTGTAACGTGGGAGGGCGAAGTCTATATATAAGAATATATAATGGATTCAAGGACAAAGACGTGGACGAAGTGTATAAGAATTTTTAAGAATGGTCGCGTGTTGACGATGTGGCAAACTTAGGTTTGCTGCTTTAACTTGCGGCTATTTAATTCAGGATCGCTCTTCGTTCTAAGTAGCCCTATAATTTTGATTACCAGGCGAAGAATCACTACCGACCATGCTAATAAAAGCGCCGCCTCGAAATCGCAGCCCAAGCCACAAGCTATCGCTATGGAGAGAAGATTCCTCATACTGAGTATACGGAAGAGGAGGTACTAGATACCGTTGCTTTCTGCCATCTTCTAGATTACACCACCGAAAGAACATAATCGCGATTCACGTGGTTCCTGTTCCACCTTGTATGTAATCGTTACATCTCATCTTTGATGTGATAAACTGTCTGTCTCTGACTACTCTCTGCGCCGATGATAAAGTTTAACTTTTAATTTCTCGACTGTACATGATTTCATCACTGTGATAAACTTTTCAGGTAAAAGTATGGAACGCAGTGTACGAGCGCTTAACAACGCTACACCGCGAATTCGCATGTGACGAGTATAATACCGTCTTCCCAGAATTACGGCCTTAAATTTAATCCATTTCATTATTCTTGGTCACACTTGATAGAGGGCAGCGGAAAAATTTGAGTAGCTGCACTGGCCAAATTTTGGCGCTTCCCACTGTGCTCGTCCCGACCGCCGTATGTATCGCCGTGCTGTTTCACGCGTCTTGTCTGGGGGGAAGACGCTGCGCGTCCCGCTCTTCTTTCTGAAGAGCCGGCCCCAGGGATGGCACTCGAAGTTCTCGAGCTTTGAGACAGTTCGCGGATATTTTTGCGTAGCGTTACTCACAACAGGCCCCAAAAGCCGCGGGCCTTTGAGGCCTGAAAGTCTCAGACCTTATTTTAAGGCTTTTCCTGAGTAGAGGGCTTTTGAGCGAACAACTCCAGCAGGCCCTACTCAATGAGTAGAGCTACAGGAAAACCCTCTCGAAAGCCACTGGCTTATCAGAACGGTTTTCAATTTGAGGATCTGACGCTCTCGCTCACGCGACAAATTAGAACTTAAGGCTTTCACTATCACTCCTCAAAATAAATCCACTGGTTTTTGAGGGTTGCTCTGAGTAGCCGCACTCAAGAAAAGCCTCAAGTTCAATTTTGTGGTTTTCAATCCTCAAGATCCACTGGCTTTTGAGGGTTGTTTTGAATAGCGCTACGAAAAAAAGAACCTCAAGTGGGGTTTTTGCGTTTTGGTTTTTAATCCTCAAAATCCACTGGTTTTTGCAGGTTGTTTTGAATAGCGCTATGAAAAAAACAAGAACCTCAGGTGGGGTTTTGGTTTTCAATCCTCAAAGTACGCTGTTTTTGAGGGTTGTTTTGAATAGCGCTACGCAAAAAAGGCTCCAAATTTCAAGTTGAGACTTTCGGGCGGCTTGTGGAGTTAGTGCGTTGCTGGCGCTCGCTTGTCGATTGTTCTCGTGCCAGTTCCTTCAGTAGAGCCACTCAAGTTTTTGCGCCCGTTTTCGAGTGCTTTCCGCGAGTCATGATCCACTTTTTCGCCCATCTGTAAACTGTTTCCAAGTAGATAAATGGACACAGATGGCGCAGGAGATGGATTGTAGTGCGTTCTAACAGAATTGGCGCAAGAGGCGGGCTATGGTCCTAGACAAATACCGCAACTTGGCGATATATCGGAGTATTGTAAATTAAGGGCTGCAACAAGAAGTTGCCCTATCTACGCGGGTATCTATGGCCCGTATGCTTATCTCAAGGGAGAAAAGGGTAGAAGATTAAGATCTGAATCATGCTCCTTCTTCTATGTGAGCTAAGGATAGAAAATTGCAATCCCTAAGTAAAAGTAAAACCGGATTTCAATTAAGGCCAGTTGCAGGTTTACTCAGCGCGAGGGACTTCCTGAACGCCCTTGCTTTTCGGACGTTTTGCTCGACACAGTACTTGCAAATATTTACTAATAAATATTGAGTAACTGATATTTATACTAGTTTCCTTTTCCACCTGCCACTACAATTATTGGACACTTAAGCGATTTCCATGCTCCTGCTGTGCACGTGGCTTTTTTCATTTTATGGACGTAGACACCCTCACCCACAAACAAGCTAATTACATTCGTCTCATAGGTATATTCGTCATGGTGGTAATCCGTTCTACACGCCAGAACCTGATATTTGTCATGAGCTGATAGTTAAGGCTATCTTGACGGTGGGAACTTAAAAGAGGGGCGCTATCAAGGAATTTTCAAGCGACCCCCCTTTCATGACCCCCGAGAAGGAAGCTCTAAGATAGGTCACGTGCCTCTCCTCGCGGACCCCGACTTTGCAGATTTCACCCAGAGAGTGGGCTTGGCATCACTCGGTATGATATTGAATAACGATAAGTATTCCAGTAATTAAATTCACAAAAACATAGAATATAAGAAACGCAGACATACGCATAGAAACGCAATCAACATCTCCCCTCAGGTGCTTCCGATGAGGAGATAGTCAAGCTGGCTTCGATTTACTGGTTTACTGTAGAATTTGGTTTGGTCCGCGGTCAGGATGGAAAAGTTAAGGGTCGTAGGCCTGTTGCCCTTTGTTTTGACACCACTAAGTCAAAACATAAGTGTTTCTGTTGCCGTTTGTTTTGACCCTCCTAAGGTTGAAAAGAGGATAAGGTTGAAGAACGGGGAACAAAAACACCAAGACCCTACCTCTAAATAAGTGAAAGCTATGGGTGCAGGGATTTTATCCTCATTCGGGGAAATGGAATGGGCTGCAGCTGAAAAGCCAAGTGAGGAATGCTTATGGCAGTTATTGACGATCCCTAACCTAACCTAATCAGTAACCTAACCTGATCCCTAACCTAACCTAACGATAGCCAAGTAAGGATCCCTAACCTAACCTAATTATTTGTTTCTTTTTCTAGTAAGGGGTCGATTGCAATTTGCTCCTGTTTTTAACTGAAGAAAGGTGCTGATTGATTTCATTATATGGGTAGTTTCTCTCACAAACATATTCAAATGTTTATTATGGCTGTGAACCACAGACCATACGATCTAGGTGACATTTTCTTGGTCCTTCATGAAATACAGGGCTAGTTTTACAGTAGTTGTAGTTGTCTATACTAAAATGAATATCTATTTTTCCTCTAAGAAACATAATTGAACCTGAACATATTACCCTAAATGTTGATTATTGGCGTAGGCGTTGCCCTATCCCTTCTAAGACAGAGGATAAGTGGGGGAATCGCTCGTGATTATCCTGACCTGATGAACCCGAAAGTGGTCGACTTCGACCCACGCGCGGCAGCAGTGCAGCCCTATCCGATTACTACTTACCTTATGTCCCCACATCAATACAGAACGAGAAACTTCTACTGGATTTTGATATAGATAAGTACAATCATATACTACCGTTAGACTTAGAGAAGGAGAACAAGGAGGATCCATGTCTTTCTATTTCCCCATCTACTCCTTGGCAGGGAGTCTGTCTATGTAAATGAGTAGTTGATGTTGAGTTGCCTCTCCTCTTCTATGGATTTGACCTGAAGTTGCCTCTCCTTTTCTATCTATTTGAACGATTTTGAGTTGCCTGCTTTCTTCTTCTTTCTAATTTGAAGCCTATTTTCTTCTGTGGTGATTCAGTGGAGAGCGTGAAGGAGAAAATAAGCACTTATTGTGATGGCATGGAGCGTAGTTTCCATCCGGTGTATGATACAATTACTTATGGCCAAAGAGGACTTATACATAGATTCTTATATTAGTACTAGTTTTCATTCAGTGCAGCATGGACCCGTATTTATCGTAATATTGTTATAGTTTATTTCATCCAGTGTATGTGATTGTGAATCATGTGTGTTAATAAAACTACTGCAAAAATTGACTACTTGAAGAAATGAGCTGGCAAAGGCTTCATCTTCAAGAAATCTGAATCTCCTTCTGCTCGAAGTGCTGCTTGTTGTTGTTGAAAAAGTAGAACTCAGAGAGCATTGATATTATTTTCTCGTCCCCAAGTATTAAGCTTCTAATCACATCAGTCGGTCCAACCATCCCGACATATTCGGAGGCTTCGGCGCTCGAGTACGGCTGATATGCAGGCCCAAAAGCAAAAGGAGTACTTTGCCAAATTAGCGGAGAGCAAAAATTAAGACTTTCCCTTATTCATCTTCGGGAGCATCTCACAGACGTTCGCAAGGGGGAAACGGTTGCAGGATGAGTCTCGAGATGGATAAGGATGAGCTCTAAAAAAGGGAATTCGCGGAAGGGTCTAGTGACGAGCAAACAGCCTCCTAGTCCTAGAGCTCATGACGATATCTTAAAAAGTAGGGGAGAAGGAGCATCTCTTGTTGTGGTTGTGTATGCAAAAGGAAATGAAGATAGTAGAAGCGACATCCAAAATTATTATTATCTTACCTGATGTGTCATCGGTTTCGATGTTGTGACGCCTCCAATTTTCATCATACTGGTATTTATTATCTTTATCTGCCTCTCCCTCTCGGAAGATTCACTACGATGTATTAGAATCAGCAGGATTTGCTAAAAACAAGAACAACACCTCACATAATCTACGAACACTAAGTAGCAGAGCTTTGTAATACATTTGCAATTAATTCTATCTTCATCAACAGGATCCTCATGAGTTGCGCTGGTGTCATGGTCATCGAGTTCGAGACCTTAGTGTTTATCCAATCTGTCACTATCATGCATGATATTTCTTTGTACTTCTGATAGCGAACCGCATTGCATAATTCTAAGAGTGTTTGATACATGAAAAAAAAAATTGTCACACTGCTCCTCGTTCACCGATTAGCGAGAGCGTGCACACCTACATGGGACGCATCTTGTCATAGAATCAAGAAGCGGAAGCGCCTGCCACTTTCTTAGTTTGTTCTGAACAGATTACTTAAACCTCACTTACTTACCAGAAAACCGCTAGAAACAGAAAAAAAATGAAAATGCCTTCAAGCGTTAACCCAACACCGCGCCCCCCATTAAGAGCGGGGCACAGGCCCCACTGTAATAGGAAGACCACGAGAGCGCCCCGGGCGCTTGCTTCTGGAGCAAGCGGACGCCTTTCCCCGGTCCCGCCCGATGGTCGTCGGACCCTGAGGAGCGGCCTCTCGGACTCCTTGCCTCGGTGGGCTTGGCGCTCCTCCTAGCAGTGAAAGGCGCCCATCTTCGTCGCACCTTGGTCAGAAAGACCGGGGGGCGGCACTGGAGCAGGGGCGCCGGCTTCTGCCTCGGGGTGTCCCTTGGCGTGGTGCATCGGCTGAAGGTGGCGGCCAGCCTCCCCTTAAACGTCCTCGAAAAGCGTGCGGGAAAAAAAAAAAATTTGGGCACCAAAGGGGGCCAACCCACTTGGCCTTGTCTCTTTTCATTCTAGCGCTTCGGACGCGATTAGGATCCCCATTCTAGCGCTTCGGAAGACCCCCGTTGCGCCACCGCCTTTGGTCCCATTCTAGCGTTTCGGACGGGGCTCGAGGTGAAGCGCCTAGCCGCCCGCCAGAGCGCCCCATGAATGCGGGTTGACATTACTAAGTGCCTGACGATCTCTCTGCCAATGCGCTACCAAGTGTTCAGAATGTGCGAGTTGGCGCATTCCTGGAGACTCCAGACGCATCGATCGCGGGGGCCCTCCCATTTATTGGGCGCCCTCCCTCTGGTGTTCGGGTCTTGTTGCTGGTCGGTTGGCGCTGGCAAATCGTTGCGGCTTGCTGGTAGAGCGGGGCAAGCTCGTGCGCAGTGGCCCTTGGCCCGCGCGTGGAGCAGGGGGAACTCAGAAACGCAGCAGAGGCGGCTCCGCCTGAGTGATCGGATCAGCCTGCAACGCGCAGGGCGAGTCTCAAAATGCATTTTCAGCCTTTTTCTGTTTCTAGCGTGTGACACTGAGGCTCTCTGACTTCAGTGACTGAACCACTTCACTTCAGTGACTGAACCATGCATACTTCACTTCAGTGACTGAACCATGTATACTTCACTTCAATGACTGAACCATGTATACTTCACTTCAATGACTGAGGTATGTATACCGATAACTCCTCCATTGGGCTTCTATGTATAGAAATAGATTCGCAAGACCAGGGTCAGTTGTATTTCCAGTGCCATGGAATTGAAGTATAGCAACTTTGAAGATTTCGATTTTAGAAAATTCGATTTTGAAGATTAAGATTTATGGCGCCACATTGTCGCTATACTAGTCAATGAAGAGACGGTCCTAACGCAAAAAAAAACTACTACGGGTGCTACAGACAGCACTATCATGGACGCACACATGACGTGGCTGCTGGTCTGATTCGTATTCACATGGCACCAGAAAAAAATACAAACGCAAAAATTATCCGAGTTCCGGACATGTGCTTGGTAGAGGACATATTGTTCTCCCTGGCGATGGCGGTCCAGTTGCAGTTTACTCAAGTGTAAAAAATAAAATAGAGGCTCAGAGTAGAGTATCTTGAACAACTACTCCCGCCACTTTACACCGAAGCAGCTGAGTGAAATGAACATGCTCTCGTAGGTTTCTCTGATTGTTTCTTTATTAGCATCACCATGGCCGACTTCGTTGCTTTCGACACCAAGGAGCTCTGTGCGGTGACCCTCGTTGGGGGTTGTTCTCTCGCAGTTGTTTGCCCGATAACGCGGTGGAGGAGTGTAGGATGGCTTTTTGAGTTGGCTCTCCTTCTTGCGAATCTAGTGCCGGGACCGACTGAAGGAGAACCTGGGGATTCAAGACGGTGTCACGATGCTGAGGTTGCCCAGTGTGATTCTCGGGAATGCAGTTATCGGCTTCCTCGTTGCACAAGTTTTGTGCATTTTAGCACAGACAATTGGTATAACCGCGACAGGTGCCGGAGCAACCGCGTCGATTGATGAGGAGGAGTTTTTCAATGGCGTTGGTGCATGCATTTTCATGTTCGCCTTTTTCTGCTGTGTCTACTTACTTTGTTGCCGTTTTCCATCCAGCCCTTTCCGCCTGGTCTCCTTTCCGAGTTCTACTTTGTTGCCGCCAGTCTTTTCCGCTCTTGGAATCATCAAAGACGCCAGCGCATCAAAGGATTAGGATGGCTATTGCGCTAATAAATATTTGGTTTTGGGGTCGGGGTGGAGCAAAGAGGTCGATACTTTTCGGGGTCCGGAGTGGACTTCTGGTGCCAAGTATACTTTGTCTCAGTATCGGACTAATGTTGCGCGTCGCGGCACTGTGGACAGCAGGCAGTAACTTCACGCATCTGATACAAACAAAGCGACATGAGGGACATCAGCTGGTACAGCAGGGTGCGTACAATTACGTGCGGCACCCGTCGTATCTGGGCTAGTTTTTGTGGAGCTTGGGCACACAGATCGCACGCTGGAATCCACTCAATTTTGTGTCGTTCTTTGCGATCGCTTACACTTTTCTATTCAGTCGGATCCGTGCCGAGGAGCACTACCTGCTCCGATTTTTTGGAGAAGAGTATGCCGATTACGCGCGCTCAGTGCCAGCGGGGATTCCATGCGCCTCCCAGCTTTCCGGTTCTGCTGTATGCCTTCGAAGAACAGAACTTCTATCGACCTGCAATATTCTAACAAAAGCAGTGTCCTCGCCTACTTGTCAACAACATTGAGGACTAAGAGAACATAGTTCCAAACACAGGCAAGCATAAGCTTTTTTTCCAAGATATACGTAAAAATATCTGGATGAGATGAAATATGGCGACGCCCGTTGTTGTACTGGTCTTCCCTCTTCTTCGTGTAGCAGCATGGTAAGTCGATTCCTCAGAGTCGAGTCAACAAGTGTTGATATTGACTCGATGTCCGGCCGGTAGGCTACAGGTGAAGTGTAAGACTTCTCTGCGCCCACTCCAGCCTAATGACCTACTTAAACTAACTAACGTACTCAACGGCCTGTAAGAAGCTACTCCAGGAAAAAGGAGCGGGACCCCCTGAGCTCTGAACCCTATCACTAACCTAACTTAATCGATCCTCTCCTGGTGCCTCCAAAAAATGCCTTCGTCGTCTCGGTTCTATACTACTTGCCTGGTCGTTTGCGGAGGATGGCTAGTTTTGCACGTCCTCTTTTCGGTACCGTCGCATCACCGAGGACTCAACGCTTCTCTTCGTGGAGGACTTACTTGTAAATTCTTAAGTACCACCTCCTCCACGAAGAGAAAAAGTGGAAAGCAGACGTCAGCTCCTACAACCATTATTAAGGCTACTTACTCGAAGTCGAGGACAACTAAGCGTAGCACGATTCTATAGTTCTTGAAAAAGAGAAGAAGGAAAGAAGGGCCACCTGCTAATTAAAATTTCTTCAATACCCCACGAATGGGCACATTACTACTACTACTATCTTCTCGAGATGGATCACTCCAATTCTGGTATCTATTGGTAAGCTCTAAAGAACCGATGAATAGCGAGGAAACAAGAACATCTTCTACTTCTGCTTCTACTTCAAGAACAAGGAGCTCTTCTACTACTTCTACAGCTACAAAAAGTAGACCTGCTCCTAAAGTTGGGCTGGCCATTGCGGTGCATCGACCCAAGTTTCGCTTCCTATCTAGATTCCTGAGGGAATATGCCAGGTGTTCACCTGCTTGGCATGCTTTTTCCCTTCACGTGGTTTTTAGCGACAATTACGGCTCATCTCTCGGATTGCCCTTCCTTGTGAATAGCCGATCTTTGTAAAGAGAAGTGACGATCTTCTACTAGGTACTACGCAAGTATGTAGGTCAGATCTGGATAGCTGAAACATATCAAACTCAATAGCTGAAGGCTATTAATATAGTTTTTCCCTCAGAGCAGAAGTAGGTGTCGTCCCAATTTTGACCTTCTTTTGATGGATTGTTGCCGCGCTTTCTGTTGTTAATGGAAAAATGGCGAGAGTTGCCCACTAAGACAAAAAAGATCTGCGGACTTTCAAGAAGGCATTGACAAGTCTAGACTACCAAGATGTTGCGGCATTTGCGCACCCAGAGGTCGACGATCTCTTGGACTTGGGTACTAAAGCCGCTATGGGTGAGGATGCTGCAAGAGATCATGATGGTCAAACAGAAATCGCCCAAGCACCAGAAATTAAGCTTAAGGCAAGTCAGCTTCTTTTTACTACAGCTATCTACTTGTAGCAATCTCGTGGCGTTCACAACTATGGATGCTGAATGGAAAATGAGGAAGCCACGACCTCAAACTCTCTCAAGGGTTTTGGGGAAAGGAAAGCTACACCCGCAGATAGTGATTGACTGGCGTTAAACAAAACAGCGGCCCACGTAGTCCGTATCCTTGGTATGGATGATGTTTCTCCTTCCCTCGAGATCAGACCATCGCGGCCGTCCCCTTGAGGGGGACGACCTAAAGGCCTTGAGGGGAAAACGACCTAAAGGGTATACGTTTTTACGGGAGAAAGGATGGGCGTGATGGTCTGGCTAGAAGGAAAAAACGCCTTTCATACCTGGCGCGCGGTAGTAGCGAACGTTCCGCCACACTTACATAAGGCGCAGGACGACACGCAGGCCTACAGTTAAGGCTCATCCACATTGAATGTGCAGTTAAGTACTTATATGGAACTTCTAGTTCTTCATCTAACTTCAAAGTAGTACGAAGCGATGTTGACTTAGCAATATTCTCCTGCTTCGAGTACCTATCCAAAGCGGGTCAGGGATGTTGACAAATGAGGGTTGTCAGGGACCATTTTTAAAGAGTACTAGCACCAAATTTAAATTCTACGTGCGCTACGAGGCGGCTAGGCGAGGCGCCTGCGGCGGCGGGCAAGCAAGACTCAGGTAGGGACAAATCGAAGGCTCCCGAACGCCTCCTCGACACTCCCAGACGCAGGTCTGGAGGTTGCCGTACGTTCGCGCGCCAACTCGCGGACACGACCTCGCCATCACCGCGAGCTTGCAGTGGCTCACGCATGTGGACGGGGCGTGTCGACGCGGGTCGTGCGCGAGTGATGCTAACAACGTCTGGGTGTGGGGGCGCGGGGAAACTTTTTGCTTCCCGAGTGCCTCGCCATCGCTGGCAGGCGCTCAGCTAAACGCACTAAGCAGGTGGAACCTTTTTTACCCGGCGTTGCCCCCCGGGGAGCGCGCACTGCGCGCACTCGTATTTATAAATCTCAATAAAGCAAGCTTTAAATTTCACATAAACTGTAGCTGTGGAACTAGTAAAAGTAAACTGTCATGGAGGATGCATGACTCAACCGTAACTGTCTTAAGGGTAGGCTAAAGGTGTTCCGTTTACCGTTTGATAGATATTAAAGAGTTTGCTGCATCACAAATTCGTATTTTTTTGCAACATGTGCCACGATCTTCCCACCTGAAGGCCACATCTTCTTGCTGGAAGATTACGTGGACTCCTCTATAAGTTAAAGTAAGTATCATGTATAAGTATGGGCTAGCTATGCTTTGTGGTTCTTAATTATCTAGTTTCAGTCACAATATCTGAATCTTTCTTTGTGCTCTTCACACGTCACTAATCATCGCCTTCTAATTTTGTGGTTGGAAAAAGTGGTACGGGATGGTACACATGTTGGATCTACCATTAGACGAACGACCTGAATTTGGCGCGATGCTGGACGCTGAGGTTTTGATCAATAATTTCGAGGACGCTTGTAGAGGAGGGTCCTCCAAGAAGGAGGTGGTGGACCACTTAGAAGAGCAGAAAGAGCAGATGAAGGAGTCCTCCTCTATTAGGAAAAATTCGGACCGTTCTTGTAACTCATTTTGAGAAGCATCTTTTGTGCATGATACCACTTATTGAGGGCGAAGGCATGGGAAGGCAAAGGGGGAACGCCATTCCCCTATCGACGTTGTCAATGAGGGGCGGACTCACTTGGGCTCTTTTTTAAGGGGGAAGCACGCAGCAGATGACTTCCAAGATGAATATCTGTAAAGTCTAACTCTAGTGCTACCCCGACGCAGTTTTCGTACTTGTTCGAGCGCGCATTAGTTAAGAAAGGTAGCTTGGTAGTTATTCTTATTTTCACATTCACTATCTTCCAATCTTGTTCTTGGGTGTTCGCCAACACCGAGTCTCCTCGTCCCTTGAGCATCTTCGTTCTGAAAGGTGGAAGAAGATGACCAACGGGATGAAAGAAAGCCACTCAGCACTCACTCGACCTCCACAGGAGCAGCTAAAGCTTTAAACTAGAGTTAAGACTCTCACCAATTCAGCTTCTCTGACTGCGCCATCCTTAAATTGTAGGGGGATGCATTCTTCATTGCCGGGAGTGGAATGCTTTCCCATAGTACGTATTTTTATTTAAGGATGCTTGCGCTCGAGAGTAGACGAATTACTGGCGACAGGCCTAATAGAGAAAGAAAGACAAAGACGCTTTCCAGCAGCTGCCGTGAGTGACGACATTGAAATATACAATATATCCAAAACGAATTCGTGGACTGGCAGGTCCTACGATCTCAGTTTGATGCATCGCTTATGGCGCGTCCAAAAGCACTTCTACGCCCAACGAACTAGAGATAACGGTTACCGTGACGACCCGCCTTGTAAGAGTAGCCTGAAGGAGCTCCACTTTCCTCACTCGATATAGTCGATCTCTTTCTTTTAACAGCAGTACCGGAGATCTTCTCCTGCAGCCTAAAGAATCAATGTCTGTCATAGAAATTCTGGAAATCTAACTGTCTTTCTTAAGTAGACAGTTTATGACTTTGGACGATCCCTTTAATGGTCAAACAATGGAAATCAAGAAGACCGTCGTATGGAACATCCTACTATGCTCTCTAGCTACTTCAAAACAACTACAACAGCAAGTGCTCTTTTTCGTTCTGCGTGATTGAAGACCAGGCTCCATGCATATTGGCATTCTACTTCAGATCAGTAACGAATGAGTCCACATCTACAACCTGTGGATTAGTAGAGTAGTCTTTCTCAAACCCTAGCCCTACATACATTCTAACTCACACCTTGACAAAGGCAGTAGACGCCGCCAATGGAGCGAATCGTATCCGGTTGTGGCGGTATTTACTCTCAAAAAGAAGCCTCCGAGATCCCCAGGACCGTCTCTCCGCATCAAAGTATAGATGGGAAAATGCGAAGTTATCCTTAGCGGATGGAAAAGATGAAGACAAACTTTTTATTAAGGGCCTGAAGTTGACCTCATCCTCACCTCCATGAACAACAGCATGCATCTCTAATATGGAGAAGTTTTCAAGTAGGAAAGCCATGAATAATATGCGAGCTACTAGATGGGGGTCAACTTTCAACCCATAATGTTACGTCACTCGTTTCTTTGCGCAATAGCAGCAGTGGGATGCAAGAAATTGGACGACCGGAACCAGCTCAACTGTTGGTGGATGACAAAAGTAGCTCTACTACCACTAAAAGTAAAACTAAAAACTGCACCACTTCCACTACTAGTATGATCAAGAGTAGCAGTAGTCCTCGTGCTTCAACTTCTTCTTCCTCCACAGTGGTTGTGCCACCTCTGAGCAATAATGAAATGGCCGCAGCAGCCAAGCACTTGGACGCAAACGTGATGCACAACGTGCTGTTTTCGTGGTGGACGGACTTACCTCTGGTAAACTTGACCCATATAGCACCAGCCTGGCTAACAGGCCTGGCGTTAGAGAAGGGAGTATTGAATTAAGAGGGGTACTCGTCAGTCACTTTTCTGCAGTGTGAAAATACGAGCGTTCTTTTTTCCATCTGTGATACAATGTAGGCAGCTGCCTCTTTTATTCCCTGTGCAACTGTATTATAGCTTGAAGAGAAACTGTATACCTAAATCTTTCTCTAATTGAAGCTGAGCAGTTTGGAGACAGCAGTGAGTGAATATGCGGTCGTGGAGGTAACGGGAGAATCGTCGTCCTCTCCTTGCAAAGGAGAACAGAGTACGAGTAGGTTATGGCTGTGAGCTTGCCATGTCGTGAGCTTGTCACGCATGTTAATCTTGTCACAACTACAAGGATCACGATGTTGATAATGTTCTCTCTTAGGCTCGGAAGCACTTCTTTGCGAGTGAAAATTTTGTCCGAGTACTTCTAACGTGACAACTGGGCATCATGGGCGCCAACGCACTTCATAAGATTATTTCCTTTTACTCCTAGTCCAAGTCATCTACTCGTGTAGTTTCTTGTATGTGAATCGTGGTGTATATAGAAGTTTTTCTAAATTAGGACGATTTCGCTGGTCTGGTGTCTCGCCGATACGTAAGCGACAGCATCCTACCCATGAATGGGCATGACAGCGGAACGTGGAAGAAAGTGAATAAGTAGGAGACGAAAATCTTTTATCACTATCATACTTTAACTTTAAGCTGTTATCTACTTCAAAAATCTGGTAATGATAAGAGATGTTCCTGTCTTCATAATACGGTGGCTCTTGCGAAAGGATTGTGCGACAGCAGCAAAAATGCAGATGATAGTACAACACGACACATAGAAGATCAAGATGTTGAGAATGTTGCACTTCTGTGTGAGCACCTGCTAGGTGTGAGACCTGGATCCAAATCAGAGGACGCGGATTCAACGGGCGGCAAGATGAATTAAGGCAGCCCTGGGTATTTCATTTCAACCGGCTTCTATTTTCTCAGATCATTCCTCTTTAAATAGGTTGAATACCTACTTTACAATTGACAGGGCTGAAGAAGAAGATCCTTGTTTTGTACAGCTTCTATAAATTTCTCAGATCATTCCTCAAGAGACAACTGCTCATCAAAAAAGTTGAGGAATGATCTGAGAAAATAGAAGCCTATGACTGTGAAATTTGGTTCCAAGCCATTGAGGCCATACCCGACGCATCTCCACGTGTCCGGCGCCAGGTTGCAAGCAGGGAGTCGACTCCTGACCATCAGGGCTGTCCAGTCCTGACTTTTTCAGGCCCATTTTGGGCTTGGAACCAAGTTTCACAGTCGTAGGCTTCTATTTTCTCAGATGATCACTCCGCAATTCATCTTTGAAGAAATATTTTTTCAATGAGATAAGACTTAAAAGAATTATTTATCATATTTCAAAATGACCTAAACCTAAAGGTAAAGAAGCGAGAATGAACGTGAATCAACATCGTGAGCAGCTCTAAAAGGAAGTGTCTACATCGTCATCGTCAACAACTGCGGCACCGTTTTCTTACCGAGCTCTCGCGAGGCACTTAGAACACGTGAATTTTGAGATAATGGCTTTTATGAGCACTCATGCACGATGATAGCTAGTATTTATTTTTCCTACTTCTGGTAACTAAGTTAGTTGTAGTATTGACACAACTAGTGGTAAATTAGAAGTTTTAGTAGCTTTCATTTTCAAGGATTGCTGTTTCAGGCGCAGAGATTCTGTGTATTGAAACACTCGACAATATCTACATCTTCGTCTACTTATTCAACTGGTATACCTCTAGACTGGGTACACGACTACTACTACAACTACTACTCACTGCTTCATAAAAAGAGCTTCTCTTTCTATTTCGCTTCCTCTAACGACAACCACTACTTCGCCGTCATGGTGTTTGGGTACCGAATGCGCGATGTAACTAACATGACTGGAAAAGCACGCTGGGGGAGCTATCTTGAACATCCACAGTTAGGCAATGTAGAAGTAGTTGTCAACATGTTCCACATTTAACCGTCTATGCAGCTTGTCGAGCAAATGTTTGTTTGTCTTCTATTCTGATAAAAATAAGATAGCATAGAAGTACTAGTAGCAGTTGTACTATTGTTCCTTTACTGGCAGTACGTGTACGATCTGCTGCAGGTAGAGGATAATAAGAAGAAGAACCCTCTCCATTTGTTACTATTTTTTTTTGAATAGAACAAAGATACTTTTTCTATGTGCAGTAGTTAGAGGAATTTTTCCTCTTCCTCTAACACGTCTCCTGAAAGGACCTTCTGCGTTTAAGAACGACGTGATAAACGAGAAAGGTAGGCGAATTGGCGTCAACGATGTGATGCCGCGGCGGAAGAGGATAAACTTAAGGCTACCGCTGGAGCATGTCCTCAGCAACATGCAAGTATGATCCTTGGTTCTCTTTTTTATTTTCTCTACCCTGCGGAGGCAACCTGATTGACTCCTGATTGACTGACCGCTAGGTGACTCGCCTCTGGTCTATTACTATGGACGATCTTTTGGGGGCTAGGTCAGCGGGAGCACAGGCGTGCTCGCACAGTCCAGAAGTTCCTCCGTTCTTATCCAGCGCCGCCGCCCGTTAGACGGCCGCACACGGTTGATCGATTGACTGACTGACTGAGTGACTGCCTGACTTTCTCCATTTGGAAAGGGAGCCAAGGACACTCTCAGTGATGCACCCGCGGTAGCTCTAATAAACTGCGACTCAGGATCTGCAGAAGCTCCGGACTTCAACGTCAATGGCACATGCGTTTATGTTCGTTGGTCAACTAGAACTACTATCAATATAGAAGTGCTAAGCCTAAGTGCTAGTGTCCATCTTATTTCTCTTTCTCAGCATCTCGATAGAAGTACCCTCTTGCTGTAAAAATTGATACAAAGAGGAGAGCCAGCAGGGGGGGGGTGCGAGATGCTGCAGGGTGGACCTAAGAAATCTTCTGAAATCAGATTGAACCTGAAGTCACGTCGTGCGCAGAGTCTAATGGGTACTCTTTGACGGAGAGCTGGTTTCAATCAAAGAGGGCAGTCCGCTGTGGAAATTGGAACCTTTGTTATGGGGGGGTCGCGATCTTCTTGGTAATGGTCCTCTTGAAACACCCTTGGCCTTGGTAACAGTCTTGCTAGCGGTGGTCTTTACCTCCGTGCTTGGTGATGTGCCATTGCTGATTCACCAACATTGCTGATTCACCATGACTGATTTACCATTGCTGGCTTACCAGTGGTCGTGCTCTTTGCTTTTTTACTTCTCCCTGGGAGCCTCTAGTGAAATTCAACGACGAAGATTCTACTGTTAGACTGTCGAAGTAGAAGTTGAAGTTACATTGTATTGCTCAGGAGATTGATTAAGGTGGTAAACGATGACGACCCCAAGATGAGGACCCTCGTCGGCCACGTAGGATGAGACGAGGCATATAATCTGGATTCCCGGTATCCAAGAAGACCAAGACAGCCAGAATTTTCTAATATTTTGGGTAAGCGATGAGGCGCAACGGAATGCAGAGAGTGGGAAGATGCCTGCCTTCAGTAAGGATAAGAGGAAAGCGCCGCTCTTCATCTTTCATGCGGATCATGAGATGATTATGGCCTATCGTGGATGAGTACTCGGTTTCTAAGCAGATTTGGCCAATACATAGCTCCGAGAGAAGTGCTCGACCTCGTCTTTAAGTAGAATTACTTCCTCCTATGATACATTTACTACCTTTTGTTTTTTTTCCTAGCTACTCCTCCTCGCTCCTCCTCCTTTCCTTAGTTACTTCCAATATGACAGGGTTACTAGAAGTGTTTTGCCTCACTTTAATATTTTTCCTAGCTAGCTTTCCCTAGGTCGTACCTACCACGCGATTTTGGTGGCAGCTCCTTAGGTAGCCAAACTCATGAGCTAGCAGTGTTCTCTCTCTACTGCTGTTAATCGGAAGTTTAGCTTTAGGAATCAATACTAGATGAGAACGTCATCTACCACGAATTCAATTTTCGAAGACTTCAGATGACTCGTCTCTGTTCACAAGAGGAGTACCATTGTTCCCCAATCATAGTGCAAAAAGCGAAAAATGCAAATGCTTCCACCTAAAGATGAGACTGGGAGTGTCCGTCTCAAGAGTGCTCTTCTCAAAGAAGGAGTGCGCTATATTTTAAAGAGTGACCATCTGAAGAAAAGTAACCTACTAGTCCTAGAAATTGGTGTTTCGTCATATTTCAGTCCCTCTTCCTCTACTTCAAATGAGTAAGAAGTAGTATCTACTTTGTATATTACAACTAACTTACTAAGTAGAGTGACTTTCTCTAAGAGGAATCGTTGGGGCGATGCGGGTAACCAGCAGTGGGAGAAGTTCTTTGCGGAGAACAAGAACTGAGAATTAAACTAGATTTACTTACAGTTGTATATTTCTGTATTTAGTATACCTATAGCTATACTTCTGTTGAAGGTGATGATCGAACAGAGCAGGATAGTCAAAATCAATGTCAGTGCGTGCTTTGAGTAAAAAGAGCAGATATGAAGTGTTCGGACACGGAAGTCCACAACAAGTCACGACTCCGTAAGGCATATATTCGGAGGACACAGTGCACCTGCTCCACAATAAGTTGCGACTCCGTAAGTCTAAGTTGAGTAACATCAACGTCAACATGATTGAAATAATACAACTTTGTCACGAGGTGGACTCCGAGGACTGTCAGTCTCACTCACGATGGCACCGGATAAGGATATCAGCAACATAGGTAATCATGTCACGACTGGTGCCATCAGTCAGAAGCAGAAAAAACAGTGTCACTCCAGAAGATAAACAATCAGATACGATAAAGTATAAGTATTTGTTGCCATCGGATGACATGACTCAGAAGGCTTGATATAGGACTTCAAGTGGTGTTCCAGGAAGATGCGGGTGTTCCACGCTGTGCCATCCATCCAGTACCCGCTACTCGATGATGATCTATGTTCCCGCTACTTGATTCCCGCTACTCGATGATGATCTCTATTCCCGCTACTCGATGATGATCTTTGTTCCCGCTACTTGATGATGGTAAGCTAGTACAACTACCGCAACTTTATTTACTGCTCAACACCACGTTCACGTTGTTTATGGCTTCTGAACTTCAATTTATGATCTCTAAGATAGGTAGTTTGTTTTTGTTAAACATGGAAAAGAGTAGACTTTTGCTTAACTTGGAGAAAAATACGTTTCGTGTTTTCTACTTAGGTGCGCCATCACAACTTATCTGTCTCGACAACAAGATCAAGCTCCACTTCTTCCCGCGTGTGGCAAGAAGCCCAGGTGGGGAGCGTCTAGATTATCATTACCGACAACAAGAAAAGATGAGAACAACAAGACAAGTTGGGTCTACTTCTACATCCTCCACTGGATAGCAGTATCTCGCTTAGCTGCGTTTAGGTCTGTTGCCTTGAGCTAGCTTGTAGTGGTGTCGCAGCTAGATTGTGGGACAATATGTCGGAGACGCCGCGAGAAGCGCAGGAGCAGCAAGAGGGAACCCAGAAGAAGATGGAGCATCCAGCTGCTGGACGCTCGATCATAGAGGTCGATCCGAAATCTACTGTTCGAGCATCTTCGGTAGACGAGCATCCCGTGGAAAATGCTGGTGCAGGTGCCGGAACTTCCGTCTCGTCGAAGGCTTCTAAGAGTAAGATGAAAACTACGAAGAGCAGCGCCACCTGCTCTACAACTTCTAAGAACACAGACTCGAGCGCGAAGAACAAGGTCATTAAAAGTAGTGCTTCCAAAGCTGGATCCGCGTCAAAAAACGCTAGAGGTTCTAGCAGTAGTATAGCCGCTTGCAAAGGTGGATCCGCGTCAAGGACTATATCTCGGGTATCCCAATCGGTATCCAAAACCGGCACCACTAAGAAGATGGCAGTTTCCATGAAAAAAACGGGAACTACTACTTCCGCGGAAGGGGAACGCCTACAACAGTTGGATGCGAAAAATCGACCACGACCCTCACATGATCCTTCGGCGATACAATCGGCTAAACCTAGTAAGGTGGAGATGGAATCCAAAAGCGTCGTCAATAAAAAAAGCAGGTCAGGAGATGTTGATGTTCGCACAAGTGCAAGTTCTAGCAGTGGTGGCACTCCAGCATCATGTGCGATCGCGAGCAGCAGCGGAAAAATAGACAACTTAGAAGATGCGTCCTCACGACAGATCGCAAGTCGTGCATCAACAAAATCGCCTATGGGGCATGATCAAGGACAAGGCGGTCGCTTCGAAGAACAAGGTGGTGAGCAAGCGTCCAGCCAAACATCCAGCCAAGGAGAGGATAGTATCGAAGACAGTGAAGATGAGCTTGTTTCTTCGGACTCAGATGATGAGCTTGTCTTGGGAGATTTTGCCACATCATCACTGGTCGATGAGGGTGAAGACGTGAGTCAGCACATTGTCCAGAGGACTGAAACAAGTAAAACTAGCAGAAAGGGCGAGTGTAGTAAGATTACCACGAAGGGGAGCCAGAAGAAAATATTCGTCCCAAAATCGCCAACGAAAAAAGTAAAAGACAGCAAGAAGAACCAGCAGAGAAGTCCGCCAGCAAGGAAAAACGGGAAGTCGCCGACGCACCACCCTGCAGAAGCTCGAGATGAAAAGCGTACCTCCAGTAATCCCACTCTCACAAAGAAGGAACAAGATTTATGCTCGGATTCGCTAACCGTAAGCAGCCACTTTTTTTGCACCAACATCGTTAGAAGAACTTTGATAGCAGTTTCTTGAAGTTTACCTAACACAGACATTCACTTCATCTTCAAATTGTATGAGTAGTTTCGGCACACTTTTTCTTTTTGGATTTCCACAGTAGCAATCTAACAATTGAACTCGCCAAACTCCGAAAAACTATGCGGCCACCTGGTATCCGAGGCAAGAGAGAGCTGATTTCAACGGTAGAAGAGTGCGGTCAAGAAATTAAAGCTTAATACCTTAATGTTAATGATTCGTATGATCTTCAGATACAGAGGGCTTTCAAGTACTTTATAAGGAGAAAAGTCAAGTAGAGGAATATGGAGTATTACTATGCCAAAAGCGACCATAGAAAAGTGGCACGTGTGTGCCACTTTATGTACGTTTTTTTGGCCAAAAAACCACTTTGCTAGATTCGCTTTTGGCATAGGGTTACTCCACAAAGAGGAGCCAACAGATGGATGCTTCTTCTCAAGGTGAAGAAAGAAAGAGTCATTGACATTAGGTTGGGAGCTCTAAAGAGAGCAGCGAAAGCTCGTGGAGTATTACGATCGAGAACGTTCCTCGTTTTGGCCATGTTGATTTTGGGGAAAAACTCAAAGAAGTGAGTGCAGCTTTAGGGTTGGGGATAGGAGATCTAGAGGGTCAAGGAGCTGGTCATGAATCGAAAGTGGACTCCTCGTCAGGTCAAGTAGTCGGTCCTCGTGAAGGTATCATATGCCGATTAATGCGAGACGGTGCTTTAACGCGGAAAAACGTTGTACTATGGTCACCCTTTAGTTTGTGTTTCTGTTTGTCCATCTCTCTCAGCATGTTGATACCCCTTTGCCCTGTATTCTCATGAAGTAGTACATGGTAAGGAGGACCAGGTCATGGAACCGAGATGATGAACAATTATAGGCGACTCTAATTGTAGCAGCAGAGGAGGCATTTGAAGTAAACTCAGACGGCCTTGGCGGCGAAAACGATCTCTACGATGCAGATTTTATAGACGACTCCGACGTTAAGGGTACTACAGGAAATCCCCCATTTTCAGAAGCATCTTGTTCCCGTTTTTAGAGGGAAAAGGGGAGCCAAGATGCAGCTGAGCATGGATCTGGACCCTTCTTAGTTCTAAAAATAGTAAGCCTGCAGCTAAGTTTTTAGAGGAACATCACAGTGGAGTAGAGGCCACGAGCAAGACGAAGCATGGCGACGATTCATTCGATTGGGCAAGAAGCACGAATGCACCGAGGGAGGCTCATGAGCAAACGGCGCACTTTTTTCAGGGGAAATTTGAACTAGTAAGCAAGCCTCCAGCGCAGGAGGACGTGGTTGGTCACGCTGATTTTTCGTGCACAATGGACGAAGACTCCGCCACTCTGCCTCCACTGCCACTGCTCAATAGCGGATGTTGGCTGAAGCCTGAGGAAGAAGATGAAGATGATGCTGTTTATACTACTTCTATGGCACGAGGAAATGGAAAAAGTGCTGCTTCAGCTTCCCAGTTTGACCATGTTTTGAAAGAGCAGCTAGCAGCATGCATGGAGTTCTCATATAATAAGTTTGATGACCACCATAATGGGTACCCGTACGGTGAAGACGAGCAAGCGAGGATTACTACTTCTCCCACTGCTGCAGGATCACGAGGGAATCAGCCAGAACCGAGCTTTGTGTATATTCCGCGTGATATTGAAGACGCTCGTCCACCAGGGAAGTACGACACCACGAGTATGGAAAGCAGCCAGCATGCCTCATCGATATATGTGCAGAGTAAGTCAGAAGTGAATCACCTCCGCTTGAAAGAGTCTGATGAACGGGTGCGCGTTGTGACGAAGGCCTTGTCTTCGGGCGCGAACGCGCTAGAAGAGCAGACTGTGAAACTACGGGAGCTAGCAGCTGGAGGTACAACAAAGATGGAGAATGCTTCTTCCTCTTCTTCACGTACTCCCACGACTAGGACTACCTCTACCAATATGAGAATGGAGAATTTCAAAAGTTGTAAGATGGAGGAGAAAACTTCTTCTTCTTCCACCATTTCTGCAGAGCATGATGCCATCAATCTCCACTACACTGAGCTTGTTCCTGAAGCAGGAACATCAATCGCGTCGAAGAAGAACAAGAATGCGACAACAACAGCAACAACATCTCGCAAAGATGGCCTGGCAGCTCGAACGAAACGACGTCAAGGCAATAATCAAAACAACAAGTCAACATCCACCACTACTGCAGCAAGCAGTACTACCAACGCGCAACAACAAAAACATGACAGCCAGAACGACGTTGAGCATGAAGTATCTGGCATGGTCGAGGCGATTAATGAGCAAATCTCAGAATTGAGGTCTCGCGTCAAGGAGTACGAGGAAAAAGAAGCCACACGAGAGAGGCTCTGGCGTCTCTTGCTAGAGGAGGATCGTGAAGCCGCACGTTTGGAGCTTGAGGCTGTAGCACAGCGGGAGCTAGAGGAAAAGACTGCGTCTCTAGTTATGTTGATCAGAGGTTCATCAACATCAGAAGGCTATACCGTTGCTTTGATGCTCGTTGTTGTTGTTTTAGCTGGGTCGTCTGTCTTTGTCCTTCCTGAGTAGCATCGATGCCTTTTCTAATTTTACCGCGGAATGGGAAGCATGGCGTCAATATTATGCGCAGCAGTATGAAGAAACAATGTCCTACATGCAGTGGCAATTTGAGGGTGCGGTGAGAGCTGCTGTAGAGTGTAAACAGGCAGAGTGCGAAGCGGAGATCGAAAAATATGTGACGAGTACCCAAGAACAACTCAGAGCTAGCAACGAGCTACGCGCAGCTAAGTTAAGGCAACCACCAAAGGCGCATCATGGTCCTTAACTTAGACATCATAATCCTTGGCGCTTTTCCGAAGGGCAAAAGTCGCCAAGGATGGCGTCAGGGATGCGGCCAAGGTGCCTCCAACTCAGGATGACCTGTTGGAATTGAAGAAAACCTGGCTGTCTTCTTTACGAAATGCAAAAGGTGTGATGGATCGAGAACATGGGAGAGCGTTGGAGAGTTACATCCGTCACACTTTGTTCCCGCAGGCATACGAGTTGTTTGAGAAACACACAAAAGTTAAGGTGCTCTACTCTACTAGCCAGTCAGAATCTCTATATCGAGATGATCTCTGCTCAAGGAACTGCACACTCAGAAGGAAGGGCTACCAGTGCATTGTTTTCACCTTGCAGTGCATACACAGAATCAGAAAGAAGGGCTAACATTTTTTTTCTTGAGGGACGAGAGGGATCATGATGATGATGATGATGATGAGGATCATCATCGTCCCCACAAGAGGGAGGGACCAGGGGCACGACGCTAAGAAAGAGGAGATCGCCGCTGTGACAACACGTCACGAAAAGGTTCGAGCGGACAGGCAGAAACATATTGAAATGCTGCAAGAAACGATAGGCAAAGAAAGCGAGGAGCTGCGGCAAGCGTGTAGTTACGAAGATGATGGGAACTTCGCATATATATCGAGTGCATATGTATTTCGTACCATGACCCCTGACCTTCCCTGCCCGTCGTGGGTAAGCTCATGTGTGCTCTACTGATTTACTACCTCCGATTATTCCCATTCCCCTACTTTCGTCTTCCCACAACCGCGAACCCCACAATCAAAACATTAGGATGCGATCGAGAGTACTAATTATGTTTCGTGTTAAGTTAAGAAAGCTATTGAAGGCTGAAGATGAGTCCACTATCGTCTAGAGCACCATCATTATTTCGTATCATGATACTCTGTGTCTGTTCGTCGTAACCGCATATGTGAATGTGTAGTTGTTTATGGATAACCAACATGAAACCCGGTCTAGTGCGAGGCTTAAAACTAGTGCTAGTGTTAGAAGTTATGAGTCCTGTGAGAAGAGAGCAGAGCGATAACTCGCTGTTCAAGCTTAGTCATATACTTCGGCTTCTAATCCCTCGAGAAGATCGCTTCCTTACGCCAAGAGAACGAGAGCAAAGTCCACGAGTTGCAGACCGACCATGTCCGCCAGCTGGAAGCTGTCGAGACTCGTCACGCGGCAGAAGTGGCTGAGAGCAGTAGAAGGATTGCTGTATTGGAGAAAAGGGCCCAGCAGTTGGAGGAATTGTGGTTATGTTGGTTAAAACTTTTTTAATGTAAGAAGTTAGATGAACACTAAATACGGGGGGCAGCTCTAATTTGGAAAGACGAGGAGCAGGAAAGACGGCAGAGGGCAGAAGGAGCAAGGCAAAAGGCTGAGCGAGACAAGAAAATAGAAGAGAAGCAAAGGGAAATAGACAAGTACTAGTTCTTTCTCTCTCTTCTTGAGTCGATGATGTCATAGTTCTCGTGTAGACTGTACATTTTGATGCTCAGGCACTGACGTTTTCTCCGCTTCGCAGCTTGTTTCAGGGTCACGATAGGTAGCTGCGCTCTGTAAGTGTAGTACTAATGATAAAATCGGATCCGATCTTCACCACCACGTCAATCACTACGACCAGGCTAACGCTGTCAATCGCTTCTCTACAGCAAGAGTTGCAGGATGGTAAAGCAGCATATCTTTTGCTAGATCAGAAGTTAGTGGAGACGGAACAGCGACTTACTGCTTATTTTACCCAAGATTAAGGCCTCCCCGAATACATCTCTTTGCTTCCATATTATTGAAATCCCCCTGCCGTAATATTTACTGTCTAGGTACCTAATCAAATGCAAATATGAGGTCGAGGTGGGTAGATATTATTAGGCCCATTTCTTGCGGGATCCCTAGTAAAGAGATGAATGGGTGGGAAACTCTAACGAGACGCAGGAGGCCGAGAATTGAGTCGCTATAAGCAGCAAGTGCTTGAGCTTCATGCCCAGACCTATTTGACAAACGTATATGGCGCCACTGATTGAGAGCAAGCGCGAGGGACTGTTCTGGACTGGTTGCGCCACCTCTTGTTCTAAGGGTTTTTACCTCAGAACACGGCGACACTCTCTCAAGCAGTGTCCTGAGGTGGACACTACTCTCAAGCAGTGGCACCTTTCAGAGCGTCCTTCGGTGGTGTGATCGCGAGCGCGTCGATCGACAGTACGCTGCGGAGCTGTATCGTGTCCATCAGCGTGCATGGGCCTGCGAGCAACAGCTACAAGGGCGCGAAGTAGATGCAGCGGCTAAGGAGTTGCATTCTCTTTTTATTTGTGCCGGAGACTTAGGGCGGGTTACCGAATTAGAATCACACCCCCCCGCACCCGCAGTGCCTTCCTTGGCCCGTTTCCTAGTACTCAAAATCTCAAAATATGTGAGCAACAAACACACTAACAAAGTAGCGGAACAGATTATTATCTAGGCTCCTCGGTTGCTTCAGGACAGTTTATCGAATTGAAGAGAGGCAGGGGATTTGTTCCTGAGGAATGTTGTAATGCTGTATTGCTCTGCTATTTGTTAGCCTGAATTTGATCATAAGGGAAAACAAGAAGGGAAGCCTTGTGATCAAATTCAGGCTACCAAATCCCGGAACCATTCAAATGCCCTAAATATTAACTCTAAGAGAAACATGGAAGCAAGATCGCTGTCCTGCGTGTCGCTGTCTGGCGCCTCTAGATTGGTTAGGGGTAGAAGACCCTTTTGAGAGAAGTACTAACTATTTCAAAGCGGCCTTTAAGGAACATAGTATAAAATGATATGTCTAAGTAAAAGTTAGTAGTCACTCGATGCCAAGTATAGACTGTACTACCGATCAAATAGGGAATATCATGAGAAGCGAATGTACTACTACCGATTACTCAGCTTGTTTTTCGTTATATTTTGAACCAGGTCCTCCAGTTGAGGCAACGAGTTGGAACGCCCACGATTCTTCTTCAAGCTATCAGAATTATGGCAATGACGAGAACAACTATAGACAGGAAGGAACAAAAGCGAACGACCCCAAAGGAGAAGATTGGTGGTATGGATGATGTTTTTTCTCCCATTTAACAGACCATCGAGGCAGGCCCTTTCCCCCTTGCAACAAGCAACTGTATAGGTTAAAGGAGGCCTCAATGGTCTGCCTCGATGGAATGGACACCATCCATATGTGGTCAGACGCATGGTGGTGGACAGAAGATGACGGTGAGAAGTACTACGGAGGTGCATCTCGCGATATTGATTAAGGCTTCTCGTAATCCATCTCGTGCTCGTGGAGCATCCTGGGACGGCTTTTCAAGGGGAAAAAGATCGCAGGATGATCAATCCTCGGGATGTTGAATTAGGTGGATGATCTCTAAAATGAGAAGCATGCAAGAAAGAAGCGCAAGGTGGTCGTCGATTCATACAACAACCATGAGGAAGATAAAGCGGGAGCGGTGTCATATGCGGATGTCGGCGACGAACGTCCCTTACGGAACCACTACAGCTATTTTAATAAGAAAAGAACTGAAACGAGAACGAGTACGAGTAGGAGCACCAGAAGAATGCCTATGCCCCTACCGCCCCCAGCGGCACTTGACACGTCGACATTTGTTGCATCAGAAAAAAGGACTAGTACGACAAGAAGGACAAGTACGTGTAAATACGAAGAGGAGGATCATGATGAGGATCAACGTCCCGACTTTTCGCCTAGCACAATGTATGATGCCACTCATTGAGAACAAAGATATGGGAATCTGCTCGTTCCAACTAAATAGTGAAGGCTGTAAGAGGGGGAACGACGTTCTTCCCCTATCGACGTTCTCAATAAGTGGAAGCATTCACACAATATTGCCTCTAGAATCTCGCTTAATGCTGAGTCAACTGGCAAATCACCGTGGCGACTTTCGTAAGACGATAGACGACGCGATTATTCGGGAAAAGGGCGAGCATCTGAAGCGCGCCTATCGTTAAGGCTCTCAGTAATTCATCTTTGACTGCCCCTCTCTTCACTAATAATTCATCCATAAGAACAGGTATGCTCCTCGATAAACTTGACTGTCTCACCGATAAGAAGTTTGACTTCTGCATCCCTGAGAGGTATGCTCGGTTGATTGTTCGCGTGCTACGCTTACCCCTTCGAGATGATGCAGTCGAGAGATGAATTTTGACGGAGATGAGGTCTAACATCAGGAATGCCTCTTGGAAAAAATGGCAGATATTAGTAAAGAATTTTCAACGGGAGCGATGGCAGACGAGGAAGGCAGAAGGGAACATGAGCAACACGGGAGAGGGCAAGGACTACAGAATGCACCCAGCAAAAACTACAAGGGCAAGGGGAAGGGACGACGGTCACGCCGCCAAAGAGGGGGAAGGACAGTACACCAACGTTCTACAAACGACGTTGCAGTAGCACGCACTACAGGCGAGGACGTTGCGGTGGGAGAAGGTCATGGTGCTAAGGGCACAAGTAGTACCTCCTCAGGTGCTAGAAGTAGAACCGGAGCTGTTGTGTATGATGCCACTGATTGAGAGTCCAAGTTATAGGGGAATGTCGTTCCTAAGTGAGAAGGCAAAGCGAGAACGACATTCCCATATCGAGCTTCTCAATGAGTGGGAGCATTCACGCTGAGCATGTTGAGGATGAGGAGTTTGGTGAGCCCCTACATCGCAACACGCTACTCGACCGAAATTCTATTCTCGACTGGCTTCGTGAGACGCTCATTGCCAACCGATACAAAGATCCTAGACTCTTTATGTTCTTGAATTTGAATTGTCGCAACGGAATCAGGCAGCCACCGGAGATTCATTGTCACGCGGTTCGTCAATGAGTGATTGAGTGAGTGAAAGATTCAAAATACTAACTTCCCAGCTATTGCTACAGTTACACCTACTTACCACCTATACTACTTAGCATCGTAGGATACGATGTTCTGTTCTGTCTTACTTTGCCAAAATATAAGCAAGATGAGAATAGTATTATAATGAAAGAGTATAGTAATGGTAGTGGGCTGCCGTTTCTCGATCCACAGCAGCATACGGATACTACTTTTCTTCAAGTAATGGTAGTGGGCTGGGGCTTCTTGATGAGAGTAACAGGATGGGTGTGTGGAGTTTCTTGATCCACTCTCATCTCTCTCAACTGCTCTCTCTCTCTCTCTCTGGCTCTCATCTTCCTCACCCTCTAACTTGGCAACCATTCTAGAGGAAGTGCTAGCAGCATTTGCTGACCTACAGGATCTCATGAGGCGGTGTGAAGTTCGCTACGTTAAGGCCTGATTTTCGCCACTATCTTCCCAACCCATGATGTGATTGGACTATGATGCTGTGGAGCAGTCCCCTTCGAAATCCTAGGGAAGATGAAGCAAGTACTCGAAGACTGAACATAAGCGAGTTAGTGACTAGAATAGGAGAGCTAGCTTTGCAAGACTACTCTCATTTCAGTACTATCCTCTGCGTTATTCTAGTTATTTACTTGCTTACTTCAGTTTATCGAATAAGTAGTACTAGGACAGCACTATAAGGGCGGAGGGAATGGGTAAGGGAGAACCCCACTCAGCATCTCATAGCCAGAGAGCCCAGTCATCTCACCATAAACTACCTCGTCTAACTACGCGACGCTTGCAGAAGAGCAGAGGCGAGCTGTGGCGCTGAGTACACAACTAGAGTCAAGAATACAAGACTACACGACAAAAGTAGAGCATTTGATGTTATGTGGAGGAGACAATCTGACTAAAACACGTTGAGAAAATCTGCTACTACGAGATGAAACTAGCATGATTAGTTATAGAGATTGTGAAGCAGTTCGTCATTTTCCAAAGAAGATACTTCTTCCAACTCCAAAGATAAGATATCAATTACTCAAGAACACGAACTCATGGTGCTCATCCACATCCGTCTCCTACAGAGTCTTGGTGACCAACTAATCTGAGAAAACGGAAAGCGTTTGGTCTTGGACACGTTAGTCTTTGATGGGCGCGTCAGGGCAGGCTGGAATGCAGAGTTTCTTGCGATGGAAAGGCTTGAGGACTTGATCGCCAATGCGATGAACAGAGTTAAGGCGATCATAGATAGAGGTCGGGTTGATGCGATGAGTACAGTACTCAGAATAATGCGAAGGTCTAAGTATTTGTTTGTATGATTTTCAGTTAACTAGGGGCAGGGGCGGCTATTCATCCGAGTAGATGAAAACAATGACTATTGCATCAACTTGCTGCAGCCTTTAAATTTGCCACGAGAGCTGCACGAGGTACAGCAAAGACCTCCTCCTCCGCAACCAGATGGAGCACAGACGACCAAGATGAGATCGATTTTTTTGCACCATCTTGTATTCCCTTTTGCGTTGCACTCTCGTTACACCAGAACCTGGAGGAAAAAGTAGCGGCAGCTACTCGTACAAATAGAACGCTAAGGCTCAAATAATTCATTCCCAAGGCTCATTCCCTTCTGTGTGTCCTTCTTAGACGAGCTTGGAGAAAGGAGCTAAAGAAATGAAATGTTTTCAGCTCATCTAAGAACTACATTGGTGGACCGCGAGCGAGAGGGGCATCAACTACAGCATGATGCGGGTCCCATTGTCGCTCTCGACAGCGAAATCGTCCCCATGGATCTTTACACCTTTGAAGAGGAAAGGAAGGGAGGACACGACGAGGACGACCAGCACATCGACATCATTATAGAAGACAATTATAACAAGAGTAGTAGACTAAGGGTAGGCTTTTGGTGTTTCTGGTATCGTTTGTTTTGACTCTCCCAAGAGGGAAGGGCATACTAACAAACCGGGGAGAGAAACGCCAAGGCCCTCCCGCTAAGTAGAGGCAGAGACAAGGGCCACCTCCAAAGGTGCCAGAACTACCCTACGAATGCGAATGCGATCACAACTACCCGGAGCACCACTTCCACCGATGCTAATAACTACAACAACGTAGGCCTCAAAATCAACAACTCTTTTGCTACCTTAACGAAAACAACATACCTCTCGCTTGTTGAGGAGTTTGCTCGGCGCTTGAACGCGTCACGGTTCGACTCATCTTCCATTATGGCCAGGTTCGTTTTACGAAGTGTTCCTGTAGTTGCCGTTAGTTGGCCTCATAAGTACGGGGGAAGACGTAACTAACGGAAACGGGGTAAGGGAACAGGAACACCAAATTCTTGCCTAGTGTCGCTAGCTCCTGTAGTGTGACTAGTTCCAGTTCTAAAGCTCGTGTGACTAGTTCCTGCTGTGGTACTAGTGTGGCAGAGCGTTTGGAGGAGTGGGCTGCCGAAAATAGGACGACGGCAAGGCTTCTCTTGGAAGTAGATCGATTCGGAACTAGAAAAGCACCAGGGCACAAGAACTCTACTTCATCGTCCTCGACGTCCGGCACTAAAAGTACTTGTACAAGTATCACCAAGAATACTAAAGCAGGTGTTGAAAAAGAAAGTGAAAACGTGTATGACGCCACTCATTGAGAGCGAAGCCGAAGACATGGGGACGTCGTTCCTAAGTCAGAAGGTAAAGGGGGACCGACATTCTCCTATCGACGTTCTCAATGAGTGGAAGCATTCAAAATGTAGCGTCTTCTTCCTTTGTCAATCATGTTTTTGCGGGTGTGATTTCACGACGTCAAACAGCATCGCTTTCGAAGGTTTTCCTAGAAGGGGCGAACGACAACCAGAACGAGAATAATCAGAATAATATGAATGAGCCGGCTCGTCCTGTTCTTGGAGGTGCTAGTGAACATGCTGAAGCTGGACCACGAGAGTTGTCGTACAACGTCTCCAGCATGACGAGCTTAATAGATTCTGCCTACAGGAAGACTCATCTCGCATTTCAGCCACCAGGTGCAAATCTTTTGCCTTACCGCCAGGTGAGTGTCCCTGTGCCGCGGCCGCCAGAAATGCGGGCGCCTCTTCTTAAGATTCTAGTTGTACATGGTAGCAGGCAAGCGCAAGTAGAGTAAAAAGCAGTGCATTACCTTCTTCAACTACAACTAGCTAGGGTTTATTAATGTCGTATAGCTCCTACACCTACTGCTACAACTACTACTTCTGAAGGCTCGAGGCATGCTTCAAGAGTCGAGAAGTATAGCGACAGCAGAAAAGAACTGTGGTTGCTAGAAAAAATTGATAAAACCGGTATTGTAGCTTTGCTTCGGAGGCTGTACTATGATACTGGGTGGCCTCAAAAGTAGACAATAATAGCTACAGAAGAGGCGCCATGGCATGACATGACTACTACTAGATAGCAGTAGTTAATATTTTGCTTAAGAAAAATGCGCTTCATCTCGCAGTTAGATTTAATGTTGCACTTCAATATCTTATTATATCTTCAGGTTCAGCTACAAACTCCTGCCAGCCCTTCTAATATTCCCGTTGCTGCCTCAACGAGAACGACACATGACCAACAACAGCGTGAAGCCGAAGCCATGCATGCCAAGTGGGATGCTTACATGCGGGAACTTGAGTTAAGGGTTGGAAGTTGCCCTCTCTAGGGGCATCTCTACGGCTCCTCTAAGTACTCGAAAACTGAAAATATTCGAGTTGGTGACTGCAATAGGAGAGCAAAGGCTACTCTTCCTTCAGTATCTCGGTTACTTGCGTGTTTCAGTTTATCGAATAGAAAAGCCATAGATATGCGAGCTTCCAGATGGGGTCAAGTTTCAACCCCTAATAGAAGAGTACTGTGAACATCTTGTGGACTTTGGCAGGAAACAGGGCTACGTTTAAGGCTACCAAGCGAGCATCCTCAAACAACATCATCCCTGCCTCATTTTCAAGAGGGAAATGGATCCACGGATGGCCTCAGGGATGCACGTTGGTAGCTCTAATACGTACCGGAGCCGTCGTTTTCTCTCTCCTCCTACGTGAAGTGTTTTGACGTGCAGATGGACAAGGAAAAGGTGACTTCGCCGGACGTCGAGGTAAAGGAGAAGGAGCAAGATCCCCGTTCTACAAACGGAATAGACCACGTAGATGAAGTAGGAGTAGTTGTAGACCAGGACGGCGCTCATCTTCAATCTTCGATAGTCAGTTTGGTCGTCGACGAGGGGACCTCCCAAGAAAGTAGTACATTGATCGATGCCTCTGCTCCCTTGGTCGCTAGGTGGAAGGCTTCTACACTGTCAACGAGTACAACCAGAAATAATAGAAACTATACTTCTCCAACTCCCGCAGCTCTTGCAAGTAGAAATACTTCTACAACTACAACAGCTGCTGCTGCAGCTTCTGCTGCATCAAAAGTTAATCATGAGAAGACTGCACAGCTGCGACTCTTGAACGATTCGCATTCTATAGGTGGAGGAGGAGCTGGGCTGTTGTATGCCGATGTTCTACGGAATGAATCCGTTAGTAAAACAGCGACAACAAGTATGACAGGATCAAGTGTACTCATATGCAACGCAGGAGACACTTTCTAGCTACTTAGGAAAGTGCCCCCTTATTTCTTGAGTATGAGCACACTCTTTGCTGTCATAACAGGGGATGCTTTTGATCTTGCAGCTACAGAGAACCGCTGCTTGCCCGTGACAGAGGGACAGAGGGAAGATGCGTTTGATCTTCCTGCTTGTTCAGACACTATTGAAGATTATAAGGAGGTAGCTGCAGGAATACCATCCGCGAAAAAGGACATTTTCCGACCACTTGATGATGATGCTGGTGCTTTCTCATCTTCATCTTCTCAGAAAACAACACAAATTTTGTGTAGTAGTTCCGAGGTTGCACCCACAGAAAATACCATCCCTTACATCACGTCGCAGAGCAAGATGAAAAGTAAACAGCTGCTGCCAGCGAAAGCACCCTCTAAGCAGGTAGTCTTAAGGGTGCTGGACTTTTGGTGTTTCTGTTGCCGCTTGTCTTGACTCTCCTGCTAAGGGGAAAGAGCATAAGAAGCGGGGAACGGAAACACCAAGGCGCTAGCACCTCTAATAATAGAAATAGTTCCCGCGAACATAAAGCCTCCTCAGCAAGTCGTGGCAATGAAACCTGCCCCACCACCCAAGGCACGAGGTATTCCAATTCGAAGAAAGAGTGCAGCAGGACTAAACGCCCTGCCTGGTAAAGCACGACTCTCCAGCACATCAGGTAGAGCCTGGCCTAGCAACACGAGCAATCTTCGAGGTGAAGAAACCGGATCACTAGTAAGGCTGCAACGCAACAAGAAAGCCATCTTCATCTTGATCTTCCCCAGCGTCTTCCGTCGTCCCGTTTTTTTTGAAGGGACGAAAAGGAAAAGGGGGCCAGGGATGCTTTTCAAGATGGATTTCTCTTAGTAAGTTCTAACACTAGCAAGCGGTACGACTAGTTCCATTTCCTCTTCTTCGTCGTTTTCCAAAGCTGAAAACTTCGTCAACAACATGTCGTCAGCATCCGGAAGTGCCAGTTCTAGTGTCAGTTTCACACTGTGCCCGCCTCCATCAAGCACACGTTCTTGGGATACGACAAGAGCTGCCGCGTTGGGCAATAAAGATAAACTTTCTCCAGCTATATCGGCAAGAACTACTTCAACGCTGCTGCCAAGCCTGCAGCAGGAGTTCGGGTTGAACAACAAACGTAAAGTAGAGAATCTTCCTTTACAGCATCTAGAGTTGTTAAGGCTTGTTGCTGAAGAGTTCCATCTTAGCCAGCATCTTCGGTCCGTTTCCTAATGAGAAACGGCCACCAAGATGCTCGGCAAGATAGATTTATTATACCTCTACTAATAGAAGGCGGGCTACGACTACCTCCACAACAGGACCAAGAGCCAGCACATAAAAACGTAGGTCATCCACAGACCGCGAAGAATCTCGATAAGATTGGAGGTGGTGGCCGTGATGAGTTTGCTGACAGCGACAGCGATAAAACTGAGTGCTCAGAGGATATCGCGTAGTGCACCGATACGTATAATACCTTAGCTCGTCCCTATAAAAAAGTTACAGTTCTTACCTTCATCTTCATTTCCTGATATCAAGAAGAACATATCCTCCTCATACGTATAATACCCTAGCTCGTTCTTCTAAAAAAGTTACAGTTCTTGTTCTTACCTTCATCAAATTATCCATATCCATAATCCTCCCGACTGACCAACACAAATATGAAGAAGTAGATTGACCGACGTGTCTAGTAAGACCTTTTGTTTTCTAGTGGAGCACGAGCAGTTGGCTCTTGTTGTTTCTACTAGTACTAGTCGATCCTTTTTATAATAGAGTGATATTACTTACATTTTGGACGCCATTGATAAGTTCGCACTGTCGCTTCGACCCAGAGTGTGAGGTAAAACGAGACTCGATTGAGAGAATGCGTTTCTTTCCCTCTCCTACTCCTTCTTAATACCGTATGCACCTTGCCGGCCTTACCTTTCTAGGGCCGAATGGTGCTATATTCCACTTAACGTTAGGGTGCGGCTAACTCTAGTTTCTGTCTTGGTGAACCGGTACCCATGGCCCTGACAGTTGTGGCGACCTAGAGTTAGCGCGAGCACCTACCCCCTCTTGTTCCTTGCGCCTAAGGACCGGGGATGGGACGCCATGGGCTGTATGCACCCAACTATCTAGTTATTAAATAATTAAATTATCCATAGTTAAGTTCAACCTCGTCTTCTGCTTTTGAGTGCTGAGTGTGAGTGCGTACAGCTTTTACCTACGACCTGCCATTCCTCTTCTACATCGAAGATCAGGGACAACGACTGGACAACTTTCTCTCTCTCTATAGTAGTGGAGGATAACCGCGAGACCGTATGGCGATGATATGCCACGCGCGTCCTCTAAGAGGCTTTTTCGGACAAATTGCATCCCTTTTGACATTGAGAGCGTTTTTTGGACGTGTCTAGAAAGCGAGAAAAAGACAGAGAGAGAGAGAGAGAGAGAGAGAGAGAGACGGCGAGCGAAAGAGAGCCACCTCTTCACTTACGCGTCTGCTGTGGCAGTCTACCAGATCTTTGCCGCGACAGTTTATAAATCATGTTTGGAACGACGATCATAGCACAGAAGACACGAAGCACAAAGAAATCCGGCGAGATCGGACGCGTTGCCCGAAGCGCATCAATACAAACAAACAGAGTGATCCTGATCCAGTGAGCGTTCTGATATAAACACAATGCAATAAAAACTCTAATCTTATTCGCTACTTCTTCTACCACAACTAGACGTCACTAAAAAGCAACACCTTAACTGCTGCAGCATGACGATGTAGTTGTTTTGAGTTTCACTACCTAGAAGAACGAGGATGCTCTAAAAATGTTGTAGCAGAAGTTGTCGTGAATTTATTATTACCTTAGATGTTGATCGACAAAATTACCATGCATAGGTAAAGATAAACGAGAATAATGCAGCTGCTTACTCCTGGGAGCATCACGCCTTGTAGTTTGGCTCTCTTTGTGTGTTTTTTTGTCGTTGTCCTAAGTCCACAATGGGTTCGACTCACGTGCTACTTTTCTTTAAGGCTTCTTCTGCTCAAGCATCTCTTCAATATCATCACCTTCCAGATCCTTGGTTCAGGTCCTTGTTTCAGACTTGAAAAAGAAGCCCTCTCCAGGTCATGCTTCAATCAATCTCAAAGAGGAAGATGCGGCAGCTCTAATCTCTCTGCTGCTCGGAGACAGCACTCCCGGTGGAAAAAGGAGCACATCAATCGACTGGTGGCCCGTAGAAGGAAGTAAAAGATGGGTAATGCGGGAGATAAGGCTCTGTACTTGTTGTCATGTACTTGTTGTGATGTGCTTGTTGTGATGTTACGGCAGTCTCTAGAGGTTGGAGCACGCCGGGAGGAGGAAGCAGGAGATCTGCATCTAGAACTTTTTTTTTGATGAACTAACTATTTGTGATGTACTTGTTGTGATCAAGTAGTATGTATAGTATAAATATGTTGTAAAAGAGCCAAGTAGGCCAACTTCTCTCTCATTTTTTTGGTCGGACTAATCTACGAAATCGATGCGACGGCTTGGCCCTGCCGTTAGCTAGAACTAAATGGGACCACTCCATCTTCACGACGATGAGCGCTGTTTTTAAATCGTATTTGTATTAATATTCTAAGAACCGGCTTTCTGAAAAAGCTCGATCGGACGGAACTAGTAAAGAAAGTGGGCCCTGCCCGATCAGTCGGCTGCTTGTGGCGGAATCTTCTGTGGCTTCCAGGACAAGGGCATCCAAAATTAAGGTCGGATCATTTCTAAGGTTGACAAGATTACTCGACTTTGTTTAGTAAAGTCTACCTTGAATCACAGTGGTAGACTTTTGTGGAGTATTCTTGGTATTGGAAGTTAGGAATTCTTGGTATTCTTGCAGTTACTCTTAATGTGGAGAACAGGTTCTTTCGTATCTAAAAAAGAGGTTGTTGAATAAAAATATATTTCCTTTTGAACCTATAATGAATTCGATAGACTCAAAATCGAGATGCGAAGCAACCTCTTACGGCAGTTACGACTGGCTTTGGTCGCCACCCCCAGTGGCTAAAGATTATGGCAGGCGTCACGCGCTTTTTATAGTGATCATTGATTGGAGTGCGAGCCAGCGACCTCTGTAAAGAACCCGTCCTGCGTCTTGCGAAAATTTCAGATAGAATTAAATAGTGCCTCATATGCTACCTTACTTGTCGTGGTGACCGATCCCCACGACCCCTCTTCACTTGCCAGCCATAAAATTCCTCTTGAAAAATAGACTATTAATCATCCAACGAGGACCGATCACCTCCTTAATACCGTCTTGCCTAGACACCCAGTAGGTCCTTACTCTAATGTACGAAAAACTTCGACAAGGATGTAAAAGAAGTAAAAGGAATCACAATGATAATGCAGCCGTTGTGGACGTTTAACGTTGGACATGGCATCTTCGATGAGCTTTTCCCGGCGTTTGCAGGCTTTGCGAGGCTTCTGCGATATGGTAACTTGACGAAGAAAGTCTTAGAGGACATGCAGGTTGAACAAGACGTGTATGCTAGCGCTATTTGGTAGCCTGAATTTGATCATAAGTGAAAACAAGAAGAGAACCCTTGTGATCCAATTCAGGCTACCAAATACCGGAACCATTCAAGACGTAGCAAGGCGCGCGAGGCTAGGGCCATCCACCTCCTATTTGCGTCCTGAAGATGCCTCTTTCAGTATGCTGATGTCTGAGGGGAGAAGCCATGACGGGGGAACGGATTTTCTCTAAGGCACTTGTCGGACTACAATTACTTCATAAAAAATTAGGTAAGTCTAGGTATAGGCATATTAGTGTTGGTAGTTGCACTTCATTGTTTGAAGGCAGCTCTAGTACCCTCAATCCATCTTTAACCCTATATATAATAGATCACGGTCTACCACCATAATAGGAAGCGGCACATGCTGCAAGAGTGCGGAAAGATGATCTTCATCCTCAAAACTGGAACTGCCCACAGGGATCATGAACTCGAGAGGCACAGAGATGTACAGCTTTAATTTCTAGCGGTTGAATATTTTCGACTATTCACATCTGCCTCTGGGTCTGGTCACTTACTTGCACCGGATCGACAAGCTAAGAAAGTCTTACTGCGGTACGCCCATGTGGGATCTACTCATCTCGGGCAACGAAGCAACGAACCTAGTGCTAAGGCTCACAACTTTTACACTGTACACGATCCAAAGATCTCTAGAAGTTCATAGATATTATCTTTGATTTCATTTTCTCTGTTTTCAGAAGACATTTGATACTTGCGGAGCTCTAATGGTGGAACCATGCTCGCAGAAAGTTGGGTTTTGCAAGCCTTTCGCAACCGGTTTTGGAAGGGAGCTAAGATAAAGGTGGACCCTGGGAGAGCATGTGTAGCATTATGGCTCCTGGTACCTCCTCCGCGAGGACTGAAGCACATCCGCGAGGACTGAAGCTGTATGTATAATTGAAGCATGTGGAAGATGTGCATCTCGTGGTCCTTAAAAATATCTTAGAACTTGCTCCTATCGTAGTCGCGTCATAATGATGATCCTTGTCCTTGATGGTTCTTCATCGTCTCTTTCTAGAAGGAAGACGCTCCTCCTTCCAGGAATTCACTAGTGGCAATATTAACTGAGAATATTGTATATGCCAAATAGGAAGTGCAGCAAACGAAAGTGCAGCAAAACGACGACCCAAGCGCAGTAGAAGCAGCTCTAATGAAGGGAGCGACTATGAATGTAGTCATCGTCTATAACAAGAGGTACAATTCAAGGGAGCGCTCAGCTTTAGAGCGTGTGGCAAGGGAAATTCACGAACAAAAGCAGAGCGTTAATAGTACATCCAGCTTCAAAGCTAGAGTTATGGTCCAAGTCCATCTTTCACTTTCGCGACACTTTGTTCCTCTTTTTAGCATCATTATTTACAGTGTCGCCCATCTTTCTCGGCATCTTGTTCCCCATCTTTGTCGGCCTCGGCACTGTAATATCTGTATAAGTATTTAATTGCCCTCATGAAAAACAACGGGAAATAAAGGCGGGTCGACCGCAATGAATCCACCCCTAAACCACAACTCTAAGCCATCCTAAACCACCCTAAGTCACCCTAAACCACCCTAAACCACCCTAAGTCACCTTAAACCACCCTAAGAATCCAAAAAAGCACCGACTCCTCTCTAAGAAAGCGATATACCTGGACTGGGGTCGTATCAGAGAAGAAACCTTCGTAAAGCTCTCGGGCATGTCGGTTTCGAAAGTAAAGGAATACCTAGGCGTTTCTCCAGAAGAAGGCCTCATTTGTATGAACAAGGCATCACATTAGCTATAAAGAGCAGCAGCAGGTATCACCATTATAATTGATATATCGGGAATGTGTGACAATTCATAAGCCAGGACGAGGCGGCTCGTCGGTCTACTTGATGCTCTTATAAATATAAAACACATGCCCAGAAAGCGGGCCCATCAAGGGCCCGCTGCGCTGGGCATAGGTTAACAACTAGACAGAACGACAACGAAGATACAGAAAGACAAACGAAAAAAGTCGCCAGTCTGCTCGCGGCCAAGGCGAAGGCTGGGAAGCTGGCCCCCCCTGTGGCGAAGCTAGTAAGGAGGCTACTGCTATGCGTGGCTACTGCCTTGGCCAACTTGCCTCAAAGGAAGCCAATGGGCGCCAAGGCTGGACTTTTGAGCGTCAAGAAGTCCATGAGAAGGCCACGCGTGGGCATATGCATGCGCAGAAGTTGGGCCTTTTTGAGTGTGATCATGTCCAAGAGAATTCTAAGGCAGAGCATAGCCATGGCAAAAGGCCGACACTGGCGAGCATCATGAGGCCCATGAGGGAGCCACACTCGGGCGCGTCGATCTATTCCGTCGCAGAAGCTGCGCCCCAACCTTCAAACACGGAGACGCATCAGCCTGGCCCTCTCATGGACATGATGACGCTCACCAGGGTCCACCCTTCAGACATGCAAGGGCCCACGGCTATCGTTCTCACAGACATCGACAGCCTCAGCGTTTTCGGCTTTCATTTGCGGAGGCAGATGCATAGGCTTGGCTTTCTCATGGACATGATGACGCTCGCCAGGGTTCTCCTTTGAGATGCGCAAGGGCTCGCGGCTATCATTCTCACAGACATCGACCTCCCCAACGCTTTCAGCTTTCAAATTACCACGGAGATGCATAAGCTTGGCCCTCTCATAGGTGTGCTGACACTTACCAGGGTCCACCCTTCAGACATGCAAGGGCCCAGCGCTATCATTCTCCCAGACATCGAGGCCGACACCCTCAACGCTTTCAACTTTCAAGCGCGGAGCTGTATGGCCTTTGCCTCCTTATGGACATGATGCAGCCCACCAGGGTCCACCTTTCAAGCGTGAGCCTTTTGAGATTGAGCGCGGTCATGTCCATGAGAATTCTAAGGAGAAGACCCGGGGGACGTCGATGCCTGTGGGGCGAATAGGTCGGGGCCCCTCCATATCTGAAGGGCGGAGCCTCTTGAGCGTCATCATGTCCATGAGAAGGCCAAGCCAGCCTGGACACCCCTGCGCGCTCGGTGTGTGCGGAAGGCAGTCGCGGAAGGGGAAGAAGCTAACTCTTTCCCTGAAACTTCTGGGGGGTCGTTCCGTTTTTTCTGTATTTGAATGACCTTCCTGAAGTTTTTGAAAAAAAAGGCGCTGGGTGATAAGGGCAGCGGTTGGGAGTTCGTTGGGGCGATTCGCTAGGGGTGGGCGCGTAGTGTGTCGGGGGGGATCACGCTGGGGGCTGGCAATTTGGGTGACAAAGTAGACCACTGGCAAGAAGCTCCAGGAAGTGCCTGGACTGTCAGGCAGAACACGCGTGAGGGCTTTGCTTCCTTGTGAGTCTTTGGAAATCCCTTACGGGAGGGTCTACTATTAACCAAAGGCTATAACAGCTCTCCCTTAAGGAGCTTCTTTAAGGCAAACTTTCTCTCTTAAGGAGAGTTATAGTAACTTTTTGTAATAGTATAGAAATTCTTTAAAGAAAGCAATTTCCTTAAGGAACGCACTTGAAGGAGTCCCTTGCTTAAGGATTTCAGAAAAAATCGCTAACCTTATAAATACTATTATATATTGTAAGCGATCGATCAAATAAAGCTTGCCCTTGAGCTTGACGAGAAGTATGAAGATGGTGATGAGAAGTAGCAGTGCAAGTGGTGGATCTCTGTATGCTCTTGATCAAAGATGCAAGTGCGACTTACCCTTAGATTGCAAGCCCTGGTGCTGTTGATCTTCGTTTCCTATTTTGATTAACCCTCAACATTCTTGTCAACATAATTGTTCTAAAAGATCCCGAACTAGAGCAATAACGCAGCTTCGCTTGTTGGCTTTTGTCGACGTTTACGTGTCCGGTCCAGGGACGGGCTTACTTTAGGAATCCATGCATTCACCATGCATTCAGTTTCTCCTTATCCTTCCTTGCGCTTGGTGAAGGTGCTCATGATCCGCCTGGTTGATGTGCTACCAGTTATATATTATCTAGAAGCATGAGTTTGAGTATCTATGTGAATGTTATAAACCAAAGCCTTGTTCTTGACGTATCTATATTTAACAGGGGCGCGGATATTCATTTTCATATTGTCTAGGATGTACTTCAAATGGAAGTCCCCTATAGCGTCTCTCTCTCTCTCTCTCTCTCTCTCCCTAATAAAAACGTTTTGAAGTAGTTCAAAACCCTAAGGGCCTAGAGAGAGACACTATATAGGGCACATGCACATGACTGAGACCTACTCGAAGGCTGAGCATTCTACCATTGTCATCTCCACAGTGTTGGATTGGCAAGCTCTCAGGGACGAAGAGCAAAAGGGGTAGCAATGCTTAGAAATAGAAGATAACTGGTCACCTTGTTCCTGGCATCCTTCGATGAACTCGAAGATCGGATTGGTTGGGTTGGATTCTTTCCTTTTCGTTCTCTCTTCATACATAAGTCTCTCTTCTATCATAGCTGCTCCGATCATCTTCATAATATAGGTTAGGCCTCTCCTCTGCGTCTGCTTCATGAAGTCTGCCTCTGCTTCATGAAGTCGAATGATTAGATCAACCACCCGATCGGTATTCGCCGCATTCATATCTCTGCTTCGCGAGAGTCTATTCCTTCCCACTTCATAGAGTGAATCACGCTTTTCTTCGCGATGGTGCTGTGACGGTAAATCTTGGGGAGATGGGGGAGATGTTGCACCTCGGAGGGAAAAAGAAGTGGCGGCCTAAAATGTACATGGAAGATTACGGCTCCTCTAACCCTAAACTTCTAAACCCAACCCACCTAATATCTTCTATTTCTATAGATACAACGGTATACTATGAGGGTGGGATAAGTATCAGGCTCTTCTATAGAATGGGTCACCTATCGCTCTCACGCACCGTGGTATAGGTACACTTACTACTGATGATAATGAATGTTCATCTTGAAAAGTTTGTTAGTCTGAGCCTGAGGCACTTGAAGAGTGAGAATTAGAAGCGAATAGCTAAATTGAATAAGAGAGTCACTACGCTGCTCTCCTTTCAGTATCTCGGTTGTTCTAAGAAGTAGCTACTTGCTGACTTACTTCAGTTTATCGCATTGCTCTAAGACGAGTACTTCGCGTCTACTATGGAGTTTCAGCGCGGTCTTTACTACCCTTAAGGCTAGCCTTTTCTTGGTATTTTACCGCACTATATAGCGTTTGTCTTGACTCAGACAATGCACCAGACTTCTTAACAATAAAAACTTGAATTTCATATTAATTTTCTCACTTGACGTTTCTTGCGTTTGAAGGTGTTCTATCTCCCCGTTAAGTCTGGCGCATTTTTCCACCCCTGAGGCTCAGACTCAGAGAGTCAAGACAAACTGGAACAGAAAGAGAAACGCGACTAAATAAAGGCTATAAAGCCTACCTCTAACGGGCGCGCTGCAAGGCGAACGAAATCGAGCACAAGACGGCTCAAAATGTCATATCCGAAGCGATCAGGAACGCTAGGAATTGCCGAAGCAACTTTATGCAATTATAGTCGTACTCTTGAGTGATTTTCTTGACTTTATTTACCTCAAGTACTAATATCATAATCATTCATGTATATGTATATGAATATCAAGGACTTCTCTGGAGCGCTGCTTTTACATACATGACGTTTTTTGCCTTGAAGTGAAGATGCTCATGGTCATGCTCTTGCTCTATCTTTGACGGTAAGCTCGAGGATATATGAGCCAGGGCTTGGGGCTACGGCACCCCTCCTAGCGTAGGGGAGGGGGTACCGTAGCCCCGGACCCCTTTTGGAGGCGTCTGCCGGGGGTGGAAGGCCTCAAAAGGGGGCCAAGTGGCCGCCTCCGCTCCCTTCAAGGTGCTTGGCTGTCCCCTAGATGCCTCCGACGTAGGTGGAAGCCCTCAAGAGGGGCCCAAGGGGCCGCCCCCGTTTCCTTCCAGGTGCCTGGCTGTCCCCTAGAGGCCTCCGACGTAGGTGGAGGGCCTCAAAAGGGGCCCAGCCAAGGGACCGCCTGCGCCCCCGTCCAGGTGCCTGCTTTTGCCCTAAGTGGCCCCGATATGCTTCGCCGCCGCAGCAGTGCGCTGGTAGTGGAAGGCCTCCGAAGGCGGCAAAAGGTGAGGGGCACGGGGCTGGGCCCCCTCTTGCGCCGTGCAGCTTGTACCCTCCGGGCCCTTGGTCATCGGCTTGCTTGGTCTGCAAGCCGTGGCCGCCCCCGGCGGCCTTTTACCCCGAAGACCTCCCGCCTGTGAGGGTCAGCAGAGGCCAGGAGGTTCCTTAGGAACCCGCGGAGAGGCGCAAGGGACCGCCTGCGCCAAGTTTTGAAGCCTTTCACCACTAGAGCCCGCGAAAATCACCGCGAAAAAGCGCGCGCGCGCCACCACAGACCCGACCACAGGGGGGGCGCCGTCCAGCCCTACAACACATATCACATTCTGAATAGTTCTAAGTAGCTCGCATCTGTGGCCCTCGGGCACTTTAAAATGGACTATAGCTCACGGCTGTCGCTCTACAACAGGCTTCTTTGACGGTAAGTTTGAGAATAGAAGTCCTAGGATAACATCTCTCTTAGGTTATACATCATAGCTAATGACGTTGTTGGGCTGTACGTTAATATAGCTCATTTTTACCTTGCTCGGTTAGAGCAGCTACGTCTGTCGCACTTAATTCTCAGTAGCCTTTCTGCAGCAAATGAGGTTCTTCTTGTGATGCAAATGCAACAGAAGTTACTGAGCCTCTACCTCTTGGAAAAGTCTACGCTAATCTGCACACTGTAGACGAAAACTCGAGTCCGGTAGTTAAGGCTAGCCAGTCACTAGCACCATTTAGTGCCGTGAGGAGAGAGGAGGCGTCCTGCTGACTAGAATCCCCGTAGAAGAACCTACCTTGGAGGTGGGGGAAAGGAAACGTACCAAGGGGAAAGGGAGACAACACAAAGCGCAACAGCCCCACTTGTGACCAACTAGAATCTATCCTAGGTAGGATAATAATTCTCTAAGTTTTAATACTAGTAAAGCTTTTAGTGTAAACATAAAGGCTTTAAGAAGTACCTCTTTTCCCCTTTCTCCTCGACACGGATAAGGAATGACCACCAGACCCCGGATAGTGATTGGCAAAGCCTGCTCCTCTAAGGTAGTGAAAGCTTTCCGAGAGTTGATGAAGATGCATAACATCAGTGCGCCCATCGCAGATCCTAGACATCTTTTTTTACGCCAAGACGACCACTGCGACTGGATTGGTGTTGTAATCTTATGTTGGAACTGCAACTATGTATATGTACTACAGATAGGAAGAGAATTTATATAATAGTTGTAATACATGGCGTTTTACTTTTTTTATTTTTTTCAAGATCGCGCCAGGTGCGAGCTTCAGCGTTAAAACTATACAGTTACGATTGGTATGTCTATGTGATCCAATTCTGCGCGCGACATCAACAAGTAAATTACGAGCTTTGATGTTGGTTCTACTCATTTTTCATCCTGATCCCCTCTAATACCAATGGGTCACCCAGATCTGTGCACAAAATTCCGGAACCATTGGAAAATCAAGCAGGAGAACGTGGTAAAGGTCATTATGGGTAGGCTAAAGGTGTTCCTGTTGCCGTTCGTTTTGATGCCTCTCCCAAGGGAGAAGGGAAGAACGAACGGGGTAAACGAACACCAAAAGCTTACCGCTAAGACCAGAAGGAGACACGGACTGGACAACTGTCGCGACGCGGACAAAAAGGCAGCAGCGGATTAGGGCAAGTAAATAGTGGAACCCTTACCGTGTAAGTAAGCAAGGAAATAATTCGAAACCTTCAAATAAGCAGGTACTCAAATTCGAGATGTTGAATAGCTCGAGTAAATTCAGGTAAAAACAGCTCTTTTTAGTACTAGCTCAAATAAATTATGATTAAGTTAACAGCGCGATCTCATGTTCAAGTTGTAAGATAAGGTTAAGGTTCGAAAAAGTTAACAGCCTTCTTTGGAGATCACTTTAGTCGGTTAGGGCTTCGGTTAAGGATAGGTTATAGGGTTGTTTGGAGATCACTTTACTTCGTTAGGGCTTCGGTTAAGGATAGGTCATAGGGTCACCCTACTCCTGCTCTAAAAAGGAGTTTTATTGAACTCGAGTAAGATAAATAAAACAAATTCGACGCTGAGCAATACAACCGCGAGGACGTGGAATTTCACGTTGAGCAATAAAGCAAACTAGACGCTGAGCAAAAAAACCGCGAGGACGGGGAATTTCACGTTGAGCAATAGAACAAATTCGACGCTGAGCAAAAAAACCGCGAGGACGGGGAATTTCACGTTGAGCAATAGAACAAGTTCAACGCGGAGATAAAGATGATAAACATCTAACAAAGTAACAGCACCTATTCTTCACCAGGTAATGAAGGCCAAGAGTTGAAAAACATTAAACAGCTAGCAAACAGCACCTTTTCTCCACCACCAGACAATGAATTCTACTACTTATCAAATAGCAAGACTGGATAGTCTACTGGTGCTACCCAAGAACCGATAATGAATCTACTACGCTACAACAGCACAAGATTAAAGAACAACTGAAATAGTACTTACAACAAATTACTCAGAACGTGGACGTGATGCTTCAAGAACTTACGCCTTCTTTTATTTCCAATCTGTTGTCTTGTCCTTGATAATGTAATGAGCTGTCAAGAGCATGTCGCTGTCTCGGAACTAGGCAGCTGCAAGCTGCTACGTGGTTCGAATGGATATTACGTGAGTCAGTCAGTGAATCATGTCCTCTTCAGATCTGTTGTAGTCGGCGCACTTCTTACTACAGCTTTGAGGGATCATCGCATCAGTGTCTAGGTAGGTAGTTGTGCAGGTACTACTATATATAAGAAAATTTGTATGACGAGAGATTCTCATTCTCTGGAAGATGAAAATGAACAACTACAGAAGGATTTACCTGGTGCAAGCATAGCGGGTCTCCTCGGCTTTACATCATGGATCATGCCTTGGCGCAGTAGAGCTTAACGTGTAAAATGCAGCCTCCTTTCTTGTTCATGCCTGAATTCATACCGTTGAGTAGAGGACCACGACCACCTCAACGAAATCATGGCTCATCAAAGACTTCTGCCCAAGAACTGCCAGGTTGCACAAAGACATCTACGAAGATGGGTGGATCCTCGTTTTTTCCAGCATATTCTACAAGTGGTAGTGCTGCTCTTCGTGGACCTCGTGGAGGTGGGCCTACTGCAACAACGCAGAGTCAGTCGTCCACCAATAGCAATACAACTTCTTGTACGAGGACAACAAGAATTTTGAGGCCGCGTGATGAACATGATCGGTCCACTCAACATCAAACCGGGCAAGAGCAGCAAGAACGTCAAGTATTAAGGCTACCGCTGGAGCATCCGTGCTAGCGCCATATCCTTGCCTGCTTTTTTAAGGGGAACAAGGGCTCAGGGATGGGCTCAAGGATGCGACGGGGGGGTAGCTCTAAAATTAGACGCCGAGGCAGCACATTTACAGAAGATGTTGGAGCAGGGCTCAGCTAACAAGACGAGAAAAAACAGCACAGTAGCTCAACAATTGGTAAGTGCTGTACTTTTGTTGCTGCAAAAACCAGAGCTCAATACAACTAGCGGAAATAAAACAGGAGCAAGCGAACTAGGCGGAAGCGAAAAACAAGTTAAGAATAGGATTGATGAGCTTTTCGGAGTCTCCGTGGGAGATAGAGATCTTCTGCGATCCGGCAACTGTGAAACATGACCTTACTAAATTCTTCAGCAGGACTTCTCATTTATTATGAGTCTAGCTCTAACAAAGCTGGACTTCCAGTGGAATTGGAAGAGCTTCGGCAGAGGCTAAAACTGCCAGAGTTCAGCATGTCTGAGCCTGAAGCGCAAAAAGTTTACATGATCTTAAGGCTTGTTCCCCTGATCCATCTACTATAAGTAACTTGATAGATTGTCGAAAAACATGATCCTGAAGCACTAAGAAGAGGCTACAGCAGCTTTTCAAGGGGAACAAAAGGAAGGGAATTATTACGAGCTCTTCTAATGATTGCTTCTCTTGTTTCGGAGCTGGAGTCTGACCTACGACAGAGGGAGGAACAAAGTTCTGCAATTGCCAAAACGAGTCAAAATCACGTTGTTGGAGCAGCACATGCACAGACGCAGACACACTCGCCTGCAACCACTGGTCCTGGAGTTAAGATCGAAAAATGAGCATTGGTAGTCCTCAGGACTGGTGGGAAGATCCATTTTTCTCTTGTTCTACGGTATTGCCCAGCTCTACCTGCGTGAACAACATCGTCGTACTAAATAAAGCCACTACTATAATATTAAAGGTGTACTTATTATTAAAAGGGTGTACTATATTAAAAGTGTGTACTATGTTGAAGGTGTACTATATTAAAAGTGTCGCTACCTGGTGCAGCTGGTGTTATATCTTCCTTCTTGAAGAGGTGTGCCAGGTGTTTCCCAACGATAAATGTTGCGGAAATAGAAATAGATGTTCTAGGGGACGAGGCAGCGGCTTCCCACGCTGCCTGAGAGAAGCGTCGTCGTGATCTTGTTCTAAATCTGCATACATCACTCGTTCTCGTTGTAATATTAACACGTCAACATACGAGATGGTGATGCTGCAGCTAGTAGTATATTACTCGTTGTATCATACGTTGTAGCCTTCATCTAATACAAGACTCTACGACGACGTATTAGCCAGGCTAGAGAAGCAGACCCAAGAGGCGGAAGAAAGGGCGTCTTTGATTCGGTGGCTTTTGACTGCGGTGCTGACAATGCTTAGGACGCAGCGAGGAGGACCTGAGGCGAGAGCTGTTATGACTGGCAGAGCTGTCGCTTTTGTTTCCTCTACAGGTAAATATATGAAGTTCCAGCGTTTATTTTCTTTATCCTGCAGCACTCCTGCAGTCACAGTGTGGCAATGCGAAGCACTTTTCGACTTGATGGTCCTTTTGTGGGGGCACAAATCTTCTTAGAGTATTCTTCATCTTCGGAATTGTTCAATTTGTTCCATTTTAAGTAGTGATAATATGATGTAGAGGACCACCATCATCTTCTATTTGTAATCGGATTGCGTTTTTTATGTACTAGTATTATATATAAAAATAATGACCTCAACATCTTCTATTTCTAATCGAGTTACTACAACCGAATCAAACAAAGGACCGGAGAATGGCAAAGAGGTACCAGAGAACAAGCCAATCGCAACGCCACAATTAGGGGCCTTATCTTTTGTAGACGTAGAGGAAATCAATGCGTCGAAGAGTACCAGTTTTCTACGCGAGTCACAGGAATTCACGGATATGATAAGGGAAATAAACTACGGAGCGCGGCCTTCTACTGCTGCTCTTGCTCATCAGCGTTCTTCAGATGTTAAGGCAGCTGCGTCAGTGGATTATCCATCTCCAGCAGCATGAGAACAAGTAGACTACTTCAATAGGGTCGTGACCTTTCTCCAAGGGAAAAACGACGAGAAGGCTACTTTTATTACTTAGGATCTTTTATTACTTAGGATCATGACTTACTTTCGAGATGCTGGACCGCTTTTTCTAAAACTGTCAATGCTCGACCATTTGGAGCGCGGCGTCGTGGACACGAAGAGCGGCGTCGTTGTCGTGTATTTCCCGACAAAGTGAAAGATGAGATGTCGATAACATCTCCTGGCCGCAACATGTCAACACCATATCCAAGTAATCAACACGACGCAACAAAACACCCAACAAAACACCAAGATCATACTCATCAGCGGCCGCTTGAGGAAGCTCTATCGCTGGAAGCTCTGATGCGGGACGCCGAAGCTGCTGCGATCGAGGAACAGTCTTCAAATAGTCAACGTAGTAATCGAGATCGAGGAGGAGGAGGACTACTACGTGATAATGAAAGAACGTTTGGTACATCAGCACACTCAACAACAATGTCTACCAATATCAAGCATGAGCAGAAAGATGTAGATGACGTCAAGGCCACGAACGACAACATGAGCAGTTCTATGGCAAATCAAGCAGGTCGCCTCCGCCATGAGCGCGCTTCATTTGCGACGCCTTCTGAATTGCCTTACCCAAGTGGGCTCAATTCCACCGAAATTGCAACGAAGAAGGGAAACATCGAGTTGGATTCAAATTTTTAAGGCTTCTCACCCTTCTGGATATGTATGCATCGATCGATCTACTTACCTGCAAGAGCATCTTCCTTAGAAGTGTTAGGACAACTCTCAAAACATAAATAGTTCTCTTGTAGAAGAAAAGAGGACTACGAAGGATGAAGAAGATGCGGTCAAGTAGGGAGTAGTTTATAGCACGCATGGCGCACGGAGTGCATGGAGTAGCATGGAGTGCATGGAGCGCAGAGCTTTAAGGGTCGCAAGAAGCTCCCCATTTGGCTCCATGCTACTCCATGCGATCCATGCACTCCGTGCCATGCGAGCTGTGCAACCTTATAAATTGCTCTGGCCTATATGTATTACTCCGTTGTGTCTTGCTCCTGCTCACATTCTAGCACTGGTGTGATCTCCGTGAATTCAACAAAGCATATTATCAATTTTACCAGAAATGCTCATGGTCACCGGGTCAAGGTCATGATGATCTTCTAAGAATTGCAGTTATTATCGAAACAAACTCACGCGCAAGCGGAACATAGTACCATTACCACCGGGAGTGGACCACTGGCGGAGCGCCTGGAGGCAGAAGAGAAAGCCCTTGATGAAGAGACGCAAAGGCTTCTAGATATGCTGTCTCGAAGTAACCAGGCCTCACCTTTGCCGAGTGCTAGAAACAGCCCTGAATCATCGCACTCAAGAAAGGAGATGCATCATATTCAAAACCATAAGCAAAAACTAGCACTACAACCTAGCGAGACGAATACTGAAGAGGACGACCAAAAGCGATCTGTGGACCAGCTTCTAGCCTCTGGTAGCTGTAGACGCGGAAGCCCCGCGCATCTTCATGAAGCTGATTGTCTTGGATTTTCGTATACCGAAGATGCGACCAAAGCCAAGATTTTTCCTGTCGTCGTGGTCTCTACGTCGACTACAATTTCGCGGCCGTCTTCGAGTTATGAAGATGAAGTGTCCCTTGAGACCCTATGAGCCGTCTATCTAGCCTGGTTTGGTTGAGGATTTTTGTAGAACATTAATGACGGCACACACGACCTCATTGATCCTAGTGGACCAGCTCTAAACCTTCTCCAAGAAGGGCAGAACGCGTTCTATCGCGGACAGCCTTCCAGGGATACAGGAGAAGACCTGTAAGCTTTTGGAGGCGGCTGGGCAAGTTGCAGTCGACTCTGTCAGTGCTGAACGACGTCGAATCGAGGAAAATTTAGATATGGAGGATGATGTTTTTTCTCAGACCGTCTAGGCTGCCCGTTTTCCCCTTAGAGCTGTATAGGCTAAGTTGTGGGGGCCTCGATGGTTCTTTGTAATTACAACATAGAAGATGGCAAAAAAATCGTTCATATTCGAGCGGCGAATCCAAAATCTACATAAGCTCATCAATTCCGATGCTTTTCTACTTCCTGCGGATGGAGATGTTGGAGTTGCTGGAGTTGAAGGACGTGCACGAGAAGATGAACGTGCACGAGAACAACCACAGGAAGATGAATTCTATGGAGAACCAAAAAAAGGTACGAAAGCAGAAGTTCTTTCGACAAGTCATTCGTCACATTCTAGAGGTGGAGAAGCAACTTCTAGAGGGCGTGCTGGAGTGGTAAGAACTACAACAACGAGTGAAGAGATGAATGACAATTCTGACGAGAGGACATCAAAAATAAGTCCTAGACCACAACAAGAACGACCAGAGCGACCACAGCAACATCAACAAGACGAGGAGCAGACTTCTACTGGAGCTAGAGACGAGCTAGCTAGACAAATCGAACAGCTCCAGACAGAATTGGACAGATTGAGGGGTCCGGTCTTTGAGGACGTGCCGAAGGCCTTTCAGATGGCCCTGGAGTTGGTGAGCCAGCACGGATGCTTATGATGTAGTGAGGCATTGAGTATGTGTAGTTGTAACGGGCTATTTCTTATAGGAACAATATGCTCATCATGTTGATTTTCTTCTAGTGACTAAAACTATCTAGAAATATGTCTAGAGTCTAAGTCGTTGGTCTTCCTCGGTCAAAGTCATCACATGGAGTTGCAAGTATCTGTAATTTATAATCATTTTCGGCAACCAACTTGAGAGAAACTGAACAAACGCAAACAAAAATACCTCCGATCAAAATGAAAGTCATTATCTTCATTGTCTATGATCATAATCATCTGTATCAATGTCAATTCATTGTAATTCCATCAATTGTAGTTCGTTCCTCTTCCTCTTTCATACTACTCGGAACTTTCCTGGGCTGAGGGCTTTTCCGCGATGCACTGGGCTGCTCAGGGAAACAGAACGGACGTCATTCTAAGGCTTGACGGGAACGGAATTCATTTCCGAGGGTCATTTTCTTCTGTTACTGTTTCCTTCTTAGGATTCTGAAGAAATGAAGGAGAGAAGTGACTCCCCTTGCGCTCTAATCAGTGACTATCTCCTCCAGCAAGCGGGAGGACCAGAGTTGTTGGCTCTTAGGGATAAAAACGGCAAGATTCCATTCGAATACGCCAAAGAAGCGGGCCATGATGGGCTTTGTTTAAGGCCGAAGTGAACGAGATGTTACTTTTTACACGTAGGTAGTGGTAGTGCCACTACCCCCACCTACTTACTACCCTACTACGCTAGACTAAGCCTAAGCGTCGCTAGTGGTGGCCGTAGTGAAAGGTGAAGAGCAAGAGGCCTACGTAATAATTACTTAGCCGTTAGTACTAGTATTAGTTGTATACAAATACTCCGAGTGCTTCATCACCGGCCAGTAAGGGTCACCTTTGAAGCACACCACTATGACTATGACCTACTTTGAAGTGTGTGAGTACTAATCATGGTGATGGCTTGTCAGTGTTGCATACAGGTAAGAACCAATACTACAACGTAGTGGAAGTTGTAGAAGAAGAATACATCAAGTGCGGTGAAGAGAGAACTCCTAAGTAACATCACAAACATTTTTGGAGTAGTTTGGATAGCGCTAATCTTCGCCTACCTGCAGACACTTGGGGCAGCGCAGGCGCAGGTAAGTCACATATTTTACTATCCTTAATATCAAAAATATCTTCAGATTTATAACAAGCGCGTCGGCTTCTCGTGAGCTAAGGCTAACTTCAGTAATTTGTGTACTCTGCTCTTTGTCTTTGCTAACAAGGGTGTCAAATCCGACACCTCTATATCAGATGTCCAAGCTTATAGCACAACTTTTTATCGAACACAACATATGACCATACTTCTTAGCCCCTATCGGAGACGCTTGGTCCAGAACTGCCTGATGCATACCGAGAAGTGCTAAGACAAGTCGAGACCGATGGCTGGTCCTCCATGAGGTGGCAGGCAGATTATTCGCTTTTACATTTACGATTGTGTTGAGACTAAAATGAGGTGCTGATGATTACTCGTCATTTCTACATTTAAAAAGATAAATGTAAAAGTAAAGAGAGTACGGCTAGTATGGTTGTAACTCGAATACTTGAGACGGAGGTGGCTCGGTGTGACCACTCGGGACGCACGCGCAATGATGGTGAATTATTACAAGTCTATTGAGAAGGTACAAGATGACTGGATCACCTCACAACTGCTTGGCCACGTAGTAAAAAGAGGGCACATGACATGACACGGCTTATATATAGATTGTTCTATCAATATGCATAGAAATAGAGACGAAGATGTAGGTGACACTGTGGACGGCGAGTCACTTCCAATCCTATCCTATCCAATATGCATAGAAATAGAGACGCAGGTGTCCTCGTCTTAGAAAGATGTCCTCGTCTTAGAAGTCTAACGCCTTGGGCCGCAAAGAAGGGCGTTCGGCCATTAGTCGAGTACCTTGTCCATCTAGGCGCGGACGTGAACGTCGCAGACAAAATTGCGAATCGGAGCCCTCTCGATTACGCCAGCGACTTCGGTCACTTTGAGATTTGCGATTTCCTACAAGGTGCAGGGGCGTTGCCAAGGGTCAAACGCTTAGCGAATTATGGCAATGGCTCATGTTATTTATTGTCTATCTTTCTCTTTCTCTTCTCTCTCCCAAAAATCACTCTTCTCTTTTTTTTTCTCTCTCCTTAGTTTCTTTGCCACTTGGGCTCAATCTATTGAAGATTCATTCATGTTCTCAGATCATGGTGTAGGTCTTTTACTTTCGTCTCTCAGGTTATTCCTCAATATTCAATCGGGTCGCCCAGCGACCCAGCGTGCCCATCCCAACCATCTTCAGATAGGGAGTAAACGGTTCTAGTATAATTGGACTCTGAGAATGTGAATCTACCATGTAAAATCGGGTGAATTCGTTTGCGCTCAGTCTAAGCAAATAAGGAAGCAAAGAGTGTTGAGGGTATGGGTAGCAAATCTCAGGCGGCGGCGGCCGTAGCAGGTGAAGATGGCGACGATGCCAGTACTAGCGGTGGCGCTACTCATCTTCAAGCAGACGCGGGTAGCAGAGGTGCTAGGTCTCTTAAGGGCAGGCTAACGGTGCTCCTGTTGCCGTTTGTTATGGCTCTCATTCTAACGGAAGCCACAGACATAAAGGCAAACGGCATAAACGAACACCAGGAGCCTCCCTCTAAGGCTATTGGGGAGACCATAGAGGAAAAGAAAGAAGCAAGCACTCCAAGTCTTACTCTCAGCAAACAACACGAAGAGCTGCCGAAGTTCAAGGATCGGACTTCAGGAGACGAATCGGCGGATTTGAGACGAGAGGTTGCAACGCTTATAGCGCGTGACCTCTGTGATGGTGATGGACATCCTGGAGGTCGTGGAAGTCATCGTGGCGGAAGAAAAGCAAATCCATCAATACTATTCGGATCGGATCTGCTCCTGACATCTTCAGAAGATATAGAACCCCACCTTCTTGGGATTGCCGCACCGTATTTAGACGCCATTGCTCAAGTCGCCAAACGTGGATGGAATAGAATGAAGTTTAAGGCCAGTCTGGAGTCATCTTCGTCTTGTATCCATGGTTTGGCTTTTGGTTGTTACTTAGAGTTAGAAAAGGTATGCATGTTGCAATCACATTTGTGCGAAAAAAATTCATCCTATCGTTCTTGAGCACGAGTTAGTGACTGCAATGGGAGGGCTAGCATTGCCCGGCTACTCTCATTTCAGTACTATCTTCTGCGTTATTCCGTAGCCATTTGCCTGCTTATTTCAGTTTTTCGAATAGATGAAGACATAGGCACTCCACTCAGATAATGACTCCTGACTGGCTTTAAACAGTGGGCTAATGGGTTTACGCTTCTCCACTGGGCTGCGCGATCGGGGCATGTGGAACTGTGTCGTTATTTCTTGCATAAAGTTATGAAGACGAGACTTCCCTTTTTAGAATAAGGCCACGCACAGAGCACAAAGAAATCCGGGGGGATCGTACGCATCGCCCGGAGCGCATCGAAACAAACAAACAGGGGCACTTCTGAGAACAAGAGCGCCAAACTCTTCATTCCTCGATGAAAATGAACACTATCGAGAATGAATATCAGACCCAGATCAAACACATAAACAAGATATGCCATCATGACATGAGTTTTCCGCTTGGGCCACAACTCTAAGAAAAGTGCTGACCCGAATATACGCGATGACTTCACCCGAAGCCCTGTGGATTATGCTAGACGAAAAAACCACATGGACGCACTCCGCCTCTTGCTCTTGGAGGCTGATAGCAGGGCAAGAGCTGGTGGTGTCGAATGACATGAATGGCAAGAACTGTTTTTAGTAAGGGATTGGCGTGAGTGAGTAGCTCGCTGTAAAATAGTATCCTCGTTTTTCTTTTTTAACTTTTAGGCTTAGCGCAAGAAAATTATATAAATGTTTATATTTATAAGTTAATACATACTTATGTTGAGGGAGTTATGCTTCTGCTGTAATTTGCATTTGGGGGACTTAGGTTTTGAAACTGGAAGAATTAGAATACCAGAGTCGTCTAAGTCATTACACGGAGCTAAAACGCATGCTAGCACTAACTAGAACTTCACAAAATATCTTTACCTATACGTACAAAGATATCAATCTGTGCAAGCAAGATCGAAAAGAAGGCATACTTGAGAAAATTTTCGATTTCGAGTTCTTCCGCATTTTCTGTATCATATTTCTAAATTAAACTTGATCATTTCCATCCCTAGAGTATGTTGACACCAACCTTCAAATATTTGTAGTTCTTGTAGTTGTTCGTGAAGAAGACAATCATGTGTTCGTCCAGCACCAACAATAACAATATTATCTATTACGAGTACTTCGACTTAAGCTAGTACGTCTACGTACTTCGGTATTTCCGCAGCCCCTGTCATGTCATTACCTTCATTTTGTAATGTGTAATTTTCTGTCGGGAGACAGACTCTTTTCCTTGCTTGTTGAGCACCCACGCTGGTGCAGATATTTCCTCAGACGAAATATGAGAAAGATCAGATGTGCAAACAACAAGTTGAAGTTTCGTACAATGATAGGGATGCGCATGCAGGGAGACCAGCGACGAGTAGGCGGCACGTGGCAATAAACGTGGTTGCCGCAGCTTGGGGGGGTGTCCCTTTGGCTTCAGCCTGGTGTGCCTCTCTTCGTTTGGCGTGGCCTCTCCAGCCTCGTTAGAAGTGAGCTTCGGAGGAGCCTCCGCAGCGCGATTGCTCGCCCTTAGGCGCCCGGCCAGGCTCGGGCGGTCGTCGCCAGGGCACACGAGTGGGGCGAGGGCCCCGCTCTTTGTCTGCTTCTTCCCTTTTTGGTTTGCGTTTTCAGCCTCACACTGGGCACCCTGTTAGCGCTTTTAGAGGGTAGCGCCTAGAGCTAGTTCTGCCGCTGGAGTTGTCTGTCAGGGCTAAGAGGGGTCAGCTTTGCGTAGGCTAAATGGAGCCTGGCGCGTTTGCTTCGGGTGGCTTTGAGGTCGGGCGCCTTAGACCGTGTTGACGGTTTTCGGAAGACCGTTTTGGCTTCTTTTGAATTGCCAAACTCAGTCGCAGTGGAGGATCTATACAAAAGCACTAGCGCGTGGCTACAGACCATATTACCAAGAGGCTTATTTCCTAGCGAGTGACGTTAGGTTTATCGTCAGGGTCATGCATGGAAAGAACGCACAGACCCTGACGATAACGTCAGGATTTGCAGACCCTGACGTTATCGTCAGGGCCTGCAAAGGAGCGTCGCTTCGTTGCCGCCATGTAGCATTAACGATCTGTGATCCGCAATTTTGAATTTCGAGTCAGTGCGAGCACCCACCCCCCCTCCCTCCTAGTGCACTTCCACCAGAGTGCCTGGGGGTGGGACGCCAGAGGCCGAAGCATCTGCTTGGGTCGGCCCTTTTCCTTTTTATTATTCAATTTTATTCTAGTTAATGGCTCTCAGATAGGTTTCTGCGAGTTCGTCCTTGCTTGCATCTTTTTACACATACTAACTCCCAAAGGATCAAGAAAGTCTTGCTGTATTGTTCTGGTATTTGGTATAGCCTGATTTCGATCAGAAGGGAAAACAAGAAGAGAATCCTTGTGATCAAATTCAGGCTACCAAATACCGGAGCCATTCCCTGCCCTTGCGATGCTTACTGTGTGGAGGGAGGTCTGATGAAGATAAATCAAGAGCGAAGGCGAGCGGCAGCCTGATTTTAGAACAAGCAAACTAAAAATGCCCCCTTTTTCTCTGTCATTCTATCATCGGTCAGCTTGAGTGAACATCAGTCGGCGCTTATCGATGTAATAAGGGCACGGGGACTGTGGTCCATTTAAGGAGTTTTTTCATTTCGTTTTTCGTGTTCTCCTACCACTGCATTTCATTTGCTAAACAAAGGACTTGGAGACCTGGCTGATCATGATCGTTTGACTGGTACTAGAGGTGCTGTAGCTGTACAAGAACAACTCTGATAACACATACTTGCTAAACAAAGGACTTGGAGACCTGGGTGATGAAGATTTTCAAATGAAGGTGGGATGCAACTCAACATCTGCCTCCCTAGGTCTATCGACTTTTCAATTGGAACCTTCCCTGAGCAATGATGAAGCATCTTCAGAGGTTTCTTGCTGATAAGCCCTCTTGCTTCTGGAGGGTGGTCCTCTTAATGCTCCGACTTTTTCTTCTTCCTATTACGACAGCACCTGCTGTGTGCACTATTTTTGCGTCTTCCTCATTGGTAAGGAGGACCAGTGGTGGTACTCTTAATCTCTCTTCTTCCTCTTCGACAGGACGAATTGGCACGACTGGCAATGGGAGGACAACGAGGACAACCACGAGCCTGTTAGCGGACTTTAGGCAGAGGCTGATCCGGATAGAAGCGCAGCTACTGGCACTGCAGTCTCGAGGACTACCGTTCTCTGAAGGACAGTCATCTTACGGATGGGATTTCATTTTTCTTGTAGCGGGGCTATAATTGAGTATTCGAAGATGACCATGGCGGTCGGTCGATTACGAATTTACTTTGGCTTCACCTTCATAATTATAGCGTATAGCATCTGGCACCCCACTTTTTTCTTCTCAAGGAAAACATTTGAATTTGTTTGAATTATAATAGCGTTCAAGACGACCAAGAAGACATCCACAAAATCAAAAAAAAAGATCAAAAAGAAATTTGTGGTCATTTTTCAAGCACGACGTTCATAATTTCGTGAGACGTGGAAGACGGACCTCGAATCGATGGCTTCACAATCAAATCCGTGGTATACGAACTACCGACTCCCTGAATGAGAGCTTTACGACGGCCAGATCTAAGTAGTAGAGGTCGCATGATTACTAGCTTTAGCGGTGCGAGTACACATATTGAGTCAGAGTGAGAGTGCACGATGAATATTTAATACGATAAAAGTCGATAAAAGAAGAGTCGGAGTGCTACAACTAATATGTCGTACAACATGAGCAACAACACGTAGGCTCTTACAAAAGAAACTGTAACCTAGTTTACCTTTCCCTCTACCTGCTAAACATTCACCTCCTCGAAGTTCTCCTAGTACCAAAAAAAACTAAAGGTCCTGCTACATGATGTCTAGATTCCTCTAGTACACGATGAATATTCTGCTTGGTGTTATGTATCATCTGATAGAAAGTAAAACGATGTTCTTTTCACTGAGTCACTTCTGTTCATAGCTGCAAGTTAGTTCACAGAGAAATCCTCTTCGAACTCCTCAAGATATTACTAGGATTTAGTTTATTTTGATGTGGATGTCATGTGCTATAGGACGAATTAGAATTAGACCAACCAGGGTGATCGAGTAAGGATTGCAATACGAAGCGTACACATGACATTAGACCAACGGCCACTGGTGACCAAGAACGTATGAAAATTAATCAATCTATGTGTAAAAAGTAAATGTAAAAGATTATGCCTTCTCTAAGTTCTCTGCATCTTCTAGAAGTGCTAGATCAACAGGACGACGACGAGGTGCACAAGTTGAATTACTTCTAGACGACGAGGATGCCACTTCTTCGCCGGAAGTTATTCCCATTCTTAGGGCTGGTTTTTCACTGTCCCGTGAGTGGGGATCATGCATGCTCGATGCTGGCTGAGAAGTCCTTGATTTACAGGTGAAACCAAAGGTAATAAAGCGGGTACTAGGCATCTCACTCAACCCGTGACATCAGTGGAAGACTAGCTTTAATTTTCGTGCCGAATCCGCGCCAGCACTACTGGCCTCGGCACAGGAGGAAGCAATTAGTACCTATTCTGGAATTCCCGACTCTGGAACTCCTGTTGCCGAACTGATCCCTGTTGCCGAACTGATCCCTGGTGAGCAACGACCCTACTTAAGACTTCTGGAAGTCTCCCATTTTGCAAACGTGACAGTGGCGGAACATTTAAACTACATTTAATATTACGCAGGTGGACCTCGACCTTCATTCTAGCACGACCTTCATTCAAGCATGCTGGTGCTGGACCTTCTTCATTTAAGGGGGAAGCGGGTCCAGGACGACGACTTTCAAGATAGATTTTGGGAAGGTGGTGGGTCGAACTCCAAGAACTTATTTTTACTAATATAAATAGAAATAATTATAGTAACGAGCTGCAAAGGAAGATCGGGAGTTGTTTCTTCCATATGAATGTTAGTTGAAGTGCATGAAAATATGGATGTTTCTATTAGTCACGTACACAGCTTTAGCATAATCCACTATTGAAAATAAAGTTTGTTTACATCAGCTACACAAAAAGTTAATTCTATTACTTTTTATACTTTAGCAAAGGCTGCTTCCAACACCATCCAGCGAAGATCGGGAGTTGTTTCTTCCATCATCAAAAACTGGCTGTCCGTGGCCACGTAACTGTGCCGCAACGACATTAGCTGGATTCAAGAAACTACTCCGTCGCCGCGAACGGACTTCTGGCTGTGAACTAGATTTATGAGGCATAATTCAAAGCAAAACAAAAACTAGTAGGAAGATGGAAGTGCTTAGCTTCGATTAAGTAGTAAACTTTTCGACTAGTCGCTAGTGCTAAGAAAGTTGTCAAAGCTTCTTCATCTACGGATTGAAATCATACCTGCTCGTGATAAATTGAGTACGCACTAACATCAATGAGAACTTACGCTTGACGAATCCTTTCGATCAAGAGAAATGTACCTCTACTTGGTCTGAAAATATTTTTTGCCTACTAGAAGCCATTTTCATCTAGTTACCTAGAACTAGAAGTACCTGCTTCAACTAATTGATTCTAATCAGAAACATGGACATGGTACTATCTTTATTTATTTCGAGCAGGAGGAGGAGCACGCTTCTTCTAAATATACCTTCAGGTGGAGCTGCTCCACCTTGTGGTGCTCAAGAAGATCTCCATTGTGGTTCAGAAATTTCCGTTCCGAAAGATTTTTGTTGTCCTATCACCTTGGACATCATGGAAGAACCCGTTTGCGCATATGGAGAGCGGCAGTCCTATGTTAAGGAGGGTGTGTCTCGTGTCGGTGTTCCACGTACTTACATCTTGCTGAAGTATATCTCATGTCTTTTGCCGCGGTTATGAGGATCTGTACAATGCAACTAGCTACGGTAATGAGCACGCCCATAAGCGTAACATAGGACTGCCGTTCTCCATATGTCTGCGCTTATCATGGAGAGCGGCAGTCCTATGTTAAGAGAAATTACTTAGAAGTGCTATTACCAGGAGAACTCAGTTCTCTGAGAAGCAGAGCCACAGGATCGAATGTAGGTACAGGATCCTGTGCTGTTGGGTCTAAAGAATACAGGATAAACATAAAGTACGCGGCTCAACAAACACGCCTACGCTACTTAACTACGCTAATAATTGAGTAAGTAGAACTTACGCCAACACCTTATGCTAGGCACATTCATTCACTCATTCACTCACTCACTCACTCACTCATAGAGCTTGTTACAATATTGTAGTAAGTACTTTATTCTACTTATTGTAAGTAGTAGTTCCACCATGTAGTTCTAGTTCATTCCTTCATAGAACTTGTTGTAGTTGGAGAACTTGCTGTTGTATAGTATTATGTTTTGTGACAGCTTCGACAAATCGGCTCTGTAATCGGTTGCTGTACCTCAGGATTTCTGTAAACTTAGATTCTGTGTGCAGTTCCCTGCCCAGGGAATTGGGTTCTCCACAAGAGGCTTAGTTGGGCACTAAGCTTCGGAGACGGGAGGGAAGCCTGCAGGAGGTGCTTATGGGCTTCCCCCTGACCTCACCTTTCTTCTGTCTTCAGGAGATACACTATCCTGAGTACAACAAAGTACTAATACTGTTTTAGACCTTCTTTCAATCCCTAAGCCGCCACTAGATACCCAACTTCCTCCTATGTAACAACTTTGTCTCTTCGCCTTGCCTTTCCAATCACACCACCTTAGGACTATGTACAAAAGAAACATTTAAAAATGACCTCCCGGCAGCAGAACGAGCGGAGTACTCCTCTGCGCAGATGCGGTTAGTTTCTTTCTTTGAGTGAAGTAGTTTCTTGAATTCTAAGGCCAATGCGCTTGTTGTAGAACTACTACAATAAGAATGAAGAGGAGTACTACTTACAATAAGTAGAATAAGGAGCAGAGGAAGTGTTTTGAGCAGTTTTCTAATCGTAAACGGGATGCATTGAAGGAACACCTGATTCGTAGCGGGAGACGAATGAGCACACCCATGAGGAGTGATTCTTTCGAGAGCTTTGGGGGACGAGCACCCATACCCGGTCGCCACCCTTCTATTGTCTATTGTTATGAGCACCAAGAGTACCCGGTTGGCATCTCCTGGTTACTCACGTGATTGATATTCTAACATTCCCCAGTCGTAGCCGGAGAGCGCAGGCAAGCCGAACAAAAGAATCGACGCAGGAGATCAACGAGAAAGGAAGCTGGACTAAGGCCCCTCTTCTTATTTCTAGACTTTTTCCCCCCATGCTGCAATTACAACTATGGGGTAAATGGGTAAACTACTACTACTACTACAAGAACTGTGATCCATTCATTCTCATGATTCTTGATCATGTGTTTCCCTTTCCGAGAAGGAGCAAGTACAGCAAGTAGATTATACTTCTGTCCTTTCTCAATGCCATTCTAATATTTACATATAGTACTAGAAGATCACTTCTTGCTTCTCAGTCACAGTCTACTCCAAGTTCTAGAAGAGCACTTGCTTCTCAGTCACAGTCTATTCTAAGTTCTAGAAGAGCACTTGCTTCTCAGTCACAGTCTATTCTAGGTTACGTCCAATCTACTTAGAATGAGTAGATGAGCACTTATTTCAGTCTGTAGATAACTTACTACTTGAGCACTTGGGTAGGATTCTAATGCAAGCAAGCTCGCCTGATCGATCCGTGAGAACGCTGCTGAATAGTTCGCCGAAAAACATCGTCACGCTGACCAAGGTCGAAAGAGCACGTCTCAAGAAATCAGTACAAAAAGTTAAGAAGACTGGAGGTGGTTGAGCTGGAGGTTGAGGTTGTACTTGTATCAATGTTACGAATTGTTCCTTCGGCATATCTTTCTTTCTTTTCTTGACAACTAAGAAACGACAACAGCTCGCTTTGCTATTCCTATCGATATGCATATCTATCTATTCAACAAGAACTCGATGCATTTTGGCCGCGCCAGACTTTTCCCAGACTTAGGGGACGATTTTTTTAGTCCGAAAAAAAAAAAAGTGTTTTGACCCATGAAAAAAGTTGCTTTTCGCCGGTCGATATCTGTTTAATTTAGTCAGTCGAATTCTGTCGATTTTGATCGACCGTTTTCGAGTAATTATTTTTTTCGTTTACCTCCAAACATATTTTTTCTACAACGAGCAGAAAAAGCAGAAAAACGAAGCGCGGTTTCCGGCCTCAGTGGCCTAGCAAAAGCGAACGTCGCTGCTAGTGTTCGTTGCCGGTTTGGAATTTACTGAAGGGCGGCTCCTGGCGAAGATTTCTATGCTGCGTCTCTTGGACAGAAACAGAAGAAGAAGAACGGCAGGGACAAGAGAGGGGGCCGGACTTGGCTGGCCTCTCTATAGCCAGGCAGCGAGGGCTTCGGGCTGCCCTGTTTTCTAGAGGAGTCACGCCTTGGGCTTGCTCTAGCCCTTATGGCTTAGGCTTATGACCAAGGTCGCGCATCAGTTTCGGCATATGTATCGCGGTCATGCATTCACAACGAAGCGAGGCAAGATCTTACGGCTACGGGCAACGGTATGACCCTCAACGATCTCGCTGCGATTCGCCTCCACTCCCGGCGAGTCCCTGCCGTCTGTTGCTGTTGGTGCTCAGTAAGTTAAAGTCTAGGCATGGCAATGCTAACGAGAACGGCTATGGGATATGAGGACGAGCTATCCGCATCCGCGTCAGTGGCTCCAAGCGCGAGGGGCCTGCTGGCTCTGGAAGATCAAAGAAGATCGAAAACGCACCGAACGCAGTCGCGACATGGAAGCGGAAGGCGATCGCCTGCCAGGTACTGGTATGGAGATGCGCATCGCAAACGCAGGCGCCAGATGAGGCTGAGAATGGTCAGCGCTTTCGGACTTGCCTTTACCGTTACCAGAAAAAACCAGATCCGGATCGAATGCGAATGGCGTCGCCATTGGGGAGCAGCGCCAGGACAGCTCAGACTAGGAGCGAGCGCGGCTCAGTCTCAAGAGCGGAACCCGAGAGCCGAGAGCGAGGGGATGAAGATGAACAGACGAAAACGAAAAGAGGCTACAGGTGCAGCTACTGCGGCAGGCAGTCGCGCGCGCAGTGCTGGCGCAAGTAGTCGCACTGGTAGAGGCGGACCACAGCAATCGCAAAGCTGTAGAGCTGGGAGACTCTCATGGTTCTGCTAACAATGTCAGCGAGGCTCTGACCACTTTGCAACATTGAAGACCTGCTTCGGCCATGCCAAAGGCTATGGAGGTGGGCGATGGTTATGGCCGCTGAAGCTGCAGCCGAGACTTGCCTCCGCAGCGGTCGCCGAGCGCCGAGGCCGGCGCCGCAGTCGATAGCGACGCTTTTCAGACAGCTGGCACTGGCGCTAGCACGTTTCTGCCCCAGTCACCCTGGTACTGCTTAAAGTCGTCAAGAATCTACTTCGTCATCATTCATCCTCCCCACGAAGTCGAAGAGGCAAACGCGCAAGCATTACTGCATGCGCATCGTCTGACTTGTTACCCGCATTCTCAACATGCTCAAGCTCATTTTCTTCTTCAGCGTGAGCGTGAGGGTACCGCTACCGCTACCAGAGCACAAATTTTTAAACGATGCCGGTGAGCGCGAGGGTTAGCGGAAGCGGATCGCCGTGCGTGGTGCGGTTCTCTTGTGGAGCGTGGTCCTTCTAGTTGTCTGCTGATCTTCTCCTTCTGCTTCTGGTTGTGCAACCGCGTCTACTTCTAGATGTACGACTAGCACTGGAACTGGTATGACTATGAAACGGCGACGATCATGATGCGCAGATCTACGTGTAGACCTAGTTCCAGGCACACCTCTCCGCTCTACTTGAAGAGACGGCAGCACCCATCACCGTCATGAGTCACGCCATCGCGATGACATTGACACCATCACGATCACGCCACCACGGCGCCACCATGACGGAGCGCGCTTTCTTGCCCCGGTGATTATCTCCCTCTTCGTCCGTGCAGGTGCAAGCTTTTAGCGCTACAGCTAGATCAAGAGCTTTGTCCGGCAAAAGCGCTGGACCTGGAGCGTCCATTTCGACGTCAGCAGTCTTCTCGCTCTCGCTGTGTTGCTGTTGGCATTGCGCACCGCGGTGAGCGTGTAATTACTGCTTGTGGCCGAAGACGCTCGATGGACCGACGATCATGCTGGAATGATGACGCTGGTGACGATCATGCACAAGACAGGACTGGCCTTCCTTTTACCAGATAGCGAGAGGAACAGCGCGCGCAGGTGCGCGCCTGAGTCTCTATCTCATGCTTGAAGATGACGGATAACGCTGTAGCCCCTGACTGCAACACGATCGCAATCTTCTCTGCGAATGCAAATCCGATCTCAAGGGCAAGACTGTCCTTGACTTCATTGCGATATCTTCACTCTGGAGGAGGCCGAGGCGCACTCGTAGTAGGGGGACGCTTGCGCTCCACGTTAGCGCCTGCGTGTGCGGCTGTTCTGTGATCTGTGGTCTGCATTCAATTAGAGCCGCCCGGGAGAGCGATGCTGAAAAGTGGGCACATAGTGCACAGCGAGCCACAGCCTTAGGGAGAGACAGGACCAAGATGAGTCTGGGTGCTCTATTCGTATCCGACGTGACGTGTACCCTATCACTATGACTATAAGACTATAGTAGAATTAGAATAGTGCTTGCGTTGTTAGTTGTTTTGTAATTGTGCTTGTAATCGTATGCCTTAGCTTTACCCTTTACCTTTACTTCTACGCTTCCCTATAGCAATAGCTACCCTGTTACTGAGTAGCTAGCGCTTTACTGTGAACTGTGTGAGCGTGAATGTCTATGCCATGTGTCTGTCTGTGTGCTGCACAGTGTACGCATGAAAGGCGTGCATCTAAGTGCGCAAGTACATGCGCAAACGCATGCACTTGTAGTCGTGCAGGGTGATAGGAATAGAATGTAGAGGAAGAATCTAAGTCAAAATGTGCAAGGTAGACGAAGACGTAGACGCACACGTAGACCGGAAGGACGACTCTCATCATTGAGGCAAAGGAATCGAGGCAGTAGTAGTGGCGGAAGCTTGCAGAGTTGCTGTCTGAAGCAGGTCTAAATCGATGGACTCTAGTGCGCTGAAGGCTCTCGAAAGGCATAAACCGCCAAGAATTGTGCTGGCAAATCGATGGATTCTAGTGCGCTGGAGCCTTCGCTTAGGAAGGCTTACACAGAAATCGCCCACAAATCGGCGGACACTTATGCAAAGTTTCAAATTTTCCCTGGCCTCTTTTTGGCCTCTTTTGGCGCCGTGCAGTGGAGGTTGGGAAAAAAATCTTGCTCGCGAATGGCCAAAAGTGCCACTTTTGGCGTTCCCAGACTTGAGGACGGACCCGCGCCAGACTTCAGAAATTTGGCCGAGTGTGGTCCTGTTTCGTGAAGTCTGGGAAAGTTGAACTTTTGCCTTTTCTGAAGTCTGGGAACGCCAAAAGTGGCACTTTTGGCCATTTGTGAGCAAGATTTTTTTCCCAACCTCCACTGCACGGCGCCAAAAGAGGCCAAAAAGAGGCCAAGGAAAGTTTGAAACTTTGCATAAGTGTCCGCCGATTTGTGGGTGATTTCTGTGTAAGCCTTCCTAAGCGAAGGCCCCAGCGCACTAGAGTCCATCGATTTGCCAGCGCAATTCTTGGCGATTTATGCCTTTCGAGAGCCTTCAGCGCACTAGAGTCCATCGATTTAGACCTGCTTCAGACAGCAACTCTGCAAGCTTCCGCCACTACTACTGCCCCGATTCCTTTGCCTCAATGATGAGAGTCGTCCATCCGGAGCGATTGGGGCGCCCCTTATGATTGAGGCAAAAAGTGGAGGCAGTAGTAGTGGCGGAAGCCTCCGCCGAGAGTGCTCTCAGGAGCATCCCTAAGTCGATGCCTATGCTATGGGCCGCCTCCAATGAGAATGACTACGAAAGGATCGACTTCAGCGCGCTCGCCCCCTCTCGTCTCTCGCCCTCGCTCTCAAGTCCTCTGTCTCATAGATGGAGAAGAAGCGCTGAGACAAATGCAAGCCAGCGCGTCGAGGTGCGATGGTATTTAGGTCGAGGTCGAGGGTTTCGAGTTCTGGCCGAGTTCAGCGAGCAGCGTAGCCTAGCAATGCTAGCTTCGTAGCGAGAATCTGAATCGTAATCGCAAAAGTGATGGCGATCCTCCTGCTGGTAGACGTTGAGGTCGACCGGGTGCTAGTTCTTGTTCCACTTCCACGCATAAGGCTTATCGATATCGTTCTCCTGTTCGTCACGTCAAGAGGATCAGGATGAGAGAGGGCGAGCGTGAATCATATGTCTGCGAGTAGGACCACGACGAGCGAGCCCACGTGCTGCGAGTTCGAGTATCGAGATGCTTTTCGTTTTCGATGTCCACAGCCACACCTACCGCACACCTTCTGCTACGCCGCGTTCTGTTTCTGTGTGAGAGAGTCTAAGTCTTAGTCCGCCTCCATGCTCCATCTAATGCTCATGGCTAATCCTAATCCTGTTCTTGTTCTTGATGCTGATGGATGCTAATAGAAACAGCAATCGTAGTGAAATGGTAGCGCTATTCTGAAATGCGAATCCAAATGCAAATGGTACAAGGACGAGCAACAGGGACAGGCCTAGCGTGTCGCTACTACTATCGCCATCAGATCAGTATCAGACGAAGGCGCTGACGTAGTTCATGCGCATGCAATGCTGATCCTGATGGCTGACGGGGATGGCTCACTCTGGCACTAATTCTAGCCATAGGCGTAGTCTCCTCTCTCGGTCTTTTCCTATCACAATCTCAATCGCCGCCCGTAGCTAGTGGAAAGCTGTGTAGTCGTAGTCTCCAGATGAGATCTAGCACTGCTAGTTCTAGGAATAGGTCTAGGTCTAGGGCTTGGGCTAGCGCAAGCGCTAAGACCTAGGTCTAGCCCTAGCTCGAGGCCTGCCTCTAGGTATAGCTCTAGGCCAAGCTCAAGGCCTAGCATAGCTCTACTATAGACCTAGAGCTGCTCTAGGTCTAGCTCTGGCTCTAGCTCTAGCCTCTAGCAGTTGTATAGAATTGGTAGTGGGCTAGGCCTAGATAGAGGCTGAAGTAGTCGCAGTCGTAGTCCTGTTTCTTCTCCTAGTCCTACTCCTAGTGTCCCGGAAGTGAAAGCATCACTATCGACTGCCCATCTTCGCAAACGCTATGAAGACAGTGAGAACGACTATGAGTATGACAAAGACTATCGCTGTTCTTTTACTTTTCCATGCCCATAAATGATAAATCGTAAGCAGATGGCTGCTGCTTGTGCGCTCCAGTAGGCAGACTCATACTCGTGCGTGCTGCTCGTAAGGAACGCAATGCCAATGCGGAAGCGGGTGAGTATTCCCCCGAAGGCCGAAGGTGAGAACTCAGCTCCAAGCTGCTGACGCTGATCCAGATCCCATACGCCTACGTCGACTACTTAAGCGTCTGCGTGTAGATGTACGCCGTGCACGTACTTCGTACGGGTGGGACTGGAAGTGCTTCGACATGGAGATCGAGGCGGACGCGTAGACCTACAGCTACGCCTACTCCTTCACCTTCAGCCTCGGCAGCAGCTACATCTTCTCCATCTACTTCTTCTACCACAGCCACACCCACGGCGACTACTTCTGCTACTACTAAGGCTAGCACCACTAGAAGCAGGGCTAGCAGCTCCTCCCCCTCACGATCCCGCTAGCGCGACGGCTGCGGCTACCGTTACGCCTAGGTAGAGGCGCTTGCTTCTTGCGGTTGAAGCTCCGGCCGATAGGTCTCTTTTTCAGCCTCCAACTCGGGCCCCATGTCTATGCTGTCGCCGTCTCGTCTTCACTCGGCACCAAGCTCCCGGCGCGCGGCGAAAAGAACAAGAAAAACGAGTGCCAGGCGAGGACGTGAACGGCAGGCGGAAGACCATAGCCACCAAGGGGCAACGCAGTAGCGCAAGGGCCTCAACATGGACGGGAGGGGCTAGGACTAGCAAGAGGATGAGGAAGAGCAAGAGCAGCCAGCAATAAACATAGCGTATAGCAATCCCAGCGCCAGCCGTATGCTTATGCTATGGGTATGAGTGTGCGCGTCTGTATGTGTATGAGCAGAGCAGAAAGAACTCACTGGAGAACGGGACCGCAAGCGCGACCGAAATCGGAAATGGAGCCCAATCTTATGAGCGCGCGCAGGTGCGCGAGGAGCTGAAGCGAAGGGAAGCGAGAGCAAGAGCGAGGGGCCGTCTCAGATCCATGACTCAGCTGCCTCTCTGCGAGGAGGAGTGGGCCCTTCGTGGAGGTACGGCGACAGCGTTCGCAATGTCTCGGCTTCGCGCTCGGTTGGTGTAAGTCGTAAGTGAAAAGGTAACTGTAAGACTACGCGCGTGAAGTTGAGGCCTGAACTCGAGCAGTCGCCATAAAAGTAAGCGACAGCTCTCAGCCCAAGGCTGACACTGAAGCCGGAGCCACTGAGTCGCTTTTTTTTTCCAATGAATAAAGCAAAAAAGAAAAGACGAAGAGCGTCGGCGTCTGACAGGCCGAAGCCTCTATCAGAAGTTGAGCACTGTCTGGGAGTCGGCTGGCACTGCTCGAAGGGTGTTCGTTTTTGTCGCTTTGCATTGAAGAAATGCAGAAAGCTGACACCGGCAGCCGAGTAGCTGGCGAGTAGGCTGAAAGAGCAACTTTTTTCCCCAGCGATGGAGTTTTTTTTTTTGTGTGGTTTCGGGAGCTCTGATTTCTTTGAAGTCACTTGTTAAATATGTTTTTTTTTCGTCCGTAAATAAGAATTTTTTTTCATAGGTCGAAAAATTTTGGTCCCTAAGTCTGGGAAAAGTCTGGGAACAGCAAAATGCATCGAGTTCCTGGTGAGTAGATATCTATTCGTCTTGCTAAAAAAGGTATTACATACAACTCTCGTTAACTACATCGTCATCTACATCGTCATCGCTTTCGATTATAGGAGAGGAACCAACCATATCTTCTAATGAGGGAGAAACCTGCTGTTTCGACTTTCTGGAAAAATTGTACTACACCCTCTGCACAAGTCCGGAATACGTCAGACCGAATACAAAACTGAAAAAAGATTATGAGAGCCGTGAAAAAACAATTGGATTGTTATAGTTTTAATAGCAGTGCCTTTGATGATGAAGGTAGCACCACCTCCAGAGGCAGACTGTTGTTCTAAGTTAATTATTATATGATGATGAAGGTAGCACCTCCAGAGGCAGAGGCAGACTGTTGTTCTAAGTAATATGATGATGAAAGTAGCACCAGAGGCAGACTGTTGGTCTACTTCTAAGTAATTATATGATTAAAAATTGCAGTGGCAGTTTTCTAAGAAAAAATCATTCTCTTCTTTCTGGAGAATCCGCACTTAGTGCCTGACGAGTGGATGGAACAAGCTCTGCAGTAGCATTTCGCTGGAAGATGACGGTGAGTAGCGTTTTGCTGTAGAAGTTCAGTTTTCGATGATATTGAGAATTTTCATATTGGGAATATTGATACATATTGGGAATATTGATATGGGGAATATTCACATTTGATTTTGGTTCCTACCTAGACGACCAGCTGCTCTAGTTGTACAAGTGTTGTTGTCTGTTGGATACCTGTATACCTGTCTTTTACCATGCTGGATGTTGTCAGGATTTGCTTGCGAGGACCACCTTTGGCCGATATTTGTTTGCGAATATTACCATGAGGACTTCTTTCCAAATTTATTTGCGACTGTTGCCTGAGTGTCACATCGACAAGGGGCAATGAATTTTAGGCAGATCATGTGGATGCATTGCGTCACTGCAGGACGCTCTGTGCGAGGTAAAGAAGATCTCTCTCTCGTTGCAGGAGCTTGGCATCTGCGAATCAGAATTGATCGGTCCTGCGAGAAGAACTGAGTGATGCCCTGATTATCAATATTGTGTTTGACTAGAAGCAGCAATAGTAAAAATAGTAGTAGTTCTTGTTGCGGCTAGCTTAATTCTTAAAAGTTGTACGTCTACGTGCTATTAACGACCTTGTTTTTCGTTACGATTGAGTCGTAAAACAAGTGAATGAATAGAGGGCTTTTCGTATATCTTTATTTTTGTACGTCTAGATGGCCTGTAGTTGCTCGTAGCAACTGCCTACTTCATCTCCATCATTAACAACCTCGTTACCCCCCAAAGGCAACAATTTCAACAAAATCTACTCAAAAGCAAAAAATTGGCGATCTTCGTCCTCGTTGTGGTTCTTTGCGACATCAATCCTACAACACGGCTACACCGACGACATCAATCCTAGAGGAAAGCAACGTCGATATCAGTTTCCACATCGTGGCCGTCATTTCGAGGGTCAGCTTCTCTGACGGTGAGACACGAAGATGCCTGGGGGCACCCGACTTCTTCCGACGTGGACCACGCCTCATCATCTGTGGAGATCACAGAGTCGATCCTCATCTGGTGCAGGAGTCCTTTTGTTATGACACTTAACTTTTTCCGGAACAAGTACTACCTCATTAGTACTTGATGTGTTCATGATTACTACTGTCTGGGAATAGTCGCACTACGACAAAAAATGACTACGACGTAGTAGAAGTAGTGGCTCTTCTTGCGGTATTTCGAACCATAAAAACAGCACTTGCACACTTGTGCCTCTTGATCCTGAACCTGATCATAAAACGAAATAAGATCATCTACATCTGGTTACTACAACCGGATAAAATATGAAATAAGGTATATAGTGGCTACATCTGGGTTACTACAACCTTATAATATGTTAGAGTAGTTTATAGAACGGATGTAGGATGGACTTGGATGGATCGGATGGACCCCCCTGATTCTTCCGATCCTACTTGAAATGGTGGGAAGTCCATCCGTTCCATCCGATCCATCCCATCCCGGATCTGGCACCCCTATAAATTGCTCTGATATGTAACACTCATATATACTTACTTGCTCTTCCTCTAACGTGAGCAGCAGGAGGAAATGTGCCAGGTGTCCAATACCACCATCCGTCGGCATCATCTACAAAGCGGCAGTTTGCATCCGTTTACAACCGGGAAAAGCCACATGTCAATATATTACGGAGAGTGAATCTACTGAAGTGCTTATTTATCATGGTCGCATGTGGTGTCGGTGTGCTTAACAGGTGATGTACACCTACACACTATCGACGTCCCAAGTGCTTAACTGATTTTAACATCATACATTCCTATCCCATGATGTTGAGGTGGACCTGGAAGATGCAGCACCTGAGTGGCAAGGGAGAATCTTATGAATGTGGGGAAAGATGAATGAGGAAGATTATCCACATCAGCCACCGGGGGCGATAAAATGGTTGTCACTCTATCTTCTCTAAGATGAGGCACGATCGGCCACGTTGATCATGGTGAGTTCGACGGTTTATTGCAACATTACATGCTTGGTGGGGAGAGTGTTGACTGTGCCTGTAGGCGCCGATACTAGTGTGTAGTTTTCTCTTGTTCAATCTTTGTCTACTTATTTGACAATTACAGTTACACGATGAAATAGACACGAAATAGAAGGATAATAAAAAATTATCCTGATCATTTTTACACCTCCACAAGGCAAAACGACACTGACCGCAGCTATTACGAAAGTTCTAGCAGAGAAAGGCGCGGCTGAATTTAGAGACTACTCTCAGATTGACAAGGCACCCGAAGAGCAAAAACGTGGAATCACCATAAATCAAGCGCATGTGGAGTACTACAGCTATGTAGAACAACTCCTCATATGACCATCATACTCCTTTACCTTGTGTGTATCCGGATCCGGAAGACGTTCACTTCTGTGCGAGATTAATAAATTGCATTGCGTTGTATCGTATTGCATTCTATGTATTGTACTGTACTATTGTATTTTTGTACTATTCATTGTATTTTTGTACTATTGTATTTTTGTACTATTGTATTGCATTGCATTGTATTGTATTGTATTATGTACCACCCGTATCCTCCACGACAGAGGGACTTTCTTGGAATCACCATAAATCAAGCGCATGTGGAGTACTACAGCTATGTAGAACAAGTGTTCATATGACCATCATACTCCTTTACCTTGTGTGTATCCGGATCCGGAAGACGTTCACTTGTTCTGTGCGAGATTAATAAATTGCATTGCGTTGTATCGTATTGCATTCTATTGTACTGTACTATTGTATTTTTGTACTATTGTATTGCATTGCATTGTACTGTACTTCTATTGTATTGTATTTTGTACCACCCGTATCCTCCACGACAGAGGGACTTTCTTGTTCTACGCACTCTCTACTTCTGCTATACACGACGTACAACAGATATTCAACGGAGACACGGCATTATGTTAAGGCTCAACTTTCACCGGTCACCATTTAGATTGGAGCCACTGAAATCGAAGAGGCGGCCTTCCCTTGAGAGTATAACAGGGGAAAATCAAAATGAAGGGCAAGGGGAAAATCACTTCTAGGGGGTCTCTTCCGTTCAGAGTAGTCACAGTGACCAAGGAATTATGCTGGGCTTTAATTCTGGACACGTGGACTGTCCTGGGCACGCGGATTATGTCAAAAATATGATAACTGGAGCCGCACAGATGGATGTTATGGTCGGTAGTTGATCATTATCTGGACTCCAGATTCTGGAGGTGTGGTGGTGATCATGGCCCATGACAGTGGTACCTCAGTGGATCCTCACTGGTGGTGGACCTCACTGGTGGTCGACTTGTGGTTGTGGACTTCCCCTTTGATAGTGAAGATTGCAGATCATACATAGATTTAGATTATTTTATCAGGCCCTTGCGATAGTTCTAGTTTTTGCTGGCCGAATGTACCCTCTTATGCGCCCCCAGTATGTAACTTCTTTAGTTGTTTAGGAGATGTATTCAATTGTTTAAACGGGCGGTGGCATATAGTCCTATGGAAAAAAAAAACGCCCGCACGTCTCAGGCTACCGCTCTTCGCCCCTTGATTGATTCAATAAGGCAAGGGATAGGAACGGGAATGGAATCTACTACACCTGAATGGTTTTGCTTCCTGTCTACCAGGTTGCAGGTAGCAGGAACAAACTAAGGGGAGCGCGACAGTTAGGAACCACAGATAATGATTCCTCACAGTAGATAATGATTCACTACTACCTCCTTTAAAAATGGAGCAATCTTAGTCGTATCAGCCTACGACGGTCCGATGCCACAAACGCGGGAACATTTGCTTTTATGTTCGAAGATACAAATTTCATCTTGTTGTAGCCCCAAATTTATTAGAAGCGGAAGCCATAGTTCATCGGTAGTTTTTTGTAGAGCATTCCCTTATGACAAGCCGTAGAAGTTAATTTACCATCACCATCTTCTTCGAGCTACTCGTCCCAGCATCTGGATGTTCTACCTCTGATCTTAATGTCTCTAATCCTCTTGTCGAAGCAAATTGGGGTCCCGAGGTTAGTGGTCTTCCTGAACAAGATGGACATGGTGGAGGACCCAGAACTAGTGGAGCTCGTGGAGTTGGAGCTTCGAGAAATGCTAGACTTCCATGGATTTATTACGGCTAATGTATGACGATGATGTTGATCAATGTAATAACTTGCAAAAATCACATCCCAAACAAAGTTTCAAACCCCACCCTCTCTCAGTAATAAGCTGGATGTACCCCTAGAATGGGTTTACTACTACTACTGCTACTATGTTGATCATAATGATGATGATCCTGGAGGAAGATTAGTGCTAGTACGTAGTAAGTAAGGTAAGTTCAGGCTTTTGCCTCTAGTAGTAAGAAATCATGCAAGTAAGGTTAGTGCCTCTAGTAGTAAGAATTCATGCAAGTAAGGTTAGTGCTTCTAGTAGTAAGAAATTATGCAAGTAAGGTTAGTGCTTCTAGTAGGTTTGTTCCCTGAAATTAGTAAAGCTAAGGCTATAGTGGAGGCTGTCACATTCTTGGAGATCGTAGCCAGACAGGTCTAATCTGAACGGCGAAGAGACTCCATTTATAAAGGGAAGCGCTACCAAAGCACTTAAAGGCGAGGATGGAGAATTAGGCAAGAGCTGTGTCGAAAAGTTGATGGAAAGCGTCGACAGCTACATTCCAGTGCCGCAGAGGCCTATCGACAAACCCTTTTTGATGAGTACTTTATTTATCGACAAATAACCCTTTCTGATGAGTACTTATTTTCACCACATCCAGTTGGCGGGATTTCTGTCTACAACATGTGTAAGTAAATGCAAATCTCTCCGAAGTTTGATGGATATCAGCACATCAAGCCCGTCACAGGTTTCAACAGCTACTTGGCATAGGTATCGAATTCGAATGTGTGTTCCTGTAGCAGGTGCTGCAGATCTCTCATAATATTAGACCCTTTCTACTTCGTCTAACAGGTATAGAAAGTGTGCTGCAGATCCCGAATAAGGGTGCCGTAGCAACCGGCAAGATTGAAACAGGCGTAGTGAAAGTGGGGGAAAAATTGCAAGTTTTTGGTGCTGCAGGAGTAAACTCAAAGGAATCCACCAAAATTATGATGGACTTATTAAGTTGATAGACTTGGTAGAGATAGACTCAGTTAACGTAGCAATACTGGTACTAACATTTAATGATGCTTAATTCTCTAGACTCACTCAACGTAGCAATACTGGCACTACCATTTAATGATGCTTAATCATGATCATTTATCTTGTCATTCTTGAATTATGTTCGTGTTGATTATGAACGATGATGTTGAAAATTATGAGAGGAGTCCTCTCAGAGGATTTAGAATAGTCACGGACCAACGAGACACGCCCACGTGTAAAGGCAATAAGAATGAAGAGGAAAGGACAGACTAACTAAATACTTCTTCAATACCCCTCGAATGGGTACACTACTACCACTACGACTACTACTACTACTACTACTACTATACTAGCCAATGCCTTTGCTTTGTTCATATCCTCAGTCGAAGTGATGGGTCTGGAGATGTTCCACAAGACCCTGGATACTGGCATGGCAGGCGATCAATGCGGGATCATGCTTAAGTTAAGGCCACAAGCACAAGATCCCTTGAAGATGAGCATATTAGTATTTATAGGGTAAACAACTTTGCTTAAATCCTTAAGGCTCTTCCTTAAGTGCCTTGCTTAAGAAAATTGATTTCCGTAAAGAATTCCTATTACAAAAAGCTGCGATAACCTTCCCTAAGGCAAAAAATGCTCCTTCAGAGGGGACGGAGGGCCCCTCAAGGAACAGCTCCTGCTATAAAATTAGGCTGATAATAGACCCTCCCTCAATGGCCAGCGCCACCTCATAAGGGCCTTAGCTTGCTAGCTTAGCCATGGCCAGCCTGGTTGCTAGCAGCTGCTTAGCCCTAGCTAGCTGGCTTGCAGCTTGCCCCTTACCCGCAGCTAACTGGCTAGGCTAGCCGTAGCTAGCCTGCTAGCTGCTTCGCCATAACTAGCCTGCTAGCTGCTTAGCCATAGTTAGCAAGGTAGCTGCTTGGCCATAGCTATATAGCTAGCTGCTTAGCCAGAGCTAGATAGCATGGTAGCTGCTTGGCCATAGCTATATAGCTAGCTGCTTAGCCATAGCTAGCTTGCTGGTTGCTTAGGCGGAGCTAGGTTGCTAGCTGCTGCGCCATAGCTAGCGAGCTTACTAGGTAGCTGCTCGGCCTTGTGTAGCTAGGGCTAGCAAGCTAGCCCCTTGGCCATGATTTAGCTGCTTGGCCATAGCTAGCCACTAGCTGCTTGGCCATAGCTAGCTTGGTAGCTGCTTCCTTTGCGAGACCGAATACAGCAGCTGCTTTCTTAGCCATGGCCACTCCAGCTCGCTAGCTTAGCCACAGCCAGCTTGCTACCTTAGCCACAAGACAGCAACAGCCAGCCCGCTTGTTTAGCCATGAGGAGCGTCCACGATAGTCATAGTCCATTCTGAACCAGCCGCGCGTCGCTAGCTAGCTTGGTGACTCAGGGGCTTGCGTCGTACTAACTAGTCTTATCTGTCTAGTTGCTAACCTACGGCGCCCAGTGCAGCGGGCCCTTGTTGGGCCCGCTTTCTGGGCGTGCACGTATTTAATAGAAAGATCCAACGAGAAAAATCAAGTAGAAAAATGCTGAACAATTATGCTACATTGAAAGTACTAAGTGCCTTGACAAGAAAAATCAAGAACGATTCTATGCTACAACATTGAAAGTACTAAGTACCTCTACCTTGATCGTCCCTTGTAGTCTGCTTCCAGCAGTGGTAGCTAGGAGCGTTACTGTAGCGACACACGAGATGACATAGATTCCACAAACATTCAAACACGTATCATCTTCTTTTCTGAAGTAGAAGATTCACAGCTGCTGCTCTAAGTCGAGGCGTAAAGCGAGGGGACATTCACAGAGGACAGGTGTTGGCGAAACCTGGAAGAGCACAAGTCTACACTAGTTTCGACGCGGACCTGTACGTCCTGAAAACAGAGGAAGGAGGAAGAAAAAAGCCCTTCTTCACGAAATATCGCCCACAAGCGTTTATCCGGACAGGTATTCGAATTGGACATTGGTTTTATGAAGATGTTGTTCTTTTGTTTTTGACCTCACCGGGCACACACGCGTTTATTCTTTCATCAGGAGTCCTCCTGCTAGACCTTGCTTAGCTGGTAGTACAACTGGTCGATAGGATAATATTATGGATTGGTACTAACTGTAAGTGTAACCTCCTACTTGTAAGTACGCCCTCACTCGATTTCGATTGTAGAACGTAATAAGAAAAACCGTCCAGAACTCAGTGCTATCGTACCAATACGAAGGATTATCCCGATCAATCCAGGTACTTGTACGGGTGACGTGATTCTGCCTGATAACGTGGAAATGGCGATGCCGGGTGACCGGGTCAAGGTCAAAATCAATCTCGAAAAGGCTTTCGCGCTTGATTAAGGCTTTCGGTTCTTCGCGAATACATTTTTCAGAAAAGGCTCTCATTTCTCTTTTTGAGCTAATAAATAGACTTACACAGGTAATACATAGTCATCAAACAGCCAATAGATACGAGTTCAACTACATCAAGTGAATGGAGTAGGCATCAACATACCTAAAGGAATAGCAGCTCATGATCTTATCTTCTTCCTCTAACCTACAGAGGGACTTCGATTTGCTCTCCGTGAAGGCGGGCTCACTGTTGCAAGCGGTATCGTTACCAAATGCGGCGAGTAGAACCCAGTGACGCATGAGGTCCCTTCTGAGTAGAAGTTGTCATCAATGAAGTTCCCATATTCACTGTCACTAGGGATGCAATTGCATGGTAGACGTAGCTCAACGAACAGCAACTAGGGATGTGAGAAGATTATATTCACACTGTGAATTATGTTGACGGGGGAATGATCAGCATAAATCCTGATGACTGACTTTTGAATGATAGAATAATCACTATGACTGACTTGTCATCTACAGTCGAATGGCTCTTGTACCTGAATCGGAAAAGCTGACTTGTACCTATCAGATAGAAGAAATGGCTCACCTCTGACTGGCTGCAGAATGGATATGGAATAGAAATGAATTCTTATAACTTTTATTCATGTTTCTGCTCCTGGTCGTTTCATATACCAAAAATGTGGTCTCCTTGACCCTGTCGCCTGGTGGAGCTAGAAGAACACATGATCCTAAGCATGGTAAGCCAGGTCTCCTGAGAGTGAAACTTCGTGAAAGTGAAACTCATCCTACACCTAAACATACTCGCCTGAAACCCAAGCCCTTAAACGTAGTCACTGCGAAAAGAACGAATGCTCTAGAGCTTACCTTTTCTTTATCGTTCTTGCTCTCTGAGCAGGACTGCAAGAACGCAGTACAACTTTATCGCGGTCTTATGAAGAAGACGACGGCAAGTTGTGGATCATCTTGCTGTACGACCTCAGGATCGTGTTCGTTCTGGCTTCACACTCTTGCTGATGTTCTTTTTCCGTCAGATTCACCGCCACGATGGGAGGGCCTTTCCTGTTCCATACAGCATTCTCAATCTTTTGGAGCGCATCCATGGTTCCCTACAGCGTCCATCAGCTCTCCAAAGATCCATTTACAGCAGGCCCCATTCTCCCTCAGTTCCTTGTCTCTTAGGTTTACGAGCCCTGTTTGTGAACGCTAGGGCTGCGCGTTACGTCTACACCTTAAGGCGGTGCGTTTTTTATATAGTTCTCGGCCTGTTTCAGTTGTGCAAATCGTGAAGGTTTTGCGTGATTCTTATGCGGTTGCAAAGTTGTCAAACGTGTCGTGGCCCTTCTTGTTCATGTGTAGCAGAGGAAGGACCCACATCATAGGCCTAGCATTCCAGTGCCGTGATCATTGTCGCCATCGGATTGCAATGATTTCCATCACCTTCGTGCTGATGGTTTTCATGCTCATACGACTGGGACCATCATCCTCGTCATCTTCATCTTACTCTTTTGACATTTGCGGAACAGGGTAAGTGGGTCGCCCCTTTATTTTTTTTTGGACTTATATATATTGTACCGAGTATCCTCCTCGTTCAAAATACATAGTGTAGTCGTGAGTGATAGATTTCTCTTCGCATTGGTAGAGGACATACGTAGAGTCTACGCGTCAGCAGATCAACAAAGATGCCTCCACGTGGTGGTCCCCGACCTCCAGCAGCAAACAACGCCCGCCGCGGTCGTTCCCCGAACTTGTTTCAGAGTTATTTTTCCATTGTTCTAGCAAGAACGCCATTTGGCACGATCCGATTAACGAGACATTTTAGTGCGTGGACCGGTCTGCTGTCCTTGATTTTCTTATGACTGAGTCAGCTCTACTAGAACTTGCTTTGTAATTTTGTGTTGTTGTGACAAGAACTTCTATTAGCAACTTCTTTTTAGTGCTCTGGATCTATTGACATATTTTTTTGTTCGAGAGAATGTCCGATTTGGGTCTTATTCGGTCTCAATCAAACTTCTTAATACAACTCTACGCTGACGGCACTATTTCCTTCCATGAGTTCTGTTAGCACTTTCCTTGTTCCTTTTTTTGCTTTGTCCTTCCAACAGCACCGACCTCTCTACTACTAACTTGTGCCGTAGCTTCCTTCCTCGTGTATTGGTACACAGGGAAGCGCACTTTATCACTTGACCGTCTTGACGATTGGGTGTACGATTGGTGGAGCGGTGGATCTACTTCTACCGGGAGTGGTCCAGCAACTACACGTTCGTCCGCTGGAAAAACAACCACAGCAACTTCTTCGACAGGGTTACCTGATATTACCGAACCACCTCCATTATCGGCGCTTCTACCGGCAGCTGGAGCAAAAGATGAATATATTATGTCAGTTCTGCAACAATTATCGGCGCTTCTTCTAGGATATATAGTCAGCGGCCTAATTCGAAAAAGAATGTATCTTTATCCTCCATGTAATTGAAATTGTCCTATATCATAATATCTATGGATTCATCGCGCTCGAAGAAGGAAGCCGAAGCTCTAATTAGATCTACGACATCGAGGTCGTCGCAGTTTACCCGCACGATCCAAAGAGCTTTACACAGGGCCTCCTGGTTATGCCTGAAGGGGATGATAGCGCCACTACGACTACAGTAGTCGAGCGAGACCTGCTACAACCACTCTTCGCCGAATCCGTAGGTTTATACGGAGAAAGTAGGGTCTTTCAGTATCGCCTTGCTGCTGAGTCGAAACAGAATGGAGATGAAACGGAAGGTGTGATGAATGCACCACCATTGGCAGAATACAAACAATCCAGGAGTGAGTTCGGGGAGGGACTATTAAGGCTCAACTTTCAACGGTCATTGGGGTTGGTCACTGAGATCGAAGAGGCGACCTCCCCTTGAGAGTAGAACAGGGGGAAATGAAGGGAAAACAAAGGGAGAGGCGTGGGGCCCTTTTCTTTCAGAATCAGTGACCACTGACTGCTGACCTTTAAGACTAGCGTTCCATAAGGGCTATTTCTGGCAGCTAGTTTGGAAGCAGCGTGTTTTACACCAGTACTCGCAAGATTTGAAGACAAGGATAGCGACTGTGGCGATCTTATGAAATTGTTGAACAAAAGACAAATATCACGTCGTCGTGAGCTTGGCCTAGTAGTGCTGCCTGTGATCTTTAGTGTAGTTAGGTTATCTTTTCACTTGTACTATTGCAGCGTTTGTTGTATTCTACGACTAATCATCACCGGTTTTGAGTTTGATGACGGGTGGGGACTTACCAGTGATGCAGATTACCTCTATGCCACCGACTCCGGGAATAAACTCTACACGCTGAAAATCGAATTTGAAGGTACCAAGATGAAGACGGATATGGACAAATCTACCACAACTTTTACGGATTTGTGCTTCTCTTTCTCTATTTTAGAACGTAATGAATCTCCCAATCGTCCCAACATCGTCAGATTCCAAGAACGTCTTGAAAAATTGATGTCCCACGACAATCAAAGGGAAAACTTGTCTCACGAACACGACAAACAAAGGGACATGAAAAGCTCCAAGATCTGAGGTGTTATCGCATCAAAGTCGATAAGAGATTCACAGATTCTTGGGGAGCAGCGGCTCTAATACATATACAACTCCTGTGGCTGTAGCGGCCTCAAGTGTACGCGTAACAAACTCTGTGGCTGTGCGTGCCAAGTACAATCGACGCATCGAGATGCTAAACGAGTTGGAGCGGATTGGCTTGGGTCGAGAAAAAGAAGATATGGGCAAACCAAAACAAGATGAGTCTTAGCATGAACTTGAAATTATATATATATTCTCTTCCGCAATCAATCTACTACTGCCTGGAGTTATCAGCATATCAGCATTGTTCTCTCATGTTAACGACGGGGATCATGGGATCATTTTTCTCGCATCAGCATATTGATTCATCTCAATCACTCAATTAAGTAACCTATTTTTCCTCATCTTCTAAGGCTTTCTGGGGGAATATCTTCGGTTCCGAGTGTGTTGCTCGCGTTGATCCTACTAGCGGAAAAGTCAAGGGTTTCATCTTGGCGCATTCTCTACGCATGAACTATGACGTCGGTCGCAGTGCGGATGTTCTTAACGGCATAGCGGTAACAACTTTGAAAATTATGGTCCTCGGGAGCTTTCGATAATTATATCCATCTTTTTCGTTCTTATTCTTGGCATCTTGCTCGTACATCAATCCTTTTTCTTCCCTTGTATTTTTCCTTTCGCGGCCGGGAAATTATAGGGTATCGAGAGCATTGCATGGCGGGACGAAAAGGGTCGAGATAAGGAGACCCGATCCAAGATGAATAAAAGCCGTAGCCGACTCTAAGAAGTATAAAAGATCGACCTCAGCTCCTGATGCAGTGAGACTCTTTCTTACCGGCAAACTCTGGAACAAGATATTTGAGGTTCGACTCAAGCCTTTTGCGGGTCAGCTGGACTGGAAGCAGATCCGGACAATGTGTGTCCCCGAAAAAAATCTCTTTCACAAATAACAACGAGCCGAGAGCTGGAGTCAGTATGTGAACGACGAGTAAGCACTTACAACAACAAGTCCACTAGATCATGGCAGGAGGAGAACAACCTTGCGTACACGCAACGAACAGGCTGTTGAACAAATAGTACGTAGCTCGGCACGTCGCAGTAGTCGGCTTCGCAAATGTTGAGGACGAGGAGACGGGTTCGGCGTGAAGCGCCGTGACGAGAGCCCTGGCAGATTAAGAAACTTGTTGCGAAACCGGCATTGCAAATCTGCTCTCTTTTGAATAGGCCATCGACGTGGTCGCGCTCGCGCCCAACGAGACGCTGGCTGTGAAAGGCTGATGATACAGGCGAGTGAATTCGGCGGTAGAAGATATTGGAAGGTGCGCTTTGGATAAAGAACATGAAAGTTCATGGGTTCGTTAGAACGCGCAAGGTCCTCAAAGACGAGTGAGGGCCTCTTGAGAGTCTGGTCGTTGATAGGATGCATTGTAAGAGAGCAAGAGCATGGTTTCGCCATCGCCTAGATCGTTCAAACCTTCATGGACCATGTTGGTTAAGGCTAAATCTCTCAAAATGTATTATGCATGGACGGATTGATATTGAGATTGGTGGGCCCAGCTATGGTGCAACGTCAGCATATGAAGTATAGTGGTCATAATGGATGCCACAAGAAGACTCGAGGACTTCTCCTCCTCGATTTTCCGAGAGCTTTCTGCGAGAGCCTATGATCATGACGAGAGAAGGCAATTTGATATCAGAGTGAGTTCCACTCGTGAAGAAGTGACCGCTTTTTTATTTTGTTAGTAATTTCCTTAGATAGTTTGTAGTTATCCTAATCCTCCACTTGCAATCCACGCAGATTGCAGCCTTGAACAAGAAGGTGCTCGTACTCTCTGAGAACGACACTTGTTCCTTCATGAAAAGGAGTTAGCAGTTCTCTTCATTTATAGTGTGTCACAGTTGCCCTGATTGTGACAGCATTTTGCCCTTGCCCCTGGGTACAACATCATCATCGTCATATACATAGTGTTGCAAGCATTTTGATTGTGGTCTCCGGGGTGTCGAGAACTGACGTGGAGGACTTCGTCTCAAGATCAAGATCTTGAATGCCATCGATATGAACTATGCCCGTTCGTAACAAGAACAGCAACGCAGGGCTGATGTGGAAGCCCCAATCCAATCTAAGAACTCTGATCATCAAGTAGATCATCAGTTACCTCGCCTGACCCTTGTTGGGTATATGCAGACTTTTAGAGCGTACGTCTTAGGGGTAAACATTCTTCGCCATGTTGGGTGGCGTTTATTCCTAAACGGAGGCCGAGGCCCCCCAACGATGGAGAGAAACGCGACGAAAGGAATAGGCGCCGCTCCAAGTTGTGAAAGACGTGAAAAAAATTGTTCGAAGTCCGACAGGATGCACACCGCGCCCGCATGGTTTAGCTTCTAACGCTGTGCGGCGTTCGCGCTTCTCCCGCGCGTTGTGTGTGTTTGTGTCGCTCGCTGAGGGCGGCGAGATGAGAGACAGCAGCGCGGCTCGGTGGTGGTCTGGATCTTGTGTTGTGTCTGCCCCGCTCTTGGTGTGGGCTTGTGACGCGTGGGAGGGCTGCGTGCTGGCGAGGGGGCTGCGAACGAGAGGGCCCCCGGTGGTCTGTGACTCGATGCGCCCCTTCTCCGGTGTCGTGTCCCGCGCGATCCTTTCGGGAGGGCTGGTCGCTTGCTTCAGTTTTTTCGCCAGCGCAGTGCGGTCGGCCTCGCTTTTTCACTGGGTGGATTCATCCTCAGGGGGCTGCGCTTGAGTTCTTACATCAAACTTAATCGACCCCCCGCCCCCTAAATTCTCGAGGCATTGAAATGCCCAACGGGCGGAGTAGCATAAATTCTTGCGCTCTTCTTTGGCTCGCTGTCTGACTGGTCGGTTTTTCGTGTGTTTGTGCAGATGGGTTGGCGAGGGTCTTGCTGCGGTAGTTGCACCCGCTTGGGGCCTTCGGTCTTCCCGTAGTTTCCCCGCACTGACTGAGTTGCCCCGTGGTTGTTGACCTTGGGCTTCGGCGTTTCATCTCCCAGGGCCCCGCCATGCGTTCGGAAGAGGCTTCGAACCGCAAAAGCCACCGCGCCCTGGCGTTCTTCATTCTGTTGCCAGACTCGGCGTTGGCTTCTTGTGCGCCCCTGAGTGGGGTCAGGCTCTTTGTCTTTCCCCGGTTCCATTTTCTCGGCTTAGGTGACAGTCCTCGACAGTTGGACCTTTTTTGATTTTGTCCTCTTCAATGATATTCGAGCTGTATTCTGCCCCTTTGGTTTTCCTCGTAGCTTAGTCCTGGCCAACGCTTCAAAATACCTTGTCATTGTCAGCTAGAAGGTACAACTCAGAAGATAGGCTCTGGAGGAGTCGTCAGTGGTCGTGTACTTTGTGTCGTGTACTCTGATCCTAAAAGCGCGTCGGATGACCACTCTGGAGAGAAGAGAGTTGTAAAATCGTGACTCACGACTGCTCTAGCTCTTTAACAGGAGGAGTTTCCAGGAATAATAGTTCGAGTTTCCATGATGGCGCAGTCTCGAACTATTCGCTTTTTTGCTTCTAGTAAACGTTACGTCTACCTTAGCGACCCCATCTTGCAGCATTTCTTTATGATCATTTTTGGTGCCCTCCTTGTCCACCTCCTTGATGTGGTCCATGCAGGGAACTCCAGTCAATATGATCATGAGGAAGTTATACAAGAAGGCCGCGAACAGCCTTTCGCCTTCGGAGAGAAGGACAACAAGTTAGAAGAAGGAGGGTGGTCACCAAGCCATGTTGGCACGCCTTCTAGGACGAGTAGAAGGTGGACAGGAGTGCCATTTTTAAGGCGCAGGAGTATCATTTTTGGGCCACATGCTCGTCTTGAGTAGAACTACTCAAGTTTTTCCGCTTTCTGTCGAGTAGTTTCCGAGACGAGTCATGAAGTTTGCGATTCATTTTCACAGCTTCTGCTTTTTGTTCTTGATCAATGTTGGGAAAATTATTAGCTATCTTCCAACGAACTTCTACACGAAATAGTGGAGCATAATCTTCTTTAGCTCTTCTCTAAGTCTTGTCTCTAAGTCTTGTAGGACCGCCCACTACCTCAACGACCACTACCTCGTCAGCCACGCTGCGTGTCGTTCGAAATGCGCTTTGTATAGTGGGACCCGACCGGGACTATGGCGGCGTGCTTGTGCCGCACTTGTGGCGAAACTTAAGGCTCTCACGATCATGAATTATGGGGAGTTCATCTTATTCTACTTAGACAAAGACTGCATGCTTGTTGAGAAGTAGCTAGTAGGGCTAGGGGAGCAGAGCTGCTTCAACACACACTAAATAGATACATAGAGGAGCAGAAACGCTCCCCCATAGTTCTCAAGCTCAATAGTGCTCAAGCTGAAGGATGCATCCGCTGAAGGATGCATCCGCTGAAGGATGTGAGCTGTCTAAGAGGCCTTGTGTACCCAAACATCGGGCGAAGGGGGCAGACGGAGTATCACATGGATATTTTCATCCAGACGGAACGCAGCATGTCCTACTCGTCTAACGAAGTACCGGAGATTACCGGTTCACACACGAAGATGAAGAATACATTATTGCATGGTAACAACAAGTTTGAATATATCATTACTTCCTAGGTAGGAGTAGGTTGGCTCGTCCGCCACATATATTTATTATTACTCAAGTACTAGTCGTACTAACTAGTAGAAGTATTTAGGGTTAACCAATTACATCCCCCACAACCACTCCTCACTGTTTTTCCAGTAGGAAAGACGTGAGGGATGTTTTGAGAAGAATGTAATGCTACAACCTTTAAAAGTCGATGAAGATGATCACGAACGAGATTCAAATCCTTACAACCGAGATGAACTGCAAGATGAAGAAGATTCAGATGATGCTCGAATTACGGCGACCGCTCTGGCATCCTCAGCGTCGTCCTTCCTTGGCTCTTTTTCTACTTGAAAAACGGACCAAGGACGGACCCAGGGACGCTAACGCGGCAGCCCATCTAATCGAAGCCTTCGTCTCAAGAGCCCTGCAGCATCTCAAGAGGACTATGTGATTGAGGCACGTCAAAGACACCTCCTCAGTGTCTGGCAGAACCAGACCGATGTAATCTTAAGGCTTCTAACCTGAATTCATTTCTAGCGATTCACAGTTTTCTTCCGTTTCCTTCTACTTGGCACTCCGACTCCGAAGAAATGAACCCGAGAAATGAACAAACGTTTTGGGCTCTAACAATCTACAGATCCGCAGATCGGGATGCAGGCGCGCACTTTTTTGCTGCGTTAACGTACGATGGCTGGCGCAGGATCAAAAGACGATACTTAGGTCGTGGCCTTCAGTTTGATGTTGGCGTTTTGGTTGTTGTAATTTGCCTTTCATCTTTTGACGAGAAAAGCAATAAGAATGTGTGTGTTAAAGCCCGTCGCTGACACCAAAGTAGAACGCCCCTATGGCAGTCAGCACAGAAATTTGCGCGGGATTTATTGTGCTGCGTTGTAGTATGAAAGTCCGTCGTTGACAGCAGAGCGAGACCTCCTCTAAAATGCTATGCTCTCCGCCGCACAGGTGAAAGATCCTCAGTTAAGGCGACAGCTAAAACATCAAGAGATCATTCTATAAGCAGTAGCTCTCGGCACTTCTCTCTATGTATAACTTACTTACCTATCAAGCGTTCTACTTTTTCTGTTTGTGAAGGGTTCTAAAGATTCTAATTCAGGGAGGACCGACGAGCAGGAGGGATCTGTTGATCCTCATGAACCCAAGCTGATAACGGCTGAGATGAACACTCAGGATGACGCCAGTACGACTGCAAGGTTCTTCCGCGTAGTAAACATCAACTACGCACATGAACACAATCGCTACCCGGATGAGATACTTACGAAGCGAATTATTCACTTAGTTGTCTTGAGGGGTGCCTGGCCGTCGTGCTTCATGATTCTTGCGATAGAATGAGTGAGTCAATGAAAGAACGAAAGAGCGCAGCCCGCTCCGCGGCGTTGTTCAGCAAGTAGCTAGTAGCGATCTGCCCTCGGTCGGTTTGAGATAGTGGATGAGAGCGCGTGGACCCAGGTGGTATGGGGTTGTAGCTTGCTCTCGTTTCGAAGATTCTCTACCGGAGCATTCTGCAGCCCTAGGCGCCAGAGCCCGCGGGCGCTCCGCGATGGGCGGCTACGTCTATGCGAGCTCGGCGCGTTCTAAACGTCCGCGCTAGCTTGGTGGCAGCAAACTAGTGAAATAGGCAGGCTAGCTGACCCCGCTCCGCTTCCAGCCAGCTGGCTGGGGAGGCAGACAGCCGATGGGCTGAGGGATAAAGCCTGGCCGGCCAGTCAGGGCATGCGATCACTCGCCACGACCAAACTCCTAAACACGAGCGCAGCGCGGCCTAGCAAAAGGCCTCAGCTGAGAAGCCGGCAAATGAGTAGGTTAAAAGCGGTAGCGCAGCGCCACAACTAGCTGACTAGCCTATCCGCGTAGATATCCTCGCACGGCTTAGCCCATGCAAAAAAGCGCAAACCCAAACAGGCTTGCGCTTGAAGATAGCTAGCAGGCTGCTAGCTAGCTTCCCACCCTCGTGCTGCTGCTGCTGCCAAAATTGGCAAACTAAAACGCCACGAGACCAAGAGAGGACTGCGCCGGCCTGGACTGCAAAAGACCGTCGCCGACACCAAACCCAAAGCGAAGTCATGGCCTCCTTGGATGTTTTTCCATCTTCTTAGACAGCGCAGAGCAGCTAAGGGCGCTATCGGTTTCGGCCCGCAGCTGCGCAGGAGCCTCTAGCCCTACCGCTGACGCCTGTGCGCTTGCTCGCGAAGCTATGCCTAGACCTCGCGCGCGACGCACGATTCGAGTGGCGGGCTGTGGCTGACTGCTTTTGCGCCAGCGTGTGGCCTTTGTGCATGCTGCTGCTGCTGCTTTATGGGTAAAGGCTTGGGACTTCTGGCGGGCTGGATTTGTGTTCATGGTCATGATCGTCCGTGTGATGGAACGGCATGACGCTGAGTGAGTGAGTGAGGTTTGATGGAACGGCATGGCGCTGAGTGGGTGAGTGAATGAATGGGCGACGCACCTCGCTTCTACAATGGCATGGCTTTCTCTTCGGCTTACCTTGGAAGATCATGTTGCATCACATTTACATTGGATGTTGCATGATGTTGCATCTTACATCGGCCTCTAATAGTAGCACCCGTTTAGAGGCAGACTCTTTGTGGGAAAACGTTGACAGAGCGTCGTCGTGGACGCCTGCAGAAGATGGCTACGCTAAGGATAGGCTAAAGGTGTTCCTGTTGCCGTTTGTTTTGCCTCTGCTACGGGAGAAAGGCAGAACAAGAAACGGGAAACAGAAACACCAAAACGGCCCTGTCGCTAATTACATTTACAGGGACCGGAGGCGGAGGAGTGCTGGCGGTGGTGACTACCGGAGCAGTGCTGCGGATGCTTTCAGTGACAGGAGTAGTGCTAGTGGTGGTGACTACAGGAGTGCTAAGGCCCCTTTAGGTAATCCATCTACGTCTCGAGAAGCTTCATCCTGAGGCCTTTCTCTCGTAAGGGAAAAGCAAGGCCAGGATGACGTGAGCATTATCATTGATTATGATTTATTATGTATTTCCATAAAGTATTTATATGAATAAATTATGATCTTCTTCATGCTTTCGCAGACACATACAATGATGTGATATGGATTACGGTGAGGATAAGGAAGCTCTAAGTCTAAGAGTGGTGATCTTCCGCGTTGGGAATGGGAGTGGTGTCGTGGAGTAGAGTGCACTTTTGGCGAGGTCCGTCCATTTCGCCCTTCGAGAGAACTCCTCTTAAGTCTTAAAGAAGATACCCACCTTCCTACAATATTAATAGATTAGGTTCTTGTACTACCTTGTACTCACGTAGAGGGTAGTTGTCAACGTAGTTTGTCTCTCTAATTGTGGGTGCCCCTATTGGAAGGTATAACGGCTCTTTCTGGGTAAAAGCGCTGATTAAGCAAAAACAATGCGCTCTCCGCGTGATGGAATATGCGAAGCTGCATGCAGCCGCGACGCCATATCTTATGCATGGCCTCCTGGATGTTTTTTCTCTCAAACCAATCTGACATGGTCTTCTCGATCTCGCACTCGCTGAAGATCATGCTTTTTTTTGCTTAATAAGGGATCTTGACCTCCGTGGCCATTTAAGTAGTTGCTGAGTACTTACGAGAAAAGGGGAACCAGGATCACTGGTTCCCTCTTTTTGTAGTTCCTCCCCCCGAAACAGCTGCTGCTTATCTGCTGCATCACGATCATGCCAGCACTTCATCTGAAGAAATGGGAGAAAAATATACATCCTCTTTCATTAAGGCGTCCTCTAAAAACCCTAATCCATCTGTAACTATAGAGATCCCCACTAGCACTAGCAGGGAGTGTATGCGCCCCACTACCAGGGAGGTGGTAAGGTATTTTTTGCGGAATCTCTTTTGGGATCATGAATTGGGGGGCGAAGCTGCTCTAATTGTAAGTGTGAATATGTCATTTTTTCGAGACCGGACTTGTTTCTTCTTAGTCCGATTGTCTTGACGTCGGGACTTTTGCAAGACGATGCTTGGCATTTTGGTTCCCACGCATTATATGCCCGTCACTATTATGAGAGGCGTGCGCGTGCTGGTACTAGTCTCAATATTGTAACTAGAGTTCTTCACTCCAGAGAGCTGCTTATTCACTTCTTAGTCACTCTTATTCACTTCTACTCAGTAACTAGTAAGAGAGCTTCTGGCACCACTAAGGGCACTTTCACTTTCTCACTCTACTTCAGCAGGATAGTTATAATTGCTAAGGGCGTTTTCATTTATTTCACTTTTTTCACTCTCTTTCTTCTATTATGAAGGTTACTATCTAGTACTTCACCTCTCTCGATTAGCGTAGTCTTTCTTCATTATCTCGTTCCCGTGTGGAGGACTATGTATTCCTCTAGAAGTCTATCGCGAGAATAAACGTTAGCATTATCTTTTTTTTTGAATTTTTCAGAAAAGCACGACATGGAGACACTGCGATCCCGGGGCTTTCCACCTTGCGATGGGCAAGCTAGCCCTCCCTCCACAAGGTGCAGCAGACGCTGCGCTCCTCCTCCCATGGACGCGGCCCTTCAGTCATGGCTGGGCATCATGGTGCCGCTAAGCTCAGAGGCCGCGGCCTCCGCTTGCGCACGCCCGTGCGGCAGTAGCCTGGCCTGGCCCTGCAAACTTATCCGCAGAAGCAGCCCACCGTGGGAACCAAGCTCGACCCACTCGGAAAGCAGCCCCGTCGGCAATCGTTGGGGCGATCCTTGGGGGCAAGCGATATGAAACGCCAAGCCGATCGAGGGGAAGCCGCGACGCCACTTCGCTCAAGATCCAAGGAGGCGAGGAGCCGACGGAGAGCCGCAGACGCGCGAGCGGTTGAAGGGGTCAGCTGGAGGGGGTTTCTGAGGGGGGTCTTTGTTTTCAGGGGCCCCATTTGGTAAGACTTCTGGCGCCCGGCAGATAGGTGACAACGCTTCTGGCGCCCAACACTCTTCGCCGAAGCCCCAAAAAACCCTCTAAATCTTCCGAACCTCGAGGGGCAAGCGCGTGACCGGTGGGCGCCTTTTCTGCTTGCTCGTTATCGTCTTCTCTTTTTGGCGAGTGTTCGGAGGGGTCGGCGGAGGGGGACGGCGGACCACCTCCGGTTTCGTTTGGCTAGAGGACCAGAGCGGCCACAGCAGGAAGGGGGCGCCGAGTCGCTAGAAATTGGAGAAGGTGGGGCGCCAGAGGTGGCGGAGCGGCCGCAAGCAGCAGAGCTGCGGGCCATCCCCTGACACTCGGGCCCCAGATTCGCGAGGGGACAGGGAAACACGCTACACGCATGCGCGTCTGCCTTTGCTGGAAGCGCCTCCTGGAGAGCGCAGCACCACCCAGCAGCCAGAGCAGGACAGCAGCGTGTGCGGCGCCGCTCTCTTGTTGTCTGAGTCATGGGAAGCGCAGCCCACCCACAGACGCGCCAAGAGGAAGCGGCGAATGGTGGCGCCCCTCCATTCTTATGCCCACGCGAGCAGCGTCCCACCAATGCCTGGAGTTTGTTATCAATCTCAATCTGAAAAAATCAAAAAAACGATAATGGGAGCACTTGTTCCTGCGATGAAGTCTGTCAAGGGAAATGGAGGAAGTCTAAGGGCCTAAGAAGTAGTACGCCACTCAAGCAGGGACAAAGATTCTTTGTCGTACTTGTAGTTCCACCTTTTTATAGACGTTGTACGTAGAAGAAGTTACTTATTTGAACTTCCACGACCACCTACTTTAAACTTAAAGAAGCATTACGAGGTAATTTGTTCCACCCAAGAAGGAGCAGTGTACTTCTTGTTCCAGTTGTTCTAAGATCGTGATGACAATTTTGCTGTAATACCTTTGCGCCTGGTCTGGGCCTTCGCACAGCAGCTCAACTTTGTCCTAGACACGGATTTATTTGGCGCGCGCATCAGAGTGGCAATGGATTCAGTGGTTACTTTTTTTAAGGGTTGTACTAGGTAGCCGTTGTAGTCCTGTTAGTTTCTAGAGTGAAGAAGAGAATGATTATAACAAGTAGTCTATATCGAGTTGTTCATGAACAAGGAGTTGTGCTAAAAAAAGAGGGTTAGTAAATGCTCTCTCGTCTACGTATTCTGACGGTTAAATAGTCGTGCTTCTAGGGAGGTAAGGAGCATGAAGATGATAGACTACAAAACCGCCTTGCTGCGTTCTCCCTGTTTTCTCCTCAGTGTTGAGACTTACTGACAACAAAGGAGCCCTGACGCACAATCCTAAAACATACAATGCTAGTACGAGCTAGAAAGAGAAAAGAGAAAAAGTCAGTAGCAGCTAAACTCCCCGAAGCACACTGTAGCTGACTCGCCCCCTACTGAGATAGAAATAGATGTTGAAGTCAATTAATTATATGGGAAAACTCACTCACTGTGGCATAAGTGATTCTTCATCTGTGGCTAATGCTGACACAACCTCACAGCCACGACCTCTAAAAAGAACATGTTGCGCACCCGCCTTAGGGCTGGACATAGATGCAGAACCGTAGGGCTGAACGGCTTAGGGATAAACGCTCTGCACCATTTTCCTCCACTTTTTGGGCTGTTTCTTCCTAAGCCGTGAGAGAGGGGCTGACGGTGACGCGAGAGAGAAACGACACGACAGGACAGGAATAGACGCCGCGCGAGTAAGAACCGTGCGTGGTCGGCCTTGCCTGTTCTGTCTGTTCATTAGTACTCCGAGAGAGTTCCTCTAAGTATCGTCTACGCCCAAAGCTCTGCCAGCGATTTAGAGTGAATCCCGTGAGAAAGTTTTAGAATTCGGAAGAGCTTCGCACCTAGGCCGCACGCTTTTGCTTCGAACATAATGAGGGGCCGCACGCTTTGGCCCCTGGCACTAACATAGACAGAAGCGTTCTGGGTGGGAGGCGCTGAGGAATTTCACCGATCTGCTGCCACTCGAACGAGAGTCCAGCGGCGGCGCCTTTTGTCCCCCCCTCCCCCTGTTCGTTGTCTGGAGAGTGGCATGGACTTGGCCCCAAGCAACGAGAGCACTTGCTTGTTGCTGCGTTTTCTGTGTCAGATAGTGCGCTGCGCTTCTCTCTTATTCTGAAACCCGCGCCCCGACTGGCGTGCGCTTTTGTGACGCTGCGCGGAGACCTCTGCGAATGCGCCTAGCGTGTTTCCGTCTCTCCTCATGTCTGTGCCTTGATCGATCCCTTTGTCTCGCCGCGACGTCAATGGACCGAATCTTCCGACGCTGGCTCCTCAGTTGTGGTTTGTTATCGGTCTCGCCTGTGCTTCGACGACAGCGTCTGTCATGCGCTTGCCCTTCTCTGATTTTTCGACGCTGATCGGCCACGGCTAGAGGACAGGCTTTCGCTCTGCTTTATTCTTGTCAAGTGTGAACAAGAAGGCAGAAAGTTAGCGACACTCTTCGGCCTAACTTGGTCTCGCGAATATTCTGGCCCCCTTGCTTTGTTTGGCTTCTTTGCCGTTAGTTTAGGCACAGTCAGACGCTGCTCCACAATTGTCCGAACTCTGTGGCTTTTTCTGTATTTCGAATTATTCAAGAAAACCTTCTGTTTTTATGTTCGAGCCTGCTCCCGCTTAACGTTCAGAAATAGGCTGGTCGGGGCATTTATTCTTAGCCTAGCGCTTATGCCTAACGCTCTGCATATATCAGCATCATGGCCAAGAAGAGAAGTCTGACTTCTAATTTAATAGCGCAGTATTTCAATATACCAGTCGTAGTACACGGATGGGGCTATATTGTCGTGCGGCCCTGGGGCGACCCACTGCGTTCTCCCTTCAACGCAGACCCGAGAATTTAAGGCCAAGGCGTGAGTCAACCCTAAGCCTAGCCCTAGCCCTACCCTTCAGCCTTAAGCCCCTTATGGTATACATAGTTTAGCTGCTTCAACATTCACATTCCCAGCGTGGGAATTATTTCTTTAGAAAGGGCTTTAGAAGCAAGAGGACAAAATAAGGGCTTTAGAAGGGGAACAGAAACAAGTGTGAGAGAGAAGGGCCTTCTAGGGATTTACGAACGATGAAGGGCTTCTTACTTTTTGTAATCACTTACCCTCGAGGACACTGCCCAGCCTTCTGTCCCTGTGTACTACAACTAGTTTCACCCGAGTGACTCACGCCGTGGCGCTCTGCGAGCCCTAAAGAATGCTTGGTATGCTACGACTCTTGCTCGGACCCGCGGGCCCAGATGCAAAACCAGGCGCGGTGGCTAACGCAACAAGACCATTGCCCGGATTTCAATTCGGTCAAACTTCTGGAGACTAAGGCTAAGACAAGCAGAAGAAGTGGGGCTGGAGGTGGAGTCTTTATAAGTGACTGTGATTCACTGCGTGGTAGAAATATATACTGAATCTGAACTTACTTCGTTTTATAAACTTAGTACTCTCGTCTCGGTAATCAGAGGTTGTATACATCCGTACCAGAAGTAAAAATTATATTTTTATACAACAAGTACCTTTCTTGGCACTATAACTTTACCTTCCTTGCAACTGAAACTGTCTTTACCCCTTCCCCCCTAATGTCAGATGAACTTACCCCCAGAATGGGTAGATTATTATTATTATTATTACCTTTAAGCCTCGTCTCATCTCCAACCATTGTAGGACAATAAAACTCAACGCCACCCTTAGGAAACAACATGAAAAAGATTAAAACAAAAATGAAGCTTCTCCTTGTATAGCTTGCTATACTCGTATGGTCTTCGCTGCCTTCTTGGCACAACTTGTTCTGAGTTCTAGGCTCTGAAAGATGTTACTTTTTTGAAAAAGACAACCTGGCCTTTGGTCTTCCACGGTCCACCTTATTATTATTATAGAACATTTCGTAAGAAGGATGTTGGATTGGATGGATTGCATGGCATTGCATGCATTGCATGAGCCGAGGGGGTCAGAGTGCGACCTTCTTAAGGGAGCGACACGGGAGCGAAGACTCAGGGCGCGGCATAGGAGTACTTACTTGGCTCCGTTGTAGGCGTACTTGAATAGTGCTGGCACGTACTAGCTATTGTAAGTAGCTCGACTAGGCTAGCTTGCCTGCGATCTCGACCGTCTTGCTCGCTGTTCCCTGGCGCACACAGGCCACGGCGTTTGCGCTGCTCCTTGCTTGTTTCTGGGGCGAGGTCACAGTGGGGCCGTGTTTGTGTTCGTGTATCGTAAAGCAATTCTTCGGCGGAGCAGCCCGGTACTGCGGAGGAAGTATGGCGCCCGAAGGGCGCCGCGAAAAATATATTGTTTTTTGGGTGGTCCATCCATGCAATGCATGCCATCCATGCCATGCAATCCAGAAGTTCGGAAATTGCCTTATATTCTATTATTATTATTTTTACCTCCGATGCCGATCATCAGTTCATCTTCTTCGCCCACTCTTGACCAGATATGTCCGATAAGGATAGCGCGGTCGAAAAACAGGTCACAGCAATGACGCATCACGACGGTGCCTCACCTGCGGAGGCTGTGAAAAAACTGCCTGGCGCTCTTCCTATGCAGTTTGTCACGACTTCCGATGCTAAGAGGTCCATAGCAACACCGCTATCGACCTCCATGCCGATCATCAGATCATCCCCACGTTAGGAAGCTAGGGGGATGAACTGATGATCCCCACGTTAGGAATAGCTTACTAGTTCATCCCCCCGTGTAGTAACTCATTGAGAAAGTGTAGAAAATTGTTCGCGTCCGCTATCGTCTAACACTAATAGTAATAGACACACATCAAGATCAATTATAATTAGCAAGAAACTTGTAATTTTTGATGTATCATACAGTTGGGCATGATGATTCAAAAATATTGATAAATACTGATGATTTTCATAATGTTCACATATGGGCGTGAGCGTGAGAGCACGTCTATCTTAGCCCTCGACGCCTTCTTCAACTCGTTGCACTTAAAATTAGAGACCACAACGGACAACTGATTTCCCTTATATTTTTGATAGATTTGCTTATCAAGTATTAGAGCGCGATAGTTTCTTTGGACTTTGGACGGATTAATGATTGCAATACAACTAGGAATCGCGATTTTTCTACAATAACAGCGGCGGCGAGCACGAGCATTCCCTTCACATAAAACTTAAAGATCTATTGCGTCTTCGTCTTGCTCTTGTTTGTTTGTTTCTTTGTATTGATGCGATAATGATATTGATAATCTTCTTCTTGGTATTTAACAAACTATTCTTTCAGCGAGATGGAGAGTAGAAAGCACAAGCAGATGCTCTCTGTAGTGAGCAAGACCTACTAGATGACACAAGCCGCGTGACGATAATTGACACAACAGACTAGCCTCAATCTGGTGTTCTTGACATACTCGAAAACTGAAAATATGCGATTTAGTGACTCCAATGGGTATGGGAGAGCTAGCATTGCAAGGCTACGCGCATTTCAGTAGCAGTACTATCTTCTGCGCTATTCTAGTCATTTACTTGCTTACTCCAGTTTTTCGAATACATTGCTACATACTTACCATGGGGCTGACTATGTTAAAAAAACATCTTGCCGAATCGATAATTTTCAAGTTGTAAGATGGCGGCCATCTTCGTTCCGAGGAGAACTTGCACAACGGTTCCAAGAGGAACTTGTGACTAGAAATCCGTCTAGGATGTACTACACTTACACTAGGATTGCCACCAAATGAAAGAAAGCGCCCCAGCCGCCTTATGTGGGAACCCCTTGAATCTTGAGCCATCATGAAGAAAAAGAATCAGAAGGGTTGATCATGAGCAACTAACTCTGTCGTCGTTGAATCCGTTTCGTCGTGCCGTTAGTTTCGGCGTTGAATCCGTTGCTCCATACCCTTGAACTTGGGCGTGAACCTGAACTAAAGCTATGTAGTTGTAGCTACATGCATTATCAACAGCAGTCATTGATGTGTGGAGAAGGAAAGAACGAGGTATTGTCTAATATTATTTTTAGTGATAAAAAATGTACTAGCATAAACATGAGCTGCGAGTGATGAAAGGCTCCGCACTTCTGCCTTGTAGAATAGAAGTGCAGGTATCACGGAGGTCAGTATTTCTGATGTGTTAATACTAAAAATGGAAGGACTATATTCAGTATTACTATTATCATGGAGATTTGGATGTTGTTGACGCGGCCTTCATTTTGGTTTTTCGTTTTCTGCCATGGAACGGCACAAGATGAGGCGGCTCACAAAAACTGAGAAATTTAAGTCGTTGCTGCAGCTATGCAACTACAGGCGCAAGAACAGCGGCTGCATGCTCAACAAGCGATTGCATGGCATAAGCGATTGCATGGCATAGAACTTGTACAACAGCTTCGATCATCAATGTTAAGCACACGACTGCAACAGGTTCAGCGTCCAACCACAGAACTTCTTGAGCTTGTTCTATAGTAGGGTAAAACTTCTGGCTCTATCACAAGAGAAAGAGTGTTGTGCGTGACGTGATCTATTTTTTTTGGATTAGATTTTGGATGAGTTTGTTTCTGAAGAATATAACTTACTTTTCTACTCTTCATCCTCAGTTATCTCGTTCGACGCTGGCCAAAGATATGACTACGTATTTAGGAGCAATGAAATATATATGCCCGCGTCCATCATCGCCACACTGTTGGAACTTTTTTGTCCCGCCATCTTGGCGGCGCGAGAAGGAGGTGGAACTTCTTCTAATATCCGAGTAAAAATGGTAGAAGGAAAAACCACGATGAATCCGGGAGATGTCCATGATGCATGCTGTGATGCAAGCTGCAACAGTCGACAGCGGTCGTCGACAGCAAGACTACTTACTAGAACTAGAACGAAGGGCCCCTGGAGGAGATTTGGAGCTTCTCCAGAAGAACCAGAACGAAAGTCGCGGTTTGGAGCGTGCTGGATGCTCTTGTGCCTTCTGCTCCTTGCGGCCACTACTTCTTTAGGCCAGACAAGGGAAGCTTCGTTGGGTCCAGAATTGGACGACGATGAGAAAGGCATCCTGATTCTGGATTGGCATTATTTGGTGAAGACGGGGATTGCCCAGGTCAGGCAGTATGCTGAAAAAAAGCTTATGGCATCTCCTGAAGATGTTATTTTTTGAGGAATAAGAATAGGATTAACATGAGAAGGACAACGAGGAGTACGACAGGTCCTCGAACGGTAGACGCAAGAGACGCAAGAACCTCGATTCTAATATCGGGGAAAGCAAAACGAAGACAGATCTCGATCTGCTTGGATCGCCAAAAAAAGGCGTAGCACCTGGTCAGTGGAATGGGAGTGCGGATGCACAAGAAGTGTCTGTGACTTTATTCATGGAGGATTTGTATGCCTTGCGCGACTTGAGTCCTGGGATGCGTCGCTACTTTCCTGACTATTGTAGACGAGGAGCGAAAGCAGATACTGTCTCGAATCTTACTTAAGGGTTGTAAGTTGACCGATCTAAGCGCATGTCTGTGGCTCCTTCAAGAAGGAGGAAAGTCTAAAATCTGCATGATATAGAAGTGGTCTATCTCTATGACCTGCTTTTTTCTAAGAGGGGAATCTTCAAGGAATATGTATCATACAACATATGCGACGAGCTATGTGGGTCAATTTGTTACAACCCCTAACGTACTCCAAAAACAAGGCACTTCGGTAATGTCAGCCTCGAATGGGTAGAGGAGGAGCAATACTGGTGTCCGGTCGAAAATTCGGTGCAAGTTAAGAATCAACTAAGCGTCAATATCAAATGGTGATGATCTTGATCACCTCCCCAGTTTTGATCATTAGCATTAGCGTTATATATTTAGTATGTACCTACTGTTCGCGATCGCGAAGCGAGTACTATCAGTTTATTTCCTTTTTGTTGCATTCTTTTCTCTTCTATCTCTCCCTCTGGGGCCGTTAATTATATCTACGTACTGCCTAATTTATTATATTGCTCGAAGTAGTAGACCAAAATATTATCGGTATCACAAATAGCTCTCCTGTGGCTTTTCTAACAAAAGTGTCCTTTACGGTGCTCTTCGTCAAGCCGAGTGGACCGAGAAACGGCATGCATTAGCGACGGATTATGTATGACGCCACTCATTGAGAACCTCCCAAGCTATCGGGGAATGTCGTTCCTAAGTAAGAAGGCGAGGGGGGAACGACATTCCCATATCTTCGACATTCTCTCTCCAGTGAGTAATTGAGTAAAGCATTCAGATTACCGCGATTTTTTCTCGGAGTATCGTGTGTGCGTGATGTACGGAGGAAGGCAGACAGCGGCGGTTTGCTTGCTAAACGATCTCCCGACAGTTTTCGTTCCACACCTTTCTTTGGCCCAACTCCAACGCGAAGAGGACATGACCTTCTTTCTCTTATGGCCTTAGGGTGTGTGTCGAAGATGAATCGGTCAATCAATCAGTTAGCCTCCGGCGCAGGGCTTTTTTTTTTTGTAGTCCAAGAACGCCGGAAGGGTGATCCCAGTGCTGTCCGGTGTACCTCCCGCAGCTGCGACGGCCCGCTGAAACTAAATATACTAGAGTAGTTTATAGACGCTGGGCGGCAACGCGGGGCACGCTGGGCGGCAACGCTGGGCACGCTGAGCGGGCGCTTGGATAGCGCTTAGCGAGCTTGAGGGCCACACCTTGGGCATGCCGAGCCTGCTCGGCCGATGGATTTACTTGCGCCGCGGGGACGCGGTGCAGCGTGTCCCGTGAGGACAAACAAAGGCGGCGCGCCGCCCTCAAGGTTCAGGGCAGCGCTGGCGCAGTGCTGCGCCAGCTTGCGCAGTAGCGGGCTGCGCGGCGCCTGCTCTGTTCAGGCTTGCACTGCGTCGCGCTGCATTGCGCTGCTCGATGCGTGCAATGCTGCGCCGCTCCTGTGCACAGCGGTAAGCTCGCCAGCGTCGTTGGCCTTGGCCTACGCCAGACTAGTACTGCTGGTGGGGTTCTCAAGCGGGCGCCCGAAGGGCGCCCGGCAATTGGAGACGCCCAGCGTGACGCTGGGCGCAGAAGTCGGCAGACCTGGCACATTTGGTTCGCCCAGCGACCCAGTGTGCCCAGTGTGCCCAGCCCAGCCATGTTGGGAACCCTTATAAACTGTTCTAATATACATTAACTTTTGGAATCTAATCTCTGACGAAGTACTTCCAAATCCGAAGTTGCACATGGTTTCTACCTCGTACTTCGACATGGCATTGCTAGACTACCTTGCCGGCAAAGAGAACTTTGTGCCGTATCCTATCGTGCACCTTGCTAGGGACGAACTCTTGGCGAATGAGGACCTGCGCACAGCCTGGCAGCATTTTCATGGATACAAGAAGAAAGAAGACGAAGAGGCTTTGACGTTGATGAAGACGAAAAGCAAAATCATAGTTAAGGCAGCTAGATCCTAAAGCATCTTCAGCAACATCCGCGCCCTCTTTTTCAAGGGGGAAAAGAAGCCAAGGATGCCTGCAGGAATGCGGGGACCGTGGTAGCTTTCTAATCTTCTTCTAATGATAACAACAACGCAGGAGTAGAAGAAGGAGAAATATCACTACAACTGGAAGAAGAAAATGGTTATCGTAGCCTCCTAAGTGGTCTCTCGACATCTCAAAAGCGTAAATACGTCCTTTTCGGAGGTAGGAAATTACCTGGTGCTCATGGAGGTTCTGCAGGTGACCCGTGGCTGGTTTTAAGACTAAAAAGAGCTACTCCTGTTTTTACTTCTAAGCCATCCTTAACAGGACAAGTAAGTACTTCTATCTTCAGTACTATGTTAATCTGTGGCATTCAACAGTTAAGATATTTTGGGATCATCATTGACACGCACACGATGAAGAGAACCTCGCGAGGAACTTCTAGTACAACAGGGTTGTGGCCGCTTGAGGTAAGAATAGGCTGCTCTAAGAACCGAGTGGATTTCGATTGAGGTCGGAGATTGGATCCTGGCCTTGCAGGGACACCTAAGGTCGATCTATCGTGCTCGCATTGCTTCGGATCGCTGGGCTTTGCGCAGACACGGACTAAATGCTGAAGCAATCATGTTCGGATCGACTGGAGATGAGCCACTAATTATAGAACAGGCCCAAACGTCGAGAAATCATGTACACCATCAACATCCTGAACTAGGTCTTTCCTCTCTCTCTAGCAAGAATGAAGACTTGTTATGTCGAACAGCAGCAGAGAATTTGTGGCAGGTAATTGCGGATCCTACGAGAGGCATGTTGGCCTCCGCGGCGGGCACCAGTTACCCTTGGCCAGAATTCAACTCCTTGTCCTCGCGGATGGTACGGCACTAATCGACAAAATAACCGAGTAGCCACCAGAAATAAGCGATTCCTGTAGTTCGTGAGTACTACCATCTTCAATAGTAATGAAAAAATGCATATTAGCAGAACTGTTCAGAGTATTCTTCATCATCATCGTCATCATCATCATCATCATCATCGTCATCATCATCATCGTCGTCGTTATCTTCTCACTTGATCACGCATTATCTCTTTACTTGATCATGCATTATCTTCTCACTTGATCACGCATTATCGTCGTCGTTATCTTCTCACTTGATCACGCATTATCTCTTTACTTGATCATGCATTATCTTCTCACTTGATCACGCATTATCTTCTTACTTGATCATTATGTACTTACTTGATCACGACTACCTTTTTACTTCGTCATCTTCTTGCCATAAAGATAGAAAGCATAAACAAGAAGAGCTTGCTCTTCCTTCGACCTCTCCACCTTCTAGCAAAGTAGTTTATAGCACGCATGGAGTAGCATGGAGCGCATGGGGCGCAAATCCATAAGGGACGCAAGAGTCGCCTCCTTTAGCGATCCATGCAGCTCCATGCGATCCATGCACTCCATGCCATGCGAGCCGGGAAACCTTGCAGGTTATGCTGTCCGCTACATCATCATCATCGTCGTCATTTTTCGAAAAAGCGTGATCTTCTTTCTTCTCTGTGTTTCACAAGTATCTAGGTTCTCTGCAATCCCCCTTCAGTTCTGCAATCCACCGTCATCTTCTAACAAGCTTACGTTGGATCCAAAAAGAGGCCGCCACCTTGGAAGACGAAAGGGACCCCGCTTCTTGGGAGAAGCTCCTAGTCGACAAGATAGGTCCCCCGGAAGCTTTCCGATTGTGTCGAGAGTATTGGGAAGGTCTCACAGTAGGATGGACGGCACATCTGGACGACAAGCACAACTCAAACTCCAAAGCTTTGCTATCTAAAAAGACTGAGATGAAAAGGACGAATCATATTGAAGCAAGATCGCCAGATGCACACGCAGAGGATGTTGACGCAGATCGTCGTGCTGCTGCGCCTCGGCCAGTATATGAAGTGGATGTAGATGTAGAGGAGGAAGATGCAACTCATTCGGATTCGCTCACTGCAAGCGCTGTGCATACCCCTATAGTGGTGAACTCGTGGCCAAGACATTTTGCAGGTGGCCGTTACGAGTGGAAGGACGTGCTTGCCGATGTAAAGGCACTTGTAATTGTATGGAAGACACTTGTGTGAAAGTGAAAAGGCACCTGTCGTGATGGTATCATGGAGGAGACAGCTTCTAAGGTTCACGACAAGAACATAGGGAGATGCCATACTTTACAACGTGTTGTAACTCCTGCACCAGTTTAGTTAACGACATGATAATTCGCATTCGTAGTACGTCTGTTGTATGAAGACCGAAGAGAGCTGAGCTGCTAGCTGCCTCTGTCTATGACGTGAATAGACTTCGTCATCGTCGTTGACGTAGACATCGGCAAGAAAATGATCATAGTGTTCTAATTTCAGTTCCCTACTCTACGGCAGCCTTATTCTGGCATGAAGCGCATGCACTTGGCATACCACTGTTTGCTCCTTCTGTAGCACTTCTATGGCGGTGGCATCTGATTCTGCAGAGGGTGGTGCTGCGGAGGCTAGAACGAGCCGACTTCTTCGCAAAGCAGGCCAAAGAAGCGGAGGAACGAAAGGCAGAACAGGTATGAAGCCAGAATACATTATCATTGTGCTAGTAGTGCCACAGCTAGTACGGAAGTGGAAAGAGAAAGCTTCATCTGGATCTAACTAATGGTAGTAATAGCTGCGTCTGCGGCAATTGTCTTTATATTTATCAGATAAGAAGTGACTCCTAGTTTATTATAATACTAGGCCTCAAGAAGAAGTGTTATCATTCACGCTTCAAAGTTTAGTTGTGAACATGTCATAGACGAGTAGTCAATTTCGAGCGCACGGGGCAGAGGCGCACCGGCACGCGCTGTCTGCTTTAGCTTAGCTTCATTGATAGCTGGCTTGATCTACCTCTCGTGCTGCTGGTTCATGGTCTCCTCCAGAGATACTTACCTGGCGTCTCTCTAATGTGTCTCCATCTCCATCTCCAAGCTGTGTGTCTCCAAATGTGTCTCCATCTCGATGTGTCTCCAAATGTGTCTCCATCCCCATCTCCAAGCTGTGTGTCTCCATCTCCATCTCCAATCTGTGTGTCTCCAAATGCGTCTCCATCTCCATCTCCAATCTGTGTGTCTCCAAATGTGTCTCCATCCCCATCTCCGATCTGTGTGTCTCCAAATGTGTCTCCATCTCCATCTCCAATCTGTGTGTCTCCAAATGTGTCTCCATCTCCATCTCGATGCGTCTCCATGTGTATCTCCATGTGTATCTCCATCTCGATGAATCATCTTCTAATTTAAGAACCTGCAGCAGCAACAACGACCACAGGGATCGACGGTAAAAAATCAACGGTTGGAGAGAAGCATATGAGCCACTGGGCTCGTATCGATACTTCACCACAGAGAGGAGGCGGCGTAGAAGCAAAAGCCTCCGAGGACATGGCGGCCTATTCAAGGAGTGTTTTAAGGATCCTAAAAATGTCATAATATGTGTAATTAAAGGACGACACTCTCGACGCATTCACGGGCACTTTTGTCGTCGCTGAATCTGTTTCGTCTTGCTGGTAGCTTAGGATGGCTACTTTTGAGACGCCACGATGGTAATATCGCTTAGAGATGACCTCATCAAAGTCGTTGCGTCCGTTGAGAGATGTTGCACAACTCCAATCCTCAGAGATCTTCATAATCCACAACACCTCCGAGTCCTACAGCGTGGATGAGGTGGCCTTCTTCTGCCTCTGATGTACTACTTAGCTGATACAAAACGGGTTCTGTACTTGTCATGATTGACCAGAGTCTACGGTAGGAAACCTCCGCTAAGCATGATGCTGAACGAGCTATTTTATTCCTGGCACCCAAGCTACGTGGGTAATCAGAAGCAAGAATTTGGAGCCCAAGAATCCATCCTAGCTTCACGTGGCCTGTTGTGGCGATCGCAGGAGGACAAATCTGAAGATCCTTACGGCTAACGTCGAAGTGACTGAAGGTGAATCTAATAAATAGATGAGTCAGTTCGACTCATCATCTATTACAGATTCACCCAAATTGAAATTCAGTTTGAGTCGAGTCAGAAGTGGACTTTTTATTATTCTTTACCGGGACGACAGGACTTGGAGTCAGTGGGTTGTACTACTTAGAAGTGAGTTGTAATTTTTTGAAGAAAGATTAGCCAGAGGACACTGGTCACCTGGGTACTAGAAGTGAGTTGTAATTTTTTGAAGAAACATTAGCCAGAGGACCACACTAGTGGTGACGTTCACCTCGTCTTCTAAGCTACTGGTGACGTCGAGGGCCAGCAGCTGCCGGAAGAAATTGTTGAGAACGAGCCAGAAGAGGTTACTGTCCATGCAGGCGTAGACTTTTTGAACGGCACGGCAGCCGAAAACAGCAGAATAGATGAAGAAATCGATGTAACTGATGCGAAGGAAAAGGAGATCACCGTCGACGACATAGAAGATCCATCAGGAAATCTCAAAAAAAACGACAACCTACCTCCAGCAGCTCTTTCTGCTATCTCAGCGTTCGAGGAACAGGCGGAGCAGTGGATGTTCGACTCTACTACAATTGGCCACTTTGACGTACCTTTTGTCGATGAAAAGCATGGCCTTTTTGCGTCAGAGTTAAGAGATCGCCTTTTTCTGGCATAGAGATTCATTTTGAGAAAACGCTCGAAGTAGATGAACTTCTGTTCGCTCGTGCTTCTCAAATAGAACTTCCTACTAAGAAAGTACTATCCAATCCTTTGACCACTGCTCGATCAGCCTTCTAAACCGCACGCGCCAACTCCGCGCGAATCCTTCTTCGAGGTGTCGACGATTTTGTCCTAAGGGTGCTGCTTACTCTCCGTTCCGAATGTTCGAGAGTAAGAGGGCTTTCTTCTACTGGGCATCTAAGCTAGATTTTTCTAAGGCAAGAAGGCAGTCTGTCACTCTAGGAGCCTCGTCATCTTTACTAAGTAATCTCTAGTGATTAAAAGCATCTCCGTCACTGTAGGAGTCTCGTCATCAATTTGCCCGGGGGAGTGTGAGTAATGCTATTACTAGTCATCTTTACTCAGCACTCAATTTACCCGGGAGAGTGTGAGTAATGCTATTACTAGTCATCTTTACTCAGCACTCAATTTACCCGGGGGAGTGTGAGTAATACTATTACTAGTCAAGTAGCTCAAAGCCTGGCCCTGCGAAGGTGATCAGTGACCCCATTGGGGTCACTGTCGGAGTGTCATGAGTGGAGTCGTGCCATATTGGGGCACGCTCCTACTTTCTCAAGTCTCTCCAGTTTCTTACTATTATCCTCGTCGCTCTCGTTCTCGTTAGGCGAACAGAGTAAAGCTACTCGCTAAGAGATGGCGGACTTTGTCGCCATACCAGGCGGATAATTCTCCCACGTTCAAACTTCAAGGGAATTTCATTTACAATAAGGGGTAGAAGGGGGACCATAGAATAAAATAAGGGAATTCATCAAAATGTTTCACACGCACTCAGACACGGATGCTAGTACTTGATTGACTGAGTTGATAGTATTTGTATATGGTGGTCGCAACTATTACATTTCAACTAGTACAAAAAAATTTCGGGGAAACTAGAACTTAACCCAAGAACTCAGTCGTGTTTCAAGTGCCGGGACAGCCATGGGCAATTGGAGCCTGCTGCAGTGGACCTGAATGAAGGAACAATTTGATATTGATGAAATGGCTCATTTGATTTGATGTAAATAAGTATGTTGATTTCTAGTTAAGGAGGAGGAGAGGAAATCCGGAATCTGCTGCTGCTAGGTGCGTGGCTTGGGGTCGGAACGCTTCGAGGACCAGCCGGACGAGGCCAATTTTAAGGCTAATCTAAAGGAAATACACACATAGAACCACACGAATCAGCCTACTAATAGCTCAAGAACTCGCTTCAAATAAACCCTAAAGATCCTAGTAGAAAATGAGGAAGGTCCAAAGGAGATCATCACTGGGAATTGAGTAGAACCAATAGAAATAAATCAACTTCACATGAATCAAATCGCCAGCCTTTCACTTCGTAGAACGATCGAGCCAATTTCACTCATGCTATGGACCCAGCGATTACGATTCGAAGACGATAGCAACATCAACATCCAACTTCAGCAGGATTCTTATGGGCAGAAGAACTAGGAACCATTTAATTTAGTCTAATTTTTTCAGTGATCAACATGGGCGCTGAACCTAAGAAGATAGAGGCGCGCTGCCTTGACCTACTTGGGGAACATCTAGGACCGTTCTTTTCAATTCAACGAGGTCACGAGTCGACCGCTGACCTTTTCAATCAATGGAAAGGGAAAAATAGCTATAACAACCACAATGGAGGCCGGTGGCTACCTATCCAGCTAAAGGGCTGCACCCGACGCACCGCTTCCTGGGAGAGGAAGGTAAGGTTTGTCATCAACCAACGCAAAGACGCCCTGCACGGGTGCGTGCTTCTCGGCGTTAGTCTTGAAGAAGATGCGGGCATCTTCTGCCACCTAGTACACCGGGCGGCCAACTACAGTAGTTACGATATGAATGCAGACGCTTTTAACTTTGAATGGGCCGACGTCATCCCTGAATTAAAGAAGCTGTGGATGGATGGCCCAGGCATGCAGTCCTTCTCCCTCGCCGAGAGCTTCGCCTATAGTGGCAGCAAACTCTTGGAGAATACAGCCCGGACACGGTTTCGACGAGAACTAGAGGGCTCCGGGCTGCTGTATGAAACGCCCGATACAGAATTCGGGTCCATCGACGGATACCTGGCCCACACGAACTACCCACATCGATACCGTGTCCAAGAGAAAGTGCTCACGGTTCGCCACTCAAGAGGCCGGCCGCTGTGCCTCCGCGTTCTTCTTCGAAGGTACTGCTTTTACAGTTATCAAATCAGCATCAGTTTCTGGGAGTTTCTAGCTGCGTCTCCACTTCATTCTCGAGCATCCACCACACCAACAAAACCAAGGTCCTCCGGGGTGAATTACGAGGAAAACGACGCCGACTTCTTGCTTTTACATGCCCGAGAAAACATCGAAAACGACCACGCATTCGAGCTCGCGGGAAGTGCTCTCATCCCCTTTCCAGTGCTGAGCAAGTTGGGCTATCTTCACAAGAGCGACAGGAACGAGCAGCATCTTCATTTTTAACAATCGTCTTGCGATAGAACAAAGAACTTCTTACTTCAAACTTCAAAACAAATGCCAACCATACACCCCCCTACATAACCAACCCACAGAGCGCGCGGACGCTCCTCTTTATCGCTCTACCCCGATGGAGTTCCCGGCGTGCTGAATCCAAGGCTGAGCGAATTGGAGGGCTTCTTCTGCCACTGTGGGCCCAATTTTCATAGTGGTCTTCTCAAGATCGTTAAGGACAACGCGATAGAGATAGGCGAGCCAGCTGCATCTTCCTCAAATGTGGAGTCTTCCTGTGTGATTCAGTAGAGGCAATTGCTGTTTTGAAGAATAAAGTGGGGGATTCTATACAAGTAGAGCCATCGACGTGAGTAGCAACATGGAACAGCCAAAAACTATGCAAAAACCTATTAGAAGAACTTAGATGAACATACTGCAAAAAAGACTGGAACCGCGGGGGGATTAGTTATGGACTAGAAGAGCAAGACTCGCGAAGTCATGGATGCACATCATGCGACGAGAATTTGACGTAAAGCAGGCGTGATTAGTCTTAAATTCTATACAAAATAAATGATTAGGGTTGTTGTGTAATTTTATTTACTAATACTAAATAAACTAGAAACAGGAGGTGAATCGTTTATGATAATTGATGGCGTGTAGTACTCTAAAAGATCGAAACTAGATGAGTGGATCAATGGAATTCATATGGAAGCTACTGCTTTTCAAATAATCAAGAACAAGACCAAAAGCAGGGAGTGGTTTCTTCAAATGAACATCATCAAAAAATCTGACTCACAACTTGATAATCAAAGTAGTATGCTGCACTGAAAAAGATGACTTCAACTTCAAGGAGATGCTTCAACTTGGACACATATGAAAACTATGAAATAGCGCGAGAGTTTCGTACTTGGAAAACGATGAGAAGCATGAACATATTTTCTGTGCATTTTATCTATTCACCCAAAGACTCCTCCCCATAAAGCTCATTGAACTTGTCAAGTTCCTCCTGCTCAGAGTCCTCTTCTTCATCTACTAGATGGCGGACATGTTTCAGCTGCAGCTGCTGTGCATTTTGGAGACCATACTCCAGGATCACAGCCGGATAGAGGCAATCGATGATGTTCTTCTTGATGTCCCCGATGATGTCCGTCTCCGGCGCTATCTTCGCCACCTCTGGCGCATGGCCTTTCGGCCAATGCAACCGCAAAGTATCGAGATTGCCGCCTTGGGCGTTCCTGTGCGAACGCACTTCAGCGACGACGCGAGAAGGTTGCTCTGCGATGCTCCATATTTCATACACGTACTTGGCTGGTTCCCGCGTGTTGCCATCCACCCTGCGCTTTGGGGCTGCTTTCGGTTTTGCCAGTGCAGTACTAGATGATGCGGCGTTCTTCATCTTGCGCTTCTTACTGGTATGCTTCACTTCTTCATGCAATCCGCTCTCCACAGCGTCGACCGCGACGACCCGATTGGCCTTGCGTTTGATACTCGCTGCAAGGGCAGCATCTGCTTCGCCAATGGTCATCCGCTTGAAGAGTTGGTGCATGATGTCCGCCGGCACGTTGTCGAAGTCAGTATCTACTAGACCATGCTGCTGCATGAACGGCGCGACAGACGCAACTCGAGCGGCATGCGGCACCGTCTTGTACAACGCGGCAAAGGAAGCACTCGAACTGCACCACGATGGATTCTACAACTCGATGAAGAGACCTGCAGCGCCACCAATTCCGACCTGATATCCACCATCATAAACGTCGAAGAAGCACAAGAGACCACAGCCGAACTTCGTATCCTGCTGCGTACTCGGCCAAGTCAACCTATTTGCAACATGATGTAGATCGACGGTCATGATGTAGCCGCTGTAGTGCCTGTGGATTGAGTAGTACTTGTTCTGTTTTCGAATGATAACAAATCCCTTCTCCTTCAACTTCGCATCGACGAGTTTCAGGCTGGCCAGCTGCTTGCTGATCATCTCGTAGAACCGGAGCTGCGCCGACGTGACAATTGCACCACGCTCCAAAATCACCAACGCCTCTACACCACGAAACCCGAGATGCTCTGCTTTTACTGTGGCCGTGTCCTCCTTGAGTAAATCGACGAGGTCAACAAGACAGGCCTCAACACGCTGGCGCGGGTAATCCGTCAGGTGCTCCAGTCCACGTTTGAACTTGTCGAACCACCCGGTCAAAAAAGCACTCTCGGATGTAGCACCTGCGCGCTGTTGCTCCTCTACCAGAGCGACATCGGACCGCAATCGCTCCTGCGATAGACCAAGCGAAGCGATCTCATTTGCCTTTTCCTCAACGGTGTGAGGAAGCAGGATAGGCGTCTTGTACTTTGATGCAGCGGCGATACATGGGTAACGTGGGTGCTGCCTGCGAGTCTGCTGCACCTGCTTCGAAGCCCCACTGTGCAAAGCGGAGCAGTTTGTCTTATCCTGCACCCGCCTCTCCTTGAACCTCCTCTCGATATCGGACTCGGTGATGGGATAGCTGCGGTTGCTATGCGTTACTGCTGTCTTCAATTCCTGCATCTTGTTCTCCTTGAGGCACCGCGTCATGCGTTTCGTGTGGTACGACAGAGGGAAGCTCCAGCAAGTAGCCAGACGAGGTAACGACACAGCCGGAACCTCAACGCGACCGTGGATGAACGACTCCCAAAGACCATGCTGCGGGTCTGCGGTATCGAAGAAGTAGCAGTTGATGACCCTGCCGACCAAGGTCAGTGCTGCAGCAGCATGCGATGCGGATTTTCTGCCTGCTTGAAAAGCGTCCGCAGCCAAAATGCGCCAAATACGATCGCGATTCGCAGCAAGCAAATCCTGAACGTCAGGCGCTGAGAAGGCGTCATCCGCAAGCAAATGGTCACCGAGGAATTTACGTGCGGAAGCCAAAATCGCAGGGTCATCAAGACAAGCAGACGAAGCGTGCGCAGTGTTCAGCTTTTCCAACAGCAGGAAGTAATCGTAATGGCCTTGACTGACGTCGAGCTGCGCACGAAGGTCTTCCATCTTCGTCTCCTCTAGCAGCGTGCACATGTCCTCGACGTTGCCGCAGAACAGTTTCTTACTCTTCTTGGCTGCTTCGGAGTCCTCCGTATCGATGTCGAGCATATTCATCGTCTCATCTGCTTCGTCATCACTCGCAGCCCGACCTGCAGGACGTCCACGACGAGGGGCAGCAGCGACTGCTCGACCCGTCACCGCCTTCAAAACGTAGAGGACTTTGTAGCGGTCCTTCAAAAACATGTCGCAAGTCGTCGTGTCACGGAAGAAACGGGCGTTGGTCCCGTGATAGAGCTCTACACCTGAGAGCATGTTTTAAGAGCTGTTTTGGGGTCTGTATTAGTTGACACTTTTAATACCCTCACTCCACCATGCGCTACTGCTAGAATTCAGAGACCTACCAGAATCGAGGAGTTTTAGGGGGGTCCTCTTGGGGTCAGAATGCATTCTAAGTCGTCAATTTCTAGTCCTGTTAAGGTTCGTTTCTACATAGATCCAATGTCTCAAACACCAGTAGAATCCTAGATATTCAGCTGCATCCTAACATGAGAAAACAGAATAGTTATCAAGTACGTTTTTCCAGAGCTTCCTCGAGGGTAGCTTTGTTTTGCTCGTTGATAAGCTCAGGCCCATACGCTCGAGCCGCTATCTGAGCACCAGCACGTGCTTCGTCTAGAAGAGACTCCCACGTCTTGAAGAAGTCTCCCTGATTCTCCTTGCTGCTCCGAGGGCCACACAAGTAGCTGCGCCAGCCCGAGGAGAGCTCCGCGGCGCCCTTCGTGAGGCCCTTACAGTTGTTGGACAATCTGTGATCCACACCGAAACGGAATGTGCCAGGGTAAAGCTGCCCAACCAACTGGCCAAAACGGCACTCCGAACTGCCCTGATCCGGTAGCACGTTGATGTTGAATGCGTTGCCGCCCGGACTGAGGCAATCGGTGTCAACCTGCTCCCAAGAAGTGTCGCGGTTGCACTTCAGCTTCGCCATAGAATCGACCCCGAAAATCATCGTGGTATAGTAGAGGAATGCCACACCACTAAAGACCGTCGCGTCAAGGTTCTCTCTGCGCTTCAGGCAGTTTTTCCGGGCGTTGGATAGTGGTAGTGGGACGAAGTGCAACTCGTCGTAGCTGCTCTCAACGTCCTCTCCCGGGAGACCCATTGAAACGTCATCGAGGAAAAATCCCTGCAGGGGGAAGGGCGGGGAAATGAGTCAGGGAAAGGATGGAATCTCATCGAAGTTGAAACTGAGGAAGCAGTAGACTCAATACTTGAAGTAGTCAGAAGCACAACAAGAAGAGACACTACTTAAATCATGAAGCTCTTCGAGGAAGTTCTACTCTTTGCAACGGCGAGAAGATCTAAAACCATGAGGACATAACAGGGTGGAGGTCCGGTCTAAAAAGTGACTACGTTCATCGCGAACGTATGGTTTTTGCGCACCGCACTGTAGTCGTAGCATAGAGTTAGCTGGCCGGTCGAACTGCCTAAAGGCATATGAAACGCGCCTGCTGTTAACCTCGCCCCAAGATTGGAAAAATTTCGCATCTGCAGACGAAGATAGAGCATGTTCCTCATGATAACCCGCAGCGCAAGTTGCTGGCAGAGGTGCGTTTTGGATGGATTTCTTTAAGGTATCTTTATGGTAAGAAAGAGAGAATCTATAGTAGTGCTTGACGCGCTTATAATCCACTAGAGCAGAAGTCTGAAAAATCTATTATAGGAGAATATAAAAAGAGAAGATCGCGACCCTTATCCTAAATCCAACACTTGTAGAAGTAACCGAGGTAGCACCTGCTCTCGTTTTAGCTGTTCCTTTGGATTACGCTTCCGGTTCATATTATGGAGCTGCTGAGCCCAATCCTCAATGCGTTGGCCGACTGCCTCAGCAGTATTCAAATCGAGGCCATCGAGCAGATGTTTGAAACTGCACGCGGAAATAATTTGAATAAACGCTGCTCCATCATCTGCTTTCATCCAGGCGAGAATGTAAGCCTGTAACGAAGGTAAAAGCAAGGGATTGATAGAAGGACTCTTATGGTGGTTGAGTTGGAGATGAGTTCGTGGGAAGTCATCTACAGAAACCAACTTCCTAAGGTCAAAACAGGAGGGGAGATCCTCGAAAAGCCTTACAGTTCGAAGATGCGCAAGTTCACTCAGAGCCACGCTACAACTACTACAGCAGCTGACTCCTCAACTTCAACGAGAAGACTCTTAGAAATGCTACCAAGTCAGCTGCACTGCCCGAGGTCTTAAAACGATCGAGATGCACATGATACAGGTCGCGCAACGTGATGTGCAAAGAGGACAAGGCCCGATGATAATTCGAACTCTTCAAGGTGATCAGGCTCTTGAAGAAGAAGACCATCTGCCCCGAATTATCGTCCAGGTAGGGACAGTCCCAGTTCTTCACTTTCGACTTAGGTTGCCGCAAAGATGCAAGGTCACGAGCAGCTTGCTCTTGGTCGGCTGGAAACTCGTCGGCCATTGCGTTATTTTGAGTTCGAAACAAGGAGCAGCAAGAAGCTATGTAGATGCTGCTGCTGAAAAGCGAGCTGCAGGAGCAGACTCTTCTATCGGCTGTCAGGTAGAGGCTGAAATGAATCTCCAGAAGCATGCACCGAAGCAAGTGCAAAGAAGGAGCGGTTTGCAGATGATCATCATGCAGCATAGCGAGCCCGTTTGATAAGCACTTCTACGGTTCCTGGTGCATTGAGAGATGTTCACACGATGAGGCTGCAGTTGTTGGTCGAACATCCACAGGCTGGCACTCTCCTCACAAGTGTGCTGAGGCTGCGTTATGTTGTCCTTGGCCGAAGCTCTATCAAGAGTCTGACTACGACCATGCACAAGGAGATCCACACGAAGTGGTCTCTGTGCTGGCGACGAGCAGCCAGCTATTCAGCAACATCACCAAGTTCAGTCCGCTCCAAGCATAAGAATGAAGTTGACACACACCGAGCTTAATTACCTACCAGCTAGCAAACTCCATGCCACCTTAATAAGGACTCTACTTCTAGAAGAATTAAACAACAACCATCAGAAAATGACTAAAAAGGACTAGCTGATGTGAAAACTCAAGCTAGAATATAACAAGGTGAGGCAACTCCAACGCAAGCGCTGGAAGCTGCTGTTACCACCTTAAAGAACCGCTAATATGACGAAACCATAAGCCTATAGACACATCCGACCATGTTTATTAGAGTTGAGCGACTATCTCTAATGTACCACAACCTTCCAAAAGTGAAAAAATATTGCACTTATGCATCAGATTTTTGACTGTGTCTACAAGCCCGCCCCCCTCATCATCTCCTCAACCCCTTAGTTCTTCTTCTTGGCGGCCGCCTTCATCGGCGCCTTCTTTGCCTTCGGGCTTTCAACAGCCTTCTGGCGCTTCGTCTGTGGCTCAGAGTCTCCTCCGTCCGTAGTGGTGGCGTGGCCCTGCTCGGTCGAGGAGTGGTTGAGGGCGACGTTGTTGGCGGAGCTGCTGGACGAAGAAGAAGATCCACGAACATCTGGAAAGGGAATTGCGCCCACGGATTGGGACTGGTCCATGAGAGCGAGCGGTCCGGGTGGAGCAGGCAGCGCAAGCAGGTTCGTCGACTGTGATGTTTGGTGAAGCGAGAATTACGAGGAGCATGCCTATACTTCAAGCTGAGTACGAAGAAATTCTTGCTATGAAAATGGAGTTCGTCACAATTCTAAAAAATCTAAATATTAAAACCTGCATTCCGAACGACGAGGGACCGGCGTTAGACTGCGCAGCAGCGACCGCCTGCATTTCACGGCGGCACTCATAAGAGACCACCTTCTGCACGCAGGACTGAATGTCAGGCATGCTCTGGTACACCTGCTGCAGCTTGAATAACGGCACCTGGTTCTTGAGGAAGGAGGCCAAGGTCTTCAGACTGTAGTGCCCATCTTTCCCGCACACCGTGATGGGCAAGTTGTAGCCGACGTCGACCATCATCAAGAACCACTTCCACATGGAAACATGTACGACCTTGGTGCAGGCGTTCAGGTACGAGACCTCGCACACAGTGGCCATGATCATGCAGATCTGCACCAGGGTAAGCTGTCCGATAGCTGTAGGGAGGTTTGGAGTTGTAGATTAGGCCTATGGTTTTTGAGTGTGAAGTTCTGAAGTTGGAAGGTAGATAAAAGATAGTGCTTTTTTTAGTATCCTCGGCCAGATATCAGTATAGTGACATAGATAGAATTTCTTCAAGTGAATCCTTGAAAGGATGAGATTCCAGCTACTCGGTGACTAGATAAAGAGGCAAGCACAAAGTGGAAAATACTATGAATCTGCTCGAAGCTGCGGCTCGACAGCTGCGACAAAGGCGTGTAACCCACACGATGGGCCTTAAGGTCTTCCATACGGTCATCGATGACCTGGCGGCGTGCTGCTAGTTCAACCTCATTGCAACTGTTGCAGTCTTTTTTGAATTCCGCCATGGACATTCCGGGCACTTTAGGCATCTTGAGTCAAGGAAAGCTCAAAAGAGCCAGAAAGAAAGTGAGTTAGTTGGTCCCTCGTCGTTCAACCTAAAACCCCCATCGAATTCCATGCAGATGATTTGATATCTACTTTACTTACTTCCAAAGTTAAGACAAGGAATAGTCTAGGCCTTTTTCAGTCGTTTTTTTCTAAATATTCTAAGCCTTTTACGTTTTCACATCAGGAGCGTGTCCTAGCCTTTTTGGTATAGTCCATTTTCAAGATTCTACCTAAAGTGTAAGCCTTTCTCTCACTAATCTTCTCTCACTTTTCTCTCCTTGCTCTCTAATGCTTCGTCATGCAACAGGAGGACACGCCACAAAAATGCACAACCAATCTCCCCGGAGTACTGGTTGAATCAGACGCAGTTCTTATGGTTTCGATTTTCTTCTTTACCGGTAGAATCTCGTCGCGTTTCACATTGAGAAACGTGCTCAAGGGTCTCTTTCATCTCGTCGTAAATTCATCCTTCAAATGCTACTACTTATAGTTCAAAGTCCTCTAACATGCTCTCCAGACCCGCCAGTTTCTCGGCCTCTAAGACCACACTGTTCCAAGGGTTCAGCTTGTTCCGACCCCAAGCCACGCGACTTCGAACCGACTGCTGCCTCTGCTCCTCTCCTCCTCCATAAATTACTCAATAAATCACCTAGTCAACTACTCAGTTTCATCCTACTCAAATCATAATCCCTAAAACAAATATAATACCAGGTCCACCGCTGCTGCTCCATCGATTCGCAATTCCACTTGGGTGCTTCACGCCCCAACCTTAAGCCCATGAGTACTGGCTTCCCCGAAATTTTTTTGTACTAGTTGAAATGTAATAGTTGCGACCGCCATATTGTACTAATGTAAAGTAGAAGTACTTCTAGTTGATAAACTTATAAACTTTCAAGAACTTGGTCTACAAGAACTACTGCTGTGATGTTATCATCAGCCAGGTATCTGACACCTAGCCTTGCTCTACAACTACAACAACATCTAATTTCCATCATTTCGGGCCACACATAGTGCGATTTGATAATGTAACCGATCTGGCCCGCAAGGTGTCCGACCATCGTCTCCTCGAATGGATGCGCAAAACGCAGGAACGCACTGTGGAAAAACAAAATTTATGACCAGACTCGAATTCGATTTCGAAGCCTAGGTCATGAATGTATACGATTTTTATATGAACAAGTACTTCTAGTAGATGTACGTAACTCAGGAGCAAGATTTTTAAAGTCGATGTGGATACTAGTACTACAAAGTCTCTTAATAGTAATTCGTTACTACTTAATGTACACTTCTCGACACTCACACGACTATGATGAGTAGTACGTCAGCTGCTGCATGATGAGTAGTACGTTGGCTGCTGCATGATGAGTAGTACGTTAGTTGCTGCGTGATGAGTAGTACGTTAGTTGCTGCATGATGAGTAGTACGTTAGTTGCTGCATGATGAGTGTTAGTGCACGTCAGCACTATGAAAAAAATCGAAAAAACTAATCCTAGTATTGAGGGAGAGGGTTGGAAGTTGACATCTTCTCTATGCGCATCTCTATCCCTTCTTCAAGTAGGAAGGCCATAGATGTGCGAGCTAGAGGCGCCAACTTTCGCCCCCTAATAGTAGATGCAGTTATCACATGACGCCCTCCCTGTTTCCCTTCTCCGATTTTCTTCATAAGCACGCATATCACAGCGGGTTTTTGGAGCTGCGATTGATCATGCGACTTCCGAGATGAATTGAGGGGGAGAAGAAGGAGAATGGCGTGGAGATAACAGTTGTAGAGGAAAAAAGAGAAAGAGAAGTGCTCTGAAATTGTAATCGAATTGAAGCACACGGACAGGAATAATTTATTTGGGTTTCAGTCACGACAGTCATGATTAGAAGATTGGTTTATTCACTCTAATTATAAAAGAAACAGTCTAATAAATATGTCTTGTTGTTGTGTCACTACTAGAGTCAGACTCTCCGGCGATTGCGGATCATCGGTCAATTTGAATCGTCGTCCTGAATCGGTATAGGGCAGCCCACTTCACTAGGAAGTGTTTTAGGTTAATACTGAGAGTGAGAGTTGTTCGTGATGGTGGGTTCGGTGAATAATTTGATGGCGTCTTCGACTCTCGGTGATCGGGTCTCCTCGATCTAAGCTGATGGTAAAAGTTGGTCGTCGGTCATCGGTCAGTTATGAAAGTGCCAGTTGATTTTTACCCTGATACCACTTACCCTTTCCTTTGGAGGATTCTCCCTTAAAAGCAAGTAGTTCAAAAGCTGAAAAAAAGGACTGAAAACGCAAAATGGAAGAGGACAACTGAGCAAAGAGGGAATAGTTAATATTCTTTAAGGTTTGTATGAGTCCCCTGTTCCCCGTCATGATCCTGCTGTCCCGTTCAGTAGCCCTCAGTTTTTGTTGTCCTATGCACCCCTCCTTCTTAGGATGTCGTTGATTGATAATAAGATAGTTGATTTCTTGGCTGATAACAGCGCTGTAGGGCTGTTTGAAGCCAAAAACAAGTTTAAAATGATTTTTGACATAACCTTAGAAGGTGGAGCCACGGCGCAAATCGTAGCGCACGCAGAGTTTGACGGGCGACGGTTCTCGAACATCATGATCACGCCGCAATTTACCATTGGTAACCGCGAGGTGATGTCTCGAGTGATGGGAGAAATTGGAGAGATTCGGAGAGGCAGCGCGTTGATGGATAGGCGTGCATCTGATGTAACCGGGGTTACACGAAGTACGCCGAGAATCGTACAGCGGCAGTCCGCAACCGGAAAGATGACATCGGCGCGCTTGGTGCGATGCAACGCGAGGTCGGATTTCATGAACAAGATTTTTGAGGAAATATATAAGGGAGAGTAGTTCAAGGAAATATGACGTTTTTTTGGTGGTCTTCACGTTTTTGCTCCAAAGTAAAAGTTTTTGCCTGTCGTAATTTTGGTTTGATCTGTGCACGGTAAGTTGTCGAAGGAGGTAGTATTAAAGTGAGGTAAGTTGAAGTTTTCAAGGTTTTCGATGAGTGTTTTTAGGTTTGTTGTGTTTCCCTTCATTCAAGTTTCAGGTTTTCTATTGTTCAAATCGTATTAAAGCGGAATTTGTCCGTCTATGAAGATGCAAAAGGGGTGTTGTGTTAATTTCGAAAAGTTTGACAAGGACAAAAAAATAAGGCGGCTTATCTGAAGGAGTGGCGTGCAAGAGGGTGCTGAGTTGAGTGCGTTTTGACTAAGGATGATTCAAAAAGGCGCAAAAGGTCTCCGTCAAGTAAAGGAAAAGACAACAAAGCAAAATGAAAGGGCTGTCGCAAAGAGAACTGAAAAAGGACAAAGTGTGAAAGATGCAAGGAAAAGAGATCGAAAGAAGAAAGTGAACGACTGTGGCCTGCTGGAAAAAAGTTTTTCTTTTTGGTTTTTCTTTCTTGTTTAAGCTTCCAAGAAGAACGAAAAAAGAAGAAGACAACAAAATGTCGGAGGAAAAACTACGCAGACGCTGTGTAGGAACGGTACACAACATTGCGATGCTGATGACGAAATGTAATGGTAACTACGAAGATGAAGTTCCGGCGCTGCATCACGTGACAGGATCATCCGAAAACTACAGGGCCATTGTAGTATCGCGCACGACGGGTGAATCGTTCCACTTAATACAGCACCTTGGAGGAGATCGTAAAAAATCGGTGCAAGCGCATGATGAGACAGAGGGGCGTCGACTACTAGCTGCAACACCGAGTGACTTGGAGAACATCATCAAGAGCAAGGCGTATGTGGTACGAGGGATCTGGCCGAAAAACAGGCAATCTTCGAAAGCCGCAAGAACAGTAATTCCACTGGAGGTGGAGGAACACAAGATGACATCTACAAAAGATGAGAAGGAAGTAGAGGAGGGGGATTTGATTAGGAGGAGAACGATGAGTGACAAGGAGCAGAAGAAGCATCACGACGAGAAGTCTGGGCCAAATCTCCGCGTTCCGAGGGCGGCGTCCTCTTCATCTTCGAACGCAATAACTGCTAGAGCATACAACGCAGAGGAGACAAGGAAACAGCTCTTGTTTCAAGACTACAACTACGAGCTTTTTGAAGTAACAGCGGATGATAAGATGATTTTTGTGTCTCTTTATTCTCGTGAGGCTGAAAATGACTTCCTCACAGCAATTGTAGATCAGGAACTAAGGTGGAATGCAAGCTGGAGAACAACGTACACGCACACAGCTGAGATTTTTACTATTCCGGATGAAAAGCGGCTAGAGTTGAGGAGAAGCGCAGTTGAAGGCGGTTTTTGTATCGAATTCCCAAGAACTCCGGCAACATGGGCAGCCATACAAGAGTACTTCACGATCGGAGTAGTGTCTGCGAATTTTGCGATGTTAATAGGATTAGGAACAGAGGAGGCGGAGATGTTGAAGGACATGTTCTTGGAACTTCGTAGTACGTACTTCAACACAGCAGAAGATTGGAGGAATTACTGCGTGATGATGTCGTACGTTTACGCAGATGTCCCGAAGCACGCAGCACTGCGCAAAGAGCTAGAGGTAAGAGAGGAGAACAAGAACAGAATGCTTCTGGGAACTAATCCGCTACTAGTGAAGATGCATCACGAAGGATACGAGCAAAAGGTCTGGTGGAGTGCGATACCTCCCAACAAGAAGTGGATAGAGAAACACGAGAAGTACTTTGGGGTGCGTGAATACGACGAGAATGGGAACGAGATGATATTAAGAGGTAAGTCGCTAATGAGTAATCATCGGAACCCGCAGTCCTATAACTTGTCCATCTTCTTGCGCGACGTAAGAGAGAAAGAGGAATGTGACAGGTTGAGAGGTAAGAAAAAAGTGGAAGAGCTACCACAGGAGCAGGAACGGGTAGTGAACGCAGGAGTCGAACAAGCTGAAACACCTTTCTCATCCAGTTCTTCTTTGTCCACAAATCGCAACTCCTCTTTTCCTCCCAGAAACAGCGGATGGGACGGCGGAGAAAAGCGAGCGGAAGGAGCAGATGTCCAACGACCGGGAAGCACAAACGCGCAAGTTGAGCAACCATCGATGTTTGATCAATTTAGTAAGAACTTCATTAGGGACAAACCTAAGAGCGTGAGCAATCTGACGACCGATTGTGAAAAGGAAGAGGGACAGAGGCGAAGGACAACTAACTCTTTGGTGGTCAATTCAAAGGAGTCTAGATCTACTTCGAATGGAGCAGCAGACGATGGACAGGAAGGAAGCTACGCGAGTGAAGGAGCTCCACTTTCGGTTGACACTTCGTCTTCGTCCTCTTCATCATCCTCGGGAGGAGGGGCAGCAGCGTGTCGTTTTTTCGACTATGCATCTAGAGAAGAAGTTGCGGACATGAACAGGAACCGAGAGCAGAAGGTGCTAAAAGAGGCAGGAACAGAAGAGGTGACCAGAACGAGTCTTCTGGGGAGTACTGATCATCTGCAACAAGAAAGGGGAACGAGCATCATCTTCCACGAAGAATCGGCTACCGGATGGAAGAGACGATACGAGCAAGAACAACCGAAGCAGGAAAAGGTAAGTAGGAGATACATGAAGACGAATCGTGGAAGAGTGTCATCCTTTTCATCTTCCTCGAGCTCAAGAGAAGACGCAGTCATAGTACGAAGTCGGAGGAATGCGGAGACAGAAGATAGACCAAGAATGCGGATGCCGGCTTTTGCTTTTTCACCTTCTTCCTCTTCTTCGTCGCGATCGTCCAAATCAGATTCTTCATCAGAGGATAAGTCGCAGCAGCAGAAGGAGGAGTCATCGAAAGGAACTCCAGTGAGGCAGGGCGAAGTAAATGAAGAAGATGACGAGGTGAGCCACGTGACCAAAAGAAGAAGAATTCACGAGGGCGATGAGTAGCTGTCGACGAAACACAACTAAATCATTCACAAGGAACTGTAGCGGAAGGGATTTTTTGATTTGAGGGTAAGACAATTACAACACGAAAGAAGGTTTCTAGTTCTCAAGTAACTATTTAGAGAAATAAGTTAGAACAAGTTTAGGACTCGAAAGATAGGAACAACATACTGAAAAGATAAATTTTGTAAGTTAGAATGACTGGACCGTCTCCGTGAGAGTCTTGCTTTTCCAAACCAAGAACAACAAAAACAAAGAGACAGCTGTTAAAAGGAACGAAGGACCTGAAACACACGGAAATGGAGTATTGGTGTCTATTGGAAAGTTGTGAAAGCAACGGGATAGTTTCGGAAATCTGCCAAAGCGACGAGAGGTAAGGACACCAAGACGGAAGAAAATTACGTTTAATTATTTCGTTGCTTAAAACCGAGTTGTTGTCTCCTTAGTCTAACCTCTAGGTCCTAGCCACAATGCTTGCTAATTAAGCTAAATAAGCCTCTTCATAAAAAGTTTAAACATCTCTTGTCTCACTTCCGAGTGGTTGACTCCTTCGTTTAACAGTTTGAGCCTAGTTATAATGCTTGCTAGATGAACACAACAAAGATAATAAAAAGTATTGGACATTAAGAGTAATCATCCTCTTCACCAAAAATAGCATTTCCCTCTGTTTTTTCTCGAAGTGGAAGCACAAAAGGAACCATGATGGGATTAGGGAAGTGCTTGGCGCGTTCCCTTAGCCTGCGCGGAGAAGCGGAGATCTATTGGGATTCGCGCGCCGTCTCCATACGTGTTGAGAATGAAGTGGTGGAGAAAGTCTTCTGGAACGCGTTTGCAGTTGGAGATGTAGTAGAGAAAAAGGTGGAGTCGAACGTGTCCTGGATCAACATCTATGACACCAAGGAGCTGAAGGAGAAAAAGGTGAAAAAACTAGTAACGCAGAAAGGAATCTTCTTGCGTTTTGAGGACAACTACTGGCCGCGCGAAAGGTTGGTTGAGACCTTTAAACTGCAGCACTGCGTTGAGGAAACTACGTTTGGACAGCTAATTTGCACAGGCGAGGACGGAGATAGTGGTCTACTACAGCTGTATCGCGGTCTACTCAAGGATAACAAGCCAGAAGAGACTCTAACAGCGTGGCTTATTTGGGTATGCGAGCTACGTTGGTCTTACGGACTGAAGAATCTGGAAGATGTAGCTCTAAAACATGCTAAACAGTTGTAAAAAAGACAGTGAAAGTTGATGATGAGATTGCAAGATGTAAAGAACTAAGTCGGAAAATGAAGCTTCTTCTTTAAATCCAAATCCCCAACAGGTAGGGACTGTTTCCCTGTTTACCCAGTACACCCTTCCCTTATTTTGGAAACATCCCCTTCCTTAGTTCTGTCCCTCTTTCCCCTCTTCCCTTTCCTCCGTCCCCTTTACGAGTACGAGCTGGAGAACGGGGATCTTAAGGACGTAGAAGTAGAATATAAATAAGAAGGTACAGAGGTAGGAGCAAGAAAAGAAGCAGGAGTAAGTGAAAGTGCGGAAAAAATACACGAAATAGGTAACTGATAAATAAAGCAAGCAAATGAACTGGAACATTAAATTACCCAAAATTCCCCCAGGTACTGTTGCGCCTGCCTCGTCTTCTCGTTGCCCATCCCCTTTCCCGCCCGACCTCCTCCTGTGTTCCCCTCTCACTCCCGGTTTACGACGATGCAGAAGAGTAAGTTAAGGATTGAAAGGCAGGAAGGGATATAAGATAATGAGTAAAAGTAAGAAGTTGAAAGAAAAAGCGTGGTTCTCAATGTAGTTCTGGTTTTTTTTTTCTATTCCGAATAACAAAATGCTGGGGTCGTACGCGAAAGGAGGACGTCAAGACGCATCGGCGCCGACTCCGAGTCAGATGTGGCCAGAGAAAGGGAACTGGTGCCGAACACCAGCCATGCCGACGAGTGGAATTAGCGAAAGGGAGAGGAAAAGGACGACAAGGGCAGAAAAAGGCGAGCTAAAACTGCTATCTCTAGCGGAGTCCGACCAGTGCGTAGTGCTAATATCGACGAATGAAGAAGAGGAGAAGAAAATGTGGTTGGGGCTAATAGGCAGACATCCAAGTTGGAGATTCTGGAAGGACTCGAAAAGTACGGTGGTTCTCTATTCTCGATGGGAGAAACGGCAGATTCATGTGCAGAGACAAGCAGAACGAGTAGAGGGAAGAGTAAAAACAACAATAACTACAACGAGGACTAAGAGATGGGAACAATCACTGCGGAATCTGGTGGAGGGCGGAGCACTTCCTCTAACATCTTCTTTCGCGGAAGACAAGGACTCAAGACACAGTAGGCTGAAAGAAAAAAGCGAAATGCATCAAGATGACCCAGTGGAATGGTCGAACAATGAAGTAATACGGGAGGATCAGCTCAAAAAAGGGAGAGACGCAAAAGGGAAAGCGAAGGAAGACGACAACAAAAGGAGTAAAACTACGTTTCTAAGTTTAGTAGAAGAAGAAAGTGAAGCTAGTCGGGCTGGAAGAAACACTTTGGAAGAGTCATTAGCTGAGTCTAGTCTAGGTCCTAATCCTGATGGAATGAACATGCTTAGAAGACCCTCAAAGAAATATTTTCACGACGATGTAATTCCGGGCGGCACTCCTCCGCGGCCGGCGAAGAAGTATCGGAAGAAGGAGTCTTGTACCCCGGATCGAGATTTTTCGGAAAGGAGGAGTGAGGCGGAAGAAGTGACGAGAGCAAACAAAGGCCCACTAGCAGGAGACGACGACGCAGTGCTGCAGCAGCTGGGGGTAGCCAGACTCATCTAAGATGCTGAGAGGAGGTAAGAAGTTAGAGGAAATGTTGCCGACGACTGAGTCGGAGGAGGAGAATAAGACAACATCTTCCCCGAAGAGGAGAAGAACAAGGAGTAGAAAATGGGACTTTCTAGCAGAACTATCTGAGGAAGAAGGAGACTTAGCGTCGTTATCGGGACATGGCGGGAGCGACGATTTTTCTCTGCTATCTTCTTCTTTTGATGCTGAACTAGATGAACATGAGCTAAAGGAGGAACAACGACTAATGGATAAGTATTGCAAGCCACAGATAACATCCGCGGTGATTCCGCACCCGAAGAAGATGGTAAGCGAAACGAAGCAAAGTCAAAATAAGACACGGATTCAAGTAGCAGGATCAAGAAAAGGAATAGCTGAGCTGGGAAACAAGGTGGAAGGCTCAGCCATGACAGGTTGGCTGTCCTTCTCTACATTTTGCTTTGTTCTTCTAAAGATTAAAATGAAAGGCGGAGGGTGGAGAATAGAGTGTAGGTTGCGGGGGCGAAGATTGATTTCCTCGCATGAACTTAGTCTATTCTCCTCTGCTCGCGGCGTTTTCGTTTTAATCTTCAGGTTCAATTATCAATGGCAGGGATATTTTAATCTTAAGTTGATTTTCATTTTCAGAAAAAGCATCAAAGACAAAGCAGCTCTACTTAAGAAAGTCATTGTCGAGTCTTCCTCAGTAGGGCTTCATTTGTAAATTCAGAAACTTATTCTGTTTTTTCTTAAGCAAAGCAGACTGGGCAATCGTCAGAAGAAGCCTTATTGTCATTTACACATCATTTCACACCTCTTACAGGTCCGAAGGGCCGCAATATTACGAAGAATTTGACCTTTATACAAAGCAAAAAAGGAGCGACTGGCGAACCGGAAGAGGCAGACGTGTCATCGTCCTCATCATCCACGTCAACTGAGGATGAAGAAGATGCGGAGAGTGACGAGAGCTCGACATCGTCTCTTTCTTCGGGCGAGTACGAGGCAGGGGAGATGCCTATACCTGAGAGTCGAGGCACCGTGCCCAGAAGTAGAACAACATTGACGGACATAAAAATGAACGGGTCCAAGTTCATTATCACGCAGATGCTAGGAGACGAATACAAGAGGTTGATGCTGGAAGAAAGAGGAGAAAAAGTAGAAGTACCTCCTAACAAGTACGTGCCTCGGAGATACGAGTACATGTTGCCCTCCACAAAGACGCTGATGGTAAGCGAGCACTCCGTCTTAATAGTAAGAAAGCCGATTAAGCGAGGTGCAAAAGAGGAGCGGAGGACACCGTATCGGGTATACGTGGAGGAGGATAAGTTTAAAACGTTAGTGGTGAAGTATAACAGCGAGGTGATGTCGGTGGAAAGATTCAAAAGGGAATCGGCTAGGAGGGCGAAAGCAATAGCGGAAGGTAAGAGGCAAGGGAGGCGGCAAGGACAAAAGAGGAACGCAGAAGAAGAAACAGAGACGAGAAGCAAGCAAGGTAAGTGCAATCAAGGGAGCGGGAGAGGTAGTAGCGCAACATCAAAACGCAGCAGCGCCACTTTTTTGGTGCCGGATAACTCGATGTGGTTACCTAAGAATACCCGCGGCGCTTGCGGTACTTCAGATAAGAGTTTTTTTTCTTCCTCATCTTCTAGCAATGCACAAGCCATTTTGCAACAAAGAGGAAAAGACTCTACTTCGTCGCGGTTGGAAAAAGCGAACAACACTTCTTCATTGAAGTCAGGCAATCCCAACGCTACAGACACGACAGATCAGAAGGATCATGGGTCGACATCTAGCACTAGAAGGACTAGTAGTCTGTTGCCTAGTAGTACTTCCTATTCATTGACAACGAGTATGAAGGCCAAGCTTTCCTGGGTGGGTAGAGGTGACCCGAAATCGACTAGTGCGGACGAAGGAGGGAAAAGTCTAATTGTACCTACGCCGATGCTGAAACAGATGACGACTTCTTCTAATCCATCTGCTTCATTGCCCTCTTCGTCTTCGCTGAATAAACCGAGATCTACGAATAAAATCAGAGGTCTCTTCTTACCAGAGCAAGAGGCTGAGAAGGGAGGTGGAATGGACACCCAGAAACAGAAGAAGACGGAAGGAAAAGTAAGTCTACATCCGTTTAAGTCGAATTATTTTACCTCCCAGGCAGCCACCGAGAAGAGGAGGGAAGGACAGCTGCGCAGGTATGCTGCGGTAAAAAGGGCTGAGCAGCTGGCGAAGGAAGTAGTGTGCAAGCAGGGAAGTACCATGAAGATGAACCCACAAGCACTTCTAGCAGTATTTTCAATCAAACAACAGGAGATGTTCAAGAAGAGGGCGAAGGCACGGGCAGACACAATGCAAAAACAGGCGGAAGAAGCGAAACGCCGTGACGTTTCGTTGGTGGTAGGACCTTTTGGCTTGATGATGACAGGACAGCAGAAGGAGGAGATCAAAAAACAGGCGGAGATGACACGTCTGATGAACGCATCTGTACAACTCATGAATCAGATATAGGACAAGGAAACACTGCAAGAGAAGGGAAGGTAGAATGCAAAAGCATTTTGGTATTTATGTTTTTTAGAGAAGTTGGAAGTAAAAATAATTAAGAAGGTAAGGCGGAACGGAAGAAGAACAAGTTGAAGCATGAAGAACATGAAAAACAACGTTTTCGAGGCCAGTAAAATAGAAAAAGTCGCTGGGTAAGTGCTGGAGTAGACACAGTTAAGTTGAAAAGATGACGAGAGTAAGTAACGAAGGAAAGAAAAAGGACTAGAGGTGACAAAAGTAAAGCTAAAAGCTTAAGTAACTAAAACACTAAAAATGAACCTTCATTCACATAAACAAGGAAAAGCACTTTCTGAGTTTTTTAGTCAGTTTTTTCTTGAGTTCCTTCTTCTCTTGGTGTAAAGAAGACAAATTAGAGAAAGAAAAACATAGTCAAAAAGCAGAGGAGAAGAAAAACGGTGGAAAGCGGGAAGACGGAGGCCAGAAGGCCTTTAGAAGAGGTGAAGATGGATAGAGACGGAGCGGAGATCGATCTCACGACGACACAGGAGGTAGAGGCGGCCGAGAAGATACACGCTCTTCTACAAGGACACCTGGCGGAATCGGCGAAGACGGTATGCCGCATAGTAGGGATGTGGAGGACACAGAAACACGTGGATCCCGAGGGAGCTCAAACCACGATAGAGGAGCTGAAGCTACTAAGTGATGCTGCAGAAATAGTAGGTGCTCAGTCCTTCGTTCGATCGATGTTACGCGCAAGAATCCGAGAAGGTAAGGTAGATGTGCGTACTGCTCTTAAGATCGTAGAACAATGCAAGTTCACGATGCGCTGGTGTTTTGCGGCAGTGATGGCAGGATGGGAGCTCCACCTAGATGAAGGGTCGCGAATATCGACGCAGATCAAGGCACTGACAGCGGAGATATTAGGTCAAGAAGATGTAGAACCCAAAATGCGAGGAAGGGCGCTGCCGCGACAGTGGTTAGTGCTGTTCAAGAAGGAGCGAAGGATAAGGAGGGAACAAGCTGCAAGTCGAGCACTACCATCGGAACCGCAAATCATATCAGCGGTAACGGGAATGAAAGTAACACCAGTAGAGACGAAGAGGCTGACGGGAGCTACCATAAAACAACTACTGGAGCACGACAAGGTGAACAGCAGGAGAATAACTCTAGTAGGCGCATGGTCTTCTGTCAACAAGACAACTAAGTCTAGACTCTCCTATTCCTTTTTTCATCTTGATAGGAAAAAGGTTACGGCGGCTGCAGCACTAATAGTTCATGCCATCTGGGACAGACTAACAACTACTGCGTCCATGAGTCTAGGACATGTAGTAAAGACCATAAATGAGAAGACAGCGGTAATAATAGGGATACGAGCGGAGGAAGTGCCAGGAATGGCAGAGAGCAGAAGACTAGAGCTTTCTGTGACGGAAGTACCGCATGCGGAGGAAGCTCAAGAAGTTGATGTTGTACAGGCATCGTCTTGGAGTGTTTCGTGGGTCGCGGACATGTCTAAGGCCGGGATAGCAAACTCTAGAGCCGTGGTGTTTGAGATACTAGCTGCGACAGAATGGGTTCACCTGCAACGAATCAGACAAACATGGTCGAAGGAGATCAAAGAGCAAAACAAAAGTGAACCTCTGGAAAAGCAGAAGACGGCGATGGCGTTCCGAATGACGACTAGAGAAAGGCTCATCCCTTCCTTACAATCGAACAAGAACTATCGAATTTTTGCTGCTGACGAGAACTCTTTCCTAGTGGCAACACCAGGTAAGAAAATTTGGAAAGTGTCGAGTTGTGAAGAAGTGCTTCTAATGATCATGCAAGAAAGGCAGGTGGACTCTGAGGAGCTACTACTCGAACTTCGGAGAGCAAAAGAAAGAGGTAGTCAGAAAATTAAGGAACTAACGGTAGACGAAGGTTTGCGAGCGGTAGCGGTTGAAGATGTCAAGCCTAGTTTTGTGATAGCGACCACCGTTTTCGCTGAAGCACCTCTGTCGCAGATGGAGAAGGACGTGATAGACGGGGAGCAACCACCGCCAGAAGAGGAGCTGGAGAATTACATCCCTATTTTCGCATCGCACAACATCAACCGCAGAAGCGACTTAATGTACTTGTTTCAGGTGATAGCGGCAAACCCAACGATCAAAGCGGTAGCAGTACAGGAGTCAATCTTCTTACGTTTTGCACTGAAGAAGGGCTATCTAGTGGACAAAAGAACAGGAACAAGAATGTTATGGATAGCAGGGACAGACCCTTTGACGTTTTCGTCGTGCGCCGGAGTTGGTATCCTCTTAGTAGTTCGAGGAGGTGAGACGATACCTGAAGAAGGTGAGCGACACGCCTACGCTGCAATAGTTACGACGCACGAAGATTTTGCTACGAAGAAGAAAGAGGAAGTCGCGGATGTCACGGACATAAGCCAACTGCGGAAAAAAGAATTGGCTAAAGCAGCAGATCCGTCAAGAGCAATGGCATGGGTAGTGGCGGCCAGGATAGGAAAAGTCATGTTTTCCTCTTTCTACTTGAAGGATTCGAAAGCAAAAGCGAGCGAAATAAGCGAGGAATGGATCAAGAGCCAGATGATGCAGGTGGAAGTAGGACTCAGAAGAATTGCCGAAGGAGCGAAAATTCGACTAATAGCAGGTGACGCGAACATGGACACGACGTTGCCACTAAACCACGAAAAGAACCAGAACAGGTGGAAGAGTAACTGGGGTAGAAAGTTAGTGTATTCGGAGATGATGAGAATTTTTGACAATTTAGGTACCACGGATAAGGCAACGGGCGCCACGCACTGGAAAGGCAGCGACTGCAAAAAACTGGATCAACTTCGAGCGAACACAGCTGCTATCACAGTCGAGAAGTATGCTTGTGACAAGATCAAAAATCCGGCCGTGCAGGGCGAGAAATACAGGGTAACGAAATACGACGCCACTGAAGAAGAGCGAAAGGAGAAGTTTGTTGATCATCTAATTCTAGTGGCTGCTATTCCGGAAGAGGAGTGGAGGGAAGCTGAGATGGAGCTGCACTTTGATCCTCGAGGTCTCAAAGAAGTCAAGCTTGGAATGCGTAGTGCTGCAGCGAAGACAACACAGCCGGCAATTCCTCCGAACAAGTTAGGTGCGTTAGGGTCGTGGATACTAGGAAGATTCTCGGAGGTGCAGTTCCCAGCCACAAAGGATGACCGGATCCGTGCTGCGCAAGCTGGTTTTCCGGTACCGAAGATGAGAGAAGTCAATCTTCCAGGACTAAAGCAACAATTTGAACCACGTGTGAAGCACTATCGAAATGCTCACCCATCAGCAGAGGCGGTTGCAGAGAGGCTGAAAGGTAAGGAAACTAAGTTTAAGGATTCTTCGGGGAAAGTGAAGAGCATGTTGCAAATATCGAAGCAATTAGCTAGGGAGATGACGGAAGGTGATAAGCCACTGGAAAGGGACTGGTCGAAACTTGCTACAGAAGTGCAGGAGAACAACAGAGAGGCAGACAAAGGAGATTTTTCGGCGTTGGAGCGGTTTTTTCAAGAGCACGATCGCACGCAGAACACCAAAAGTCATGATGCCGCAAATTTGTCTGAACAAGTGACGAAACTCATCGAGGGAGCAGGAAGAGGAGCCCCGATTGCTGGCCTGAAGCAGGTTACGGTGGATGGTGTGTTAGTAACAGAAGAAGGAGATGTGCTAGTTTCTACGGTGGGATACCACTTGCTAAAGAGTGACTGGATACTGGATGCAGCATGCTTTGGGTTGGCGACACGTTGGCGGAGAGAAAAGATAACAGAAGTGTATGAGCAGATTAGAAAGGTAGCCGCGGAGTGCTCAACTTTTTCTATCTCCCCCAAGCAAGTACACCGCGCAAGAAAAAGGCTGAACAAGAATTTAGCTGCGCCGTCAGGACTTCGCGGCTCCATCGTAAAAGACGCTCCGGAGTACATGGACGAAATTCTGGCTGAAAGTTTCAACAAGCTCATGCAGGACGTTAGGAAAGCAGACTTTAAAGAAGCAACAGAAACACTAATAGGCGAGTTAGATCGGTTATATTTTGGTGCACTTTTACATAAGAAAACAGTGGTGAGTACAGCAAACGACGTTCGCTTTACGGTACGACAAGAACCCCTGGCGAGGCTCTTTTTGTCTTGTATTGACGCTACGTGGGCCGAGCTCCTGGAGAAAAGAGGAAAACCGGGCCGCACCACCATAAATGGCAGAGCTGATGTTGGTCTTTACCCTGGTTCGATTCTGCATCGTCATCGCATAATAGCCAGAAGCCCTAACACGTTTGCGATACTTGTATCGCATGACGCGCGTCAGATGTTCAATTTACTGAACTTATCAGTAATGCTAACACAGTTAAGACACTACAAAGCAGCACCTGACATACTTCTTGCCCATCTTCTTTTTGGCGGGCTGAAAAACGTTGTGTTCACAGCAAACGGAGTCAGTTTTAAAGTGTTTCATCACACACGTGCACTTCAAGGCCAGGTGGATTCCATGCTGTGCGGAATAATGGCTTTTACGCCATACTTGCAGATAATCGCGGAACTAATTGATTCGGTGCAGTTGCCCAGTGGTGCTATTACTACCAACGAGTTAGAGGCCAAGATTAAAAAAGCGATTGATGCAGCGGAGAGGCAGGCTGAGAAGGAGTTCGCATGGGACAAGAAGTACACGAAGGACGACGTCGATGACGTCTTCACTTCAAAAGCGAAAGAAGTAATTGAAGAAGAAGCTAGTGCTGATAACAAGGCGAGAAGGAATACTCCGAACAGATCTGCACGCATATGCGTTGACGACACAATGTTTCTTCTTCTATTCAAAAAGGAGGACTTCTTAGAAGGACGAGTAACCGCTGTTTTACGAGCTGTGTCACGGATTGTGGAAAAAATGTTTGCAAGTTGTTGCATATTCTGCGCAACAGAGAAGGCTGAAGTATCCATCCACGAAGCAAGAGAAAGCGAGTGGAAGATAACTTCTGACCAACTTCAAGATGTGCTGGCTGCGTGTGCGGTTTTTGGGGTGGCGCCGAAGATGAAAACGAGACTAGTCTTGTACGGCTATCCTTATCGAAAGGATATGGATGTAGCACTTTTTGGCTTCGTAAAGTCGAAAATTTACAACGTTGAACGCCTACTAACTCTTACGCACAACAACCATCGGGGTGGGATAATAATGAGCCAAGTCATGTGTATAGCGCGCTGGCTTTCACTCAGCAAAGTGCTACATTTGTCGCCGGCAATTGTCTACGAATTACTGGGGCTTGACCAGAAGATCGTCGAGGAGCAGATGGCCATTGCAGTTCTAAGAGGAATAGGGGTATCGGATAGAGTTTTGAACGAGATAAAACTAGTAACAAGCTGCTCAGCACACGACATTTTGTTCTCTGACATCTTCGGCTGGGTTCGTATTGCGGTACAAGGTAAGAGGTCGCTCAGACGACAATGCACAAGATTCGCGGGTGCCACGGCTTCCAGAGAAGAAATGCGAATCGCATTTAGCAAGGAGCTGTCGAGTGACGAACAAGAACTGATGAGTGAAAACACAATCACGATCTTGCAGAACCGCATGAAGGTCCTGAAGCAAGAAGACCAGGCTCCTCCTCTCACTAAGTCTACATGCATGGCCAAGTACCTAGAAGACAAAGCAAAAGTGCAGGATTCATGTCTACGGAAAGCGGCGGAATTTGACAGCAGATTTCAAGTGGGCAGCGTAGCGTGGCTCGAAAAGGATGCTAACGTGGTTATGCTAGCGGAGATGGATAATTCTGGAAAGTGGTGCATCGCTGCCAAGATTGTTCTCGATTTGCCTTTTCTACGCTCGTACAAAAATCCCGTATGGATGCCAGACACCACAGAACAGGTACTTCTCTACTCTGCGGTTACTCACATTCTTCAGAACGAGCCGTGCATGAAAAACGCGAAGAATAACGAAGCCCTAGCCGTATTTGGGTGGAAGAAGAAGCTACACCGTAGAGCTACAGTGGTTAAACGACTGCACGCGGCGGCCCAGGAGAAGCACGTACTATGTGTACAAAGTCGTCTGCCGTTGCTGTTCAAGGACCTCAAGATCTCGGCAAAGACCCGCGTGGTAACGATTACAGCTGAGGACGAGGTCTGGCTTTGGGATGACGAGCCTCCGTCGACAACAAAAAAGGTAGACACTGAATTCTTGTTGAATTTGAAACGGAAAATAGCTGAGGTAGGTGGAGTGAAGGTGACGAAGGCGACGGTGAGGTCCATCTTTATGGTCGCAGTGAACGAAGAACGAGTAGCACAAGGTGGAAATCAAGTCGTAGAAGAACTTGACGAAGATTCCTCGGCTGATGAAGTAAGTGAAAACGAAGATCAAGATAAAGCTGAAGCAAAACTTGATGAACAACTAACAGTTGAAGAACTGTCGCGCAACGGAAGTCCGGAACGTCTACTGCCAAGAGACTAAAGTAAGCACAACCCCTATAATTTTTGCAATTTTGAAAAGATATAAAGGACAAGTAACTCGTTCGCTTGGCTCGTAAGTGATCGAGGTCGTTGTAGCCGAAGTTCGTTGAAGTTGTTGTAACTGCTGTAATGGTGGATTTAGCATTGAAATAAAGTGGGAGCATCGCTTCGGGTTCTGGTCGGGGTCGCCTTTTACTTGCTCTTTTAATTTTTTCGGTTCACAAGTCGGTTGGGTGAGTTCAAGTGGAGTGGTGCGAAAGGTTAACTGGTAAGGGGTGCTGTTGGAGTAGATACAAGTTGAGGCGCGAAGGAAAGGGCGACGCTAAGGACGGTTAAAGAGAGTGGAGATAGCGTTTTTGAGAGGAAAGAGGGAGCGGGAGCGGGTTTTTAGTTAGTTGAAGGTGGTAAAGTAAAAGGTAGTTAAATGAAGAGGAGGTGTTATCGACATAAGTAAAGTGGTGGGGGTCTTAAGTAGGTGAACAGACGAAAGGCACGAAGAAAAGAAGGGAAAGTTACAAGATGAGTTGTTGACTTTTGCTCCTTCTGGGAACTTCCTCCCTCCTCGGATCGCTGTTACGTGGGTGTGCTGGAGTCGCTGTTCAATTAAAAGTTCTTGGTGCTGGTGTCGGTGGGCTTGAACTAAATGCTGAAGGAGTTGTTCTTGTCTTGCCATTAGTTTTTGTTTTGGCGGTTGAACGCGAACTGCAAAACCTCGTGAGTTCTTCGGCTAATTCATTTTCTAATTGTTTGACTTTTATGGTGGTGTGTTAAGCTAGGGGTTGCAAAAGATGCAGCGCCACTCTGGTTAAGCTAACAGTACTGCGACCTGCTTTTCCTTCTTTTGATTCCTGCCAAGCTCTTGAGTTTGGGTGGTTGATGGAGATTTCTTTTCCCAAGTTGGGCGAATGTGGGGGTGTCGATCTTGGTATCGCCCGCCATCTGGTCTCTAGGGTGGTCGAGAATGACCATAACAGGGGCACATACATACATCTCCGGCGAGGCTACTTCCAGAAGAGACAGTCCTTTTTTTACCTTCTGGACGGTATGATGAATTACAGTTTCAAAACTCATAAGGAGTTGACCACACGAGGACCAGATAAGATGAACAATGTAAAGAGGACCTTTTGTTTTCTCCTTGCTATTAGTCTCTTGTACTCCTGCTGTACCTTCATTCTGTACTGCTGTTTTCAACGTATGGTTCTGTTATTTTTGGTATAGCCTGAATTTGATCATAAGGGTTCTCTTCTCGTTTTCCCTTATGATCAAATTCAGGCTTTACCAAAGACCGGGACCATTCATTCAAGCTAGTAGGCCACTGAAGATGAAGAAGCCACAGCAGGCAGACGCGATCGTGACGTATGTGTGGGTCGTCTTCTCCTGTTTCATCGTGGTTCCTAGGCTGCGCTGAAGCGGTTCGTGTGTCTTCGGACAGCGACTGAGCCTCTCACACCACGAGGACAGCCGCACCTCGCGCACAGTGACCCGCGAAAATGGTATTTCCGCTTTCTCTTAGTCTGCAGGTTAAGGCTAGTTTTTCACTATCTTGTGTGAGCCATGTTGCTAAGTGGCGTCCTCCTTGATTTAAAGGCGAAAAATAGGGGAGCAAACTACTTAGAAGGGGAACTCACTGAACATCCAGGCGTAGTGAAAAACTAGTGTTAACCACGGCTTGCAGATGACACCGGAGGTCGCCAGTAGTTTCGCTTACCTGAAATACCTAGTGCTTGTCATGTGGCTCCTGATGGCTCTCAGATTTTTGTCAGCCGACCTCAGCGGCGCCCTGAACGAACTCCTCAGTGGTCTGGCAGGTAGAACGGGTGCTACCATCAGTGTGTGTCTGTGTAGTAAACTCCTTCTATGCCATGGTTGCCAAACAACAATGACTGTAGCAGTTCTTGAAGACTTCAACCGCTCGAGTACTGGTTGTAGGTGCATCTTGCTCGTCAACACATCAATTTCAGATGAAAGTATTTGTATTGTATAACCTTCAGCAAGTACTAGACGATCATCATGGAACAATATTCAAAATTGACGTCAACACAGCAGGTGTGTTTCTACTTACATCTTGCTCAACACATCATCAGGCGTGTTTCTACTGAAGGACGACGCGATGTGGGTCACGTGCTGGGAGACATTTTTCAAAGACGGCTGTCTAATTAAGGCTAGCTGTTCAGTCTAGTTGAGGAGAAAAAAGGAAATGAATCTCACTCAACCGAGTTGATATTCTCACCATCATCCTTCGCCCTTTTTCTACTTATTTGAAAAAGAAGCACCCATAGCCACGGATCAATCAACATGCAGCACCCAATGACCATGGTGCTACGGGTACTTACTAGGAATGGAACCACCAGAGATACAAACATGACACGCTCTAACTTCGGCTTTTTCTCTGGCGGTGGAGGCCTCAGGTGTCTCCCGTACTGCTGTTTCATCTGGGGTGTGAACGGATTTTTTGACCTCGCTTTGGCTGCAAATTTAATTTCCAAGTACGGTGGACTCGTGCCCTGCGACTTCTCTCTGATATTAAGGCTCAGTTAAGCTCACTAGGCCCTGCTCTAAAAAAAGGGTCACCGATAGGTTTCCGCTTGATTGCATTGTGTTTGTTTCTGCACTAGCTACCATCCCTGACTCTTACTCTTTTCGTTCCTACTATGTGAGCAGTTTATAGCACGCGCGGCGCACGGAGCGCATGGAGCGAAGACCCATAAGGGACGCAAGAAGCGACCCCTTTAGGTCCATGCAACTCCATGCGATCGATCCACGCACTCCATGCCATGCGAGCTGGCAACCCTTACAAGCTTCGCTGTGCTAAGCATAGGCACGGCGTCGAAATGCGTTGACATCTTCCCAGTTCTTTTTCTACGTATCTAACGTGCCTACATTTCTAAAGGGAAACGCCTAGAAGTACGGAGATGCTCACCAGGATTGCACTCGGGTGCTGAATAATTGCTCAAAAATACTTCACCATCCAGATCCCTGACTCTTTTCCTACTCAGAAAGATCTTTTCCTACGAAGAATAAAGAAAGAGTTTGTCAGTGGTCACTAAGTAAGACCTTGCCCTACTAAGGATAAGGAAAAAGTTTGTCAATGGTCACTAAGAAAGACGACCTTCCCCTACTAATAATAAGGGAAAAGTCTGTCAGGGGCCACTAAGAAAGACCGTCCCCCACTAGTAATAAGGGAGAAAGTCTGTCAGTGGGAGTGGTCACTAAGAAAGACGGCCTTCCCCTACTAATAATTATACGGCAAAAGTCTATCAGGGGGAGGGGCCACTAAAAAAGACCGTCCCCCACTAAGAATAAGGGAGAAAGTCTGTCAGTGGTCACTAAGAAAGACGACCTTCCCCCACTAATAATATGGGAAAAGTCTGCCAGGGGCCACTAAGAAAGACGACATTCCCTCACTAATAATAAGGGAAAAGCCTGCCAGGGGCCACTAAGAAAGGCCTTCCCCTACTAATAATAAGGGGAAAAGTCTGTAGTTAGGGATCAATCGCTGGGCTTGCCTGTTTGTGCTTGGATAATTATCATCTTCTTCCTGTTAGAAGAATGCAACCACCACCACGGAACTACCTACTACCTCTAATTATATGCGCCGAGCCGCTCTTTGCCCTAGTAGCGGGAATGGTTCAGTTTGGTTCCTCCATTTTTGTGTGGAATTTGATAAAAATGCAGCTCTCCTCGTCGTCGTCCGCAGAGGTAGGGGGACAGGGAGGAGGCGCGCAAAATGCGAGTGCTACAAGATATGACCATAAGCATACTTCTTTGCTTCAGTACTCAAATATTTTTATCTATCTTTTTCAGAAGTTAACGTTGTTGTTGAGTAGTGCATATTGATACTTTTACTTTCTTCATGTCAGCGGTGGCGGTTTTTTTCTCATACATTGGTGAGTACAACTAGCGGTAGTTCCTCTTCTTCATTCCAGCGCAGTTTCGATTAGCGCCTTATAAGTACATATTTATTACATACAGGAGCATCATCTTCTATTTCTTCTTGGTACTAGTTTCCCTTCATTCCAGCGGTGGCGGTTTTTTCTCAGGTGGATTGCTATCGTCAAGTGGATCCTACGTTCAGGATGGAGTAGTCACCGCACCGAGCGGAGGACCGCAGCAGGCCTCTGTTAAGGCTTGTTCCCGTTACCGTAAGGGCCATTAATTCATCTTGAGGTTGAGAAGCAAATCCAAAAGCATCTTGATGTGGATCTTCTTCTTTGGCTCCCTTTTCTCTGATGACGGAAAGAATAAGAAAACGCGACGCGGTCAAGGAAAGAAGCGAACACGTAAAAGATGACAGACTTGCAAGTTAGTAGTTACACGATGTAAAAGATAACAGACTTGCAAGATAGATGCATAGATAGATGACAGACCTGTAAGACAGATGAATATCTGCAACTAGATGAATATCTGTAAGGTCGTCTAACTCTGGCTTTAGCTTGTTCGGTGGCACAGGTCAAACGCTTGGCGGCACGCTTGGTGGCGAGACGTCTGGGTACCAGCCAGTCGCAGGGGAATCACAGAGCCAGTTGCCGACGCAGCCAGGCTTTCAGCCGTTCACTGGAACCGGGCAACGACTGGAGGGGCGTGTCTAGAAAAGGGGAGAATCGAAACTGGGACAGAGCAGCGACTGGAGGGGCGTGCCGTCTAAGAAAGATTTTTTTTTTGAAGAAGAAGAGGCGAAAGCCATAATTCGGCCAGATGAAGGAAAGTCGCTTTACAATAGCCATAATCCAGCCAGACGAACCGGGAGAGTCGCTTTGCAATTACTTGGATTCACTGAAATGAGTTTGGTCAGTTTTCAGTTTCGAAATGCGTCTGATACTGATTATTCCTGAAGATGCAGCTGATCTCGAATGAGAAAAGTGATATAGAACAGGGCCAGAAGCTAGTAAAGATCTTTGGAGAGCTGTTCTGATCGTTTTTTAAGTGAGGAGCTGAGCGAAGAGAAGCAAAGCGAAAAAATAGAAGCCCAATAACAAAACACAAAACTAGAACCAGATGGCAGATTGAGGCGGCACTCTGTCTAAAATTCTGAAGATCCTCACGAAGATGATCCTTGCCAGAGCGATTTTTACGCGTGAACTTTGCCGATTCGCTTTTCACAGTATCGCTCTCTCGAGTGTTTGTGTCTGCCGGATCGGTAGGGTGGGTCACAGTCCGCGTGCGTGTGTGTGTGTGCGTGTGTCGCTTCTCTAGTGTCTGCCGGATCGGTAGGGTGGGTCACAGTCCGCGTGCGTGTGTGTGTGCGTGTGTCGCTTCTCTAGTGTCTGCCGGGTCGGTAGAGTGGGCCATGGTCCGCGCGTGTGTGTGTGTGTGTGTGTGTGTTCGCTCTCTTTTGTGTTTGTGTCTGCCGAGTCGGTAGAGCTGGCCACGGTCCGCGCATGTGTGTGAGTGTGTGAAAGAGTGGGCCACGCTCCGCGTGTGTGTGTGTGTGTGTGTTCGCTTTCTCTGGTGCTTGTATCTACTTTCTTACCGGGTCGGCAGAGTTGGCCAGAATCCGCGTGTGTGTGTGTGTCGCTGCAGTGTCGCTCCGCGACCAGTCATGCATGTTGTGCTGGATCATAGATGTACCGACAGAAAGCGGAAAAGAGTCTCCAACTCCATTGTATATACTTTAAGATGGAGGGCAGTCCTCTGTCCTCCGTCTCAGTGTCTCAGTAGCCTTTTATTTGCACATTGCTCCACGTACTTTATCTCCTGGTATCAGTTTATAGGTTGTATATCTTCTTCTACCGGATCTGAACAGCAGTAAGTTCTTCTTAGGCTTGTAACCATACTCGTAAGGCGTAGTTGCTCGTGTGCTACTTCTTCCAATTTTTTACTACTAGAACAACGCCACCATCTATCTTCAAAGTAATTTGTAGTTGTTGAACAGTACGAATTTTTCTCATTATTTATTTGTTGATTTCATCTGACTGAGAACTATTTCTATTTTTTACTTACTAGTACCATTAGTATCTACAATTGCTCAAAAATACTTCAACATAATGAAGATGTTTTTTCTGCCCTATTGCATTGGGGAGCTGCGCTTGCGAGGCTCCTGGCTGGACAACGGCCTTGGCGTCCACGCAGTAAAGCTTACTGCACCTCCAAAGATGAACTCACAAGAGCCAGAAGATGCGGTCGTTGAGTTCCTTGGAAATGTTAAGGGCGGTAGGGGGCTTCATCAAGGGTTCTTGTTGAAAATATAGTTTGTTTTGCCCTTCGCTCCTCAGGGAGGAAAGCATAACATTCAGAAACGGGAAACAGAAACACCAATTCCAATCAAGCCCCTAGCTCTTCTAATAATGGGAAACCTGCTCGAGAAGCTGCGAGTGCATTACGCAAGCACCTCCAACAAAGAGGTCGCGCCACGTTGGAGGAAAGTCTTCTACTCTCAAGCCCAAAGGATGCAGACAGCTATAGGCATAGACCTCGCTCCTCCGCATTCCCGACTTCAGCCGCAACCATGCCCTCGCCAACTATTACGGATAGGCCGAGGGTGTCCCTGTTACCGTTTGTCTTGCCTGTCTACTTGAGGGAGAACATCAAAGGCAGGAGAACAAACGGGGAAGAGAAACACTAAGGTCCTACCTCTAAAACTAGTACTATGTCGGCACACGCAGCGCCGTTTTTTCCTTATCCTAAGCCTTTGCGCTTAGGGAGCTACCTCCTTGACGAGGAGATTGGCGAGTCTTATGAATGGATTTTCTAGTCCTTTCGATGGTAGTAGAGGCACATGTGAAGTAGAAGCAAGACCCGTATCCATCATAGCATGGAAATGAACTACGGAAATATCATTTGCCAACCGCAGAAGCTGAGTAGACGCGTCTTGGTCTTCTGACTGGGTACTATAATAGAGGTAAAAAACGGGCTTCGGGTTGCTCGAGTTGCCACGGGCTCGCCGATCGAGTTGCTGAGGTGAAGGGCTTCCAACTCTGGAACGAGTTGCAACGAGTTGCCAAGAGAAGCCCGGCCCATCAAAATCGGCGAAGCGGGGCGCTGTGGGCGTAGAAGTGCTTGCTCGGCATGCTGGGGGCCGTTTTGCTTCGGGACCTACTTCGCAAAAGAAGGCGGGGGAGGCGCTGCCTCTTTCTGTTTGGGGTCGATATTGGCGCGCCGTTCCGCACTCGGTGGCGAGGGGCGAGTGCTTCGCCTTCCCCTGTGGTGCGGGTGCAGAGTTAGCTTCGCCTCGGGGCCGGGCCTTCGACCCGCTGTTTTGCGGTGTGGGTGCGGAGCTCTTGCCGGGTTGGGTTTGTAGCCGGCTTGCGGCTGAAGGATGCGGCGGCGACATAGAGGAAGATGCGGCGAAGGCTAACATACGGGCGGGTGGCGGTGGGCTTGGTTTCACACTGGTGTGACGCTGGGTGGGCTGGTGTGGTACATGCCACACCCCCCAGGGCCCCCGCGTTGGGTTTTTTGAAATCATCTGACTGCCTTCGCTTGGTTGTCTTCCCGTTGTGAATGCCCCTCCTACCGCACTGGTGGGGCGTTATAGTGCTCTACTGCAACACGTCGGCAAGGGTGCGACCGGCGCAGGGTGCAGCGAAAAAATTTGCAATGGCACCCCGAGAAGCTCGACCCGATATAGTTCAGGAAGAGCCTGGCTCTTCTATAACTCTAATGAGGAGAAAGCCCTTGCTCCTCGTTGTTCCTAAGCGTCTAGTACGCCGTGTTGTCCGTCCGACTCTAATCCTGCGACAGCGCCAAAAACGACGGAAAAGCAAGCACCGACGACCCTCAAGCCCTGAATAACTTAGCCGACCGCCTGAAAAAGGAGCTCTCATTACAACCATCATTTATGGTCAACTACCTTGGGTGAATCTGAATCTCCTCGATGATTTTTCTACTTTCTTGCAGATGCTTCCTTCAAGGTTAAAGTTTTCCTTCTCAGTTGGTCAGCATGGTCTTGTTCGTATTCCTCAGGAAGAAAGAACATTTTTAACACACTTACGTAGCGTACAACGTACGAACAGGCGATCACGATGATGGAATAAGTTAAGTAGAACCGAAAGTAGAACAAGGTTTCCAGGAAATTATATACAGTGAAAACTAGAATTACATTAATCGCCGTTCTCGAGTAGTCCTTTCATCGTTATACTAGTGAAGATGCTAGTGTAAGTACTCACAAAGTAGACTAAGTTCGTCGCTCCAATAAAGTTTATAGTGAAGAAGGTTTTCGCCTTCTAAGCCATAAACCCTAAACCCTAGGTCCTGGTGCTCTAATCCTTCCTCTTCCACCAGCTCTGCCTCTGGAGAACCGCAAATGCAAAGAAGCCTACCATGGCTCTTAGCTCCTTATCCGACTTACGATTGACTGACATGATAGAAGAGAAGATGGAGAAGGTTGACATCGATAGGATACAAGAGGATCTCGATGGACGTACTCGAAAACTCGAAATAACCGAGTAAGAAAAACAATAGCCGAGTAGTTGTGATTAATATTACCTCGGATACTCGGTTTTTTCAGTTTATCGAATAGGCTAACCTTTACCACTAGCCTAGCAATTTCAAAAATCAAAATTTAAACTTACATTTTACTTGCGTGGGTAGTAAAAACTACGAGTCAGGAGTCAAAGGTTTTTTCCCTTTCAACATGTTCCTTTTGGTGAACAAGTGTTTTTTCCTTCGTGGTGAGTAAAAACTACGAGTCCCTTTGACTTTCATGAGCGACCTACCTCGAACGCGCACAAAGTGTACCATTGGTACGATAGTAAATGCGCAACATCAGGAGCTACTAGTAGTACACGTACAGCGGCTATCACGTCGCCGTTGTGTAAAAGTACTCTCCCTTAAGGCTACTACTTCTTCCCTTAGTCCATCTTCGACAAGTCACCTCAGTGAATGGTTCTGGTTTTTGGTAACCTTAATTCGATCGCAAAGATTCTCCTCTTGTTTTCCCTTATGACCAAAATCAGACTCCCGAATACCAGAACAGTACACTCAGAGTCGTTCTCAAGGGGGAGCGAAACGGAAGCGGGATGGACTTCGAGATCCTTCAAGCGGTTAGCTCCTCTAACTCTGTGAAGCACCAACAGGCACTGGTCTTGAAAGTACTCTACCAAGAACTTGCCTTTCCCCTAGCTCGTCTACTGCTGCGTCAGCGCGCTCGACACGACCTTCGCTTTCCTCTAGGATGTTGACGCGAGTCGACTGCTCTATTTGTGAAGAACATGGTAGCGCAGCTTTGCCTGAGAGCCGAAGAAGGAGGCAGGAGGATCTTGTTAAGGCTTACACTAATCCAAAGTGCTGCTGTTTGATGCCTCCTCGATCTCACGTAGAAATGGCGGCAAATAAGCAGGCATGTTCTTCTTGTCATTCTCTGAACTACATGAAATCGCGGCAAATAAGCAGGCAACATGTTGCCCTTCTCTGAACTACATCACTTCACCTAGAAACCTTTCCTATTGTTCCTAGTCAGGGTGCTCCGGCTCTTCTACCTCTACCACAATTATAGTTATGGATTTGAATTTGATTTGGATACGTCTAATTTTTGCAGGAGCCAAGATGCGAGCGCGCGCAGACCGGAAGAACAGGATGCTAGTACGAGAAAGCCGGAACAACAGGAACCTTTGTTGGAGGAGTCATGGGTCCGTAGCGCCTTAGAGGAGATAAACACATGCTTACCACGACCTGGTTTTGCTTATATAGATGAGGAGCAACAGCAACGTCATGTCTACTTACAAACAAGAACACTTGAAGCATCGGCATGGGCTTGCTATGCAGGCGAGCCGCGTTTTGCTTCATCTTCATGGGTCTTTTATGGCTGAGAGCACCATGAGCATGAGGATGGGGTTCATTTGACCAATTTTTTACGTTGCACATTAACATTTGACGAGCAGACTGACAGGTTTAAGAAGTTTCCCTAATTGTAGATGTAATACATCTTCTATCGGAGGAATATAATGCACTAAAAGGCCTCACAAGTATACGATAATAGCTACACAAGAGGCGCCACGACATGACATGACATGAATTTTGTGAATGACGTTGAACTTTTTAGGATCTACCTGTGCCTCTACTTCTACCTCGAACAACAAGCCGACACTGCATCGTATCTCAATCCAGATGCTGCAGAGTTTGTACCCAGAAGTGGAGCAAGGACCACTCCACCAGCAGCCCCTCCGACATTAGCTCCAGACCTAAGCAAACTGGAGTTTGTAGAAAACTCGCCATCTTTAAAAGAACTAGCACTCACGAGGGCCTGCTTCAACAGCGGACTAGCAGAACCACAGGAGGTAGAGGACGAGCTCTTTAGCACACCACAAGTAGAGGCGCAGCTGTTCAGCACTGAGGCACAAGACGCGCAAGAGAAAGAAGATGCATCTTCACGTCCAGCCGAGCAGCTGACAACTATCGCAGATCTGTTTCAGAGCTTACAGCCACTACAGAGCTGCATGCATCATGAACAGTCAGGAGAACAGTGCGACGATGACTCTCGTCCAGTAGTGATGAAAGCGCTAAATCTTTGCGATGTCTTGGAAGAAGAAGATGGATGCTTGATGTTATGACGCAAGGAGTAGCAGCTTAGTAGGACCAAGAAAGCCATCATTTTTCAACAAAAGTGAGAGCAGCGTCTATGTGTCTCTTCCCCTTCAACCTCCATCTTCTCTTGCTCAAGGCCAAATATCAGTTAGATCCAGGACTAAGTACATTGATTGGAGCACTCTTTCAACATACAATGAAAATGGGTACCTCTCCCGGTGCTGGTGCTCCTCGGGTTGTAAGTACTTCTAGCATCTACTGTCTTAGTTGCCAGTGAGCATCTCCTGTCTTAGCACCAGCTACTGCTACTCTAAAACATCATAGCAAGAAGCCAGAGCAGGACCACTCCGCTGCCACTCAGCGCACCACACAGCCCTTCACAGGACAAGAACGACTACAGAAAGGGCTCCACAGCCCTTCACAGGACAAGAACGACTACAGAACAAAGGGCTCCTCCACTGCCCTTCACAGGACAAGAACAACTCAAGTCGGAGGGGCACGAGGAATAGAGCTGAACATCTCTGATTGTCTCAATCGCGAGGCTTATGTTATGGCTGGTCGTTGTCGACATGAGAGATGATGTCGTTATCGATACTTACTAGTGTGTGAGACGAAAGATGAAGATAATGGTATCTCTTTTTACTTTTTTAAACCGATACCGAATAGATAGAACAAGCTCTAGCACAAGCATTTAAATTTGTTTTAAGACATCTTTCTATCATTTGTAGTCCTCTTCGTCTTCGCCGACTTCTAGGCAAGAACCCTGAGGCCATCAAGCAACCTCTTTTCATCTTGTAGTTTCCTCTTCTAAGTAAAAATGGTTTCTACGTAATTGTCCAACACTCACTTTCTTGCATTTTTTATTCCACTTCCGTATTATAAACATAATTCATTGTCCATCGCTTCCGTATCTAATTCATTTTCCACCTGCCTCTGTTCTTTCCTTTCTGTTTCTCTAAGCTACAGGAAAATTTGCGTTTAGCGTGCGAGGAGCTGCAAAGGGAGGGACGTTTTGAAGAACTAGCATCCTTAGGCTCCGCAATGCACGGTCGCGGCTGCAAACCTTGCGCTTTTGCTGCGAAAGTTACGGCGAACTAGAGGACCTAGTCCTTGTTGTAAAAGAAGCATTATTATATGAAGACCACGTCTCCCCAGCCCCACGCCTAAACGAAAGAATGCATCCTCATCATCCTTAGAAGTTAGAAAGAGGTCCCTTTTGGTATAGAAAAGGCATTAGAGCAACTCTGTAGAGGGAACAGTTCTAGAATAGAAGTCCGACTAGAACTTCATTTTTAGTAAAGGGGAGTCACAACGGAATCTAAGGCATGCGTGGTATGTCTCAACGGAAAGGAATGCAAGTGGTGCCATCTCTGTCCACCCGGTGCGAAAAAGGTACTAATCTTATTTTAACATATGAATTTGTACCTTCACGTTTCATCTGTTTTTTTTTTGGTTGTCCGATTGATATAATCAGGAAATGAACAGCCACGTGATCCATCCGAAAGGAACTAGACCATCCATCACTATCATTAAGAAGCTGAAACGACAACTTCCTCATCCCTCACATCTTCTATGAGAAAATAAGCCACATCATCATTCACTATTAGGAATCTGGAACCAGCACAGCCACATCATCTTCATCACTATCAGGAACTGAAAAAAGCGCGAGCGCGGCTTAGGAAGACGGCCGCTGGGTATGCTTCGCAAGTATGAGGAATGGCAAGAGGGATGGGAATGCGGCAGTAGAGCAATTTTCAAATGCGGCAGGAGACGATCTCTGCTAGCTGATTAGTGCTAGTGGTGATTATATAAATATTTGTTCTAGAGTTATATCTTACGACAATTCTTCTAGAGTTCTCTTTCTTTAGTGTCTACGGTTATATCTTACGACAATTCATCATGGTTGCCAATACTGACCATCATTGGTAAGAATTTGAATTCTTTCATCTAAATAAGTAGACAAGAATATGCTTATCATGCTTAAACGATCATTTCACGTGGTTGCACCGCGTATGAACAACATCAACAGGTTTCTCAATTTTGTTCGTGTCCTCTCATCTGCAGTCGTGTTTCTTGTGCCTTCACCTTAGTTATAGGTAGCGTGTGGAAGAAGAGGAAGCTCAGCTGTTGCTGCACGTGTAGAAGAGGATCCTACCTGAAAGATCAAACGTACTCGAAGCCTTGAGATAGGCAAGGAAATTCGAGAAAAATAGTCGATTAGGTTTTATTTTTCGAAATTCTCTTAGGCAACGGTTGCTGTACTCGCTTATTAATTTCAGTTTTTCGAATAGTTGTATCTTTCTGTTTCTGTCTGGTCGGCCACGGCTCTCCCCCAAAAAGTACTTCGCACCGAAGCCAATGCTGTAGTTCAGCTCAGGAGTTCGAGCAATAAAAGATTTGTACTTAGGATACACTAGAATAGCCAGGGGACATATACAAGCTTGTAGCTTTCACAAGTAACTATACATAGGATAAGTCTAGATAAGATAAGTAAAGATACGATAAGTCTAAATAGGATAAGTCTAGATAGGATAAGTCTAGATATTATACAACAAGCTTGTATATTCACAAGCTGGGATAAGTCTATTGTCTTCTATTAAATGTTGATCTGTCCAAATTGGAGCCACAAGCTAGTCAGGGAACGCCAATGTTGTAGTTCAGCTTCAGATACAACACTGGGATGGTTAGAATATTCCTTCCTTGAGTCAGTCCCCTCTTCTCGTTGTCCTTAGTTGTGTTTTTCTGTCTCTGTGTCTAATATGAGCATGGGTCCTCCCTCTGGTTGTCCTGTTTTCTGAGCACTAAGTATCCCACTGATTTTCCCTGCGCAGTTTTCTGTGCACTGTGTTGATGAACCTCTGAGGCACCCTTAAGGCATTCTGCGCAGGTCTTCTTCGTGCGAGATTCATTGAGGGAATAGCAAGCGGAGCCCCTCCTGCCTCGCCGTGTAGCGAAGGACGTAATAGCTTCAATTTTTTGAATCATGAGGCGAAGACCAGACGGGGAAAGGCGAGTGGCACAGATGAGCTCACCGCAGAGAGCCTACTGCGTACACCTAGAAGGAGAGAACGGGGCGCAACTGTTTGAGGCGGTGGGTAAAGGAGGGGGAACGGCCCGCAGCGAAGCCCACACGAGGCAGGGCCGCTCTTCGTAGCATTATCAAAACAAGGACTAGACCAGAGCAAGGCAGAGGGGTGGCGGCTTATCTCACTACTGAACACGTCAGCGAAGGCGCGCGCACAGATCCCCGACGGCAAGAGATCTGGGCCAGTAGCCAGCGCACTAGCAGAAGGGTAGACAGTTTTCAGGTAGTACAGGAGAGCGGTGGGCAGCACCCTCCACGTGCTGAAGACATTGGCGCAGAACGAGAGGAAGGCAGGGAGGCCGCCCCCCGTATTGTTCGCAGACTTGCAGCAGGAACGTGACAAGGCTCCTCGCACATTTATGGAACGCGCTTGCAACTGCTACGGACTACCAGCAGGAGCGCAGGCAAAGCCTTGGGCGTTATGCAGTGGCCACGTGTGGCGATCCAGGTATTGCAAAGAGAGTCGGACCGAAGAGCAGGCAGACAGAGACACCTACGGGCCCCACGTAGGGTAGGGCTGCTGCTTGTCGCTGGACGTATTTAGCTCCGCAATTCAGTGCACAGAGATGGGGGCCACACTTTGGTGGGGAGAAGAAACAGGCAGCGACGAGGCTGCAGACGGAAAAGAATGTGAACTGAGAAGGCTGCCATACGCTGGGGGTGTAGTGCGCTCCCTTGAGGATTCGGGAGGGCTGCGAGCAGTATTAGAGGAAATAGGCGCAACCTCCTCAGCGCTAGGCTTAAGGGTGGGGGAAGAAGTGGAGAGGCGAAGCACCTGATAGCGAAAGCAGTCGAGCAGCCACGAAGCTCCCCGGAGGAGGTCGGCCAAATAGCGAGCGGGCTAGCGAGCTCGGGCGCTTAGGAGCTACTGCTAGGATTCACCACGGAAGCAGCGGACGACGGAAGGGGCGTCGCACATCGAGGAAAAGAGGAAGGAGACGCAAAAGCAAGTGGGAGAGCCCAGCAACATACGCCGCGGCAACAGGACCAGGCCAAAGCCGAAGGCCAAAGCAGTGAGCCCGCCCGTGTACCTTGCAGTCGCCTGGGGAGGTGGGACACGGATGCCAACACAGAAGCAGGAGGAGGAACGCGGCGCATTCTGGGGCAAGGAGCTGCGACAATGCTTAGGGAGCACGAAGAAAGACAGGAAAACAACAATGGAGGCCCCTGCGACATTGACCCAGTGGCGACGGGCTACCGACGCGGCTGAAGTCCATGAGGCTGAGCCACTTGCGGCGCGTGGTGCGTAAGATATCTGGAAGAGCGACGGGGGGGGTGGGAAGGACGCTAAGGCCGGCGCATGCAGAGCAGAGGAGCCAGCCCCATCATGTAGGGTAGACGGACAAGGACGACGGAAAGGGACGGGGACGGACAGACAGGACCCCAAGCAACGGCACGGGGCTACTGGCTAGGCCTGTCACGCTGGAGGACTGCCCAAGGCTGTCAACGACAACGAGCAGCGCCGACGCCGAAGCAGTAGAGGCCCCTCACCCCTTCAACATCAGAGAAATTCGAAGAACTCAAAAGAGATTCAGGGAAGCCGTCGGTCCAATCCGAACCGACTACCCTCATCATCATCAGCCACGTTCTAGTAGTTGCTTGCGCATCTTATTTTTGATATTTTTTAACATCAACTAGTACATCGTCAATCTAATATTTGCCATACAATGAATTGAAGAAACACAAGGAAAGTTTTCCATCTTTGTCTGTGCAAATTGTCATGTTGGTCTTTTTATGATTCATGTCTTATTTCTCTTTCTGCAAAATGACAACCGCGACCACCTCTACATCCACTGAAACTGATGTTTTCATCTTGATGAGAAAATAATGTTGGTCCTCTACCTTTTCAGCTTTTCCAACATAGTACATGATCACATGATGAGCACATGATTTTACAATGTCCGCCTCCTGCAGACTCAACGAAAGTTCGGGACACCAAGAGTACCAATGCTCATCTTGAAAGTGCAAAATTGTTTTTCGGTGTCGGTAGGTCTTTTCTTTGGGGCTTACGAGAGAAAAATTGAACTTGAATTGAGAAGAATGTCAGTATGAGAGGAGCAAGAGAGCTTGAGCTGCATTGTAACAATTATTTCTGTAATAGATTGTCGCTTTTAGAAATCAAAAGGAAGATGTTGTAGTTTTTTCCTCTTCCTCGTGCATTCCTCGGACACTTGTCTCAGTCAAATCATCTTTAATAGTATGACCTGTCTTCATCTTCATGCTTGGATTTCTTAGACCACGATTCCCCTTGTTAGCCTTTTGAGTGGCGTTGGAAAGGGAATGCTATTCATATATAAGTATCTTCTGTACGGATGAAAAAATAACTCCTACCTGCCTACTCCTACCAGGCCCAGGCGCACCAGGAAAAGTAATTCTTCAACAAACAAGCAGAAGCGTCGAGTGGAAGGTGGGCTTGATGTTGTCGTAGGGATATCAACAGAAAATACGGCGGAAACAGAGAAGTGCCTTTGAACAGCACGACTAGACTTCTTAGTAGAGAGACTACATCAACATCTTCTCTGACTGAATCATGTGGGTGACTGTTTTGAACCACCGTTCTCTTCTGGCGCTCTTCGATGAATAGTAGTGGTTACAAGCTGCGCAGGCAGGGGTTACAAACTTCGTAGTGGTTACAAGACCACGGAGTGGTCACTTCGTTTGAACACAGTAGTGGTTACAACTACAAACTTCGTAGTGGTTACAACTACAAACTTCGCAGTGGTTACAAGACCACGGAGTGGTCACTTCGTTTGAACACAGTAGTGGTTACAACAAACTTCGTAGTCAAGTGGTTACATTTTCTTCATCTTCTGCAAAAAAAAAATGATGAACAGCAACAAAGCGGAGATGGTTGTCACCTACGTATGGATGACGTTTTTTGCATCTAGCAGCTCCCCCTGCGGCCCCTCCCCTTGTTGAGATTATAGTTATACGTTTTGAAAATGAAAAAGGTGGGAAAGGGATAGCCGTGGTGGTCTGCCTAGATGTCATCGACGCCATTCATACAACGAGGAGGAGGTGAAAATTGGCTTGGATGGTGAAATCCTTGGGAAGCGTGGCCAATTCCAAAAAACCAAGATGTGCAGTTTTTTCTTGCGTGGTATGTGTGGTAAAGTTAAGGGTAGTTTTTCAGCACTATCGTCCCAAATAGAGCCTTCTCTGTTGAGCCAGTCGGGAAGCCCCCCTTGATTTAAAGGGAAAATGAGGGCGGCGCAGGGCACCCCGCTCGACTCGGTATAGTGAGAAACTACCGCTAATAAAGGGCAGGAGTGCACGTATGCCCATGACGAAGCGGATCTCCAACGGTTGCCGAATCTGCAGATGACTAAACTCTAAGGTGAAGCATCCTCAGTGAGGCGTATCATACTATATGCTACATACATGTTTGGCTCTTTTTCTATACTTGTCGTGGACGAAAGAATTTGCAAGGATGGAGATGGTCCCCTAAGCTTCAGGGATGCTGCTCTAAAAAATGTGCTAGTAGTGTAGCAGTCGTCTATAATACCCCTGGACGAGTGGGTACTACATTAAGATTAACTCATGATTCTTCATTCACTCACTCTCACTCATTGTTCTTCTGGTAGCTCTAAAAAATGTGCGAAGAACTGAGCCGCACAGGTCATTGCCAATGGGGTGTGCGATGCAGCTACGCTCACTCAAAAGCCGAGCTTAGAGCTACTGAAGGGTTCTGGAAAACGAAAATGTGCAAGTTTTTCGCGGAGGGCCACTGCACGCTTGTTGGTGACAGGTGCCGGTACGCACATTCGGAAGAAGAATTGAGAACATCGGAAATTCGGTGGATTCGAGATTAAGGCTTCTTTTCCTGTTTTCGATCCATCTTCCTTGTATTTTTACTTCGGAGCCATTGCGATCGAAGCATCGCACCAGAGACAGACGTTGACGTTTTCGAGGGCAGAAACGGTCTCAGGAAGACGCGTCATGATCTTAGGATGGACCATAGGGGTCAGCTCTAACGAGAGGTGCGGGAGATTCGCGGCTCGGCCCTCCCCGCTGGCATGGGAGCATGGAACGATGACGTGATTTGTCAAGACGCTGAACCTGAAGATGAGGAAACCGGCGACCTCGCACCACCACCACCGGCAATGACTCCCACCGCCACAACTCATACTGCCGCAAACTACAACGCGAACGATGATCCTGATAAGAACGAGGCGCCCAAAAATGGGAACGGTAAAGGCAAAAGGACCACTAGCACTACTACAAGCGGCGACGATTCTGGTACTAGTACGACCAACACCGGGTCTAATAATAGCGGGTCTACTAGTAATGATGAAGATGTTGATCGCCGGGAACTCCAACAATTTACCTCATGCGCAGAAAGGGAGCTAGATGACGAGCGCAATGTTGAATATTATATGCAAGTAGTAGAAAAAGGAGGCCGCAAGAAAAGAAGAAACCGAAGAGGATGCAGAACACGACGACGAGAAGGACGCCGTAGGAATAGAAATTCTGATAAGAACTACACTGACGATGCTCAAATGAATGAAAAATACCAAGAGGACTACACTGATGATGCTCTTGTTGGTGGTGTCATTCGTGGATATGAAAATGAATACCTATCTGCGGAGCTGAACTCCAACAATGACCACCAGGTGTATTAAGGCTAGTAGTCTTTCGCTATGATCCTATGTGGACAACTATGCTGAGTGCCCCTTGATTCATTTACAGGCGAAGATAGTACTAGGGAGAAAAAGTTGTAGAACAAGTCTAACTCACTCAACCTGGCATAGTGAAAACCTTCTAGCGTTAATCAAATTACAAGAATCAAGATTACAACAACGCCAGCAACTCCAACGGTGGAAGCGCCGCTGCGGACAACTTCGTTACTGGATGGGAGCAACATCAACACCCAGAGCAGGCTTCTTCTATAGGGCCACAGTTTTTAGCTAATAGCACAACAATAGACCACACCGCATCGGGAGCTGGAGCATTCACAGCAGGAGGAGCGATGACGAAGAACGCTCTGGGTCTGGGAGATCCGACTTTGGGAGATTCGACTTCTAAAAACACAGGTGGAGCTCGTGGAGGCGAGCATCAAGGAGGACATCAGAATCAGGCGCTAAGTACAGGAGCCCATCCAGGAGCATCTGCACTGGCATCTGCCGGAAGTGCAACACTAGATTGGGATACAAATGCAGTTGGTCGTAACTTCAACCTGTTTTACGGAGCCAACCCAGACGTCAACACCAACACCTATACCGGTGGAGCGGGGTTGGGGACGTCTTCTTTTCCGCAGTATCCTCTGTTCACTCCACCAGGGACAACTCCTTCGTGGGTCCAGCTCTCTGAAGGACAAGCAGGAGAACCCTCGCCCCACGCCTTTGCGAGAGTACTTTCAGGAGTACAAGGCCAGGACCCGTCTTCTACAACTGGTGGCTATTCTTTCGCGAACATGAACAGCATTTTGCCAGTGACAGCAACGCACTTGGTCCCTGAACTCAATACAACTGCAACTGGTGTTGATCACAGCATTCCTCCACCTCCACCGCTACCCGGTCCCACGCAAGGGATGGCTAATACAGCTGGGGCATCTGTAGAACCTTTGGGCGTACAACATCAACTCGAAGCTAGTGGTGCTGATGTCCTCAGTGGCGCTTCTCCTCAACAGTTAGCAGGAGCCGGAGCTCCGCAACACCAGGTGAGAAACTTCATTCCCTCGTCCGATGTGTTTCATTACAACAACAACAACAACAACAACAACAACAACAACAACAACAACAACAACAACAACAACAACAACAACAACCTCCAGCTCCAGCAGGGCAATTCCCTCACGGGTTATGTGCTTCATTGCAACAACAACCTCCAGCTCCAGCAGGGCAATTCCCTCACGGGTTCTGTGCTTCATTGCAACAACAACCTCCAGCTCCAGCAGGGCAATTCCCTCACGAATGTGCTTCATTGCAACAACAGCCTCCAGCTCCAGCAGGGCAATTCCCTCACGGGTTATGTGCTTCATTGCAACAACAACCTCCAGCTCCAGCAGGGCAATTCCCTCACGGGTTCTGTGCTTCATTGCAACAACAACCTCCAGCTCCAGCAGGGCAATTCCCTCACGAATGTGCTTCATTGCAACAACAGCCTCCAGCTCCAGCAGGGCAATTCCCTCACGGGTTATGTGCTTCATTGCAACAACAACCTCCAGCTCCAGCAGGGCAATTCCCTCACGGGTTCTGTGCTTCATGGCAACAATGAAATTAATGGAGGGCCGTCTTCGTCCAACTACCAGCTTTTTATTCCGAAAAATGCCAGTACAACAACTCCTGGAGTGTCCTCCTTTCCGGCGTTTCCGCCAACATCACTGGGTGCCATGCCGGGAGAAATTTCGCAAGGATCATTGTTGGACCAATCATGGGAGAGCCTGAAGAAGATTTTGCTAAAGAACCAACAGGGCAGACCGACCAGCGCTTCGCCACCTCCACCAGTGCCACCGACAGTTCTCTCCGGTGGCGGCCTGTCGCACATCAGTTGGAACACTCCTAATTGCATTGTTCCGAATACAACAACTCCAGTTTGGCGGGCTGAAGGAGGAGAATCGTCCTCGTCGTCCCATGCCTCTGCGAGAGTACTTTCAGGAGTACAAAGCCAGGACCCGGCGTCTACTCATGCTTTCGCGAACATGAACAGCATATCGACCACGCTGGACAATGCCCTCACGGGTTCTCAGCACGGCGCTGCGAGTATGTTGAACGCTGCTGGTGCAGCAGCTGGAGCGGGCGGTGCTGGAGGAGTAGATGATGGTAGAAGAAACATTCAAAATGAAGCGAATGGATCATGTTCTTCTTCGCCTGCTTGTAGTAGAAACAGAAAGCAACCACCATCTCCATCTCATCAATCAAAGTCGAACGCAACAAATAATACTAATAATCTTGTCGTAGTCGTTTCTAGTGGACCAAAGTCGGCGAATGCTCCGAAAAATGCTTGTTTTAATATAGCAGCTCGTCCTGGGCCAGGAGCTCCTGGCGGCGTCAATGGATTGGACCAAGCGTGGGAAAGTCTTCTGAAGCAGATCTTGCTAAACAATGTAGGCAGACCACTGACCATTATGGTCAAGCTACATTCAGTTTTGTCCATCTTTCTCGGCATGAAGATATTCTTGATCCCTGGATTAGTATTTTTCTCATGAAGCTGACTCTAAGACCACCAGTGCTTCGCCACCTTCACCACCAGTGCCACCGCCACCAGCTCTCTCTGCAGCAGGAGCATTCCCATCAAGGGGCCCAGCGGCGCCCACTCCGTTTGAAGAACTAAGTATGATGCTACGGAGTGGTAGGAGCTTAGGAGGTGTAGGTGGTGGCCTCTCGCACGGTTGTAATATTCCGAATCATAGCATTCCGAATACAACTGTTTATTCCACCGCAACAAACTTTGGAGCAACTACAAGCAACAGTTTCCAGTCTCTCTTGTACCCAGACAACATGAAACCCACTAGTCTTGCGTCACCATCCCCTGACCTGTTATCTTGCGGTCGTGTCTTTTCATCTCAGCCGAATCTGATTGAAACTACATCCGCAGGAGGAGTTCCGATTTTCCAACCTCACCCAGTGCAGCTGCCGGCAGCTCCGTTTAAGGCTTACCCTTCTTCAATTGTCCATCTTCAGAGAAGTCATCCTCCGAGTGAAGCTTTTCAATGGAAAAACGGACCCAGGATCCGTCTCAAGATGGACAGGGGTGAGCTCTAGCATGTTGATGAATCGCTGTCTCAACAATACTAACGCAGGGGGTTTCTCCTCTAAAAATGCTAATGGCGATAATGATTGCGGCCTCAGTATGGAAGGTAACGCACCCAGTTTGGGAAATGCAATGGACCCGCAAACGTATGACGTAGCCGAGCAACTACAAAATTAAGGCTGCCCCTAATCCATCTTCAGAAGCATGCAGCTCGTGGGACTTACTTTTGATTTAAAAGGGGGAAAGAGGTTCAGGATGCATCTCAGGCTCTAACAAAATGAGGCCGTGGGAACGTCGAAGGACAAGAAGGAGGGCAGCAACACCAAATACGTCGATAGCAACTACGCTACGTCGATAGCAAGAGCACGCAGATTCGCGAAACGAGAAGATGGGAAGGCCAACACACGTTTGATGTCACCTGGGGAAATCCTCGGTGTGCACACTCCAGATTTTCCGGGACAAGCGATACGCGTTGAAGATCCTGCTCGGGGCGACGCTAGTAACTGCTATAGTGACGCTCCTTGTGTAGTAGCGCATGCACGTGGGAGATCTAGTAGCGCACGACGTAGCGGGACGACGGGTGGCTCACTTCGCAGAGATCGTTCATCACAGAGCTTTTAAAGCTGCTAATTTTTGTCGCAAAGTTTTCACTAACTGTCAAATGATCAACTACGCAAATAAAAGCTATTCGTAGTGGGTTGAATTGAAATTGCTAGAGATAGAAAACAGCCAAGCTGCAGCTTTCCAGTCAGAACGACACAACTCTTGCTAAAGGCAGAGTCTAATACAGACATAAAGTCACTCGTAGTTTTGTTGATAGCGTAAACAAGATTCTGAAGATTTTCCCGCACTGATTGCGATTTCCATCGAACTAAATGAAATACAAAATAGCTTGATCTGGATTCTTTTGTTATGAATTCTAATGTTGGCTTGTCGTTGCGTTTGCAACTAATCGCGATGTCACTTTTCGATTTGAGAGTTTATCGAATACGTCTTGTCTTCCTTCCTATTGCGAGGACCCCTACCTCCTGTACTTGCAGTAAGATCATCGACCACCGTGGAGCACATCTCAGTGCACATTAAAAAAAGTTAATTAGATATGATCCAGGGCGCGGGGGCGGGGCGCCGGTACCCGCCCCCCTCTAGCGTAGGGGGGGCACCGTGCGCCCCGGATCCCTTTGGAAGGCGTCTCCCGGGGGTGGAAGGCCTCAAAAGGGGGCCAAGTTACCTCCTCGGCCCCCCTCTAGCTGCCTGGCTGTTCTTTGCAGGCCCCCGATCTAGGTGGGAGGCCTCAAAAGGGGCCCAAGGGACCGCGTGCGCTCCTTTCCAGATGCCTGCCTGTGCCCGAAGTGCCTCCGATAGGCTTCGCCGTCGCAGCACTGCGCCGGCTTATTTGGAAAAGGCGAGGGGCTGGGCCCCCTGGGCCGCGCAGCTTGTACCCTGCGGGCCCTTGGTCATCGGCTTGCTTGCTCTTGCGACCGTGGCCGCCTTCGGCGGTCTTTTGCCCCGGGGACCTCGCTCCCGCCTGCGAGGGTCAGCAGAGGCCAGGAGGTCCTTGGGGAACGCGCTGAGAGGCACAAGAGGAGGGCCGCGCCAAACCACAGGGGGGGCACCGTGCCGCCTTGGAACATATTTATATAGGCTTAGGGGCTGGCCCCTATCTTATCTCGTTAAAAATTAGAAGGCTAGAGTTAGGATTCTCTGTGCAGGATCCCAGGTCCCTAAGCTAAGCTAATCAAATTTTATTTATGTTGGAAAAATATTATAAATTTTCACTCGAGCATCGCTCAGACAGATCGACTTGCCGAGCAACCATTTGGTATCTGATCTCAATATTGCTTGAATTAGCTCTTCATCACCTTCTTAAGGAATAGGAAAAATACGAGGAGAAAGCTAATGTTGAAGTTACAGCATAATTGGCCGACCAGATCAACTTGCCGAGCAACCAAATTTATCACCAAAGTTGAAGTACGTAAAGCCAGCACGACGCATCAAAGTTCCTGAGTAAGAACAGGAAGAGCATAACCAGTGCCAGGCTGTAATATGTATAGCATACGCTAGTTAATGAAATTCCTTGAGTTAAGTTTTCACCTACTACTTCTTAAAGAATATTCACTACATCACCTACCATTCAATAGGAATACAGAAACAGATGGAGTAGGGCTCATGAAGTAAATGAGTCTATTTTTACTGTACTAAGAGGATGGGGTGAAGGAGGAAAATTATACATGCAGGCAAAACTGCGGACGGCGGATCAATTCCTATCCTAACCTAACAACAACATGGGATGGGAAAGAGAAACTATTTCCTCGACGATCTAGTCCTGGTTTTGATGAAGCTCTAGGCTGCCTCGCTTTTTATGTCTTATATTTATTCCCAATGACGCTTATCGGCATCCTCTTGTCTGATCACTTTTTTCTCCTCCTTCAATTCTTTTTTGGTGTAATTTGACAGGTAAACGTAAAGCAAAACTGTACTCCTTGTCAACTAATGCTTTGAGAACTGGTTGAAGTTCACCTTGTTACCAAGGAGGGAATAGTGTTGGTTATTCTTACTATAATGCGCTCCGTGCTACTCGATGTGATCCATGCACTCCATGCCGTGCGAGCTGTGAAACCTCGCAAACTTTTCCGCTATAATGATAGCAAAAGCATTAGCGCCCTTGGCTTGCCCTGAACTCCAAACACGACCTGCCCAAATAGGGCCTCAGAAATCAAATGGGGCTCCGAAACTAAAGAGCTCAGAATCAATAGGAATCCCAAAACGAGCTTCCCGACATATGTCTCCCAGAACGGGCGTCCCCAAGCGGGCCCCTCAACATAAATGGGCTTTCCAAAATGGGCTCCCCAGAACGGGCCTCCAAAAATGGGCTTCACGGAATAGGCGTGCCAAAACTGGTTTCCCGAACAGGGTACCCCAAAGCGGGCCTGTCAAGAAAATGGGCCTCCCAAGATAAGTGCTCTGGAGCAGGCCCGTCTCCCACGTTGGGGGACTGAGAATGGGTTTCCTAAGATGGGCGAACACAGGCACCACAAACCACGCAAAAAACCACACACGCACGCACCACACAGAACAAAACAGCAGACAACACACAAAACTACACACGCGCCAGAAAATAGGGCCCCAGCAATGGGGCTCCCAAAGTAAAAGCCCCAGAATGTGAATCCCATCCAAAACAAGTCTCCCAAAATGAGGACCCTCAACCAAAGCCCAAACTTAGAGAGAACCTCCTCTAGGAGTGTAGGCGCTCGAGTTGTTTCTTATTAATATATAAACTACCGAAGTCGCTCAGAATTGTGCTGGCCGTTTGGTGGTTTTTTCTGGTCTCTTGGGTTTTTTATATGGTTTGCCGGCTCCGTTCGTGAGTGGGCCACGGTTGGCGCTTTCTATGTTCTCGCCCACAACCCTCGAGGGCAGGCTTTCGACATTTTCGCGGCAGGTTGTGGGAAGGGCCTGCCAGCTGCGGACTTCGGGGCAGGCGCTCCCTTTCGTGGTCGTCTTGTTCTTGGGGTGGGGGGTTGTCTCTTTGTCTCTCAGTTTGGCAGGTGTGGTCTTGTGGTCGTTTCTCTTTTATGTGAGGGGCACTAATACTGGCGCTGGGGTTCTGCTTTGTCGTCACAGGTTCTGCTCTCAGATAGTCGCCGCCAAATCTGCCACGTTCGGTTGGACGACCGAGCGCGGCTTGGTGGCAGTCAGGTGGTGTCTGTGAATGTGGGGGTCGTGATTTATGGCGCCTTGTTGTTAGTTCTTGAGGCGCGCGGTTGCTTGGTGTGCTTGCCTCGTGTCCCGTTTTTAGGAAGTAGAGACGAAGCACACAGACAGAGAGACACACACAGGCACACAGACTGGGAGAGCCAGAGGAAACCTGAGAGGCTTAAGGGGGTTCTTTTACCATAAAAATACGAAGCGAAGAAAAGCACTAATGCCCTCGGGCACAGTGTGCTGGGTTTTGGGTTGACTCTGGGAGAGTCCAGGAAAATCTGAGAGGTTTAAGGGGTTTCTTTTCCATAAAAATACGAAACGAAGAGCAAGGCAATTACTACTGCCCTCGGGCACAGTCTGGGAGGTCTTGGGTTGACTCTGGGAGAGTCGAAGAAAATCCGAGAGGTTTAAGAGGGTTCTCTTTCCATAAGAATACGGAACGAAGACAATCACTAATCCCCTCGGGCACAGTATGGGAGACCAGTCTTGGGCTGACTCTGGGAGAGTCAAAGAAAACCCGAGAGGTTTAAGGGGGTCCCCTTTCCATAAAAATACGAAACGAAGATAGTGATCACTAACGCCCTCGGGCACAGTGTGGGAGGTCTTGGGTTGACTCTGGGAGCAGACACCCACACAGACACACACACAGACACACACACAGACACGCACACAGACACACACACACAGACACACACACACAGACACACACACACAGACACACACACACAGACACACACACA